GGCTGAGCAGGAGCCTTCTCCTCGGACAAGGGTTGAGCAGGAGCCTCACCCTTGGAGACAGGCTGGGGGAATGGGTCCTGACGAGGAGGGAATGAGATGGGGTTGCGCATAGGGACATCTGCGGCGGCAGTGTCAGAGGGTTTGACAAGAGGCTCGTCAGCAGCAAGACGATCGGAAGGCTCCTTGATCTGAACACGAGGCGAGGAGGCGGCAGCGGAAGTTGAGCTGACATGCGAAGGACGCGAGGCGCCGGGGATGTAAGACGACATGAGACGGGAAGGAAGCGAGGCGTTTTGAGGAAGGTCTCTGTCATAGACAGGTGGCTGACCCTCGATGCGAGCCAACTCAGTCGGGAACTTGCGGTCATTCCACGAGTCGAGGTTATGAGGGTATGGAGTGACATGTTCTTCATCGGTGCGACGCTCGGCAGGCATGGAAGGGAGTCGACCGAGGCGCTGGTTGCGGCCAAATTGAGTGCTCAGGCGGAGCCAGAACTCTCTGACTTGGGCATCGAGAGGGGAGACCCAGTCTCTACCCAGTCCCTCGATACGGCAAGAAACCGACTCGTCTGTGGAAGACTTCTTGCGGTCGGCTGTGCTGAAGCAGATGCTGGGCAGGAGACCATGCGTGTCACAACGATAGAAGTTGGGGTTGTTGCTAACGCAGACGCGGCGGGCGAGGTCGCGGGCAGATGCCTGATATTCGGGGCTGTCAAGGACCATGGAGGGACCGCTGCCGTCATCAGCGAGACCCATGTCCTCGCCATCATCGTCTTCATCATAAGCAGGGGCAACAGCTGAGGATGTGTTGTCGGTTTGGAAGGTGGTGCAGGCATTGATGATGTCGTCAAGGTCGGGCACACCCAGCACGGCGGTGAGCATGTCCATGAACATTGAGCCCGGTTCAAGCATGTTGCTATGGTGCTGGTTGATGATAGGGATGTAAGCAACAGCGAGAGCCAGGAAGTAGCGAGAATATTGGTCGGAGACGGTGCGCATACTACCAGAGGCATGTTGTCTGGGGTCGGCGGGGCGGAAGTCAAGGACTCTGAGATCGCTCCACGACAAGAAGGTGTCAAGGAAGTGATCGGGGAGGATGGCCGAGTTGTTCGCAACGCGAAGCTCCTCTAGGTAGGGCAGCTCCTCCATAACAGTGCGGAGTGCGTCGACGTCAAAGAGAGTCTCTCCATGCATGTCGAGACGTCTGAGTGTGAAACGGACTTGAGGGAGAGCGTTGGCTGCGACAACAGCTTCCGCGGCGACGAAGTGGTGAAGAGGAACATCTCTTGCGGAGATGAACGCGCTGACGACAGGCTGATCTTGTCCTCGTTTTCGAGTCACAAGATAGATTCTGTCGTCACGACGGCGCAGATCCATGTTAGCCCAGGCCCAGCTCGTGACGGTAGCGCCCTCAACGGTAATGTCGAGGACGGCAAAGTTGACCTGGCTCCAAGAACCAAAGTCGGCAGCTTCGATGAGATGGTGCTGGTCCACGGGGCGCAGATGACGCAGAATCTCGCGGCCAATGTCAATGGGCAACGAGGCAAGTCTGTTCCATGCGCCGTGAGGGCGAGTGGCTACAGTGGTTGCAGTAGGAGCAGCAGCCACGGTAGGGGTGACAGATGCAACCGACTGGAGGGGAGGTGCATTCTGCGCAGCCATGTGTGGACCAACAGAGCGGCTAGGTCCTGCCACTAGAGCGGGTGTGGCAGGCGCAGCAGCCTGAGTGCGAATTGCTGCAGCTACGGCAAGTGCGGCAGACTGAGGACGGGGAGCGGCAGGCTGAGGGCGAGGCGCAGTGTGCGCAACTCGACGATGGGGAGGGAGGGGCTTGGGAGGCATGGTCTGTCGGGCAGTAAGCATTGAGTATTAAGAATGGTGAAGGGATAGATTGACTTACCAAGATCTTGTTGTAGGTTTATGAAAGGATAGAAGATCTTGTGATGCTTTGAAGGAAGACTTGAAGGTCTTGTGTTGCGCTTTGGTAAAGGTGGGAAGATCTTATTTTGCGTTTTGAGAAAGATTGTGAAATGCGGAAGGGTTGTCTGTGAAGGAAGGGGAGTGAGTTGGGGGTGGGAAGGTACAAGTCAATGGTAAAACTTACGGCTGGTGATATTGCGTTTGATGGGATTCACCAAGTGAGAGTGCGCGTGCGGAGGTGCCTCACTTGCTGAAGAGGTTCAGCGCGCAGTTAACGTGCACTGATAGATGCTGACACACCGATGATTGTGCGAGGCTAGTTTGAGGGTAGTCGGCGGTGCTATGATTGTAGAGGAGGAAAAGGTGGTGGTAGTGAGTGACAGCCGCCAGGGAACGCAAAAAGACGCTGGCAAATTGAGGGCTCCGTGGCGCTGCGTTTGCGACTGCCAAGGCGCAAATGCAGCGCCACGGAGCGCTCGATTGATTCTGACGAACGAGGTGTTGATGTTGATAAATGGTATCACGATATGCGGAAAATGTGTTTAATATCTGAAAGAAAGCGATAGCCACACGGGTTGTTGTTGCCAGGCTGTGATAAATGCGGGGTGGTGGACGCTGAAGGGACGACCCTGGTCATAAATTGCAAAGCGCACGTATAGAACTGTTACTATCCATGCTGCCCTCTAGAACAGTCGATATCAATATTTTGCAGTGACATAGGCTTGATTCGAGTGTCTAAAAGCTGCTATGTCTTTGTCTATGATCCCATGGCTCGGTGCTCACTACAGCAGTTAGAGGCATAACCTGTCTGGGTAGGCACCCGTGAAGCGAGACGTGACAGGAAAGCTTCGAGACGTCCACTGTCTGACACCGATACATGTCAGACGTCCACTTCTACAGTATCTACCATTCTGCCTGGTAGTCATCGACGTTGTTACGATTTTTTTTTTTTGTTAAAATGCACTTATCTGTCATTCAGTCCTCAAGTTCTGTACAATATATTTGCTGATACGAACATATATTCGTGAGCCCTGGTCTCCGCTGTTCACCATCGCGAATCGCGATAATGGAGAAGCACCATTTGAACAAGGACCACAGGTGAGAAATACCCTCAACACTTGCTCCGGCCGAGAGCGGGCCTCCTCTAACGTCTGTCTCCTGTTCCCAAACAGACGGAGGATGATTAGACAAACATGGCTAGGGCAAGCCAGCGCCTTGTCGCTAGTTACTACCAGGTGGTCCTCGTACTCTGTCTTCTGCTTCGCCGAATCGTCTCCAAGAAGCTCTTGCTGCTGTCATCAATTGTTACCGCCCCCAGATGGAAACCTCCAGACATGAAATCAGCCGATGATAGCCCTCGTCTTACAGACCCATGGGTAGCGATAATTGGCGATTATTGGATAGGGTATGTAGGCCTGAAGTGCCTTAGCAGTATAAAAAATATGGTGTAACCCAGACCTGGTAAACTATATTATCATTTCTCTCTAGAAGGATACAGAATGAAGCCAAAGACCTATTATTTCTTCTTTATACATATCATGAATCAATATTCTAGCAACATTGCACGAGCTTCAATACGGTATACGACTTTAGAATAAGCGAATATCCATAAGGTAATGTCTAATCCTATTGTTTGTATTTGCAGAATTGACTGCATATCGAGGCTTACGGCATTGCTACGGGTCACCACGAGAGGAGGATAAGAGCCATACTAATTAGCACAGGTAAAGAGAAGAGAAAAACAAAAATGTAGACTGGACGGCATGTGTCTTTACGTGCCGAAACGGATGCATATTTTGACAGATTATATTGTCGCTCTGCATTGATGTAAGAGAGTGGTTTCTCAAAGTTGTCCGTAAATGGCATGCAAGACAGGCCGAGAAGATTTGAGCATGCAAGACAGAGCTGAGCAGAAGCGGTTCTGAGATGGTCCGAGCGTCATCTTAAACGTTGTCTTTCGCGCGCTTGGTGCGAATATGCAAGTCAGAGCTCCTGGCATCCTCGTTTCCCCTCTATCCAAGTCTTCACCATCTTCCTTCCTCGCGCGCTGTCCAGGCGTACACTTTCATCTGTCGACACTCGGTCTGAGCGGACGTTTCTTGCGCACTTTTGTCGTGTGATTGTACATCACCCGGCGACGTTTCGCGCTGCACGAATTTGTCCTCGTTTTCAGTCCGCGACGACAGCTTATCCACCTTCACCCACAACTCGGCTCAAATCATCTCTTGACCTCACTGCGGCTCATACGATCACCAAGCGCATCCTTCACCGCGTCTCTAGATCATCATGGCATTCGGCGGAGGTTTTGGCGGATTTGGGTCAAACCAGAACAACACCTCAGGTTTCGGTGCTTCAGCTTTCGGATCGAGTGCGACTAATGCTGGTGAGTCGAGAGTTATCCATATTCTTCTTCCTCCGTTGATCGGCGCGCGCGACCTGGCGCAATTCTTCATTCAATGCTCTCTTACAGCCGCTGACTGACACCTCTTCCAGGAAACACGAACAACACGTTCGGCCAGCCAGCTGCATCCTCAAACTTGTTCGGCCAATCTACTGGCACAGCATTCGGTCAACAGCCCGCTGTTGCCTCAAACACGTTCGGCGCTTCTACTACTGGAGGCGGATTTGGAGGTATGTTTCAATAACTGTCAAGCCTGACTGCACCTCACTACTGTCGTGTTCAAGTTTTCATATTCTGACTCTTACCCTTTCTAGGTTTCGGTTCGAACGCCGCGACTGCTACACCATCTACGTTTGGTGCTTCCACAGCTCCTACATCTTCGCCATTCGGCGCCGTGAACAAGCCCACCTTCGGTGCAACTCCTGCTTCAGGAGGAGGAGGAATATTCGGAGGCGGTTCCTCGACTTTCGGAAACAACGGATTCGGGAGTTCCAATACTGGAGGAAGCAACACGTTTGGTGGAGCTAAACCTACAACCACGGGAAACACAATGTTCGGCTCTGGCACATTCGGTAATACATCTACCCAACCCACAAACAACGGTACGGGCTCCACGCCTTTCTCGGCCTTTATCGAAAAGGACAATGCCGCCAATACCAACAGTCATTATCAATCGATCACCTTCATGCAACCTTATCAAGCATTCTCCTTCGAGGAGTTAAGGCTTGCAGACTACTCGGCTGGTCGTAAGGTTGGCAATGCGAATGGCCAAGCTGGAGCGTTTGGTCAAGCCTCGGGTTTCGGCAGCGGGTTCAACTCTGGTCAAGCTGCTTCAACTTCAACTTTCGGCGCTCCCCAGGCCACCAACACAGGAGGTGGCATATTTGGCGCACAGGCGAGCACACCTGCTACAGGCACCTTCGGGTCGGGTTTCGGGCAGCAGAACAATTCTACATCTACAGGATTGTTTGGTCAGCAAAACAAGCCCGCGTCTGGTGGAATATTTGGAAATGCACCTGCCTCAACCGCTAATGCAACAAGTACGCCATTTGGCGCATCCACGTCCAACACGTTCGGCACCTTCGGCCAGCAGAACAACAACTCGAACTCTACAGGCTTGTTTGGTCAGCAGAGTAAGCCCACAGGGATGTTTGGAAATTCGAGCGCACCAACTTCCACCTCAACATTCGGCAGCACTCCTGCAGCTTCTTCAACTCCATTCGGAGGTTCCTCGACAGGAGCATTTGGCCAGGCTGCGAACACAAACACCACTGGTGGCACAGGCCTGTTCGGCCAGAATACTACCAACAACACTGCTAGTCCATTTGGAACTCAGGCTCCTGCTGCTAACACAGGTAACAATCTATTCGGTGGAGGCGGCAATGCATTTGGCCAGAACAACCAGAATCAACAGCAGAATCAGACCGGCACAACCAACAATCTGTTCGGCGGCGGCTTTGGCCAGAACAATCAGCAAAAGCCTAGTCCATTCGGTGGTGCGGCCAGTGGTACATCGAGTAATCTATTTGGGGGTGCTCAAACACAGCAGAGCAATACCTCTGGCGGCCTCTTCAATCAGGCAAGCAATAATAACCAAGCTCAAACTAATTCGCTTTTCGGGGCTAAGCCTGCAACTGGAAACTTATTCGGATCTTCTCAACCTCAGCAAAACACGGGAACTGGCTTATTTGGTGGAGGTCAAGCTCAGCAGAGCACTCCATCTCTCTTTGGCAATCAAAGCAACCAACAGAAGCCCGCGACTGGATTATTTGGAAACACTGGCGCCCAACCAGCCGCTTCTAACTCACTCTTCGGTGGTAACCAGAACCAGCAACAGAACACAGGCAACAGCTTGTTTGGGGGCAGCACTCAACAATCTGGTCAGTCGAATGGATCATTTGGCCAGAGTAATCAGCAACAATCTAGCTTTGCTGCTACTTTGTTGACCAACCCTTATGGCAACGACCAGCTCTTCAGCAACCTCGGTAGCCCTGCTCCTGCTGTGGGACCCCTCGCTACACCCCTTTCTGGAGCGCAGAAGCCGGCTAAGCGCCCTGCTGCACTTCCACAGTTCAAGATCAACCCCAGTGCGAGCTTGCGTCTCATCACTCCTCAAAAGCGCTCAAACGGTTACGGTTTCTCATACGCCACTTACGGTACTCCTGGCAGTGCACAGAGCTTCACATCTAATGGCCTCGGAAGTAGCTTGTTGCAGTCAGGCGGTCTCAGCCGCTCTTTGGGCAAGAGCTTCTCTACTAGCAACCTTAACAAGAGTGTCGGCAGTGGCGACAGTGTTCTCGCTCCTGGAGCCTTCACGCCCAACAACAGATCATACACTGGCGGCAGCATTCGTAGACTGAAGATCGACCGTAACCTGAGAACTGATTTGTTCGGCGACAACACTCCCGTCGAGCCTCCTACTAAGCGCGTCAGCTTCGATGAAGGCGACAAGGGCAAGACCTCGACAAACGGCTATGTTGAGACTCCTGCTAGCAGTGCTCTCGTCCGCACTGAAACCGATGAGGCTGAACCATCTTCTGAAGACCTTGGCTACTCCCGTGCTGAGCGTCACACAACCGACGGTGCATCGGTGAACGGCACTTCCTCCACCAACCAAGTCAGAGGCAACGAACTTGCAATGGTGCCTGAAGATGGACCCGCCCCCGCCTCTTCCACCAAGCCTGTCTCTGCAAAGGACGTGCCACGCTCGCAGGCAGACCCTCAACCTGGAGACTACTGGATGAGCCCCTCCATGGAGGATCTCCGTAACATGTCTCGCCAGCAACTCAAGAGAGTCACCGGCTTCACTGTCGGCCGCCGAGGTGTCGGTAAGGTCGAATTTGATCCTGTGGACCTTACTCAGGTTCCCTTGGACGAGATTATCGACGATATTGTCAAGCTTAATGTGCGCCAAGTCACTGTCTACACTACCGGTGTCAACACTCCTCCCATGGGTCAGGGTCTCAACGTACCCTCTACCATCACGCTTGAGAACTCATGGCCTCGCGCTCAGGCTGGACGTCTTCCTGTTCACGAGCGTAAGGGCCAGCGTTACGAGAAGCACATTGAACGTCTGAAACGTGTTCAAGATACCGAATTCATCAGCTACGATCCTGAAACCGGCATCTGGGTCTTCCGCGTTCCGCACTTCACCACTTACGGGCTCGACGATGATGATGAGTCGGACGATGAAGCCGAGTATGGCAGTGACATGATGAGCACTGGCCAAGATCTTACTCCTAAGGGTAACAACACTGCTGTTCAAGAGATGTCTCAGGCCTCATCCGAGGAGGGTTCTGTCATCAGCGATGAAGATGATGAATCCAACCCTGATGACACCTTTGATTTTAAGAAAGGTCCGTCAAAAATCCTGCCTGGCAGCTTCGGTGCTCAGCCAATTCATAACGATGACGAAATGGCTGACGACAACGACGCTCAGGATCAGGAAGAGGATTCCTCCTATCTTGAACACCAAGACCCGCACTCGCACGAAGACCAGTTCAGGTCTTCCGGCAGCAGCAACGCACCTCCCGTTGAAGCTGTCGATGAACAAATGGAGGAGGAGATGGACTATGAGGAGATGGACGGACAGGATATGGCAGGATCGTTCCCTGAACCTGCCGCTCAAGCTCCGTACAACGACTATGGTATTTCTTTCAGTGGATCTCTCATGCCGAAATCAATTCTCAAAGCATCAACTATGTTAAATGGCACACCGAAGAAGGATCTCGCACTTGCAGGTGACTGGGCAGAACAACTTCAGAGAACTGCTAGCCCCAAGAAGCAAGATCGTCAGGCACTTCGTGAGCGTCAGAGTGTCATGGGTGCAGCCCCTGTTGATACCGCACCACCATTAGCTGCGTCTATTGCTGGCAAGGCTTTCTCTACGACTATGGATATTATGAACTCTCTTTGGGCACCTTCGGCTTCTGTCGCAGGTCATGGGTTGCAAACAAGCACTGTTGGTGGTAAAGGTTTTGAGGTTTGACTCCCCCGTGTCCTTTTTTGATTCTGCTCCAACAACACCTGCTTGTACCTACTTGGACTCGTACTAGGTCATGGTGACTTTTGCGCTGCTCTTGTCAACACTTTCCATATGTAAACGTGAACGAATGCTAAGATATTTCTTTTCCTTAGTGGCCCTACCAGAAGCAGTCGAGAACTGAGGATGCATTCGCCGACATGAACGAGAACGAACGTGGTTTCCACACATCCTTCAAGCCTCGCTGGGCTACAGATGGCACTCTTGTCTACAGCACCACCAGCGCCGCTCCTCCATTGTTCGGCAACATGATTGGCACCAAGAAACCCATCGTGTCAGAGCACAAGGATGTCCGCTTCGCCAAGTTCAAATCACCACAAGACACACTCACCACATCACTGCAGTTGCAACTACAACAGTCGGCTATCACTTCGGCTGAGACCTCGTTCGCTGCCATGGCAGAAAGCGTTGCGCACCCCGACACACCCGAAGCTCAGCACGAACGTTCTGTCTGGCGACTGGCTTCTATTCTGTTTGATCCCGTCGAGATTGGGTGTCCCGACTTGGTCAAGAACATCTCAAGCTCTGAAGTTGTCACACTCGAGTCACGCATTCGTCGTGACGCTTTGTCAAATTTCTGGGCTCAACTTGTTCATGCAGAGGCCGCACAGCATGCCAAGGATGCAGGCACAGCCGAGGAGAAGGCAATTGCATTCCTGAGTGGCAACAGCATCGAGGACGCCTGTTCAGCACTTCTCGAGGGTCGCGATTTCCGCCTTGCAACCATCGTAGCCCAACTTCCTGGCAACTCGAAGTCAAAGGAGATGATGGCCAAGCAGATCGAGAACTGGAGGTCACAAAACATGATCTCTGAGATGACTGAAGCAGTGCGCGCCTTGTATGAGCTTGTTGCTGGCAACACTTGCATCAGTGAAGGAAAGAGCGGTCCAGCTGAAGATAAAGCTTCGGCTTTCGGCATCTCATCGCGCTTTGGTCTCGATTGGCGCCGCTCCTTTGGACTGCGTCTCTGGTTCTCTGGTGCCAACGATTCGCTTGCAGATGCAGTGCAACTGTACATTGACGATCTCGCGGCAGACAAGGAGACTATTCGCCCCGTACCTTACTTTACTGAACAGTCACTCGCTCCTTCCTGGCATGACACTGACGCGCAAGGCAACGAGGATACTTTGCTTGGTCTGTTGAAGCTCTACTCGAGACAACCATCTTCGAATATCAGTGATGTCCGTTCCTTGGTCACCAACCTTCTGTCTCCAGCATCTGTCTCTGGAAGCCCACTCAACGCTCGCCTCTCATGGCAGCTGGCTACTCTCCTGCAGAAGAAGGGCCTTCTCACCGCTGCTGAGTTGAGCGACGCCGCCCTGGATCAGCTGTCTTTGACTCTTTCTGGCCAGCTCGAGGCTGCCAACGAACTTGTCTTTGCGACCAACGTCCTGCTTCATCTGACCAATGAGTCGGCTCGCGAGAAGCACATTCGCGACCTCCTTTACCGCCGCGCTGCCGCACTCTACGATGCAAGCAACCCCGACGCCCTTCCCACCGTCTTGACCCAAGACTTTGGTCTGCCCGAACAATGGCTCTGGCATGCTCGTGCACTCTACGCACGCTCGATGCTCGAAGATCACAATGCCGAAGTCAGCTATCTTCTTCGCGCCGGCGATTCAGCTCAAGCCCACGCCGTGCTCTGCCGTACCGTCGGTCCCGCAGCCATCATACAGCGCGAGTATGATAGTCTCCGCCAGCTTCTCGACCTCTTCCAGAACACGCTTTCTACAGAGACACTCGAGTCTTGGCGCACCGGCGGACAAGTCTACTCGGATTACACACACCTGCTCGACCTTGTACGCCGCGACGACGATGCCAGCCGTGCTACCAAGAAGGAACTGCTGGACCGCTTGACCGTCTCTCTGCCCGGTGTCCTCGAAGGTCGCACCGGCAAAGTTGACCTCGAAGAGCGTGTTGCCATTGGCGAGATGGCCGGTCTGGTCAAGGCTGAAGTGGAGAAGATGGGTAGAGAAGACAAGGGCGTGGATAGAAGTCTCGTCAACAGGCTTCCTGTTGCTGGTGCCAAGTACGCTACTCAGGGCGTTGATCTCAGCAGAGCTTACTACCGTGCTATTGTTGCTTAGAGAGAAGGAGGTGGAGACACGATGGAAGAGATTCATGCATTGTTCCTTCATTCATGGTTGTTGATTATTGAGGATTGATGGATGGTTCGGGAGAAATCACAGAGGAAAGAACCATGGAAGTCGAGGAAGTTGTATTATAAGGATTGAGATTACTGGTTATACAAAGCATTCAAAACAAGTTTTCATTTTCAACGTCTCTTATCATAATATGGTGTGTCTTTTGCTCATTGAAAAGGTGGAAGGGCGACGAAAGGTTCATCAAAGTTCATTGAACAAAGTAGCAATCTCACTCTCGGCACTTTATCCGTTCTTTCGAAAGCTAGGGTATATCAAATCACGCATCTACACACCAAGTCTCACAGACAAGAACTCCTTTGCCTCATCCTCTCCAACTCCACTGGCTCCACTCTCCTTGCTTTGTATCAATCCCATACGGTTAGCTCTAATCATGAACCACATGTCTCTTCTGTCGCCATTAAGCTCCTCCTTCAAGATTTCAGTCTTGAGTTTCTTCATCCACTCATTGTACAACTCCGGAACCTCAAGATCAGTGGCTTCTTCACGCATCACTCTGGTGGCCTCGAGTGCGCGAGCGTAGCCAGACTCGCCGACGGAGTTTCTAATGTAGTCGCGGATGATCTTGCCTAGTTGTTGAAAGGCTGACTCTACTTCTTTGTGGTCGCCTCTGTCTAGTATCTGTCTGAACTCTGGAACGGCGTTCTGGGATGAGATTTTGAGGGTGCCGCCTTGGGCCGACAGCAAAGCGGTAACGTCGAGTCCGGAAAGGGGTTTGGGGACATCGCGACGTCCTTTCTTCGATTTCGATTTCGGAGGTACTGTAGAAGATCAGCACAAATTTGGAAATGAGAAAACCTTGATTGCGCTTACCTTTCTTCACATCTGCAGCGGCTGCAACTGCCTTCAAAGAAGTCTTTGCGCTGTCAATCAACTCTTTTGGTGGGTTGGAGTACTTTATCAAAATCTCCGGCATTGGAGGCAGCTTCTCATCTGGATTGACCGCTCGGCTTCTGATCGCTTGGCTGATGCGGTGTAGAGCTGGTGAGAAAGTATCTTCGATAGGCGCGTATTCGGCCGGATTACTGTCGAACGTCAGCTGGGATAATGCAACAAGAGGGAGAAGTTACGTACCCGTCTTCATCTGCGCCAAAAGTAGAAAGGTCCATGGCGTCCACATAGTCGCTCATGGCGTCCTTCAAGTCATCATTGGGAAGGAATCTGTGTTGCTTGAGTTCTTTGCCAGAGACGGTGACGATTTTGTCCAAGGCAGGAAACCTGTAAGAACGCAAGTCCTCGGCGAAGGGCAGTTCGACCTCGAACAGACACTCAGCATCAGCATCGACGGATGGCGCCAAAAGGACCATGGTAGGACTTTTGCCATCCTTGGGGACTAGTCGCGCCACAGCATATGTGTCAAGCTCGTAAAGAGCACGGATGAATGATGACAAGGCCATGATAGCCTTCTCGTTCGTTCTCTGAGCAATGATGACATGAGTCTTTGACATGTCCAGATATCTCTCGTACTGTTTTGAGATTAGCCATAAATCCGAATTCAAGTAGCAGTAGACCTTACCTGATCTTTGGCGACAAAGCCAATAATGTCCATGCCCTGTTTACTCTCAAAGTCGGTCACGTTCTTGTCAGCCTCCTCGATTGGCACCACTGTGCTTCCATAGCTAAAGCCTCTTGCCAAGTCTTCTAGCTCGACCTCACGTTTACCACCTGGTGCCTCTTCATCAGGAACTTGGTAAGTGCGAGCATTCTTGACGGCAGCCAGATCATTTGGTTTGGATTCTTCATCAAGTGGCGGAAATTGCGATTGTGTCTCTCCTGGCGCCATATTTGTTTTGACAACGAATTGGCTTGCCGATGGGGCTTTCGCAACCATGACTCGTGGGTATCGCTCAACATCGATTGCCATAGCTGTATCATAGGTTTCGGGGTCGCCCAGGGTAAGGTAACCCCTGAATGAGTGCACAGGTCGTACTGTCTTCATTCGTGGGATTACCATCTCGTCAATGGCGAACCCAAGTGTGCCGTACAAGCCATTACAATCCTCGACCAGAGTCTTGAAGACCTTCTCGTTTTGGGCCTGATCCTGTTAGTAGATGGACAAGTCCATAAGGAGCTGGGTCATACTTTTGTGGCGTCCTTGTTCTCTTCCTTGATGCCGTATTCTGCATCATCGAAGTCGACTCCACTTATAGCTTGTCAGCATCATCAGATCGCAATGTATAACAGATAGGCTTACAGAATGACCAACTCAATCCCGTCCTCCTTGCACTTTTGAGTGATTGCATCGAGACCATCGGCATCTACACTACCGTTGCCGTTGGTGACCAGGATGATCTTTCGCGTGTATGCCAGCTTCTTGGTGACAGTCTCGATCATGTGAATGGCTACGACAAGCGCAGAGATAGCTTGTCAAGTTAGCATGCCGGGTTCAAAATCCATGATTTCAGACATACCATCGCCCACATCAGTATTGCTGGGCACAAGTTGCTGTTTTAGTCGGCGCACATCTGGCATCAATGCTCTGCGAGATGTAATTAGATAAGCTTCGTAAAGTCTTGAGATGTCGCTTACTGTCCAAGCTCCTTGAAGACGGTGATGTGTTGATATGCATCTTCATCGGGGTTGTCCAATGCGTTCAGAGTTCCTAGGATTCAGATCAGTTGCCTGTTCATGCACGAGACTCTTATCGATAGTGATCGATGTGTAGCGCTATTTTTCTTACCATCAGTTCGCAGACCGACAACTGCCAACATTGCTGTTTTGCGTTCATTGGATATCTAAACAGTCAATATTACAGTCTTGAAGACCATTCTGCTCTCATAGACCTACTGTTGTGGTGATCTTGTCCCAAACGTATGTTAAAGCCCAGTCTAGATCGCTGATTTCTCGTCCATTGCGCTTTTCGCCCATAGACTCGCCGAGGTCCACGATGTAGACGGTTGCCTCTTTCTGCGCCATGTTGAAGACACAGTATGCAGTCCAGATGCAAGAGTTGGAAATCGTCGTTGTGTTGTGTTTGGGGTCAAAAACAGTGGAAGCACCCGATGCGGAGGACGTGTCGACTTCGTGCTTGCAGGCAGCAACGAGCGTGTCGACCTTTCCTCAGATTCACATGAGACACTCTGGTATTGCAAGAAACTTACCTCACATAATCAAATTAATTCCGTAAGCTATAGCACAAACAAAAAGAGAGCCTCAAGACAGTCTGTGTTTGTCACAGTCAAGGCCGAGGCATACCAGTAATTTCGCCTACGTCACCACTTAAGCGATCTGGCGTGATATACTCTACCATTCGACACAACTCGACTTCTTCTGATCCCTATCGTCCTCCCAAAATCATCCAGCAAAAATGCCTTCCATAACGGACTACAAAGCGTATCATATTTTGAGTTATGGCTCTTTCCTCGGAGCCACGCTCTTCCAATCCTTCATCGGTGGCGTTGTCGCGTTCAAGGTGCTTCCACGAGCCCAATTCTCGACTCTGCAGAAAGCCACCTTCCCTATCTTCTTTGCCCTTCAGTCTGTCCTTGGCTTGACTCTCATGGTCACTTATCCTGGAGAAAAGCTGCTCGGTGTTGGAGGTCAATACATCAGAGAGAATGTCGGCTGGAGTGGCCTATTAGTGGACAGCAATAGATGGCCCGTTTTTGTGCCACTTGCGACCATTTTCGTTACCAGTGTCCTCAATTCTCTGATTATTGGCCCAGCCACAACCAAGACCATGAAGGAGCGTCATCACCAAGGTATGTTGCAGACGCTGGTGAGAATCTCGCCAAAGCTGACGTTTGCGTCTCAGAAACCCGCGATGGCAAGAAGTACTCTGATCCTGGCCCGCACTCCAAGGCAATGGAGCAACTGAACAAGACTTTTGGCATGTTGCACGGTGTGTCGACAATCATCAACCTGACCGCATTCGGGTGCGCCATTTGGTATGGCTTTGTCTTGGGCGAGAGATTGTAAGGCTTCTTTGTTCGCGAGACACAGACATGAGTAGAACATCAATCGGGCTCTAAATGTGAGCCAAAGAATAGATTTCGTATGTCACAATTGAACAAACACGCCTGTCTTCACTATCCACCGTCATGCGTGATGCTAATGGAAGTTTACCTGATGCTATCAAATCCCCGCATAAGAACATCCGTGTCGCTTCCGACCCTCGGGCGAGTTGTCGGAAGCCCGAACAACGTCCAATCTCATCTAATACATCATTTGCTCTTCTTCTTCTTCTTCTTCCTCCGCTCTTCCATTCAGTACTGTGTATAGTTTGCAACACGTTATTGATCCAACAGACATGTCTTCCTACACATCAGAATATCCTGCTGGCAACAAGTTTGACCCAGAATACAAGACTTTCTTTGAGAAGTTCTACGAGACATCTGATACTCCTACTGCTCATGAAGAATACTCCAAGCAGTTTACGCAAGATGCAACCTTGATCATGGCTTCCAAGAAAGTTCAAGGTCGTGAAGGTCTGTACATGAACCCAACAAGAATGAACATCCAGATTCTGACATGCGCAGAAATCTTGTCTCTGCGTAAAGGAATGTGGGAAAAGGTAAACCGACGAAAGCATACAGCGCTAAAGATATTCCCGTTCGGCCCCGACTCGAACGAAGTCATGCTCTACGGTATCGTAGAGTACGGTCTGAAAGACGGCCGAGAAGCTGCGGTTGATTGGGCTGCTCGTGCACACCTAGTCAAACAAAGCGGTGCAGTCATGATGGACTTCTATCAAGTATACTTGGTAAGTCATTCTGACCTCTTTGCCGCATGTACAGGCAGTCTCTGATACCACAATAGGATACTGCTGCACAGAATCCGAGCAAGTAATAGCACCGGGACTGCCTCAGCTTTCAGTCCTGCTCGATCATTTTTACAGGATTAGGAAGGCTCTCTGTCCACCAAATATACTCAAAAAAGATGAAATCGAAACCGTTCCTCCGCAATCGCCTCCAAACTTCTTATTGCAACTCTGTCGAGCCCCTTACATGGCTCCAAGATATATGAAGACATCACATTCGACTGACATTAGAGACTGCCTTCTGAACGTCAAGTTTGATCATATCAAACAAGTGGGTATGTTGACGATAGCTCGCAAGTCTGCAATCCTACATCATCTTTTTCCAATACCAAATTCACCTTCGACGACAGAATTGCTCGAAGAGGCATCAGATGCTGTCCGAAAACTGACTTCATTTCGGAGTGGTTGGGCTTGATTATACTTACAGCTGACATTCTAAAACTGCACACTTTAGTCTGGCACTTTGCTGTGATCTGTAGAACAAAGAATATCAAAACACTGTGGGTGACTAAGGGCTGTGTTGTTTCCCAAGCCGGCAGCCCTTTCTTTGAGACACTATCTCAAAGCACAAATCTTCGACGCATCCGGAGCGCCCCCATTGAGAGTTCGCAGGAATCTTGCACGCAAGCTCATGTTGTTTACTTTTGGCTCACTTTTTCCGTCGTTCTGGGTTTATTGGTTGAACACCCGCTTTCTTTGTTGCCGTCCCAAGCATCATTGTCATTGTTTTCCAACGCATAACATTGCATCGCTTCACTTCCTTTCGCCAACTCAACTTTGAGCGCGTCCCCAATCTTCTACGAAGCTCTTCCATCGCACTGTTGACTACTTCCACCACCTTCCGACACCATGGCTCTGCGCAACTTCGGAAATGCGCTCCTCCATGTGTCCTACATCGCTGGCGCTATCTGGATAGGCGCCCATGAACTGGCCCTCCACAACATCACAGACAGCGACGTCTACAAGGGGCCGATCGAGTCTCCTGTCGCTTATCCCCTCGATGCCCCTGTCGTCCCCTCGGTTGAACCCCTCCAGCAATTCACTTCCATTTCAACCATCTTCGACGCTCCAACCATTACCACGACCATGACGGAGTACATCACAGTCACTAGAGACAATGGTCCAACCCCAGTGCCCACTTTCCACGAGCTATCTTCTCGCAACCCCTATGCAAACAACTCGTTTGTCCTGGGCGCCATCCCCTATGTCGTTCCATTCTTCAAAAGCTCCTACGGCCAGGCTCTCACCCACATCCTCAGCTCTCTTAGCACCCACCCCGTCACCAAAGCTATCTATCAAGCTACCGCCTCCCTCCTCAGTTTCCTCCTCTATCTTTGGTCGATCCTACCTGGAGGCAAGCAAGGTCTAAACACTTTGGTACTTGCACTATTCCTCTATGCACTCCAGTTCGCATATGTGTGGAACCCTCTGGCCAGATGGTTCTCCAGATTTTTCCGCCGTCGTGGCAACAAGTCACCTCCTTCTCATGATTCCGGTCCATCTCCTCCTCCCTCACCTCCCTCTAGCGGACGCCCTGGTGGAGATGATAACGACTCTCGCCCAGCCAGCCCGAAGTCACCCAAGGAAACATCATCTACTGGAACCCAGACTACACCTGGCAGCACTCAATCGGCCGAAACCCAGACCACAGATCTTGTTACCGAAGGCGAGCGGAGTTGTCTGAATGAGGTTGCACGTTTGCAAGCCCAGCTTGAAATACTACGAAAAGAGGTCGCTCAATCCAATGCAGACATTGGAACTCGAGATATCATCATCGCGGACCGCAACATAACCATTGATCAGTACAAAAACGAACGCGAATCCGATGCTCAGGACCACAGGCGTGAGATCGACAGATTGCAGGCACAGATTAATGCCGCTGCCTCGAGCTCCGAAGCTGAGAGCGACGAGATCAAGCGCTTCAAAGAGGCACACGAGGCACAGATCAGGACCCTCCAAACAAACCATGACTCCACGGTACAGAACCTCGAGTCAGAGGTCCAGAGACTCCAGACCGAGAACGACGATCTCAGGCATAACAATGAACGCCTGCAGAATGAAAAGAGCGCCCTGAGCCAGCAGAGCGAGAGCAGCTCCGGCACAGCTGAGAATACCAACAGTGCCGAAGAGAGACAGAGACTCGAACACCAGGTCAGAGACTTGCAGGAGGAGGTCCGATCTCTCACAGCAGCCCAGGAGCAACAGCAGAAACTCTCTCTTGAGGCACAGACTGAGCAAGAAACGGCCCTCGCAGACTCCAAGCACATGGTCGAGGCTCTTGAGAGTACGAGGACCGGGCTCACCCAACAGAACGAGGCACTGCTCGAGCAGGAGAGAGCAGCCAGGCAGGCCGAGGAGAAGGCCAAGGCAGATGCCGAGGCATTGCAGAAGAAGGTTGACTCGCTTGAGCATTCACACTCGCTCGCTAGAGCTGGCAATGAAGCAGCCGCTGGATCACAGCAAGAGATTGCCGACGCGAGAAAGCGCGAGGGGGAACTGCAAGCTCGCGTCAACGACTTGCAGCAGAGACTCTCAGAGGCTGAAGCTGCCAGGAATGCAGCCGTCAGACAGCAGCAAGACGATGCCGCCACAGCACAGCGCCTGAGAGAGTCCGAAGAGCAGTTGACCAGGCGTATAAGCAATCTTGAGCAGGGTCTCTTGCAGGCTGAAAACGTCCACGCGGCTGATTTAAAGCAGCAGCAGGAGAAGAACGAGGCTGCCGCAGTGCAAAAAGACGAGGCCCTGGATACCCTCACGGCCGCCCTTCAGAAGGCCAACGATGACAACATCAACCTGCAACATGAACTTTCAGAGGTCCAGGAGAAGAACCGAACAATACTTGAGCAGGGTCAGGAGCTGCTGGAAGCGAATCAAACAATGCGTAAGCAGGGACAGGAGCTGCTGGAAGCCAATGAAACGATGCGTAAGCAGGGACAGGATCTGCTAAAGGAGCAGCAGGAGCTGCAAACAGTTCGTGACCAGTACGCAGCCCTCAACGAGAGGTACGAGAAAGAGGGTGGCGCACTGCAAAGAGATTATGAATCTCTGAAGCAGGCCTATAACGAACAGGCCCAAAAGTGCGCGGACGAGAAGAGCGTTCTGGAAGCGCAAGCCCAGAAGATACTCCAATACGAGAAGCAGAATTGTGAAGGCCTGCGCAAGAGCATCAAAGACCTGAAAGCCACGGTCAACCAAAAGGAAGAAGAGAATTCTCGAGCACGAGACAAGATCTCAGCTCTGCAGAACGAAGTTAAGATGCAGCGTTGGGCAAATGATAATCTGATTACTACAAACAACAACCTGGCAAATCGAGATGCGCCGAACTTGTCCGCAGCTGATGCAGCCCAGAATACCAACAATACTCCATCTCCCTCCAAGGATACGCCGATGGAGAATACCAACCCAACTGTTCAACCGACTCCCTTCACCAACCCTCCTGTCTTCCTCCCACCTGGAGCATCTCCCGTCAACTCAACCACGCAGTCACCCGGCGTTCGTAAAATCCTTACAGCTCACGGCCCTCGCAGCAGATCACCCAAGAAAGGTACCTATGGTGAGTCTAAAGATCCCGCCCAAGAAATTTTAGACTGGTGTAATGACATCCCAGGCGATAACACGACGTCTACATCTGGACTTGCCAATCTTCCTACGGAGACGCCTCGTAGCACTCCCGGACAATCACCTGTGCGCCCCATATTCGACCTCCAGTCATCTCGTCCTTCTGGTCTGAACGTCTTCGAGACTGTGAATGGTCCTACTCGCCAGGTCAATACTGATTTCACCAATGGGGCGCTCAGCAACGCTCCAGCCTTGCAACCCAACCACAACTTCGCTACTGGGGCTGCTGGACATGCACAGAACCCTTCTGCACTAGGAACCCCTCTCGATCCTGCTCTAGGCGGCACGGCTCCTTCGATCACTTCAGGTGCTGCAAGTACTCCCATGTTGACTCGCGATCAGGAGCGTGCAATACACAATGCACGAGATATTGAGTTCCGACAACAACTCCAGCACGAGGAAAGGAAGAAAGAGAGCGAGCGAGCGTACATGGAGATCCTTCGTAATGAGCTTGGTAATTTCGATGGTCAATATGAAGGCGATGATCCGCCAGACGCTGCGCAGACATCCGCCACTAATGGGAACGGAGACACAGATATGGCTGGGGCTCCGCCTAGCAGGTTGGTCGTGGGCTCGAGACAGGAGCACGACTATCTGAGAAGTATGCCCGACAACGAGAATGGACGCCATGATGCATTGTACAGACGCCATAACTACAGAGCTCCTGATACCCTCGATGAATTCGAATCACCGATATACTACAGCGATTTTGTACAGGGCTCGGATGCAGAAATCAGCTTCTTACATTCTACAATGCCAGCAAACCAGGACGGTCGCTTTGACGATTTGTACAGAGGCAACAACTACAAGGTGCCTGATTCCTGGGATGATTTCGACAATCCTGTCTGGTACTAGACACGCCACTCATACTCACCTTTCCCTTTCCAGTATCTTTGTTTAACGTTCTGCGATTATTGGAAGTTTTGGTTCGATTTTCTGTCGGCTGTCGGAGTAAAGTGAATAGAGAAAATATCATAAAAGGATCCTTTTCCATCATTTCATGTGCCCCTTTTAGCATGGTGAAAGCTTTCTCGAGATTCAGGCATGAGGGCCATGATCTTTCAATGGATAGTAAGAGCTTGTTAGGATTAAGACTGCAGGAACGCTCTGCCGAGACATTTTCCATTAAAGGATGGCAGCTCTTACTGATTGTGATTTGGTCCTTCCTGATGTTTTGCTAGAGCTAGACACCTACTAGGTGAGAGAACGTATGACCGAGTGTTTTGAGCGCCAACTACTGGTAGCTTCTTGCCTTTCACGGTAGAGAGCGCCTTCTATTCAGTTGGAAGGAGCGAGATACAAATGGCAACAACTTGCTGATCTAGCTCCATACTTCAGTTGGCCTGCTGTCAGCACGTTACGCCAAATGCTCTGTTTTTCGGATGACTTCATTGCCCAGCTCTACAGTATCAAGCTTTTACCTCCCCTTCCAGCTTCCTCCGTAAACAAATTGCTTCCCAGGCACGTCTGACAACATCAGCACTAGTCCCACCTAGCAACCTTATTGCCTCTTCCACCTCTACCAGGTGACCAACATAGAAAGCCTCATCCTCATCAACACCAGTGCCTTCATGTCTATTCGGCTGATACATCCCATCACTCCTTGCATCCATCTTTTCCCTCTCCTTCAACGTCGTATTCTCAGGAAACGCCTCAGGCATCACCCACCCATCCGTCGACACCTTATTCAACGACTCCTCAAGCTGTTCAGGTATTGTCTCGGCCGCAAACCAAAAAAGCATATACTGATAATCTCTCGCCACTGGCATCAATCTCGTCGCCAAAGGTTCTATAACCCATTTCTGTTCTTCTTGGCTGGTTCCAGCGGGAGACGGTTGCAAGTGATCAATAGGTAAAGGCAGTAATCTGCATCTGTACCCAGACTCCTCGAAGCCTTCTCTAATTGCTGTAGTGGTGGTTTCTTCACTTGCGTCTTTGCGGCCTTTGGGGAGGAAGTAGACGTTTGAGCGTGTGTCTCTGCAGATGACGATGCGATTTGTGGCGAGGTGAAATATTGTCACTCCTGCACCTGTTGTTTATCTTGTGTCAGACAATAACACTCTTGATGATTGTCGAGTGGTTTCTGACATTTAGGTGTTGATGAAGTAAAACTTGAGATATATACAGCGAGTTTTGAGGAGGAGAGATGGAGAAACAGAAAAGATCATCATACCTATCACTAAACTGTTGCTAGGAAAATACTTGTCCACAGGCGCACTAGCATGGACACGTCTTGAAGGAGGCATTATTGCTTCAGTCCCGAGAGCAAGACAGGCAATATATTTTATCGTTGAAACAACGCTGATGTTTGCTCTTCTCCTAGCCCGAGAACACTGAGGCAAATAAATACCAATCAAATGATCAGATAATCCAGATATAAGCAAAGTAAAACGAAAACAGCTTTCGACATTCCACAGCGAAGAAGAAGTCAAGAAAGAACCCGCTAGTCGCTTAAATTGACCCACTAGAAGTTGATCGATTGATGAGGCTCTGTTATTTCCTTTTTTGCGGGAGCTCAAAATGCTTGACAAGTGTGGAGAGAGAAGCAAAGAAGCTTCGTAAACTCCCAAACGGTCCGTGCTGGCTCCCAATGACGATCATTCTTCATCACGGTCATGTTTCGCGACAAGCAAAGTTGCGCTGATAGCTCTTTGCTTTTTTGCAATCTGATCGGTGTGAGGCTCATCATCGGTCCACTGGAGCTTTGCTAAGCTATAGCTAGCTAAAGAGGAGCTTTGTTCCCTCTTGTCCTAAAGCTCCTTCTTTCCTCAATCTCAAAGCCACAACTCAACATACTATTGTGCGGACCATCTATCTTCATTGGACCTGTCACATAATTGGAACAAAGAGTACTGGTTTCAGAACGGATTCTGGATTTCTTGAATATCATCATATCTGTCTCTTCGCACGACAATGCCAGCCGATGCTTGCTGCTACGATGGAACTTCTTTCTCAATTCTTTTCATGCCATATTCATATCGTTTCAAGGAAAAGAGATGACCAAAAGAAAAGACAAAAAATGCTCATGGTGACATAAGAAATGCCTGCAACCTCTCCCTCAAGCTGTCGAGAAGAAGTGATAAGAAAGAAAAATACAAGGGACATGAACGGCATTAGCAAGAGAATTTGATAGGAGGGTTTCCAGGTCGAAGCGAGTGTGTAGGATGACTGAAGATGGCTAGCCGTCTCGAACGCAAAGGACTCTTAGGCTCGAATGGCTTCAACCTCGTAGGACGTTTTACTCCCACTCATCGGTACCATAGGAGCAGCCTTGCGGAGGTCCGGCTGCAGTGAAAAAGGAAAACGCTAAAAGTGACAGCAAAATAGATGGTGAGTTTCCTGGACACTGGAGGGTCCAAGATTCGGCCAATGGCACGAGGCTTTCCAGAAGAACAAGAGAACAAGTGAACAAGAGTTTTGGGATTACTCTTCCATTGTGCCAAAGACGCCATCGTCGGCTTCATCTGCTCTGCTGGTTTCGTCATCATCATCCGAGTACGACTCCTCTTCCATATCGACATCTTCGTGGAACTGATGAGCATTTGCCAAGGAGCTTGGCTGGTACGAGTTCTGGTATCTTGCAGGAAGAGGAGGCACCGGAGGCACATCCTTGCCCAAGCTGGTGGGACCATAAGTTGGGGTGCCATAGCTGCAGCTGAGTAGGCCGACTGCAGCAGCAAGGTCCGCTTGGTCCTCATCGGGATAGCTCTGGGCAAGAGAAGAGGCAGCAGTGATGGGCCTGCTGCTTGAAGTGCTCCAGTGACGGGCGTGCGATGATCCAGCAGGAGCTGAGAATTCAGACTGGTACGAGCGCGAAACAAGGCTGCTGGCGTTGCTGTAGCGCTTGTTGTGTCCGAAAGATTGCTCACCATGAGGAGGAGGCGTCGTCTCGGCCGAGCTGATGTCGTCTTCTCTAGAGTCAGAGCCCGAGGCAGCAGGCGAGGCAGACGAGTTGTCGCTGTCGCTGAGTTTGCTGTCTCCGGTGGTTGCATCTCCGTTCATGGCGACAAGGACTGAGGCAGCTTCTAACAATTGCACTTGCTGGTGCTTGGAGATGAGGAGTTTGGACGTGTACTGCCATTCCGGAGTGTGCTCCCAACTGTAGGATCAATTAGTACGGGGTATAAAATCTAGGTAAGTGCAATGGCTGAACTAACAGATGTTTCGTCAAACAACTGCTGTGCTTATAGCCCTTTCCGCAGGTTTCACACTTGAGCTCACCAGCAGCCGATTTCTTCTTTGTCAAGACGGAACCGTCGCTGCCACGACGAGCCTTGATCTTCTTGTCATCGGCAGGCTTGTCGCCCTGAGGCAAGCTGCTAGGGGGAGAAGGATAGCTAGCCTGGCCTAGGGAACCAAGAGCGCTGCGTGAGGAGATGGATTTACGGGCAGCGTTGGATTGATCGATATTGATGGCTTGGGAGATTGCTTGGGCACTGGTTGCGGCGCTCAGAGTGGTGCTCTTGCGGCGGGTAACACGGTGAGTGGGGTTATAGGAAGAGCCGAGCATCGAAGGCGTGTTGTGGGAACGGGAGTAGGAGTTGCGAGATGGCAGACTGCCAGAGACCGAGGCACGGTGCGGTGTGTCCTGTTGGGTTGCTTATCAGCTGGCGGCATGTCGGCGGTCGAGGGCAGCAGACATACCCTTGCGACAGTCATTGTGGAGTGAATTGCTGTATACTGTGGTATACTGCTTGAAGTAGGTGGTTGCTGCTCTCCCGAGACTTTTTTTTGGAGATTGTCGGTTGCACAGCCTCAACAACAAAGACGGACGATGGATCGGCAAGGCGGCAGGAATGGAGAGTCGGGTGGTGTGATTGCGAGAGCGGTAGAGGTCGGCGGGTAGTGGAAAGGTGCGTCGAGCGTGTAGAGGGTTCAATGGGATGAGTACGGTGATGCGTGAGTCTTGAGGTGTTGGAGAGAGTCAGAGTCAGGCGGAGGAAAGTGGCAGAGAAAGTGGTGGTAGCAACTGGTCAAGAGACCGAAGGTGCTAGCGGATCCCCCGCTTGAAGGGTGGAGCGACCGGCCAGCCCAATCACAGCTGCTCCTCCAAGAGACAAAGCCCCGAAACGTGCTTTCCTGATCTTATCTCACCACCAATTTGCTCCTTTTGTGCCTGTTTTCCCCTGTGCTTTTTCACTTCTTCTACCTTTGTTTTACAATACCCTTTTGCTCATTGTCCTGCTCCGATCCTGTCTCTCTAAACGCTTCACAAACAAAAACAACCACGCAGGGATTCGAGGCACGTAATGCGCACCCTCCTGTGGCCGTGTGGGACCTGCGGCTAGGAAACGCCTCGTTCATTGATTCCCGCTCCGCCTAGCAAATCTAAGGGCGCATGCCCTCCCTCCCTTTTCCCTACTCGAGTCCAGACACAACCAGTCTCATGATAACCCGAGTGTACAACTGTACTTGCCAACATAGCTCCCGTCCCTCAGCCACCGGGTCCCTTCATCTAGACAGCTGTTCTCCCTTTCACTCTGAGCTGTTGCTTTCCCACTTGTTCCCCGTGGCCGCTGAACGGCGAAGCCTCGTGAGTCGCCCATCGCGAAATCAGGCACAGCACATGTCTCCGATTGTCTTATCCTTCCCGCATCGGGCTTAGTCCATGTTAAATCACCACATCCGCTCTCCGAGACCCCACTCCCGAGAGCGTCATTCTTGTCCCGAGCCGATCTCTATCTATCATCAATTCGCAGCCTCATGGAGCACACGTTCTTGTTTGCTATCTCCTAGAGCTGTTCTCGAACTTAGTGAAAGTGTACAAAGGATTGGTGGGATGGGCGTACAGGGTCTGCGATATCGCACCCCTGTACCAACCATCGCGATCGAGAGATTCTTTGAAAACACTTGCCCCGAGCTCTCCGCCGACAATTCATCCATCAAACGCTCCCCATAAAGATAACATGGCACGGTGCACACACCACTCACGTCACTCTGAATCGCCGCGGCCGCGGATCCGTGATCGCTCTGTCTTTTTACGACTTATGGCATCTTTTCGTATGCTTCTCGCGATTTCGGGGCAGCACTCCGCGACTATCAAAGACTCGTTCGGTTCCCGGTCAAGTCAGCGTCAGAGCTACTACAGCTTACGTTACCACTTGCGATTCTGACGAGCGGGGTTTAACTTTGGCGATGAGGCTTCAGGATTCCACGGCGAAGCCGGCAGAAGCTAACGCTGATCGTACAAAGTTCCAGAGGCCAGATCGCATTATTCCACGGCATCATCCTCTTTTTTCAAATTAATACTCAGCTTGCCTTGCATGATGGCATCGCATATTGCTGAGACTAATAGAACAACGTAGGACGGCCCCGACCTTACTCCGAGTGTGTTTTGTTCATGGTCGCGGACGTTGAATTGTCTCGTCTAGCAGCCAGGAACACAAGGGGAATTGTTCCAGACACAGCCCCTGGTGCCTGGCCATACTATCCTCAGCTTGCACGTTTACTCGTGATAAACATCAATGGGAGACCGTGAAGGAGTCTCCAACTCGGTCTCTACAGCAAGGTGGGTTGCGACAATTTACTTTGAGAAATTTCTTGTCCTTTCGAAAATCCCTCCACAGGAAAATATATCTGTTGATCGTCAGGAGCTGATCCTACGATAAACGTCCACGATTGGCAGTTCGCAATCCTCCCTGCATAATGCGAACCCGATCGCCCATATTGTCAATTCAAATCCCTAATTGGATCTTGCCAAGGTGGTAAAGCTAAAAGCTGTGTATTGCGCAACTGAGCCACAGTTGCTTTGATCTGCTCCCGAGAGCCGTGGAGTTTGAAAGCTCAGAGAACGATTCCAACACACTTCTTTTACATGTCCTGATGATCGATACAAGACAGAGGTTTTGGTTCATGGGACCCCCATCTTCTATTGTCACAAGAAAGACCATAGAATGAGCAGACGCCGCGGCCCCATATATGCGCTGTGGTGTCGACAGAGTAAGTAGCTTTGCTGCATTTGGTCTCTTTTTACGTCCGTATACCAGAGCTTTTATTGCTTCGAGATCGCGTGACCGAGTGAAACCGCTATTGAAAGAAATAGTTCCGTCAACAATTCTCTGTGCCTTGATGGCACTTCAGCACTACATGCAATATGTCTAACCAGTCGTCGAGACCATGTCTGTACGGCCAACGCAGAAAGAGTTCTGGTTAGCAGAGTAGTTAGCAGCATCGCATCACTCCTGGCCCCTCTAGCCAGTCCCCAATTGAGACACCTGGTATGTTCAGGATATAATGGTTGTGTTAAGCCAGGGTGCTCCCGGTGACTAGAGTTTATGAGCCGTATGAAAAAACATCGCTAGACAATATATATGTGACGTCTTCATGCCCCACGAGCTCCTGCATATCATCCAAGCAAAAATCTACGCAGTATGTTATCAACGTGCAGCATTGACTGGGATGGTGCCTGAGTGAGTCGGTCACTGGTACGAGAGTCGAGAACCCATATACGTAGAACAGCATAGCAACGACCATGCGACCATTGTATAGGGAACAAAATTAGCTCAACACGGACTATTCCCGTCCACAAATTGTTCGTTGTTCTACATAAGGATATAGACGAGCTCCTCGTAGCACATATTCAGGCCGTATGGTGGAAGGACAGGTGTTGGACAAGCTGTAGGTAAATGTTGGCAGGTAAATACATACGTCATATTGGCGCGCGCAAAACGTGGACCAAAGTCTCTTTCGGCGACAACAACCATCCATCCTATACCATCTTCCTGCATACACTTCACACACGTCATGTCGACCCGGAATCGCTTCAAGGCAGAGGTCCCGGTATCCGCTTTGTCACAATCCTCATCACCCTCGTCGTCGTCGGGTCCGAACGGCAACATGAACAGCATGCAGAAAGCGCCATCGTCACCATGGTATCCCACCTTCCTTGAGGGCGTCTTGCTGGCCATCTACCCCTTCACTCTGATCCTTGGCTCCCTGTTCAGCGTCCTGAACAAGACCACGCGCAACACTCCCTACAGCGGCGACCTTCAGTCTCATCCTCCATCCATCGCTCCCTCGTACTTCGCTCTCAAGTCCAACGTCTTCAACGTCTATTTCGTAAAGATTGGCTGGGTTTGGATCACAGGCGCATTCTTCCTCTTCTGCTTCACACACAGCTCTCTTGGTCCTCGCTTCCAGCCCACTCTTACACACCGTCGCGTCCGCGCCATCATCCGCTACACTGCCGTGACCGCTGTCTGGTGTGCGGTTACCCAATGGTTCTTCGGTCCTCCCATCATCGACCGCGGTTTTAGGTTGACCGGCGGCCAATGCGAGATCATCTACAAGGACGATCCTGTCAACAACTACAAGCAGAACCAGATGAGCGATACCAGAGAAATCTTGACTCATGCTGCTTGCAAGATTGCCGGTGGTGCTTGGAGAGGCGGCCATGATATCAGTGGCCATGTCTTTATCCTCATTCTTGGTTCTGCTATGCTCTGGCTCGAGATTCTACCTGCCGTCCTCAAGAAAGGAGGCTTGCGCGAGGACCGTCGTATCCGCATGCATGATGGCGCTGTCAAGACCGCTGCCGTTGAGACACCTGACAACAAGGGCAATGTCAAGGTCCCGAATGAGTTGGGTCTAGGCGTTAGAGTTGCCTTGTGCATCGCAGGTCTGAGCTGGTGGATGTTGCTCATGACTGCTGCATACTTCCACACTTGGCTGGAAAAGTTCACTGGCTTCCTCGTCGCTTTCAGCGTCATTTATGCTGTGTACTTTGTTCCTCGAGGTGCACCTGCTGTCAGAAGCATTTTGGGAATGCCAGGTGTATAGAAGTACGCGGGACACAGCACAGTACCTGAACAATGAATACGTTTTCCCACGTTATGGCCCCTTGAGTTCATACCATGAGAAGAGAAGTCTCCTATCAATCTGTTTCCACGACCGTATGCTCCCCACAAATTATCCATACCATATTTCCACGTCTGAAGCAATCACACGACCTTCTGGGATGAGATGACATGCTAGGGCAAGCACCCCATCAGCATCAGGCTAATCGAGCTCACAATTAATGTAAAATATCTGGCAGAGAAACAACAACCCATGCGAAAAGCAAGCATAAGTTACCAACTCATGATCTTTTTCTTGTCCTGCTGATGAGAATTTCCCAAGGACAAAGATTTTGGGAGCTTCTTTCCTGATCGTCCACCCAAGCCTCAGATTATATGCTACACGACACATCATCTCTTAGCAAATGATCGCTGCTTGACATTGGCAAAGTCATCGTTCTCCCAAATGCCAAGCGTGGATATATAGAATCCTTCGAAAAAGTCCGAGCCGGCCAATCAGATTTCGCAAGGCCAACTTCTGAGCCTCAAAGCATGACCTCTATCCCTGCAACATGAACCATCTTTGAGACGAGCAGAGACGTAAAGATGAATGATAGGCAAGACTTAGTGGGCACAGCCATGTAGCGTCTGTTGCTTATAAACCTGGTAAATCTCCCTGCTTTTGAACACGCGATCAAATCTTTTCTACCTCCTGTTTCCTGCCATCAATACTTGTCTTGGATTACTTCCACTCGATCGAATATCAGATCTGATCCACATAAGGAATATGTACGGAGACAGTATATTTAGATACCGCGATGGTATCTGCGTTGCCCAAATCGTCACCTTCTCGATCTCCTTCATCTTTGCTGTTTCGTTTTATTGGACAAGAAGAATCGGCTGGTTCTGTATCGGTGTCTTCTCAATCATCCGCCTTGTTAGCGCAAGCTGCTACTTGGCCATTATGAAGAATGACTCGGATAGTCTTTGGGCTACTGTGTTTGTCTGCGAGTCGTTAGGCATCATGCTCATCATCTTTCTGTTTCTGGAGCTTCTGCGTCGAGTGTACGGTATACTTTACTGTCTACTGAGAGTTCGTGCTAATAGAAAGACAGAAACAAAGTTGTCGCTGTAGTGCACAAACGCTACTTTTATGCTCCGCAAGTGCTTACCTGGATCGATATCATCATCTCTATTGTTGGTTATATCGTCATCAAGAACAAAGATGACAATCAACTTGACCCTACGCCATATGATCAAGCCAGTAGAGCGATCATCACCATCATCTATGTCTACACTCTCTGGCCACTATGGGTCTTCTGGCGTTTTCAAGACATGTCTGCATACGCACTTCCGGAGCGAAGAGCTATTCGCTGTGTTGCATACTGCATCCCTCTAATGATTGTAAGATTGGTTTACTCGCTCATCTTTGAAGCTACTGGAAACAGAACCTTCAATTCTAGCAAGGGAAATCCAACGGCATATCTGACCATGACTTATCTGCCTGAGCTGGGTATTATTGCCATCTGTACTGCCACTATATTGGGCATCCCTCCGATCACCGAGGAGAGCAAGGAGGAAGTGGAAGCAAGGCCAGAGATGGAGGAAAGCAATGATGGAGAGATTGATGAAACGGCGAGTCACCATAACTTTGTGAAGACCCGCAATGCGAAGTAGATTGAGGAGCAAAAAGTTTTAAGGTCATCTTTTGTAGAATAGGTTTTGGGTCTCTATAGTGCGGTTTCTTCGAGACCATAGTGGATGTATACGACATGTAATGCTTCGCCCTGGCACGACCATGCAGAATCTCACGTCGTACAAGCCCTCACATGTCCCGTCAGGAATGCAGCAAGGTCATGGCCTCGCAATAGACTTTGATAGCTTCCCCTTCTTACTTTCTCTGTCTTATTCTTCGTCTCACATACGTCTTGGATATATCCATTCAGTCCACAATCTCAACAGCCCGCTACTAAAATGGTCCAAGTCCAAGGTAGGCATCACCGCTTTCTTTTGCCGGAGAGAAGGTTTACTAACCACTGAAACCTCAGGACAGAAACATCTTGACGAGATACTCAAGGCCAGACACCACGAGCGCCACCAAAGACGAGAAACTCTACAAGCCCAAATGGCCGAAAAAGAACTCGAGCTCAAGTTCCTCAAGCAACAACTAGCAGAAGTCGAAAACGACCCCAACACCCAAACCCTCGCCGCGAGACAAGCAGAACTCGTCAAAGATCGTACAGCATGGCTTTCTGACATTATCGCAAGCAATGACAGACTAGAGTGTTGCGATGGCCTTTGGCTTTCGGAGCAAGATAAAAAGCTCCTCGTCGAGATGAACAAAACCCTAGACAGGTTTGGACAACTTCGCGGGAGAAGTGTTGCATTGCAAGCACAGTATATGGCTCTTCGTGATGCACAATTGAAAGTCGGATTCTGTAAATTGGCAATTGAGACCTTAAAGCACCAGCTGAAAGGTTTGACTGAAGACTGCGGAGCTTTTCTAGGATAGAGTTGTTTGTAGAATCGCTATGCCATTCCTACTCCTTAGAAGCCCCTGATCGATTGATTGATTGATCGATTGATTGATTGATTGATTGAGGGAATGGTTATGCGGGCTCGACGACTTCTGCTTTCTGGATTTGGCTGACTTGTACACGGGTCTCTTACACAAGCCTTGCTCTCCTTTCATGAACTTCTGGCCTTGAAGTCGTGAAACTTTGATCGGAAAGAGAGGCATAAGACGACAGCCGAGAACCTGGTCGCTAGCTCACTGATGTGGTCAGTGAAACCAGTCGTACCCTAGCTTAAAGATAAGGCTCGGAGAGAAACGGTATGATATTGATGTCAAATGCCACGCCAAGCCACAAAGATATCTGTCCCTTGGGAAGTCGCAATGCAGACTTTTGTGAGCCACGAGCCTTGTGATCGACGCCGATTGAGAAGGAAAGCATCACGCGAAAGCTATTTCCTTATTCAGAAATATAATTCCCTGATGGCTCCTTCACCTTCTGCTAGGGAACGATGGGATCATGATCACTACGCGTGACATACAGTCAGTTCTGAAGAGTGAATTGATTTGAAGAGGCATAACTGGGTAGATATGGGGTAAGAAGACCCCTTGACAAGACTCGATGTGGATATCAACAAGACGAAACAGAAATCGAACGGCCCAGTGCCGTGATAGTCGGACAATAACGCCAGCAGGAAAGAAGAAAGAAACATGAAAATCATTCGAAGCATGGCCAAAGAGCTCTGTCGGTGGTCGGTCCCCTAGGTCTGAAACCAAAGACAGCAGAGGTCTGCCAGCATTCAAAATCTGCCCAACGTAATATGCCATATACCAGAAATAGCAACGAGGCAAACTAGCACGCGCAACCTTCCTTTGCGCCAGCTTCCCTGATACTGTTCAAGTTGACCCTTGACTCCTGGCCTTGAGCAGCGGCATCACCGGCACCGGCTCTGGCGCCGGCAGCGCCTCCTCTAGGACCCTTGAGACTTGTCTCAGGAATGGCGTTGGCGATAGCGGTAAAGACTTCGGTGACGTTGGTGCCATTCTTCGCAGAAGTCTCGAAGAACAGCAGGTTCTCCTCATCGGCATATGACTTTGCCTCGCGTGTGCTCACTTTCCTTGCATCTGCACCGTCTTCGTCCTCGCCAGCGGCAGCCTCGGCGGCGGTGTCCTCTTCAGCATCTTGTCCCTCCTCGCCGCACAGATCAAACTTGTTTCCGACCAGAGCGATAACAATGCCCGGTGAGGCCTGACGTTGCAGCTCGGCGACCCAGTGACGAGCCTTGACCAATGAGGAGGGCTTGGTAAGATCGTAGACGACAAGAGCAGCTTGTGCGTTGCGGTAGTACATAGGAGCGAGCGAGGCGAAGCGCTCCTGGCCTGCGGTATCCCAGATCTCGAACTTGATGGTGCGGGCGGGTAGCGAGATCTTCTTTGTGAGGAAGGCGGCGCCGATGGTGGGTTCCTTGTTGGGCTGGAAGTCATTGTTTACGAAGCGCAAGACCAGTGATGACTGAGAGAGGGATCAGTGAGTGTGGCTTGTAGGTTGGTGGTTTAGATGTGCGTACCTTTCCTACTGCAGCCTCTCCCAGCAGGACCAACTTGACGCTGCTGCTGGGTTTCGGTGTTGATGCGTCACTCATTGTGGTGTGTGTATAGAAAATCTGACAGATTTAGGGTATAGATGTGGGTGATCACTTCGATGTTGAAAGTAGACTCCTCTTGACAATGAATGATCAAAGGCGACGACGACATGGGCGGTTGCGCTCGCAGCTACCGACCATGACGGAAACCCTGCTTGGGCCAAGCCTGTTGCCAACAGATCGCGACGACGTTGGCAACTAGCAACTGGCAGCTACGGAGGAGTATACCCCTCGATCTTGCACACAGCGACCTGCATACTTATGAAAAGAAACTCCTTGATCCTCAGTCCCAAGCGTCAAGACTGCCGGTACGGTAGGTGCCTGATCGTCCTGCCAGATCAACGGCTTGCAGCAGCCGCCGCCTTCAACACTTCACTCCTCGCTGCATCGAGCCTCCTCCCAAGGCGACCCGCCTGCCCCAGGTGTTCTCACGCCCAGCGCCACCCTGAATTTCACCTCGGCTGACTGTAATAATGCTTGTTACCCGAAGGAAACAGAGTTCAAGCTCGTTCCACCCTCGCTGACTCCCTGGTCTGGCCATGTTTCTATCATTGCCTCCACATCAAGCCATCTACCTGAGTTCATAAGAGGACTCGGTTGTCAATCGGATTTTTGTTACCCTACGAACCGCTTGTGTCAGTACGCGGACACGGCTTACTACTAGCAGCCGAACTTTTTGAACCGCACGTCATGGGTGTTAATATAGAAGAAGCGGGAAAAGTTTCTGCGTGGAACACTGACGGAATATCAATGCTCAATATCCTTGACACTTGGCCTATTCCTGGTCCTTGGTAGTGATTGACCGAATGCGGGCCCTGCACCAATCCCTGTCGTTGCCTACAAGAAACCTGACTTTTGCATTGACAAATCTCTCCTAGACAGCAGGTCTCAATATCAGCGTCAAGGTTACGCTGATGGCACTCTTTGGGAACAATCGATCTGCATTACAGACATGAACCCACAGCAAACTCGCAAGACTGTCAGTCGGCGCAGAATTCGTCATGCAAGGATTGATTGTGTCTCTGTTTGTCATCTATCACAAGCCTCTCCGTCCCAGTCCTCTAGACACGGCTTGTCTCTTAGAGGCAGATCTTCCGTTGGAGCAACCATTTCAACCCGGTTTGCTGCAGAGTTGCACCAGAAGACAATCGTCTGCGAACTGCTGCATCGGATCCCGGCTCTACGTCGCACCACCTTTTGCCGGCTTGTTGCATGAAGAATGATGATGTACAGGTCGTTGAGACAATCAACCTCTGATTGATATGCACAGGGAATTGTATGTTTACCTCCTCTGGAAACTGTTCTTTGTTTCCTGCTTGTTTGGTGGCTTGCTAGGGTTGGCGAGAGTTTGTTTGCCAACCCTTCCCGTGCCGGTCCAGAAGATTGTTTTTCCGTTTCCTTTCAACATCAAACATGGCAATGTTTGCCTGTTGATGCTTCCGTTACAGGGAGTAAGTCAGATGATAGGATATGCTTACACCAAGGTAGGTTGAAGCAAGGTTGTGTGAGTAGGGCATAGTGGCAGTTCGATAAGCCGAGCAGCCGATTCTTCCAGAACCGTACGACGAAGAAAGCCTGCTGTCACAATCTTAATTTGCTTTGCCCGTGGCTTCGGACAGCGATGACAATTTCAATGACGATGACATGGGCCATGGAAGATCAGGGTCAATCCTTCGTCTTTGCTCACGAAGATAGTCCAGAAGCATGGTCCTCCTCGGAAAGAAGGAAAGAGGTTGGTCTGGGCAGCTCGAGGAATGAACAAAGAAAACGAGGGAAAGGGGGCAGAGCGTTCCCGTTTGAACACACAGAATGGAGGCAGAGTCAACACACTTGACGTGTCAAGGGTCGAGGCACAGGACTGATCTGACAGCATGCAGCGGGATGTGCAAGCTTGCATCCGTTTCGCCGCCTGTTCCGGAAGAATGGCACCTGCATGGACCCATACAGTTGGACAACCTCGGACGAGTAACCAGGGACGACGGCGAGTCATCGAGGCGCTGATAAACTCAGCTCCTCATTCAATCGTACGCAGGAACAAATTGGAGAAGCAAAGTTTATAACTCTGCTAAGCTCACGGTAAGACCGCTGTTCCGATGGCCCCGGAGATGAGGCGCTGGTTCTAGCGGCTTTCTAGTTTGATACCTCCCGCGAAGGCGCCTCGTGTTTTATGTCATGTCGGGTCTCTTGTAGTATATATCGGAGCTCGGGACCATCATCTGACGCTTAGTAGCGCCTGTTTGAAGCAAGAAGTGGGAGATTAGTCGATCGTGTTGGAACAGCAGCGGAATATGCATGTAGTGCTCTCACTTCTGTGGTGGATGTATGCAAGCCCAGAATGAGTCAAATTGAATCATATTTCATATAGCCAGTGTCTTTGACACCCGTCAGAAACACGAGACCAACGAAGGCGCATGCAGCGGTTGTGAGCTGTTAGCAGATGCGCGGAAACTTTGAGACGGGAGTGCCTGCATTAGAGGGCAATTGATTGACAGGGTTTAGCCTCGCACCCGGCGGGACGGAGAGAATGGTTTGGAAACCGATCTCCTCGACTGCCTGCTGCTGTTGGCGCTTGATCCTCTGGGCAAATCAGCCCCTGCCCTTCAAGTCGCCGCGCCGCTGCCGGGGGGCTGACTGTTGGTACCGTTGCCGGGCATGTCAATCAATCAAAGCTGTAGGATCGGCCGCCCTTGCTGCGCGCATCAAATCGGACTTGAAACAGCCAAACAGAAAAAGCTCAGGCGCACGGCTGCTCCGTCTGCGTCAGTCTGCGCTCGACAAAAAAAAAGTAATGGGTGCACGTCAATTCAATCTCCCTAGGCCTACCAAGCGAGACACCCAAGGGAAAGGGGGTTGCACCCAAAGAAAGCATGCGTGGTGACGCGAGTAGTTTGTAGATAGAGTCGAGATAGATATAACTCGTATCGCCTTCGCCCATGGATATGCCACCTTTTTTGTTCCCTTTATTTTCTCTTGTTCATCCTCGCATACCTTCCACTCCCTGCGCAAGGCGTATACATTTTTTATAATTCTTGGTTTCGGTTTCTTGGTGAGACCAGCATTCCACACACATTCTCTTGAAAGGAGTCCACTTGTATCAAAAAGACTCGATTCGCCCTCGCTACAAAGCTATATCCCGGCCGCCTTCCGTCAGACGCAGTCCTTTGGTTCTCGTGGTTTTCTTCACGAGGACGTTCGACTTGATTACCGTTACTCATCGTAAGCCTTGCCCTCCTTGCCCGACTGTATCACCCGGGCATGACAAATGTGACGAGATAAAATGGTATACTAATATTGAGATCTTCTACAGTTTGCACTGCACACTCGGTCCTTCTCTCCAAGAGCAGCCCATTTCCATATGATCAGAAGGAACAGCAACGCCGTCACAGTCAACATGGGCCGAGGAGCGTACGACACAACAGGCACTCTGAAGCCTGGCCAACCTCCGCCACCAAAGCCTCGGTAATCTTGTGATCCCGGCTCACACGAGAGGATCATGAGCTGTCGTTTCGTTCCTCTTACTCCCCTGCGGCCGGAAGAGGAAGGGAAGATACAGCAATCAAAGGAATCAGGCGCTGGCGTTGTTCTATACTTGCTTCCGCAAGGGTTAGTCTGCCTTAAGCTCTGGTCCGGCGCGGGACGGGCGGACTGTTTGAAGTGAACTTGCGCTAACCCGCACTCCCAGCCCTTGCCCTTCCTCTCTCTCTCGTTTCTCGAACACAACCATTGCTCAGGACTCTGCTGCTCTGGCAAAGCACAGAGCAGCCGGTCGTTTCCGCTTCTCATACACACCTGATTGTTCCACTTCTTCGTCTTTCGCTACCTGGTTTCTGGAGTTCTTTCGCATAATATACCCCATCTGACGGTTTCATCTCGGCATCAACGGCTTTTGTTTCATGATCAATCTTACACAATTCTTGGCTTTTCCAGCTCTTTCTCCACACATTCCGCCGAGGAACAACTTCCGCTTCTGGAAAACGACCAACACATCAAATCAAAAAAATCGATCCAAAAAAAGACTTGCTTCTCGTTCCAGCTCGCTCCTCGGCGTCACAAGGAGCGATCTGAATTGGCATTCTTTTGTTCTTTTTTCTCATCGGTCGACTGGCGTTATCTCCTTATCCTTCTTCCTTCGCGTGTTCACTGCATCATGCAATGCGGATAGAACGTTCTTACAGCATTTGCGTGCTTGGAAGGAAGGACTACAGGCTTTGTACAACTTTTACACTGGCGAACAGGAGGAAATGGGGCAACCCAATAAGTGGCGCTTTATCTCGGATCCTGTCTTCTTTCTCTTCTTTGCTATCTTTCCATGTACCAAAACCCCAGTTTGTCTTCGTTCTTAAGGTGTGGTTCCATTGCCAACAGCTATTCTTTTTTTTCCTTTTTCCTTCCTTCGTTACAAAGCTCCATCTAGATACCCCCCCTTTTTATCTCCTATACCATTAGCATGTTCCTTGCCCTTACAAATACTCGTTCTCGGAAAACTCGGGTGTGTTCGCTGCTCGATGAGGTGACTACTAATCGCTCCTGCATATGTCAAAACGTACATCGATCTTCCGATGATACGCCAGCCACACCAACAACGGTCTGACATATCTTCAGAGTAACCTGGTACTCGGTACGATTGACCTCAAGTCAGCCCTGAAGATAGCATATGTCGACCGGTTTTCCTTGCTGACGCCACTGAGGATGGCTTCTTTTCCCAACTCCTGCACGCGAAACGTCGTAGCATTGCATACGAAGCCTTGCTCGTATACGATTACCAGTGATCAACGTCCGACCCCTATACACGGGTCAACGAGTTTGCCTTATGCTGTTTTGTCTCTCAGGACTTGGGTTGCTCTGATCCCGCTTCCGATGAGATTTGAAACGTGACATGCTTCTAGGCGAACTTTTCTGACATGGGATTTTCTCGACCCCATGTTTCTTTACCCCGAACCCTTGACGAAGGCCTCAGGCTCAACAAGGTTGTTTCATGTTCTCAAGTGCCGATGACTGGGACATTCTTCTCCTCAAACAATTGCCGTGATCGACGAGCTTGATGGTCTGACAATGCAAAACCGCCATGGTGGTAGGTTGTACGCTTCTGTCTGATGTCCACAGCCACAATGATCGCTTGGAGCTGAGAACTCGGCTCGTGGCTCCTGACCTTGCAGCTGCTGTCTGTCTGCTATCGACAATGTCAAGGACATCCTCATAGAGAACCTAGCAAAGGTTATTCCAATGGCTAGACTCATATTCGAACTGCAACTGTGCATTTCGATAGTGTATGAATCCGTTGTACTCGCGACAGAGAGCGGCAAGATCGAGGCAATCTTGAACACATGGAGAGGTGCAATGAATGTCGAATCAAAAGTGCTATAAGCCATATCAAGAAAATGAAAAATACCAGCACAAAAGAGAGAACCAAGCAAATCAGAAAGGAATAATCTTCTACAGATCAAAAAGACAGATGCTCTCAGAGGAAGTTGCAAGGATCTCCTCACATCACAACTCTGATCTAAACCACGTAGACCCAAGCAACTCTCATCCTCGCATCTCTTTCAGTCTCAAACAAAACCTCTTCCTCGCACCACAGTACTTTCTCTTAACCCACTGGCACAGGCCCATCCAACTCGTACCTCGCGTCTCTTTCGACTCGGATTTCTTATGAGTTGTCCTTGTTACAATAGTAGGGATACTCGATGGCACAGCGACACTTGTTTTCGATCATGCAGGCGCGGTATTCCTTTTTGACGTCGGCGTCTGGGTCTCCCCATCTCGACGGTTTTCTAGAGTCACGTCAGCCATACTCAACTAGAAGGTTGCTCTCCGTGCTAAGAAAAATTACTTACTTGGCCTTCGCGTTGCATTTGAACGACTGCCAGGCCCCACAGTGTGGGTGCCATCTCTTGGTGAGATGTTCGGTGGTGAGGTTGTTGTGGGTGGGAGCGGGCTCGCAACCACTCTCTTCCATGCAGTTGTGGTAGATTTCGGTGATATTCGTGCCTGGGTTGGCGAATCTGATATCGCGTTAGCCAAAGTCGGACGGGATAGATTCCGTGCTGGACAAAGACACAAACTACTTACTCGGCCTGACTTTCGCACTGGAAATTCCTCAATCCGCAGTGATCCTGAGAATTTCTCTTCTCTTTGGTCTCGATGACTGGGGGTGGAGGCCAAATGGGGGAATAGCAACCCTCCTCTTTCATACACTTCTGGTAGCACCTTTCGGCTGTGTCCCAGCACAAGCTTTAGCAGCATCAGCATGACGGTCGGAAGATCGTTGTGTCGGCAAACACTTACGCTGACTTCCATGAGCATCTCGTATCGGCCTGCCTACATTTAAATGTTACCGGATGTTGTCTCTTGACAAGGCCTTCGGGTCCGGGCATGGGTTGGGAGATGTCGAGAGGGGCGGCGGCGACCCAAGAGGTGGCACCAAGGAAGGTGAGGAGAGTAGCGGTAAACTTCATCCTGCAGATGGGGTTATCGCTTTCTTGGGTAGTGGTGAGGCAAGATTACTTGTTGGTGGAAAGAAGACTGAAGAGGAGCAGAGGGTCAGCCGTTCTTATATACACTCCGAAGGGTGAATAACAAATGTGACTGTTCCCATGACCCCTCTAGGTAATGTCATAGTCTAGCAAGTCATTATGGTCTTGAAGGATCTCATGATGCGGATTTTTGAGTTGGGTGTGAGCAAGAAACCTTAAACTTGCTCAAGGCTATAGTTGCTTCAATGAATTCCAGCCGTCAATGTGTGCACGATGTCAGTCTGATTGGAAGTGGGCAGAATGAATGTATCGGTCTACACTGATCTCTGGTAGCAACTTCTGCTGTTCCTCCCAAGGTCTGATTTGTTATGTACTGACAAGGTTGGAGGTTGCTGAATCTCTCCTGATTGCTCTGATGGTCAATTGCGAGCTATCATAGCTCTTTCCCTGAGCTTGTCTTTTCGAAACATTGCTTTGAATATGACCGTGATAACTTACGTCCCGACCATCAGACTTAGGGGGGGTATTCTGCGTATTAAAGACGAACGTCTAAGCTGATATCGTTCTGTCTCAAAGTGATACGGTGCGTCTTTGGATGTCCATGCAGAGAGTACATTTCAAGAGAACATCCTTGTCCGAGATGGCGAGCTCCAAGAATTCGGCTAAGACCGTCTTTAACGCGTTTGGGAAAAGAATCAACTACGTCGAAATCCTGGATGAGAGCCATAAAATTCTTGCTTTTCATGACAGTAATCAAAAAGGCCTTCAGGCAGAGAAGACCAGTGTAGGAAATGATTCCCTTGCTTGTAATGATTGTAAAATTTTGACTCTGGCCATAGAAAGCGAGCCATGTCTGGGCCGAAAGATATGTAGTAATCTATCCAACAAAAGAACGCCTGATATAAAGAACCCCGAACCTGTTTTGCGCAACAAAAACTCCACGCTTTGACTTTTGTGTAGCCCATTCTTGAAATCCTTGCCTGTTCGAGATATCTAATCATCGAACTTGATACCCTTAGGTGTCTGGTCGATTATGCCACCTCTGTAGCTACCACGCTTGCCCTTGTTCTTGGCCTTGGTGAAGGCCTTGCCCTTAGTAACGATCAAAGCCTCGTGGGCCCTCTGAGCGTAGTCGTAGGGCACAAAGGCGTTACTCGCGAGGCGAGGATCGACGTATTGGTCCTTGGGGATGCGGCTGAAAGGTACATTTTCCTTCTTTGCACGCTTGAGGTTTTCCTCGGTGGCAGGAACGGCGACTTGTTGTTCAGCCTCACTGAAGGCGCCTCCGAGCTTGCGCTTGCGGCTGGGGTGCATGTGCTGGTCGGCATCGTTGGTTGCAGCAGCGGCACCTTCAGCTTGACCAAGAGCTGAGCTTGCAGGGACCATAATAGTGTCGATGGGAGCGGGAGCATCGGCGAGAGTAACGCTTGAAGCAGCAGAATCGGATGAAGGCTCGGTCTTTTCCACGGGCTTCCTGTCCTTCTTCTCCTTCTTTGCAGCTTTCTCAGCCTTGGCAGGCTTTGTAGTCTTCTTGGTCTTCTTGGGTTCGCTCTCAGACTCTGAGTCGCTGTCTGAGGACTCGCTTTCGGATGAGGATGACGATGAGCTGTCAGAGTCAGAGTCACTAGAGCTATCTGAGTCGGAGTCGGATGATGATGAGGACGAGGATGACGAGGACGAGGAGGAGGACGATGAGGAGTCGGAATCAGAGTCTGAGTCTGAATCGGAGGAGTCGCTGTCGCTAGAGTCGGAAGAGTCGCTGCTGTCGTCGCTCTCCGATGAAGACGAGGCAGAGGAAGAGTCAGAAGTGTCGGCCTTCTTCTCGGTCTTGGTCTTCTTTGCGGTCTTCTTCACGGGCGTCTTCTCAGCTTCACTCTCAGAGTCGGAGTCGGAGTCAGAATCAGAAGATTCACTGTCGCTGCTGTCACTGGCGTCGGAAGAGTCATCGGCGGTAGCGACGGCGGTTTCCTTAGGACGGGCGTCGAAGAGAGCAGTCAACGTAGTCTTGCCGTCGTTGGTCAGGGCGATGTTCTGGTCCTTTGCTTGCTTGGTGAGAGCCTTAGCGGCCTTGTCGAAACCATTGCTGGCGAGGAAATCGTTGACAAGAGCAAGGAGCTCGGGGGATGGAGCTGCTGAGGACATGGCGTAAGAGTTTCGTGTTGAGAGTGAATAGGAAAGAAGGCGTCGCAAAAAGGCAGTCGCAATACAGGAAAAAAAGTCGAAGGTTCGGTAGACGCACCTGCTCGGTCCGCGCTGCCGACGGCGATTAGGGCAGGGTCGCGATAAGACAGACGGGATTGCCAAGACTTGCAGTCCGGCAGAAGTGGAAGGAGCGTGGAGCAGGAGGGCAGCAGCTTTGCGGCTTGGAGGTAGGTTGGTTAGTGTGAGGGTGCTTGCTGTGCTTGCTGCGTCGGAAGTCGAACGGCTGCCAGCAATCTATCCGTCATCTTTCCTACGCGTCTCCAAACTCCCAGCCACAATTTCTGCTTGGCCTCTCTGCTGTCTGTCAGCTTCGGTGATCCTGGCCGACCTCCAGATGCAGTGCAATCGCAGAACCAAGTAGTCACGTCGACAGCATGAATGGCTCGCAGTCGCGCAACCCGTCCGACTCGGCCATGCATGACGCTCGAGGCAGGAAGCCCTCGCTGCCACAAGGCCAACCGACTGCCACCAACACAATGACCCGTGCCGAGCGCTTCGAGGATGAGAAACGACGCATGGTTGAGAGCTGCTTCTCCAAGCTCGACCAGAATGGACAGTGCAAGTCGCATCGCTTCACCCAGCTGCCCTGCCCCGCTAACACTGCCAAATAGTGGCCGAGTCGTACATTACCCACATTCGCATAACTGAAGATGCCGCCCATCCCTCGACCCCTCCTCCGCCGACCTCTTCTCCTGACAACAAGAAGCCTCGCGTCATCGTCGTCGCTGTCCGTAGCACTGGCCGTGTTCGTATGCACAAGGCGCGTGAGAACAACAACGGCTCCTTCTCCATTGGCAAAACCTGGAATCTCGAGGATCTGTCTGCCATTGAGTCTTTCGCTCACCCTGATCCCAATGCTCCTCCACCTAAGCAGAACCATTACCAATGGGCCAGTAACGTAGGCTTCGTCGTCACCATCTCGAAACCCTACTACTGGCAGGCTGCCACGTCCAAAGAGAAGGATTTCTTCGTTGCTAGTCTGGTCAAGATCTACCGCAAATACACAAAAGGCCAAGTTCCTGATCTTCGTGGCTTTGATCCTCGTGATGTAGAACAGATGCTAGGTCTGGCACCTGGCCAACAACAAGCACCGCGGAGTTCGCCTGCTGTCCAGGATCGACAGGCTCCTCAAAACAACCCTCCTCCTCCTCGTCCGCCTTTTGCCGAACAGCATCGTCCCTCGTCTCAGGACTCACGTCAACGCTTCCGACCTGAAAATGGAGAGCCTCTTCCGCCGGGAGGTTTGCAACCCCAGTCTCGGCCTCCACAGGACAGGGGTTTGCGACAACAGCCTAGCCGAGAGCGCATGCAAAAGCCCAGTCGTGAACCCATGCGTGCTCCGAGTCGTGAGCCCATGCGTGCCCCAAGCCGTGAGCCTGGTCGTGCTCAAAGTCGCGAGCCTACGCAAAGAGGTGCTGCTCCTCCACCACTGAACAATGGTCCACCTCCCGGTGCTCGATCTCGTCTGACTCCCAAGTCTTCGAGGGCCGAGTTGCAGCATCCACCCGTGTCTGAATCGCCCAATGCCTCCTTTGCATCATCGATCAGATCAAACCCTAACATCTCCGATCAACCTTCAGCGCACTTGAATCAGCCAAATGAACAACCTGGAAAGTTAGCACCGGCTCGTGCCGAAGGGCGCCAGCAGAGTTATCAAAGCGTACGGAGCGAGCGAAGCATTCAAAGTCAGCGTAGCCATGAGTCTACGGAAGGAGCTCCGACTGAAGTTAGTATGTTCACATCAACTCTGAATCAGTGGAAGCCTCCTTCGCGCGAAGTCTCGCCGATGAGACAACCCTCTCCTAGGAAACCTTATCCTACTACTGTTGATCCTACCGAGCCTCGGCCCTCAGTATTCGAAACCCTGAAGAACCAGCGGCAACCAGGTGCTGCAAGCCAACGGGAGAGAGAACCATCAATCACTCCTCCTGACCAGTCTTCTAATGATATCCAAGTTCCCCCTGAGCGAAAACGGCCGTTCATGGCAGGTCGGAACTACAGCGCAGGACCAAGCGAGAATGATCTAGACTCAGAGGCATTACGCCCGCCTCCACTTTCGACTAGCAGAAATGTTTCCGGTGCTAGCACAAACATCAGCACCGTTGCTACAGTCGGTCGTCCTTCAAGTCCTCGTGGCCTAGGGATCGAAAAGTTCTTGCCCCCACAATCCACTTCTGATAACATACCTGGTGCTTTCTACGATACGCCAACAGCCTCGAGTGCTGACGTGTCATCCCAAGCTCTGCCGCCACAGCCAGAGACCAGAGAGCCAGAACCTGTACAGGCCCCAACTCTGCCGTCCATACAACCAGAGGAGATACCGCCTCCGGTACCCGAATCCAGAGATGTTTTGTCAGATGAGGAAGAGCATCGCCCCGGACTCGGACCCATGATCAAGAAGAAGACCGGCCCCAAACTCGCAGACGCCCTTCGAAAAGCTGCAGTCGCCCAGGGTGCATTCAAGCCTCGTGCTGGCGGTGCTGCTGAGCGAATGAGAGCCATGGCAGAGGCTGCTACGAAGGGACAAGGACCTGACGGTATCACTGGCGTCGTTCCGGCTCCTCTGCGAAAGATGAGCGTGGATACCGGTAAATCAGAGCTGCCAGTATCTCCTGTGAAGCCCGAATTTCCTCCGTCTGTGGCTGAAGTTGCGCCTGAATCAGAGGCCCAAGGTGCAGATACCGAGATCTTACCTAAGGTTGCAAATGAAAACGAGCAAACTCATAAACCTGTCGATGGAGCCGCTGTAGAAGGCTACTTCCCACAACCCGAACCAGAGCAACAGCCAAAACAACCCGAAGTACCAGTGGTGGCTCCAGAGCCCAGACGACCAAAACGTAGATCAGCGCAGCAAGAGAACCATCTTCGTTCACTCAACATCGACCCAAGGTTGCTTGACGGCAGAGGCATCCAATTCGAGTCCATCCTCTCTGATTTCGGTTGGGGTTCTGGCCTGTTGAAAGGAAGGCAACTAGAAGATCTGGAGGCCGATCTCAAGCGCGAGTTAGGCCGTGTTGAGGCTGGCAGCTGGCTGGGTCATCTTGAACAGAAAGACGATCGAGTTGATGTCGTCGACCAAATGCTTGACCGAGCAATTGCAGAATGTGATGAACTTGACGGGCTTCTCACCATCTACTCTGCGGAACTGAGCACTCTCAATGATGATATTGCTTTCATCGAGGCGCAATCGCAGGGTCTTCAAGTACAAACCGCTAACCAGAAGATTCTACACACTGAGCTGCAGAAGTTGGTCGACACTATCTCCATCTCACCACGTCAACTAGAGCCATTGCGACACGGAGATTTCGGCAATCCAGAAGCTCTTATGTCAGTGGAGTCATCACTGCTTCTTCTTTACAAGGCTATGGCTACTATCGACCCTTCTGTGCGTTCAACAAATGCTATGAGACCTGCAACTGGCCTTGATGCCAGCGACGTTGGTACTATGAATGCTCTGCAGGAGAAGCGTAACGCATACATGCGCGAGAGTGCTGAATTCTGTCAACGCCTGATGCGCTACTTGGATAATACTTTCGCGTCAGCACTTGCGGCTGCCAAACCCGTGCTCATGCAACATCCTGGTGGTATCGGAAATGCCGCAATGAAACTCAACGGCCCAGGGTTCAATTTGGCTCGTGCCAATCTTTGGCAGTTCAGCCCATTGCTGCTCTTCACTAAGGAGACCAATATGGCTGCATGGCAAAGCACTCTCCGCATGTATCATACCAAGGCTCGTCCTCTGTACAGTGATGTCTTCCGAGACAATACCAACAACTGGAAAAGGGGTGCTCGCACGGCTGGTGGCGAAGCGACTGAGCTGCTCTTCACCTCGGTCGAGAAGGAAACTTCGGAAGGTCTTACCAGTACTGCTCGTAAACTAACAGTGAAGCGATCGCAAACATTGGCTAAATCTTTCCGATCAGCTGGTGCTGGTGGCGATAAGCCGACAACTATTGACAGAGCGCAACCTGGACGTATGGCTCCATTCGAGGTTTTCAATGGGGTGCTTGAAGAACAAATTCCACTAATCTCCATGGAGCAAAACTTCCTTGTTGATCTCTTCCACGCCACCAGTCTCGAGAACATTGACTTTGCAGATGCAGTGGTGGCTAATGTCCCCGAAGCACGCGTGGGCACTGATCTCACTAGCAGACGTCTGATGGAACCTGACCGAGCTATGGCACGACGTGTAGCTGATGTCATGGAAGAAACATTCGGATTCTGGAAAGACGAATTAAGAACCCTCATGGAATGGGCAAACGCTGGCGACCCTATCCAGGGTGTCGGTGTCCTCACTGTTCTGGCTTTGCACATATACCGCTTGCAAGAAACATCGCAAGAGTTCTTGCTTCACAACCTCAATGAGGTTTCCTCACGCTTGCAGACGCTCTTTCAGAAGTTCGTCGATGAACAGATTCACGCCATTGAAGATACAAAGGTCAAGATTAAGAAGCGCAAGGGTGTCATTGCTTTCATGAAAATCTTCCCCTTGTTCTCGAACGCTGTTGAAGGTACATACCTCTCGGCTGCAAGAGAGTATGATGGTCATGCAGCGGTTCTCGGTGCTCGCCAACTTATTGATGACGCATACATTCGCATTAATAGAGCTATGTGGGATTCTCTCAAGGTCATTGCTAGAGAATCGCCGACTGCTACCGGTGCTGCTGCATCTGCTACAACGGCACATGGCCTCGAATACGAAGACAAGGAGATCTTGAACTACCACATTCTCTTGATCGAGAACATGAACCACTACATTGAGGAGGTAGATGATGGTGGCAAGGAAGGCTCGATACTCGCCGAGTGGAAAGCAAAGGCCCTGATGGACCGCGCTGAACATATGGAAGAATATGTCGGCCGTGTCGTCCGAAGGCCGCTGGGCAAGATCATTGTAAGTCTCTTTTCTAAGCTCATGTCTAAGCATAGCAGATATACTAATAATCGTCTTTCAGGACTTTATCGAAGGTGCAGAAGGCTTGTTAAACCAAAATATGTCTGGCCCGAATATCGCAGCCCGACCACTCTACTCACGCCACAACACCAAAAAGTTGCTCGCTTCACACGACGGCAAGAGCATACGCAGCGGCATCGACACGCTGCGCAAACGCATCGAAAAGCACTTTGGTGATGCAGACGAAGAACAACTGTCACGACAAATGGTTTCTATGGTGTGCAAGGAGTGCGAGCGCCGCTATGATAATGTTCTTGATAGGCTGCAGAAGTGTTGCAATGTATTGTACAAAGAGGACGAGAAGGGCGTGACGATTGATTGGAGCAAAGAAGATACGAAAGAAGGCTTCAAAAGGATTTGAGAGGTCAAGTCAAATGACAAAGGATGAAATTTTTGTTCCATGATTTGCATTGGGATGGATTGTTGTTTGTGTCGTTGGGTGGGCATGCATGTTTCTGTATACCTGAGCAAATGCAAGAATTACTACCTGCCTTTTTTTGAGCTTTCGCTATGGGTGACTGCCTTGAAATGTGTTCTCGGGCCGCTCTTCCCCTCATGATTTATCTTCATCAAGCTTTGCTTCTATATGACCGGCAGGCTCGAGCCTGTTCGCGTACTTCCCAGGACTTGTAGACCGACAAATGCCAAGAATACTTCTACAACACCAAAAGAAGCGGTCAAACCTTTGAACGGTCAAAGGGTCTGAGCATTGACATTCTCGATGATCATCTTGTCGAGGGTGTATCAAGAAATGCCTCGAGTCAGAGGAGGTCCGGGCATTCACATGCACAGAAATGGCAAGGACTGCCGGACGGACAGGAGGGACAAGAAAAATTACAGGTCGACCGTTTACATGTCTGGTGATTGGAGTGTTGATCATGATCAGCAGGAGCAGGAGAGGTGATCATATGATGAGCAGAGAAAGAGGGTCTTGGAGATTGCTTTGAGCATCAGGATAGGTAGGTTGCTTGGGCATGACCCACTGGCTAGATAAGGGTGGCTGTCTACTAGTAACCTATAGTAAAGGAGTGACTGGAAACTGTTCTCTATACTATAGCACAGGAAAAAGTTGAACGGGAAATGGGAGCATATGCACAGAGAATTGTGTGTTTATTGTGTGTGTATTGTGTGTGTATTGTGTTATAGAAGGAGGTTTAGCTTAGTTCCTCATCTGATATTGGTATATGCAAACATGATAGAACTCGAAGATGCTAGCGAGTGTATGCTATTTATGCGATCGAGACCATGCCGACCCAGGAACTCTATAGAGTGTATGATAAGAACAAAAGAACAAAAGTTTTAAGATCTACGCAACTTCCCTCAATGGAAGAGAAGGCGGATCGAAATATGGTATCTCGGAAAATGTTTTATGCAACAGTGAAGAAAAAAAGAAAAATCAGGATATATGCTGAGACGCCGGACGCTGTGCAAGATTTGAACAAAAGGAATCGTTGATGTTTTTGTTGGCAAGCCATGGAGGAAGCTCATCGGGTGATATTCTCCATGGCGCGATCCAGATCCGTGCTGCGGCGGACTTCTTGCTCGATGAGCTTGTCGACAAGATCAGAGTGCTGTGCCGAGAGTTGCGCCGCAGCTTCTTGTGCAGCGGCGGCGTGAGCAGCGGCAGACGATACGTGGGCACCTGCCAGCAAGTAACTGTCCTGGCCTTCCAACTCAAGCGGCGTTACAGGACCAGGACTGCCTAGTGGGGCAAGGCGGGGGCTCAATGGCTTCTCAAAGCGAGCTGATTGCGGTCTTCCAGAACTTGCATTTGCAGCGGCGGTGACGGCAGCCTGAGCAGCCAAAATCTCTCGTTGATAGAGGTAGAGTTGTTTTTGAGCCTCAGAGTAGAGCCTTTGCTGAGCCTTTGGGCTGACTGGAGGATTGGATGGCGAAGTCGGACCGGTACCGGGGGTGTTTGCAATGGATGATGATTGTGATGAAGGGAAGTTTGCTGGGTGGAAGCGGGGCAGACCAGGCAACTTGAGAGTGTTGGCAGTGGCGGCGTTGCGATGGCGCATCTGAGAGCTCGTAGCAGCAGAGCGAGGGTGAAGACCGCGAGGTGATGGAGGCTGCAATTCGTAGCGTGGCGTCGTCTCAAAGCGGGGCGACATGGGCGACGATGGCCTCAGAGCAGGTGAGCCGCGAGGAGAAGGCATGGTGGGCAGGCAGCAGGCGTCTTGGTTGACAGATAAAGGTGAAGGATGCTGGGGATGTTGGAGCATCATTTGAAACCTGGGCAAATTTGGAAGGCGACAGGCGGTCTTGTCGAATCCAGATCAATTCATTCAACCGCTAAAGATTCTTCAGGCAAGCGTGGTGGTGCGTGGTGCGAGGCAAGCACGAGCAACGTTGATTTTGTCGTCCGGGTTAAGAGCAGAAAGAGCGAGTATGGCCCGACTTTCTTCAGGGTTGGCCTCTTCCTTTAAATTCGTTTATTGCGGAGGAGATGGAGAGGGGGGCTTGGTGCTTAATCGAAAGTGAGACGCCTTTTTTTATGATACAGACTCCCAAAACACGGGCTTGGGGCACCGACAGTGGGTCCTGCCATGGCATTATTATATCGACCTGTCGTCGATACGCGATCGAAAATGAGGGCCTGAACCACCGACCAAGACTTCCCCTCACCTAGCACCAACCTGCGTCATGCATCAAGCACGCACGCTCAGGCCGGCAACAGGTACTCGTGCCCGGCACGGCTAGTCCTATCCATTGGCCTCTGATCAAAGCACGCCATGTCAAGGTTTCAAACGACCCAAACCCTCTGTTTCTCTGCGCGCCTTGTCATCTTGTCGCAGCTTTGTGTGAATCAAACCTTTTCCAAACCCTTGACTTCCCATTCGCATCCAAAGCACTCCAGAGGCTCAAGCCGAAGCTAAAATTCCACACACGACATAGCCGTTTGGCTCCACGTGCAACGTCGTGTCAGATTGGACGTAGAAGAAAAGGATAACTGTGCAATCTTGCTCATAAGACTATTTCCGGGCGTGATAACTTATTCCGAGCATATCCAGGCAGGATGCTGTACTTTGCAATAATGTCGTCGTCTTCATGATCCCCTCGCTTCCAATGCTCGCTTTATCAGCCTAGCTGCACGCTGTCGCCAAACTCACATGAGAGCCGGTCCTGCTTGCACGTCAAGCATGACGGTTATCGGCACTTCCCTGCAGAGATAGCAGCGTCATACCTTCGTCCTTCGCCCAACTCTACGCATGACTCTTGTTCCTGACGGTATCTTCCAATCTCCGAGTGGCTGAGATTGCGGAAAGCACACCTGCAGCGGTTTGTCAAGCCAAGTCCTGTGCCAATTGCGTTTTGTCACATCACCGTGAGCGAAGACAAATCAAAGTGGAGAGGTCAAGAGAGCCCCTCTTGCTCACGCAGCACGCTGCCGGACCTGCGTCCCGTGGCGTGTGGCTGGCTTCGCTTTCCCTTCTTTTTGGCCTCTCAGCCGCTTCTTGGAACTTCTTGTCTTGCTCACGTGAGATGTGCAACAGTTTCCTTCACTTGGCTATTTCTGTTTATCAAGCTGTCATGGATAGGTAGGCGAGGAGGCCAATCCGCGGGAAAGTCACGGGAAAGGAACGACTCTGATCTTTTCCTTTCTCTGGTCAAGGGATCCTTCTGCTTTGCTACGGAAACCCATCGCACTATCGCAGAGTAGATAGCCCCGTCGCGATGATCTCTTGCTGTGTTTTGCATCCCGCACTCATCCGCCTTTTTCAAGGTCGCTTAACTCCTCCCTAGACACAGAAGGAAGGAGAAGGTTGGCCAAGCTACAATAGCAAAATCTGCATGCTGGAAGCCCGCGCGATCGTTCACGGCTGAGAGAGACACGTTTCTTCGTCGTGGGACGACTTGCTCCCAAACGTAGTGGAGCACGACAAAGATCGACCTGCTGATGTTACCGTGTTGCTATCTCTTCCACGTCTCTGTCTTGCTGCGGCATCGCGGAAAAAGAGGCAAGTAGACACGACAAGACGTAGGAATCGAAGGTAAGTCGATGCGCAGCGACCTCCACATCAAAAACCATATCTCTCGTCGTCCCATCACAACAACAATGCTTTCTACCGAGTTCTATGCTGTGCACCTGTTATCCCTCTTTGCTTTGCTGTCGTGCCATGCTGGCTGTGCTTTTCGCTACAATTTTCCCCCGACGCTGCAAAGCCCATCGGCGATTTCATAGTTTGCTTACGAGATATACGAACTCGAGTCTTGCTTGCGTATTGTACTCGTCCTTCCGCGGTTCCTTTCGGAGCAGCAAAAGGGCATGCTTAGGCGAATTGAGGAGGTGTTGCATAGAAAGTCAATTGGGTTTATGTACCTAGGCAACGACTTGACGACCTTGGTATTCTTGCAACTTGATGCAGATCATACAACGAGGTCTCAAGCACTAATTTCGTCCAAAACTGGTCACAATCAAACCGTTCTTCTTCTGTCGTACTTGGCGCTCGAGGACATAGGGTCAAGAGCACGAGAGTACGAGAACACATTGCAGGACGGACCCGGTGGTGAAATTGCATCAGGGTCGTGAGAAACGGACATTGTCTGACATGTGATACCATGATGGTAAACGGTTGGTCAAAGTAGCATGAGGAGCTATGCATTGTGGTAGGTCTTCTATGCATGAGCACGAATTAGGATAGAAATCGTATAAACAAGTAGGCGGGGCAAGTAGATGAGAGTGAAGCTAGTTAGGACGGGTGCCCTAATCCAGTCAGCCTATTGGGGCATTCGAGTCTTTCGTACTACATGTTGACTGGTCCTGCCAACACATGAGCTCTACGCTTCTCTTCAATCAAGTGCTGATCTTAGTTCTTCAGTCACTTTCGCATCTTGAGCATTCAATGGGGACACGCTTCTTGATGACCAACGTGGCAAGGAAGTGATAACATGAACGCAGGACGATAAATTTACATTTTGTTCAGAGCAAAGAAGCGAAGTGACTGGTTTACAATTGATGCTAGTCGAGCTTCGATGTTCGCAAAAAAAGAAAAGGACCCCCTCGGATGTAATCTGTACGTTTACTCCTCGTCGTCGGCGTGCTCCAGGCGACCCTGCTTGGAGTTGAGGTACTCGTTGCTGGAGAATACGTTAGCCTCAAGATCCAGTTTTGAGCGGTCCAGAAGATGCGCTGGCTAGATTGACAGCCGGGAGAACAGATTAGGTAAAGCGAAACTACGGGAAGAGGTTTTTCGACCGCATTCAGCTTCCCACATCTGTCTCTTGCTGTCGTGTCTTCGGCCGTGGGACAATAGAACCGGGTACTGCTTACTTCTCGGTGGCCCAGTTCATGAGCTCGTATCCGACGAGCAGAGGGACAGCCCAGTAGAGGATTTGGCCCTTGGTTCTGCGGTAGGTGTTGAAGATGGCGGCGTGTGCGGTACCAGCGAGAGCACGCTGACGGTTCTGGGCCATGGCGTAGGTAATGATACCACGCTGCGGCGGGGAGCCTGATCGAAAGAGGATTGGTTAGTGTTCGTTCGGTGTGCGAGGCTAGAAGATGGCAGTGGTTGAGGGTCAGGGCGAAAGCGTCAATGGCGATTGCGGGTCGAACATCGATCGGGCGGCGTGTGAATTGGAAACTGAAGTCAGGAAAAAGGCATACCAAGGCTACCCCACCATCCCATGTACCTGAGAGCGTGTCAGTGATGCGCAATGTGGTATTGAGGGTCGTTGATGCGCCGGAGGTTGCGGGCGCTCAAGGACGCTCGTGGGTGTGCAGCGACTCACTGGCCAGGCTTCTTTTCTCCGCCACCACCCATTGTGATAGTCTATGTGTTGATTAAAAGGGAAAGAGAGGGGAAAGACGTGTGGAACAGGATCCGGATTGCTGTCGTCTTGATGGAGGCAGGATCGAAGTTCGCCATGGCCGTGGTCAGCAACGCCGCTCGGGCCTCGCAGCCGCCAAGAGTCGGAAGAAGCAGCGACTGGGCCGACATGCGCAAAGCGTCACCATCTTGAAGCTCTCTACAGCTACGCGCCACTGCACAATCCACCACGACAACCATGGCCGCCAACGCTCTCGGTGCTATCTACAAGTGGGCTGTGCCCGCTGCTCTCGGTCTGTCGCTCGCAAATGCTTCCATGTACGATGTCAAGGGCGGTACTCGCGCCGTCATCTTCGACCGTCTGTCCGGTGTCAAGGAAGGCGTTATGAGCGAGGGAACCCACTTCCTGATTCCCTGGTTGCAAAAGAGCATCATCTACGACGTCCGCACAAAGCCTCGCAACATCTCAACCACCACTGGTTCCAAGGATCTGCAGATGGTCAGCTTGACTCTCAGAGTCCTGCACCGTCCCGAAGTCAAGGCTCTTCCCAAGATCTACCAGGTTCGTTCGCCTTACTACTGCATATCAGTCGCATAAGCTCATGTTACATTTTCAGAACCTCGGTCAAGATTACGATGAGCGTGTCCTTCCCTCGATCGGAAACGAAGTCCTCAAGGCCATCGTCGCCCAGTTTGATGCTGCCGAACTCATCACTCAGCGTGAGGCCGTTTCCAACCGCATCCGTACCGACCTGCTCCGCCGCGCATCCGAGTTCAACATTGCCCTGGAGGATGTTTCCATTACCCACATGACTTTCGGCAAGGAGTTCACCAAGGCCGTCGAGGAGAAGCAGATCGCACAGCAGGAAGCCGAGCGTGCACGCTTCATTGTCGAGAAGGCCGAGCAAGAGCGCCAGGCCAACGTTATCCGCGCAGAGGGTGAAGCCGAGTCAGCCGATGTCATTTCCAAGGCTGTGGCGAAGGCTGGTGATGGCCTCGTCCAGATCAGAAGAATCGAGACACAGAAGGAGATTGCCCAGATGATGGCCAACAACCCCAACGTCACCTACTTGCCTGGTGGCAGCAACGGCAATGGTCAAAACGGTGGTCAGGGCGGCAACTTTTTGCTCGGTCTGAGATCGTAAAAAAGATGAAAGTGTAAAATCTATTATACCTTGGGCTTGTTATTACCACGGCGTTCGATGCGGCATGGCAGGCATATGGGCATGAGCAAAACTACTACCTCTTCTCTTATCTTCTTGTATACATATCTACGTACGCACGACCAGCGCTTCTCTTTGCTTCAAACATGCCAGTACACTGAAACGCCATCGCTAATGAAACACGTCAAAACGGAACAAGACATCATTCCCCGTCCCAGCGAAGCGTTTCGGTATAGAAACGCACCAAGGCTTCATAACCCAACTGATCACCCTGGCGTAATAATTGTGCTGCGTCAATATTCAAGGGACTGTCGGGCTCGGCAGAGGTCAGGAGCTGCTGCACGGCCTCCAGAGTCTGTTTGACAGAATAGACAGGACTCCAGCTAGACTTGAGCAGATCCAGACATATCTCTCCAGTCTTGAAATGCACATTCGGATGACAGATGGGAGTGACAAATGTGATGGTAGGAGGTTTGTTGGGATATGTGTCAGGGATCACAATGTTGAGTTTCCAGAGGCCGTCTATGAGTTAAGTCAGGGGGTGGACAAGATGGGTGATAGGGATGGTTGGTGGATTACTTTGGTATGCAGTGCCTGAGACGCCTTTGAGTACAGCCGTCCAGTGGGTCAGCTCTTCGTCGTTGATGGGCCCGAGTTGAAGCAGTGCATCACTAGGGTCTTTCTCATATGATCGCAACTCATGCAGTAGCCTCTTGGTGACTTGTTTCGAAGCCATTTGATAGTCTTTCTGTGTGGATATAAAGACACCTTGATGCTTGTGGATTGTCCCTCGGTCCATTATGAAGGTGGAAGATGTGGGGATGAGCTTGACGTCGATTATGCTTGGCATAACATTTGTCTGCGAGATGGGAATTTCTTCGTCTAGTCGCATTCTGTTTAACTCCAGCATTCGAACCGGTACAATGACGGTTCCTTCGGCAGACGTCTCTATCCTCCACAGAGCAGATGGCTCTGCAAAATACTCGGCGGCAGGATACACGGTGGTGGCGGCCGTCAATGGTCCCATCGAAGTAACACGCCGTGATGAGCTGCCCCAGCATGCTGCTCTGGAAGTCAATGTGCGCCCCGCTGTCGGTGTAGGCAGTGAGTATCAGCCTCTCGAACTCTTGCGATAGTCCAGGTCTAATCTCGCATCTGCAGGCCCCAAAGAACGTCATCTCGAATCGCTCATTCACTCGACACTACGCGACATTGTCTTGACCCACATGCACCCTCGCACCTTGATTCAGTTGACTCTGCAAATCGTCAACACTCCCGAGCAAGAGAACACTCTTCCTGCTTCTTTCGTGCGTCCCACTCACACAAGCAATTACTGTAAACTGCAACAAGACTGACGTAAATTTAGGCCCTCTCACCTCTTCCAGCTCTCCTTAACGCCTCTATGCTCTCTCTGCTCAGCGCAAGTATTCCCATGAGCAGCACCTTCACCTCGACACTCATGGCTGTTTCATCCTCTGGCGACTTGTCCATCAACCCTGCTCCCAAGGTCTTGCTTACCGCCTCTTCTGCACACGTATTCGCTTTTTCATCAACTGGAAACCTCGTTCTGGATCTCAGTGAAGGAGAGTTTGACATGGATACCTGGGAGAAGGCACATGACAAAGCAAAGGAGGAATGCTGCAAGGAGCAGCTGTCGGAAGATGCTATGGAGGAGGGAAAGCCCAGCTTGCAGGCCTTCATGGAAAGAGTCGTCGAGGCCAGTGTCGACAAGCAGAGAGCCTGGAAGAACGGCTAGATGCTGCTATTTGAGATCAACTCGGAATCAGCCTGAACTACACAGAGACTGCGAAAGCCGAACATGGAGCACAGAAGGCAAATGTCGTTCGAGACAGGCTTGCATGAGGCTTGTCGACTGGCATTATCACAAGCTTTCTACGGCTGGTCAACAACATCCCGCGACACGCCATAAGAGAAACCCTGCCGCTACTCACGATGAAACGAACACTGTCAACGACGGCATAGATCTCATTCCTATGCCATACTCAAGATACGGCATCGTCAAACTCCTCGCTTCGGCATCTGGCATCATGCGATCAAGCAGTAAAGGAATCAAGGGCGCAACAGCTGCAGAGACGATGGTGAAGTTTTGATCTAGTACTGGCCACTCTTTGGTCCTAGGGGAAGCAGACCCATTGCAGCTTGTACAGAGGCTCTCAATAGCCCCTCGTCCTACAATACAAATCACCATAACCTCTCTTATTTACCTTGAACCGTCGCGAAACAATTGCGACGGAAAAAAAAATAATAATTGACCACCCTCATATTCGAACCCCCGTCCCTTTGCCCTCTTCCCCATCTCTCCCAAAAAGGAAACATCTTTGGAAGGAAAAAAAACAAAAAGAAGGCTTGATGAATCAAACGTTCAAGTGTGTTCCAAAGATTTGAGTAGGCACTGTCTTTGCTCTCCATCCCTGTTTGAATTGGTAAAAGGCAAATTCGAAGTCAGAAATAATGGAAGAGCAGTGCTAACTAGAGCAGGATTTGGATCAAATATATAGCTTTGACAAAAGGCTTGGCAGTGGCTGTGGGGCAGGAGAGACCCTGGCCCAATATTTCCATCACCTATCGCTTATTAAAATTGGCGATGAGGGCGTACGGAGCTGGTTCCAGTGATTGAGAGTTGTAACTAACTTTCGAATTGATGTCTCGTGCTCTTGGATTTTGATGGATAGGACTTCCAAATGGGCGCGACTATCAACCTTGCAACCTCTTCTCCCAAGTCTTTCTCAACTCTTCCATTTCCCTCCAAACCCTTTGCCCAAGTACCTCAAACTCCTCTCTCGACTCTTTGGTCAAATCCTTTTGACCTCTCCATCTATTCGCACTCAATCTCATCTTTCCATCTGCTTGTTCTCCTACCTTGCCTCCCCATCCCCATCCACCGACTTCTGTCCGCACAACGCGTTCGTTGCCAAATACATCTGTCGAGCTTGCCCATTTGGCTTTTCCCTCTGTAGATTCTTGTTGCGCCAGAGATGAAAAGGGAGCTAGAGAGAGCCAAACGCTGGATACGGCACCGAGATACGAGGATACAGGGTGCCAGGGCGAACCTAACCAGCGAGCGACGTATTGAGCAAATAACATGGCGTACCACAGCACCAGCGGCAAGTCTGCGATACTGGTTGCGCAAACACCTGGGTGAGCGAGGTACATGATCGGTTTCTTGTGCTTGTCATCGCCCTTTTCCTGAAGGAATGTGCTTGTCGAGGATGCAGTGGATGGTAGCTCGGAAGTCAGGACCAGAAGATCAGTAAGACGTTTTGAAGACTCGTAAGCTGCGTCTGAGGTCAACGCTTGCAAGTCTTCAGGATTGAAGGCATGAGCATAGGCCTCAATACTCGAGATCCAGATAATGCGACCAGGTTCTTGAGACTCAGTTCCCTTCATCAAAGGTGCAAGTGCATGAGCAAGCAAGTAATGACCAAACACATTTGCCGTGAACACTTCTCCCAGCTGTTGATCCTTCTCTTCATTGCCTTGGACTGCGACAGATCCTACGAAGCCTAGTTTGTAGGTTGGATATGTGCAAGAATGTTTCCAATCTGTCATCATGGACCAAACGGCACTGGGCCAGTTCAATCCTTTCCACCCACCAATGCCTGCATTGCACACCAGCACATCAATGCGATTGCCTGCTTGTACCAATTTCTCTCCAAGCTCTTTGACGCTGCGCAAGTTACACAAGTCCACTTGCTCGCCAGAGATCCTGATTCGCGGCGCGAGTACCTTGCTGATTCCCGGAGTCGACTTGTCGGCCTTCTGCAGTGTCTTTTGGAGATGCGCGGACAGTCGTGTTTGAGTATCTTTGTTTTTCGAGGACGACCGCGTGGTTATGATGAGGTGGAGTGTCTGGGTCTGAGGTCGCGAGTGCAGGAATTCATCAATGAGGCGGCAGCAGGTCGAGAAGCCTAGCCCACTGTCCACATTTCACATGTTAGGATCGCTTCTTCTTGCAAGATTGATTCATGACTTTACCTGTTTGCGCCTGTAACCAGTACAGTATAGACCGACTGTTGCTCGTTGTCCAGGTTATCCATGTTTATTTTGGTTGCAAGGAACCACTTTCCTGTTGTGTGGAGAAAGGTGAGATGAAGCTTTGAGAGGAAATGATACAGGACTTTGGTGGAGCTCTTTTGAACTATATCTCCGTCTCCAATCTAATTTTATCGTACCATGTTCATGCACTCTTCTCACCTTGATTCAGTCGACGCCATACTCCTGCAATATCTCTCCTTCAATTTGTAGTTTCGATCGAACCCTTCCCGGGTGGCACGGCATCGATATTGCATCGCTTCGGCATCGCTCCACATGCAAAGTTATGCTGTCATTGTGCTAAACATCAAGGTGTTGTTTTGTATCACGACAAGGAGAGAGATGGAAATGAAGAAGAATTTCGATTCTCAAACGGAGAAGAAACAAGTATAGGTGAACGCTATGAACACAACCATCCAGGGCAGGATCACTTGATTATCTCCCACTCCAAGCACCAGCGCCTGGCATAGTCACAAAAACAGAAGAAAGGATCCCCCATCCGAAACGCCGTCGCCCTCATGAACCACGCCGATTCCCAGATTAAAACTTAGTATGAACAAGAAATTGACGTCCAGCGTTCGTGAATATCGATGGCCATGACAACCATCAAAGTGAATTCTTGCATAGCAGTTTAGATCTCCATGGCATCAGCCGGGCCCTCACTAGAGCCACGGTGCATGCGACGGGGGTCCCAGCCAGAAGCATCGTTTGTGTCAACAGTGCCGTCGGCCCAGGCGTAGTAACCGTCCTCGAGCTTGTCGCGCACATCGTCGAGATCGTTTCTGTATTCGCCTTCGTTGCTGTCGTTGTCGATACTCATTGAGTCTTCGTATTCAAGATCGTCGTCTTCTCTCCAGTTGTCAACATCATTGTCATCGACGCTGTGACCAAGCCAGTACTGGGCTCTCTTTCCAGCTCCCTCTCCAACACCGGGGTTGGTGATTGGCACGGTACGTGTGTGCATGCCATTGGCGGGTGAGTGCGACAAGACACTGAACGCGCGGAAGTTGAGATAACAAACTCTCTTCTTCTCCTTGTTGAAGAAGAAGTAGTGTTGACTCCACAATGCACTTTCAGCCTCGAAAGGATCGTCCTCGGGGTCCCATGTGTACTTCTCACAGGCCTTGAGATCCATCTCCTTGTCGATCAACTTCCACATGTAATCGCCCCACACAAACTCGGCGTTCGGTGATGTGATGCCTTGTGGTGAACCTGCACTCAACGAAGACTTGGCGTGAGGTGACAGAAGAGTAGACATACGACGAGGACGCATGTTGATAAGAGTACTATCCACACTTCTCCTGATTGATGTACCCGTCGTCTTACGGAAGTCGGTAGGTCGTAGGATGTGCGAAAAGTCGTAGTCGGGGTGTGAGGCGTTGAGAGTTGCGATCAGGTATGCGAACGTTCGTCTTGCGCTGATCTGATTGAAGGAACCGAAAGGGCTATCGCGAGAAAGATCGATCTCTGGCATGTGAACTGACGGCTTGCGCTCTTTCTTTCTGCTGTCGACTGGAAGCGATGGAGGTGATAGTGATGCAGCCAAGCGCAACAGGTTTCCATGCTCCTTCTCGAGTGAATTCTCAATGTTCTTGTACAGTTTCTTGTCGCTGCCGGCAGCTTTGGTTGTGTAGAGGTCGCAGCCGCCAATGACATGCAAGTCGGTGGTCGAGAAGTTCAAGGCATCTGTGACTATCTGGAAGTCGCGTAGAGGAACGTACTAGGAGTCCGTTAGCAGTGTTCAAACATCGCCCAAGGAGCACCTTTCCAGCAAATGATGATCGCCAAAATTGCGAGTGCATAGGCAGAGTAAAGGTGTTGAGCGCGTCGCGTCTATTATGAGCTTACCTTCATGTTGCAGGTCGATGCGCCGTTGTCGGGCAGATGGAAGAGCGAAGAGATAAGGATATGCGAAAGTACGCAGTAGTTGAAAGTCGTCCAGATGTTTGCTGGACGAGTGAAGGATGTTTGTTCGGTGAGTCAAGCAGACGCGCGAGGCAATGCGACGGTTGGCGATAGTGCGCAAGGAGAGACCGAGTGGTTGCTGATAAGCGGTCAATCGGTGTCGCACACTGTCGCAATGTTGAGAATAATAATGGGCCGAATAACAAGTCGCTGGTGGATGAAAGGAAGCAAGAATGGGTCGCGATAGCTGAGCGGTGCTACGAGCCGACGTTGGATCGCGAGAGTCGCTCTACGCCGGTTGCGGGCTGCCCTCTCCTCGGCGGTTTGGGGAATCGTGGTGACGTGATGCGCGGTTGGCTTCGAGCCAATCAAAGCCCGGACCTCAAACATCTGACTGGCAACACAACTGTCGCAATTGATGCATCGACCAACGTGTTGAGAACGTGCTGTAGAGTCGAATTTCGTTTTGTTGTTGTTTTGGATGTCGAGAAGGAACCCCATGAGTCGAGACAGAACCTAGAGAGAGACAAAGGTCAATGTACCGTGAGGACTTGTCAGCAACAAGACACTCATCGTCATATCAGACATGACAACAAGACCATGAGAACAGAAAGAAGAGAGAGACAGTCGCATGAACAAGAGCAAGAGCAACAGAGTCACACCAAGAGCCTGAGCCAAAATGGGCATCATTGGATAGTCATTATAATTGAGCAGCAGGTCTAAGACCCGGAAGCCCTGCCTAAGGCGAGGGACACTCATTTGAATTGCTAGTATTGCACAAGTTGTGGTATCGTTGTCCAAACGTAAATCACAAAACCACCTGTAACTCCTGTAATCCGATGTAACGCCATAAAATGCTGCGAGTGCTGTAGTATTGTCGACAGGGCCGTATTGTTGAAAGACTGCCTCTACATGATGCGCGTGACTGATTCGTCTTCAACCTGTAACGAGTGTGAGTATATGTTGGCAGATGCCATGTGGACGAAAGTGGTGCAGGGTGTGTGAGACGAAACGTGAAGCGACAGCAGTGTGCGGCGAGAGATGTGCGTACCTCCATGTCCTCCAGACTGTCTTGTTGGCCAATACACCTGAGTACGTTCTTCTTACTACTCTCTTGCATCTCTCCGGCTAGCAGTAGCTCGTCGAGGATGAAGTATGCTTTTTGGAAGTTGAAGATGATGTCAAGCTCGCAGACATTGCCGTAGTACTTGTCCATCTGCTCGACATAGCGGTGGACAATCTCTAGTGTGATGAGCTCGTTGTCGTCGGAGGCGCAACCGGCGATGAAGAAGAGGGAAGCGTAGCGGCGGTAGACAACTTTTGAATCTTGACATAATCCGTCAGCTTGTGGATTGGTGCGTGGGTGGGGGACATGATGCGACCGACCTTTGTACTCGAGGAAGTTGCACATGCGCGTGCGACGGGCGAGAACTAGCTGCGATACATCCTTGATGATCTTTGCCTTGTCCTTGGGCGACAGTGTGGTGAACCACTTTGCGAGGCGCTGTGTTGGCTGTGTTAGCTCCTGCTTGTTGCAAGCACGCCAGCTGCGGCACTCACGACTTTGCCCTGCCTTGACAGGAGAATCAGATATCTGGCGAGCGCATTAGCATGGCAAAATACTGTCAGCTACAAGGAGCTACATACTTGATGGCCATTGTTGCGGTTGGAGGTGGAGGGTAGCTTGCTTGGCTGCGAAATAATGTCGCTCCTGAGTAATAACAGCCAGCCTGTCACACACAAGACAGTCGGTCGCAGACGCACTCAATCAGCCTCAGCCGGGAGCTCCAGACTTTGTCCCTCGCGACTGCCTGCCTTTCTGGCTTTCGGCCAACCTCGGCGATAGCACTTGCCTAACATCATGCCCGAATCATACATGGCATCCCACCATCCTCGACTTTTCCTCTCCATGTGTCTACACCCACTCACGCGATATCTCTTTGCTCTCTAGTTGCCCGACAGTCGCACTCTCATTGCACCCTACTGTTTTTTGCTTTTCGTACATTTCTTGCATTTTCAAAGCGTCGTGATCCTTTCCTACTTTTTTCCGCTTAGAAATCCTCCTCAACCATCATGACGGCCGAAACCATTATTCTATCCACTGGGTACTGCTCGTCATGTCGCGTTATAGCAGCTTGTGCTTATCTCTCTTAGCAATACCATGCTTCAACAAGGCGTGGGTGCCGCCGATAATTCCCATACCGAACTCACTTGGAGTCTACGCGACAACTTCGAAGGCTCAAAGAACGAGGCCAAAGAGCTGTCTCAAGAGAAGGCTGAATCTATCGATTGGATCTCATACTCGAACGATGCCAAGACCATGTACATCCCACGCCTCGACTTCACCAACAGCTCCCTACATGAAGAGCGCGAACAATATGATATAACTGCAAAGGTCTTCTTCCTCTCCGATGAGGACACTTCTGCAAGAGAGGAGCATCTTCGCCAAGCTGTCGATCTGGTTCAGAAAGAGTTGCACATGCCCAACGTCGATCTCTTGATTGTTTCCTTCCCTGGAGTCTACTTTGACGAGGAGAGCGAATGCTGTCCAGACAAGATCAAGAGCAGAGGAACAAAGGAATCTTCTCCCGAGCCAGTCGACGATCAATTGGAGACCTGGAAACTGGTCGAGAAGCTGCACAAAGATGGATTGGTACGAAGACTTGGTGTCTCCGAATTTGGCGCGAACCGCTTGCAACCCTTCCTCGACAAGGCAAGTGTCAAGCCCTCGGTCAACCAGATCAGCTTGCGCGACTGCTGCAGTGTACCCCAGCCCCTGTCCAGTCTCGCTAAGAGCAAAAACGTCGAGTTGTATGTCAACAATGACTCGGTCAACATCATGCCTCGTGGCACAATCAGGGGTCTACTCGATAACGAAGGTGCTGGTGTCCTATCGCAAGCCTCGGAGAAGGTTGGTGAGAAGAGAAAGAGACAAGAGAATGGTCAAAAGATGGAAGGCCAGGTTATCCCTCAATGGGTCATCAAATACACTGCAGTCGTGAAGAACCGAGGCGTGGTCGAGAATAAGGGCTATTTCGCATGCGCAAAGTATGTCGAAGTTGATGAGAAAGCCTCTACCAACGGACATGCCAACTAGGACAAGGCATCACCACGACCCTCAAAACTCAAACCTCTTATGGTTGCATGGACTCTCTGAGCGCTCCCGACTGTCATGAAGCACGAAGAGCGGACATCGAAGCAGCTCAAGACAGACCTGGGCGACAGTATGCCCCATCGAGCCGATGCATCTCGTCAAGACACGCTGCTGCTGTCCGGCGAGCTGTGTACTAGCTTCTGGTCCCTGCTAGGTCAGTATTCACGCATGCCAGCCTGCCAACATGATTGGCGCACATGCCCTTCGCAGTTACTTTTGGAAAAGAGCTGCTTACTGCTGGATTGGTAACGATTAATGCCTTGCTATCAAATATTGAACGCAGCCATGTGTGGAAAAGTATCTCTTTTTGGACTCTGTTTTGTTTCTTTTCTTACCTGGACTCTTTTTGTCTATTGTCTCTTCGTCAAGCATGACGACCTCCTGTATCAAATCTGAGGAACTAGGACATACCTTCATAGAGCATATAAAATTTCAGTATCTCATGACACACACAATTGCCGGCATCGGCCTTTATTATACCGAACAGCCTCTCCGGCAAAATCACCGATATCACGGAGTACTGTACATGCTTCGGATGACGACCGGATGTCGAAGATGCACCCACAATCACCTTCCGGCAGAATGCTGCGGAAATTCCGAGATGGGCAACGCGGAAGGTGGGCGAGGCGGGATGGTCGGGGAGAAGACCGGTGGGGTATATAGCGGGGCAATGACCTGGTATCCTCAGAACATTTAGCAGCAGAACAATTCTGTATTATTCGGAAACTCCTTTACCTCTGAGGCTCGATATTCTCTATTACTTAAGGACACGAGCTCCAATCTTTACCATAACAACTAGCCAGCTACAATCACAACCATGGTTCTCCAAAAACTAACCAACAACCCCGCCGTACGCATGCTCAATGCAGCAGCTCAAGGCAAATACGGTGTCCTCGGTGTAGTATCCTACAACCTCGAAACCATCATCGGTGCCATTCGCGCAGCCGAGGCCAAGAAGGCACCTCTCCAAATCCTCCTCTTCCCTTGGGCTCTCCACTACTCACCATCTTTCGTTTCTGCCGCCGCCGAAGCCTGTGCCGCCGCCTCAGTCCCCGTAACTCTTCACATGGACCACGCCCAAGACCCTGAAGTCATCAAACGGGCCGCAGAGCTCAAGAAGCACGACGGCACACCCATGTTCGACTCAATCATGGTAGACATGTCACACTACGAAAAAGAGGAGAACCTAGCAAAGACTACAGAGCTTGTCAAGTTGTGCCATTCCAAGGGCATTGCCACCGAAGCCGAGCCTGGCAGAATCGAAGGTGGTGAAGATGGTGTCAAGGATACTGCAGAGTTGGAAGGTATGATGACTACTGCTGAAGAGGTTGATGATTTTATCGCTACGGGGATTGATTTCTTGGCTCCGGCGTTTGGAAATGTGCATGGTGATTACCATGGTGTGGAGAATATTCATCTGGACTATGAGCGGTAAGTTCCATCTTCTTCTGTGTTTGACTATCCACAGTTTTGCTAACGATAATATTCAGTCTCGAGTCCATCCAAAAGAAGGTCGATGGCAGAGTGCAGATTGTGTTGCACGGTACAAACGAGTTCATCCCTGAGATCTTGAGCAAGTGTATCGAGAGGGGTGTCACTCGTGTCAATGTCAACAAGATGGTCTTGTCTGACTACTTTGCCTACACAGCCGAGAAGACTGGCAAGGTGCCGTTGACTGAGCAGCTCGAGACTGGCACAGACTTGATCAAGAAGCAATGCGAGTACTGGATTGATAACATGGGCTGCGCTGGCAAGGCTGGCACATACTAGGCACCTGAACACTGCAAGTGCGGGAAAAGTAATCGGAAGGAAGTTTGGACATGCTCTATTTGAGTCAAATAAAACATTCTATGTCTATCTCTGTGTTCTATCGTTCATTACCTCCTGCCTAGGTCTTAGTATCCACTAACGGCCTTCGGCATATAAAGCCCATCCAACTCAGCAATCTCCTCCTCGCTCAACACCGTCTTAGAATTCTCCACAGCCTCATCAATCCTCTCCTTACTACTCAATCCCAAAATCGGAATATCGCCTTTGGCTATACTCCACCCAACCGCCACCGCAGCCATAGAGATGCCTTTTCTCTTTGCAATCTCCTCAACCTTGTTGACAATCTTTTCGTCGGTTTCGTTTTCCTTGCCGCGGATGAGCGCCTTGAGAGTGTTGTCGGAGGCTTCGCGGGTGGTGGAGCGAGAGGACCAGGGGCGGGCGAGGACGCCGCGGGCCATGGGGGACCAAGGAATCAAACCTACGCCGGTGTGTTTGCAGTAGGGGATCATTTCGCGCTCTTCCTCGCGGTAGAGGAGGTTGTGGTAGTTTTGCATGCTGATGAATTTGTGCCAGTTGTGGGTTTCGGCAATGTTCTGTTTATGCTCTGTTAGCAATCTTTGTTCTTCTCCTTTCTGTTTTGGGCAAGGGAGGGACTTTACCTGCAGTTCTTGGAACTCCCAAGCTGCCATTGAAGAGGCACCGATATAGCGGACCCATCCCTTTTCAACGACATCGTTCAATGCCCGCATAATTTCCTTCTTCGGGGCTCCTCTGTCCAATCTGTGAATCTGTAGTCTGTTTCCTGAGTGTCAGCAATGCTTCTCTTCTGTTACAACCATCCTGGAAAAACACAAAACTTACACATCGATATAAGTACCCAGTCTCTTGACACTAGCTTCCACAGCATCAAAGATATGCTTTCTGGAAAGTCCAACTCTGTTCACCAAGTCGCCATCATTGTTCATCATCTCTGGAATCTTGGGCTGATGGACGGAGTTATCGTCATCAGTAACGCCAAAGTAGCATTTGGACAATAGCACAAGGCGGGAGCGAGGGATATTGTACTTGGTGATCGCAGCACCGATAATCTCTTCACTGCGTCCATTGCTGTAAACATCTGCTGTATCCCACGCTGTAATGCCGCTGTCGTAGGCATGCTTGAGCAGAGGCCTATATGGGAGGAGTTAGAACCACTTTTTGGTAAGGAAATGTGATGTGGTAAAGACTTACAATGCTTGCTCCTCATCCAAAACCCAATCCTGCCATTTGGAAGAGCCGTAAGACATTGCTCCGAGAATAATCTGGGAGACTTTGAGTCCTGATTGTCCCAAGCTAGATGGGTTTCGATGTAAATATCTGGTTGGCGTTTTGTAGCAAAAGGTGGACTACGTACTACTGGTACTTGATCTTGGACTCTTGAGGTTTGGCGTAAGCTGCTAGTTCCTTCATCTTGTCGATTGGTTATCCAAAGGCAAAAGAGAAAAACCAAAGTGGCAGAGACATGCCAGCGAGTTTGTTTTATGTTGACCATGGAGCTATGATGCTATGTCCGAGCAGCCGGTGAACCCGGCACATAGCTCCGTAATGGAGTGGACACAACTGACTCATCACGAATTTGGGAAAAAAGGGTTCGTTTAGCAAGGTGATTGATATTTCGTCGTTGATTATTTGTTGCCTCGCGTGATTCGCGTCCAACCTGTACAGCTTCTTCCCAAAAGTTTCTCCCTCCAGTACCATACTGTATCGTGATATTCCGTACTGGGCTTTCCAATGCCTACTCCGAATTACTCCTCACAGACCCAATTGTGTTTGAATGCACTTATGCCTGCTTTGTGGTGAAAGCAGCCAGACGCTTCTTCAGTCTGGACTCGTCCTCAGAAGACTCGACAACTTCGAGCTTGCCGTTCTCGACGTGGTAAATAACACCGTGCAACTGCAGGTTGCGCTCGGCCATGGCGTCGATGACGGTGGGGTTCATTCTGAGAACCTCCAGACCGCGCAAGATGTTGTACTGACTGAGTCTGTGGGTCTTCTCACCCTGGGACTGCATGTTCTCCAACTCTTCTGTGTGGTCCATTCTCAGCTGGCGCATGGGCTGCAGCCAAATGTCGAGCAGACCAAGTCTGTTGTTTGCAAGAGCGGCGTTGACACCACCACAGCTGGTGTGGCCACAGACAAGAATGTGCTCGACCTTGAGGTGTGCAACGGCGAACTCAATGACGGACAGCGAGTTGATGTCGGTGGGTTGGATGATGTTGGCAATGTTGCGGTGGACAAAGACCTCACCAGGCTTCAGGCCCAGAATGGTCGACTCTGGGATACGGGAGTCGGCACAACCGATCCAGAGAATCTTGGGAGACTGGCCCTTTGCCGACTTGGGGAAGAAGTCAGGGTCGGACTGCTCCATGCCGGAGCTCCATTGCTCAACGCGCTCGGCGAGGGTGTGGGCGAAGCCGCCTGTTGAGAGAGATGGTCAGCATTGGGTGCTCGCTGGTATGCTAGAGTCATGTGGGCAATGATACGGTATTCGTCGTCATTCTCTGAGTTTTGACAGAGCGAGCGTGGTGATGAGTGGAAGAAGCGATTGGGAGTAGGCTTGAAGGCACGCAATGGCCTGGCTGAGCGCGAAGCACGCACAGCGAGTTGAACAAGAGGCCGCATGTTGTTGGGTGTGATGGAAAGAAGGCAAGAAGTTGGGAGGTTGGAGGGAAAGCAAAGATGGCTCTTTTGACTCACGTACCCTTGGGACCGGTCTGCTGCTCTGACATGGTGTCGAAAGTTGGTGGTTTTTGGTCGGGAGAAAGGGGAAACAGAACCGCGTGTCGTTTGGCTATCGATTAGTGACTGACGACAAGTGATGGCCGTTTGTCGACTGCAAGGTGTGCTGGGGGATTTATCAAATACTGGAAGCTCTGGCTCTGGCTCTCCTCTCGGCTTGCGAGCTGTTGGGAAGCTGCATCGTCTTCCCCGAACGCACCGACGAATACCGTTGCCGGCGCTTTGCTGGCCAAACTTTGCCAAATGACGATTCGTCAAGCCAAAGAGTAAATGTCTCGGATATAAGCCTTGCTCGATGCCAGACTCTTCTCTGATAAGACCCGCAGCAACCATATCGAGTTGCAGACCGCCTTGCAGCTCAACACAGCGCCTCCGTGCCTCTCGAGCCGCTCGTCCGACCTGACGCTGACCACAGCACTCCCAGACTGATTTTATAGACGGCCAAAGCCCATCTGCATTTCAATGCATGGCACTGACTGCTTAACCGAAGCTCTGGTAACAACGCACGCTGTGCATTGCTGCATTGCAGCCCGCCTAACCGTCACGACCACGACACGTACGGGGGGATGGTGGGGTCAGACCCAAAAGGTGGGTGAAGCTGGAGTGCATTCGCTTTGTGACTGCCGCAGCTCTTTTATACTTGCTCCTTTTGACTTTGTGTTTCGCGCCTACGTAAACAATCAAACAGATCCCTGCACGAAAAACAATCACCTGATGTTTGCATCTCATGAACCCCGACTTTCTCACGAGCATCGAGCGGGCTAGGGTCACAACGTGTGGAACAGCAGCTAATCCTTATCACTCTATCGAACGCAAGACGAGGTGGACTTTGTTGATACAGTCATGTCAAGATGTATATGCTCGCAATCCTAAAGTACACCATTCACCAGGAAAGATGTAGAAACCAATCAAGGCCATCAAGGTATGCATGAGTTGAGATAGAACAACACGGCCAACTATTGTAGGCCAAAATACTGCCATGACCTAGTCGGTCTCGCCAAAGAAGCGGCTGGCCTGTTCAAGGTCGGCATCACCAGCAGCAAAGTCCCATCCTACAATGACTCTGTTCTGCGAACAACACACTATGCGCCGGCTGTCAAACTGGAGCTTGAAGACACGATTGCTGTCTTCTCTAACACGATGACGGTTGTGGTGACCGTGATGGTGATGATGATTAGCGGGTGGACCAGCCGGACCGGCGTGGTTCTGTGTTTGTTGTTGCACCTGTTGCTGCATCTGGGGAGCAGAGGCGGATGCTGGCCAAACTGCAGGGGCCGTGACTGAGGCTGAGGCAGCAAACATTGCTGATTGCGCAGCTGTATCCTGTGCGTCTGGACTGTTTTGGGGTGGTTGTGGCGTTACCTGCTGAGGGGCTGCTGCGGGTTGAGTGCGAGGTCTTCGTCTACTTTGAAGAATCTCGTCTTGCCGTAGCCTCCTGCTTGGGACCCACTTACCATCAGAATCCTTCTTCCAAATAATGACAGTCTCGTCATATGAGCCTGACACAATGCGGCTCCAGGCATTGCCACCACCTCCTGGAGGAATCTTCGCACCAACCGCACATACTTCGTTAGGATTGCTCGAACCAGCATTGCGCTGACCGCGAACTCTGTTCTGGTCAGGATTCAAGCCATTCATGCGAGCATCATGAAATCTTTCATCGACAGCACGTGCGTCGGCCTCGAGCTGCTCAGACGACACACTCATGTCACCGAAGCGGGCTTGTACAGTACGAACCAAATTGCTGTGGCCAGGAAGACAGGCGACTTCTGCAGACGTAGCTGCATCAAAGATGCGGACAGTGTTATCGCTGCTGCCGCTTACGATGCGGCGGCCATCATATTGCACACAGGCAATGCCCTTCGTATGGCCTGTAAAAGTCCTCGTGCATGTGCCAGTATTGATGTCCCATGCTTTGATGGTTCGATCCCCTGATGCAGAAACGATCTGACCTTGGTGCATTTGGATTGCGTTCACTGCTGCGCCATGGCCTAGAAGAGTAAGTAAAAGCGAATACTCCTTGATGGGGTTCATAGGATGGCCAATCTCAAGCTGCCGTTTCGCGACTGCCGGAATGATATCGCTGTCCGCAAAGACTTCTCTACGGTTCCAGATTTTGATAGTCTTGTCTTTTGAGCACGTTATTAGCAGGTCGTCATCGAAACGCAGATTTAGTACGGATTCCGTATGTGCATCGTCCATTTTGCGAATCATGCGACCAGTCGAGAACTGCCAGATGACTACGAAAGAGTCGCTTCCGCCTGAGACCACTATATCTTGCTCTGGGCGCTCGTCGAATTGCAAGCATAGTACAGAAGCAATATGAGCTCCAGAAAGTGTCCTGACGCGCCTTTGAGTCTCCAGATCCCAGATTGCAATGGTTTTGTCACGACTACCACTGACTAGCCAGTCGCGCGAGTGCTGTATCGTGTAGACACACTCATCATGAGCTTCTTCAGGATGATCTGGATGTGGCAGCTGAAACGTCGTGTAGCGTCCTTTGTTCCAATTATCCTCCAAACGACGTCGCTGTTTGTACAAGTATAGCCAGTTGACTCGCGGCGAAGCATTGTATGTACCGTAGAGCGACGAAGATAGTTGGGGAAGCGAACCCGAAGAAGGGTCGGCCCCAGGAGCGATGTCAAGGTAGTCAGCTTCTGAAGCAAGGCTCATGGCAGACAGAGAAGCAGCGCCATCTTCTGATTCCTGCAGGACAGCGTCGTCGTCAGCCTCCAAGGTGCTGTGTTGTTCATTCCATCCATCAACCGATTCCTTTGCTCTTTTGATACTACCACTTCGCTCGAGTTCGCCGTCGGGCTTCCTTCTAGGAGGCTTCTGGGTAGTGTTGCGCGAGAGACTCAAGCGGCGTCTGGCTTCTGCAGCTTCACCACTTCTCACTTCTGCAAGGTCTGGCATCCATCCTTCACGGACAAAAAAGGTCCTCCATAGAGTGCTGTCCAAAACACGTTCGCGCCACAGTCGGGAAGCGGTTGAGCATCGCAGGAGGTCAGAGGGTGAGAGGTGAAGGAAGATCTGGGAGGTAATTTCGGGTGGCAGGAAGACTACTGGGTCAAGATGAAGGAGTGGGTTGAGGCGCTCTACTATGGATGCGATGGACGAAGTGCGCAGCGAGCGAAGAGCTGCATATGCGGTGTCTGGTCAATGTCAGACACACGATTTGGAGACAGAAGTAGAAAGTTATGCAAAATACCATATCGCTCCGAGTCTGGTAATAATCGCAGCAGAGAGGTTATGAAGGCAGATCTCTGGGCCGGAGGCAGGCTCAGTACGCCCGAAAGCATCGACTCGGGCGAGGGTGTGGATGACTTTGAAACATGACCGTCGACGGGATCAATGTGCATGGTAGAATCGCTGTCGGACAGACTCCTCGTCTCCTCGGAGCCTCCTGAATAGCCCTCGTCGACCTTCATCTCTTCCTGAGCCATGTCAGGCGTCTGCTCGCACGAGTGTTTTGGTGGATTAGGCAAGACAGATTTGGTAAACAAGAACGGGCTAAATGTCGGGACGGAAGTCGCGATCGGGCTCTCGAGCGGCGCTTCACTGAGTGTGTCAGAGAGTTGGCATCAAGACTTGCTTGCGGACTCAGACCCCGTGGGCGGCCACTCAACAAAGTTTGCTTCAACAAGGACTTTGGCTGCTGACAAGAGTCAGTTTCCTGGGCGGGCGGGACGGACGATCGTCAATCTTCACTGCTTTGGCAAGAAAAGCGAGGAGAACAAGGTGGCCCTCGCGTGATCGTCACAACAGCCTCCAGGACTCTTTGACCATGCGGCTGCTAGGTAGGTATGCTTTCAAGGCGGTCAAGAGCAAAAACAGTCACGGAATCACAGAGTCACGCAGAAGGATGCTGGACAAGTCAAATACTGTCGAGGCAGAACCGGAAGCGTCGCAGTGCAGACGGCGTGTCTTGTATCAGAGGCGGGAGCGGGCATGTGCCTGGTCGGAGGGTAAAATGTGGAAGGAGCCCAAGCGTGTTTCACAAAGGAAAGAGCCGGGGGCTTCAGAAAGAGCAGGGTCCTTTGAGAAGGGCCGCCCGCCGTGGTCTCTGTTCCTTGTGTGAGCCTGTGTCCGTCCGTCTTTCATTGTTCACTTTCCAGTTCCAAGTCGTCGTCGTCGCCGCTGTAGTTGTGAAGAGTTTTGCAGCCCAAACCACCGGGAAAGAGTCGTGGCCCCGCCGCCGCTAGAATCGTAGACGCTCCCTCACTTATCAAGAAGACATATACAAAGCCACGGCCAGAAAGTGGCTTCCACACGGGCCCCACCGCCGCAACCACTCAGTCTCCTTGCCCAACTTTCGTCCAGCGAGGGAAGGACCGTCACCTGAGGAAGAGACGAGTTCCTTCACACATGCTTCGGTAGATCTCTGCATCTGCATCGCGCCTTCGCACCTTCCGACCGCGCACGGCACGCGCTCGTCACCGAAAACGACCTCTCTGCTGGCATCGCCCTCTATCCTGAATCTATCCTCGACACATACGCCCACGTGTGCCTGCCGTTATATACCACGGCTGCGCGCGCCTTCGGCATCCGACTCCAATCATGCAGGTTGCCTCTCATGCTTCCATGGCCCGAACACATACCGCGCCGGTCTACACCAAAATGCCCTCCGCAACATCCCCGCTGGTCCAGTCCCAGAACCACACCAACTCCTCGCATTCCATCCACTCGGTTCTGTCAAGGAACTCGGACACAACTCAAGGCACATCTACATCCACGCTGTTCCCCGTCCCACCTACGCCTTCGCTCTCGCCTGCTCCTTCCACAGTCCAAGGAAATGTCGAGCCAACCGGGAATGTCATGAATAAGGTCGCCGACAAGGATGCCTCATTATTCCAGATGTGTATCACTTTGCGTCAACGCCTATTAGCTGTTCCTGGCTTCGACGAGTACTTCCTGGAGACAGAACAACAACACGAAGATCTCGACGTCGTCCAGCTTCTTTGGAAGACCTTTCAGCTTGGCCACCCGCTGGTCTCTCTATACAATATCCTGCGGCCCGACCAGCCTGTTGAGATCGATGTGTCCAAGATCAGCGCTGCCAAACAAGGCAAGGCCCTCACTTCCAGTTTCTTGCGTGGCTGCATCAACGGACTCAACTTTTCTGTGGAGGACTGTTTCATTCTCTACGATCTCTACCAGGACGATATTGGTGGCTTTGTCAAGGTAATTTGTCTCTCTTTGCACTCACATCGCTTTCTCTAACTTGTTCAGGTCGTGAGGATGGTTTCAAGACTGCTTGACATTATGGTGCAACAAAATATCATCGAGGATCTTCGCCCGGATCAGATCGCTGCCCATTCCGGCAAACGCAGCCAGCGACAACATATTGTTGAAGAATTGGTTACTACCGAAAGAACTTACGTCCAACATCTTGAACTTCTGCAAGCTTTCAAGCAGCTCTGCGAAAGCAAAGGAGTCGTTTCTGGTGATGTGAGCCATCAGATCTTCCACAACCTTGACGCACTACTCAATTTCCAACGCCGATTCCTGATCAAAGTGGAACAAACGAACGCTATACCAGAAGACGAACAAAATTGGGGAAAGATCTTTGTCCAAGCAAACGAAGGGTTCATGGTGTATGAGCCTTATATTGCCAACCAGAAACTTTGTGAAGAGGTTGTCATGAAAGAGTTTGCTAAGCTCAAGGAAGCCGGTGGTACCATCGACATGCGTCAACTTGTCGAGTCTCCTCCAACTCTATACGGGTTCCTGATGAAACCTTTCCAAAGATTGTCCAAGTACCCGTTGTTGCTGGACTCTTTGTATCACAAGGGAGACTATAACGAGGATATCAAGGCCGATCTGTTCAAGGGCAAGGAGTGCGCGACAACTGTTCTGACACGCACAAACACCGCCATCGAGAACGAAGACAAGCTGGAAGCACTGGAAGATCTCAAGAGCCGTGTCGAAGACTGGAAGGGTCACCGCGTCACAGGCTTCGGTAGTCTTCTTCTCTTCGGCAGTTACACGGTGATCAAGAGCGACAGTGCACCAGGAAAGGACCAGGAACGCGAGTACCACGTCTACTTCTTTGAGTCGATTTTGCTTTGCTGCAAGGACATTGATCGTAACAAACCGAAGAACAAAATGTCAACCCGTTCGTTGGTCGACAAGAAGGGCAGACCGAAGATGCAGCTCAAAGGCCGCATCTTCATGCAGAATGTCACAGATGTGGTCAAGGCATCAAAGCCTGGCTCATACACCTGCCAGATCTTCTGGAAGGGCGATCCGGGTATCGAAAATTTTGTCGTCCGATTCCCTACTGAAGATACCATGAGCAAATGGTACTCAAAGTTGCTGGAGCAAAAGGCCGTCTGCAACGATCTCGCAAGACGTAGCGACAGCACCACTGCTTCTCACAGGCCTTCTGTTGGTACTTCGGCCACTGACTTCACTTACATCCAACAAAACCAAGAAGGTCTTGTGAACCCTTACCAGGAGGCCGATGAGGAGGATGAAGAGGGCACTGTTGTGCCACAATCTCCATTCCCTCCATACGCTCCACACTCTTCGTTTGAATCTTCTACTCTGAGCAGCAGGAATGCCTCAACAACAAGTCTCCGCTCGAGATCTACGACTGGCGAGAGCGGTCCTCCCTTAAACCTAGGGGGACGTATGCCTCCACCACGACTTCCTGGTGGCGCAGCTGGTGGCTACCCCTCGCTGAGTCTCAGAACTCAGCAACTGCCCTATGCACAATCACCATCGATGGAGAAGGACTCGTACTTCTCACCTGTTGAGACGCCGCTTCCCTCTCAGAGGACCAGTGGTTCATCAGGCATGTCTTACTTCCCAAACCAATTCCACGACAATCAAACGCGCTATACCGCTCCAGCCATGAGCCGTACTGCTTCACGCGAGAATAGCGTCGCTTCAGCAAGTTACGCTGCCACTCAGCGTACCTCTGGACCTAGACCTGGGTTGGTCGGCATGCACAGTACTCAACAGATCCCACCTTCAAGAAACAGATCTGCAAGCAGTCCGGATATCAACCACGTCCAGCGCAGAGCTGCAAATGGATCGAGGCCGCCAGTGCCTGATGTGCCTGTTCCGCCCTTCCCTGCTCAGTATTCTGTGAGCGGCTCAGTGCCCAGGAGTCAAAGCAATTCTCCTAGTCTGGCTCATGCTCCTGTGCAATCGCCACATCAGCGCGAACGGTCATCAACCCGGTCAAATGTCGACGTACCGTATGGTCATGATGGTCCGCCAGCTTTGAGAGTAAATCCAGGCTTGGCTTATGTTGGATCATCTCGTACCAACACACCTGCCCCCGGACCCGCCAGTGGCTATGATTCTCCTATATCTCCTCCCCTGTCCTCCAGCTCCGACTTTGGTCTGTCACAGCTCAAAATCAAAGTGCATGCCTCGAGTACTGTCTTGACCCTTGTCGTACCTTTGAACATCTCATACCATTCTCTTAGAGATCGCATCGACGCCAAGTTGTCCCGCAGTACCAACATCAGCCTGAGCGATCGCACGCCAAATCAAGTCAAGCTGAAGTACCTTGACGAGGATGACTACGTCAGCATTCAGAGCGATGAGGACGTGCAGTCAGCTTTCGAAACTTGGCGCGAACAGCGAGGCGAGAACGTTGGCGGTATGGGAGAGATCGAGCTCTTCTGCCAATAATCAAACATTTATCAACTCATCAAATAGCAACGCCGCATTTCTGGTGTTACAAGGGCACATCGGCGTTCTTTACCTTTGGGTGTACCAAGGAGTTTGGTGCACTGCTCAGGCTTATTATTTCTCGCATCTACTTTCTATACCTTTGCTGTTTTTCTTTCTCCGTTCCTCAACCTCATCCCGCAACAATGGAGAGGCTGTTGGACGCGAGACTATGATGGCTTTATGACCGGGATGACCTCATTTTCCACTCTTTTTTCTTATATTTGAAGGTTAGCATGGGCCAGAGATGATATAGCAATGGCGTGTTGTTCTTTCTATCTTTGCTGTTATCTACCTTTTAGTCTCTGTTTTCTTCGTTGCTTTTATTTCCATCGTATCATGGTTATGCAGGGTCGTACAGTAGCAGATCTAGCTGCGCATTGCATTTGTTTTTCACTGATTTCTAAACGAATGGTATACCATCTCTTTCCCAAACAACAAATTTGAGGCCATTCCAAAATCTTTCTGTTGATGGCTCCTTGGCTCTTTGTCGCTCTCAGAAGGTGCCCTTGGTGTCATTGACCCTGAACGCGATTTCTCAAAGCCGAGGTACGATGACGATGCATGTGCCTTCCATCTCTCCCTTGTGCAGCAGCCACCACTTTGACATTTCTTTCATATATTTCTGACAAAATCGGTTTCATTGAAGCAATGGGATACAAGAGTGGAAAATTGTTCGAGGTCCCTATTGGCAGCAATGGCAAGGTCGTTGTCACCAAGCTGGCGGAGAGAGTCTATATGATCATGTGGAACTCTGCACCGGACAATCGGCTCACCACTGTAAGTACATCCGTTTTATCTCAAAAAACTTATTGTATCACTACTGATGCGTATAGTCCTTCTGCAATGCTGTGCACACTGCGCTGGACATTCTGGCACTCAAGTATCCTCATGGCGTGGTGATTACCACGTCTGGCATCAGCAAGTTCTATAGCAATGGACTGGATCTTGAGCATTACAATTCGACTCCGACGTTTGTCAAGGACTCGCTCTTTGCGCTTTGGAAGAAATTGTTGATGTAAGTTCCGATGCTTGATTCCCATGCAATTCAGTCTGCTGCCTGGATTTTGGTGGGATGTTCTGAAACTATAAACAATTCACAACGACACGGCCAAGAGACACCCTATCGCTTGACCACACCTCGGACAGAACCAGAAGAGGATGGCTACGCCAGCTTCCGAAGACACTCGAAGTGTTAGTTCCGCAGTTGTGGTCGTTCTTGCCATTTTCTGCCTTGCAAATGGTGTCACCCTGGCCATAAACTCAAGTGCTAACGATATATGCAAACAGCTACCCAATGCCCACCATCGCCCTTATCAACGGTCACAGTTTCGCTGGCGGCTTGATGACAGCCATGATGCACGACTACAGAATCATGAACCCCCACCGCGGTTACGTCTGCCTCAACGAAGTCGACATCGGTGTCGTGCTCAAAGCAGCCATGTCCTCCGTCTTCCGCCAAAAGTGCTCGCCCCAGACATACCGCACCTTGGTGCTTGAGGGCAAACGATTCAAAGCCTTGGAAGCTCTGGAGGCAGGTATCATTGACGGTGTGGGTGGTCTGGATGAGGTTGTCAAGTTTGTGGAGGAATTGGGTCTGGTGAGCAAGACGGACAAAGGCATCTATGGCGCGTTGAAGAAGGAGATGTACAGGGAGACTGTAGCATTCTTGGATGCCCCTGATGACGAGCCCGAGTACAAGGAAAGGGTTAAGAAGCAAGATGAAGAGTTGAAGAAAAAGGCCGAGCAGAGAGTCAAGGATTGGGAGGCCGCTAAGGCCAAGCTGTAGACATATTGCGATATTTATACGCTGCTACGTTGAAATCCACTGGGTCACGCAGGAGAGTAGAGGCAAATCGACAAAGTATGTACATTAACATTAAAAATGAGTATTGGAGTACCCGAAACAGAAAGCCTTCCCATTATACACATTATGTTTTCGATATGCAGTGATATAGGCTTCTCCTCATGCGATCTAGTAAGATCGACTCTCTTGCTCCATCCGAGATGACGCAGAGACAAGACGAGGCAGCATGATTTAGCCCTCTCCCAAACCCAACAATACCAAAAGCGCGACGTTCATAACGACAATGACAAGCCAGATGAGGACCGCAATAATAGCAGTGAACCAGTGGTTGCGCATACTGATGAGGTCGCCGTTGCTCGCAGACATGGTCATGTATCTCTCACGACAGGTAAAGTAGATCAGAGGTGCACTGACAAAAGGCAGAATAACACTCAGAGCAACCTGCGAGCCATCAAGCGCGGCGGAGAGCCCCTCTGCACCCACGGCACCAGCGATGATGATGGAAGGTGTGATGGAGATGGAACGTGTCATCAAGCGGCGTACCCAGGGCTTGACTGACCATGTCAACTGCCCCTCGCAGATCATCTGACCTGCGATCGTACAGACGATACCAGCTGAGATACCAGAAAGAAGTAGAGCAAGAGCGAAAATCGTTCCTGCTACGGGAGCGAGTTGATGAGCCAACAGCTTGTGGATGCCAAACAGATCAGCAGTAGCGGCATCGGTGTTGTAAAGCGAAGCTCCTGCGACGATAAGAATGGCGCTGTTGACGAACAAGGCGAAGATGAAGAGAGATGTTGACAGCTCGACGATGGAATATTTCATGCAAGATTTGACAGCAGCCACACTGGGACGGTACTTAGCCGGGCCACTATCATCGTCGTCATCGGAGGGTGCCGGGATATTGTTGTGTTGCATATCATATTCCTTGAGGCGAGGCTGTACAATTCCCGAGCCTAGATAGAGCGAGTGAGGCATGACAGTTGCACCCAGAATACCACATGACTGGTACAGGCTAGATAATATTAGCGGACCATTATCTGACGCGGGTTTAGATCCTGCACATACCCTTGGGATTTGACTATAGCTGAAGATGGAAGATAGCCACGGAAGACATCACCAACCGACGTGTTGGTAATCAAGGAAAGCTGGTAGCAAAAGCATACCACAACACCAAGTACCAACAAAGCAACGAAGCCTTCAAAGATTCTCACGCCTCGCACAGTGCCATTCGGTTTGTAGAATAATAGAATCACAAGGACGTCCGCAATGGATATGGCACAGCCAGCTACCAAAGGGATATGGAAAAGAAGATTCAGAGCAATAGCAGTACCGATCACTTCTGCAATATCCGTGCAGATAATGGCTGCCTCTCCGAAAAGGTAAAGAATCCAGTTCAGCCATCGAGGACAGTGAGCTCTGATCATCTCTGCCAGATTCATGCCGGTGACTGAGCCCAACTTGACGCACAAGCATTGCAGGTAGACTGCAAAAAGGTTGGACATGAAGACTATGAAAAGAAGCTTAAACCGGAAAGAAGCGCCAGCTGCAACATCAGTAGAATAGTTTCCAGGATCGATATAAGCAACCGACACCATGACGCCTGGACCGACGAATTTCGCATATTTGGCCAGAACGTCCTTGATGCGTTTGCCGAGATGCCTGCCATCAGACACAGGCATCTCGTTGGAACGCAATGTCGACGAAGACGACAAGCGTTCCATTTGTTGGCCACTAGGGCCAGGGTACGGGTCTTCCGTGACCCGAGGCAGGCTCTTGCCTTTCTCATTCATATCGGTGAGTTCGTACGGCTCTGGATGGATGCGATTTAAGTCGTCATCATCTATCCTCCGGTCACGGTTTTGTCGAGAATTGACAATGCCATTCAAGTCATTTCTCGTGGTCATGTCTCCAGCCAGCGCAGGTGGATTCTGATTCCATTCCGGGTGGTCCCAGCCGTCATCTTCGTGTGATGGTCGATTCATTGTGCTTGTTCTAGTGTCGCGTGTCCTTGATCAGAAGCGGAAATCCTGGTATATGCAATTGGAAACTTGAGAGTAACAGCAGTGATGACTGTGGTGAGCTGGGTGAGAGGGCAGAAAAGCTGCTTATGGCTTTTGCGACATGAAGAGAGTCAAGTCGTCGTCTTCTAAAGTCTCTCGACCTCGGCCATCATGGTAGGCAAATCGTGAAGTCACACGGAAGGAGCCGGAGCAGCGACTTGACCTAGACAATCTGCTATGAAGCACAGCTCGTTCTGGGGAAACAGCCAGTGTCCCCTAAGAATAATTGGGAATATGACTCAAACTGACAGTGACATAGCGTCAGCTCTGACCCCTAGACATCGCGATCTGGATCGTTGTGTCGTGTACCCGCGTTTTCCCGGATTCATGCCCTGGTTCTCAGTCCTCATGATCGAAAATTTGCTCTAAAGACAGGAAAACGGTTCGTCATCATTGCGAGTTTGCGACCCTTGTGAGGGGTCGACTCATTTCATGGTTTAGAGCTGCCATTTGTCCCTGGAAGAAGGGAGTGAAGAGATGGTGGTCAATTTCTTGTTCTTGGCTGCTTGCGCAAGCACTCTTCTCCTGCGACGCTTGAATCAAGACCGAGGGGATCTCTGGCCAAACTTTTGTTTAGCAATGACCAAATTGATTCGTTGTGATCATATTCGAGTACAATAAGATCAATTTTATCACATGCGACACAAATCCTGATACCTTCCGCTGCACAGGAAAGGCTATCATTATTGTAACACCAGCCTCAGCGCCTGCTGAGACTCTGCTTCTTCGAATGATCATGCAGAATGCAGTGTTTCGATATAAGCGTCCTGCTCAACTTACCAACTTCGTGTGTGAGTAAGCTTCATCTGAGATCGATCATCTGTAGATGGAGCATGGCAAAGCAGAGCGGGTACTTTCAGGGTGAACATGTCTTCGCTTGCCGCTCTCCTGAAATCTAGCGGCCGAGGACGCTGCCAAATCACCTCCTGTGTATGTGGTGCGAACCCCTTCGCAGACAATTATAGGAGTAGACTCTCAGCCATGCTCCCCACAAGAACATCGTAGGTGCAGGAGAAGGCGCCTGGTGGAGCATGCCGTTGCGACCCAGAGTGACTCAGCCTGGATTGAACATTCCACAAGTTGCCAGCGTGAGGGAACAGCTCGAAAGCGTCACGACTCACCAGTTATGGGCATTTTACTGCCAAGAATATCATATCGCACGTTGAGATAATTGCGATAGGTGGCCGGGCTCCCAGCCACGATACCCTCCACACCGAAAACAGTAATTGAAGCCAATTGTGGATATCAATGATGTCTTTGCAAAGTCAGGACGAGTGCGGCCTCGCCCTCTACTGCGAATGTGACTTGTGAAGAGACACAGTTCTGTAGGGCTCGGCAGTCTGCCGGGCGGCTGCAAAGGGGAAAGTGCACCCCACCGACGGCGCCTACCCTATTGGTTTCTCTTCTTTCTCTCTACCAACAAGGCCTTCGGGCGGCAGACGTTACGAGCCAGCATCTTGAAACGGAAATGCATCTTTGGTGCTTCTTGTAGTTTGTCTGAGACAGCGTATGGCTGTATGGGCCTGGAAACTTGCTGTATGGGTAGGAGCCAGCACGTCGCGATGCCTGTTGGAGCGGACTATGTTTTACATGCCAGAGCGCGTTCGTACACGCCCACCTCACATACAACCGCCTGCATTCTCAAACCTGCTGCCAAAAACGGCCTCGTGTCCATGGCCATGCTTACCTTGCGTTGCCGCGTACATTTTCAGGAGGAAATAAGTATCTGCCTCGCTGCCGGTGGTCACAATGGCCCATCTTCTCATTTCAGTCGCCCAATACAACCAACGGCGTGCTAGCCAGCCCTTGAACACTCACTTCCCTTTCCCCCTTCGTCACGCACGTTTGCACGTTTGAATCCAACGTCTACACGCTGTCTTACTTTTCTTGGTGCTTCTCGATCGGACCAGCAACAACGCGGCTCGACTACAACGTTAACTCCTACTTGCCCCCGTTTTCCCTAACGGTCCTGCCTCAATTCGACCTGTCCGCTGGCCGGAAGTCTTAATTGCCTGCTGCTGAGAGCTATACATAAAGAAAAACGCCCGTCCTACGACTTCGATTCCTTTCTCATACCATCTTTCTGCATCTTCAATCTAATAATACTCTATTCTTTGAGTTTCATCGAACAATACCGATCACTTATTCGACCATTCTCCGGCAGCAACTCGAATAAGCTTCATCACTCGAATTGTCATTTTTTGCTATTTTGCTATTGTCGACCTCAGCATTGTCCAACCCATTCTGGTCCAATCTATTGTCAGAGGATTGATATTTGCGAATATCATCGACTCGCACACTCTCTTGTTTGATCTTTGTCATTTCCTTCAGATCCTTTCAACCTCGTCCTATCTATCATCATGTCACACAACATGGCAACTCCTGAGCAGAATGCCGAAGCTCTCAACCACTTCATCTACCTACCTGTCTCCAAGGACATGGTATCTTACTTGGCACTCAAGGCTTCTCAGGTCATCCGTTGTGACAACACTCCCATCCACAACAAGGACCTTCCTCCCACACCACCAATCACCCCTACTGAGCAAGGCTTCAACTTGTCTCAGGAGCCTCCTCTTCCTTCTGTCGAGCAGTTCATTCAGTCTCTCGTCGACAGATCCTCCGTCCAGGTTCCTACTCTTATGACTACCCTCGTCTACCTCGGTCGTCTGCAACAACGTCTTCCTCCTGTCGCCAAGGGTATGCGCTGCACAACCCACCGCATCTTCCTTGCCGCTCTCATCCTGGCTGCCAAGTCTCTCAACGACTCGTCTCCTAAGAACAAGCACTGGGCTCGTTACACTGCTGTCAAGGGTTACGAAGGCTTCGGCTTCAACCTCGTTGAGGTTAACCTCATGGAGAAGCAACTTCTCAACCTTCTCAACTGGGACCTGATTGTCCGTGAGGACGACCTTTACTTCCACCTCGAGCCTTTCCTTGCTCCCATCAGACTATGGCAGGCTCGTCAAGCCGAGAAGGCCAAGCGTGCTCAGCTCCGCGAGGAGATGCTGCAACAGCAACGCCACCTCTCCATCACTGCCGAGCACATGCAAAGAACCTCTCGCACCGATCTCCGTCAAAACCTCTGCGACACACCTATGAGCCTTGCAAGCTCTCGCAGATCGTCCCGCATGCCATCTCTCTCGCCTCCTAGCCGCGCTCACTCTGTCGTCTCTGCTGCCTCTTCTGTCGCCTCTCCCAGTTCCATCGTCTCATCGATGGACGCAACATACGAAGATGTGCCTGTTAGAATTCAGAGATACAACAGCGACTGCCCTTCGATGGTTGAGATCCAACAGCCCAAGCTCTCTCTTGACCACTACGAGCAACCCTCGGCTAAGAAGATCAGATCAAACAACATCTTCTCGAGGTTCCTTTCCACTGCTCATTAGAGATTTGCTGGTTCGCTAGCGGGAGATCTTCTGACAAGCTTTGCGGGTTCGAGGCATTGTCAATTCTTTTTCAGTTTTCATTTCTTGTGCAGGATACCATTCGACATCGCATTGCAAAGGCGTCTCTGGGAAGACAGCAGTGCATTTTTTGGGAGCAGTGAAGCAGCATCAAAGCAAGCATCATTGAACAGCAAGAGAAGCTGTTCGGCACGACCTTACGACATTGGTGCATACAATAGATAGTACTTAGGTAGCACACAAACTAATTAATCGACTCGCAATAGAGCTCGCATTCTACAAAACAATCTTGTGCATCTCTCAATCTCTTTTCCAAATGATCATCAGGTACACATGCAGGGGTTGGTTGGCTGATAGTTTACCTAGGTGGCTGGCTGGATCCCTCCAGGGGAACAGGGCAAACGGTTTTATAGACCGGTTCACTACAAAGCGTATCACGCAACTGCCATGATTGGGAAATTGTCACAATATATGAACCACAACAACGATATGTACCGAGACAGGGTTAACATTGCAAATGTCCTCCTGATCCAGAGATCCAGAAGCGAGAGATGGAAAAAAAAGATTTGATACGATATATTGGTGGATGCGTTTCTTGAAGAGCCTCAATTCGGCCGAGGCTGGTCGTTGCCGACTCGACTCGCTTCCTGCAGATCCGGTATTTTGAACAAATAGTACCTGTTGATCTCCTTCAGCTGATACAACGGAGATGTGCACACAGAGACACGCAGCAGGTGAAGGATTTCCTCGCCAACGATGTTGCGGGCTCGCCGTCTCGGTGCTGCCCGCGTAACAATCGGTTGCGACGTTTTAGAGTTTACGTGACAGAACAACGATTAGATACATGGTAGATAGCAGAGCTGAGCGTGAACGAGAGCTGAAAGGCACGGCACAGAACTACATTCCACATGTTGCTGCAGCCACTCGTACTCCCCTTGTGAGATGTCTAGATTCTACCACGAGTTCCAGACGACGAACAAGCCCGGAAGAATGAGAATGCAAGGGCTTGGCAAGACCTTGCATTGGAATGACTTTGCTTTTTGAGCTTCGCAACTCAGGTGGGAAATGTGAGCAATGTTTTTTTCGCCACGACAAATTCGCCCGTCGAGAAACAGAACACTCGGAACGCAACAACCGAGACTTAGCATCATTCCTTCGAATGAATAATGCTTTCTGAGAGTGTCGCTTGAAAGAACATACGTCCTATCGCCGGCAAATAAACACCCAAGTGTATCGAAAGAGACCGTGCTCACTCTTTGAACAAATAATTCTCGAATTCACGACCTAGTTCTTTGACCACCACATTCCGTGACAACCATGGCATCACGATTGTGCTCCGCTTGCAACGAGAAGCGAGCACAAATTCTACGACCCAAGAACCATCACCGCCTCTGCGCCACCTGTTTTACCGCCGTGTTTGAAAAAGAAGTCGCCGAAGCCGTCGAATCAACAAACCTTTTCTACCCGGGAGAGCGCGTGGCCATCGGTGCCAGTGGAGGCAAAGATTCGTGTGTACTGGCTGCCGTGCTCAAGACATTGAATGAAAGACGCAACTGGGGTCTGGATCTGATCTTGCTGTCGGTGGATGAAGGAATCAAGGGATACCGCGACCACAGTTTAGATGCTGTCCGGCGAAACGCAGACTTTCTCCAGCTGCCACTGAAGATTGTCAGTTACGAGGAACTCTATGGCTGGAGCATGGATCAGGTTGTCGCTCAGATTGGAAAGAAGGGAAACTGCACATATTGTGGTGTCTTCAGAAGACAGGCGCTCGACAGAGGAGCTGCACAATTAGGGGTCAAGCATGTTGTTACTGGACACAACGCCGATGATGTAGCAGAGACAGTACTCATGAACCTGCTACGCGGTGATCTGCCACGACTAAGCAGAGCCACCAGCATCGTCACCGACAACAAGGCAGGTGACAGCATAGGATCGGGAGCCACGACCGAGAACGGCGAAGTCGCTATTACCAGCGTCAAACGCTCGAAACCCCTCATGTATGCCTACGAGAAGGAAATCGTCCTCTATGCCCACCACAACAAACTCGACTATTTCTCGACCGAATGTCTCTACTCGCCAGAAGCCTTCCGCGGAAGCGCACGCACGCTCATCAAGAACCTCGAACGTATTCGCCCGGAGAGCATCCTCGACGTCGTACGAAGCGGTATCGACATGGCTACTCTTGTACCAGACGCAGATGGACGTTGCAAGGGTGCATGTGGATCCGGTCAGGCACAGGCACAGCCAGGAGCGAGCAGCATGCGCCCAGACGAGGAAGACGATGGTAACGGCGGTTGTGGCAGTGGTAATGGTAGAGGAACTGGAGGCGAGATGGGAGATATGGAGCGAAAACTACAGGAGAACGAGAGAGCCGAAGAGGAGGGAACAGAGACCGAAATCAAGTTGCCTACAAAGAAGGAACAGACAACGGTACCGCTACGACCGAAGAAGACCAAGGGTCCAACTCCGCCAGCAAACGCAAAGCAGACACTTGGAAAGTGTGAGCGTTGTGGATACATGTCGTCTCAGGCTATCTGCAAGGCTTGTATGTTGCTCGAAGGCTTGAACAAGAACAGGCCGAAGACAGCCATCACTGTTGATGGTTGAAGCAACAAAGATAGATGGGCACGCTTCCACATGCCAATACATTGCGCGCCACTAGACTACGAGGGTCGCGAACACAATATGGGCTTCGAGTGTACGGCGCTCGAGCTCAAGCTTAGCGGACAATATACTTGTCGCCGTCATACAAACGGCACGCAGAGAGCCAGTCGAGACAGCGATCATACGAGTACGCTCCGGCGGTATTGTCACACTTGAGCGCGCATTTGTGAGAGCATACAAAATTCGAAAGTCAAATTTCAGGATCGATGCAGCAAATCTGCAATGACTTAGACAGTACGGAAGCTACGATCAAGAAAGTCAAAGATGTTGCTTCCTAGGTAGCTCATCAAGCGCGGCCCACATGAATGGGAAGTCGCAGGAACATTGTGACGTCCGCAATCGAAACATCTTGTATTCTATACTACTCAATTGCTCGATCCACCCTGTCAGCAAGAGCTGTCAACTGAATTCTGTTACAATGCAGCGTCCCGATGTCCGTCTTATCCACGTCTCCTCTTCGTCTTGGGCGCCGTCTAAGTCTTCGTACAGGTCTTCTTATCTGAGTCTTCGCATGGATCTTCGTCTACCTCTGGACGAGATCTCTCGATCCTGTCTACAAATCCTTGACTCCACTCTCCAACCAACCGCTTGCAATAGCACTCATGTTTGCAACACCGCCTTATGAGCATGAATCTGTCGATCGTGGAATTTAAGGACGATATCTGAAGATTTTTTGGTGGTCGTAAAAGAGTTCGCTGACGTACGCACCGCGAGGGGATCTCTTGCAGAGGTCGAGGTAGCTTGGATCAAGTAGCTCAAGTTGTTCATCCATGAATCTGGTTGACGGGAACATTGGAAGTGACTTTGGAATAGGTTAGGTCGATACTCATATAGGTAATCCCTTGATCCATCGCCGAAAGAGTCATCAAAATACTTGCTCAGTAGAATCATCCGTCTAAGGTATTTCAACCAGTCACATCTCGAGCTTCATCTCACGACACATGGAGCAAGTCCTTCTGGAAAGGAACAATTAAGACAAGTTCTTGTATTGTAAGATGGAGAAAACAAAAAGGAGATCTATGTATTCCATTGCTAGCCATCACATCACACATCCATCATTCATCCATCCCAACATTCATCAAAGCCTTATACCCATCACATCATCTCTTTCCTAACAAGTCATCTAAAAACACATCCTTGCCCTTCTACCTACTCCCGTAGCTCAATTCGTCATCACTGCCTTCATCACTGCTATCAGTACTACTCTCTGCAGGACTCATGAACGGATCAGAAATTGTTCTTTGTATGGGAGGTCGGCTTTGCTCTTCATCATCTCCGTCGTCTAGAGGAACCCTTTTCTTGGCTTCGGTGGTGCTGGGTCGGCGTTTGACACCCACAGTCACTTCTGAGTTCTTGCCGTCTGCTGTTTCTTGTGTGCGGTCAGCGACATCTTCATCGTCGTCATCAGATCCAGAGTCCAAGCCCGAAGACGACGAAGAGGATGAAGATGAGTATGCAGAAACGACTCGATCACTTGAGCTACCACCAGTGTTGCCGATTAACTCATTGATTTGGCGTGTGGTCACGGCAGATAGATCGAGGTCGGGCAAGTCTGTTAGTGGTTGCATGGGCATTTCAAAAGCTTGTTGGACAGCTGCTGCGTCTGCTGTGTCTGGATCTGTGGCTTCGAAGGAAGAGGTCTCTTCGGCTTCTCTCTTTGCACGCGCGGCGAGACGTTCTGCGAGCTTGTTGCGCGCGCGGCTGGGTGCTACGTTCAGAGGCGCGGGTGGGTTTACGGAACCAGGAGATGGAGGGTTCTGTATAGCAACGTGTTAGTAAGGTTGCATATTGGTGGACTGGGAGGAAGTTTGTGCTTGTTGTGCTAAAGGTGCGTACCTGACAATGGATGCATGGTTTGGGTCTGTGGATTGGTAAAGAGAGCCTGTTTCAACAAGGACACGAAAGGGATGGATGTGTGTGCAGAGGGTATGGATGGGAAGAAGATGAACAGTAAAAAATCTTGTATAGTACAGATGAGATTATAGACTCAAAAGTCAGGAGCGAAAGAGAAGCTTTCGTCCCTGCCTCTGAAGACTAAAATCTCGTCGTCAAATCGTTATTGCCAAAATCTCATTACAGAAGCCGAAGGACGCCGATCAGAGATGTTTGGAGCTGGGTTTCCACCTCTTTTTCTCCCATGCAATACACAACAAAAGATGCAAAGACAAGGCAAAAGGACAGGGGATAAAAACCGCTTGTGTAGAAAACAGGCAGATCTTTCAGTGTGCAAGAAGAAGTGTGTGTAGTGTGCGTGCAGAGTAGCATTTATCGGAAGTGGTTGATGTCGACATCGTCAAACGAGAGTTCACCGACCTGCTCATCATCATCGACCGCCTTCTCCCTCTTCTCTCCGGTTATCGATGCCTCGAGATCGTCGTCATCGTCGTCGCCATTACCGAAGCCACTGAGCAGGCCTGAGGATCCTGTGTCGTAGCTGCTTGCATCTCCCGCCTCTTGCAACGCCAAACTATCAGCTGGCACCAGGCCTGCATTAGAAAGAGCGCTCGAGTTGTTGCCGCCAGAGAAGTTGCCCTGGCCGAGCATGCTGTTGGCGCCCATGCCCACTTGTCGAGCACCAAATCCTTGGTCAGGCTTCACACCACCCAGAACAGCATTGTCGCGATCTCTGGTCTCGGAGAGCGTCGTCTCGAGATATTGGATCCATTCGTCACGGGTGATACGTTCCATAATCTGTTCACCCAGGATCTCCGGCGGCTGACGATCTTGCAACTTCAATACCTCCTCTGCGATCAAGGTCAAGTGGCCCATGTAACCAAGACGCATGCCCTTCTCCTTCTGCGCATTGTCGGAAGCGGCTTGTCCATCGAGAATGCGCTGAGTGATGTCGGCCTGGGAAGTCAAATCGGCGCAACTAGAGTGGCAGAAGAGGTCGATGGCAAGTGTGCGATTGTAACCGCGCTCGAAACTGCCATTGAAAACTTGTTGTACAACATCGTATACCACGTTGTGGAGGAAGTTGTTCCAGGGGAAGCGGAAGAAGAAGTCCTGCAAAATAAGTATAACAAACAACGTCTAAAGCAAAAAGGAAGCTTACCAGGATTGTGGGGACAACTTGGTGCTCAACAAACATAATCTTGAGCAGATCTCCGACAACAGGCGTCCCATCCACATCGGCCTCCCAAAGCCCGTTATCGCCTTCTGTAGTGTGAGGGTCGGGTTGCAGCGTAGCCGTACTATGGCTAGGGTCTTCTTCGTTGGAGCTTGTCACAGATTGAGTGTTCTTACTAGGACTAGCAAACAAAGGTGCTGGCTTGTCCTCGGGGTGCGAGAGCATGTCTGTGTCTTCTTGGGCGGTCTCGGGTTGATCTGATGAGAAATTGAGCTCAGATTCTTGAATATGCTGTTGAAGCTGCTGGGTCAACAGAGAGACGCGGCGCTTACCCTCAGGTTGAGGAACATCACCCTCTTGCTCAGGGCTGTCAATTTGTAGTTGGCTGATTTCTTCGGTGAGAACGGTTGTGCCGTCTTGAGATGCTTCCTTCGGGACGTGGTGAATGCTCGACGGGTCATCCTGTTTGGTTAGAGGCGGTAGACTTGTATCTGCTGCAATCTCATTGAACTCGTCGGCATCTGAGACAGCCACTTTCTCGAATCCATCTTCCTCGGACGCGTTCTGCACCTCGAGTCTCTTAATCTCTTCGGGCGATCCGCTGAGGTCGTCTTCCGGTCTTTGTGCATGATGGAATCCATGGCTGTCAACACTGCTTGCGAATGGCTCGTGCTCGTCGTACGAAGAACCCTCGATGGGTTGTCCTGTGAGGCGTCCTTCCAGCTTAAGCTTTTCTCTTTCCTCGTCTCTATGCTTGATTTGAGCGTCACTTCCACGTTCATTGAGAAGAGCCATGTTACTGCAGTGCAAAAGCTCGGCCATGAGCTCGCACGTTTTGAATCTGTCGAAACCTAGAGGTTGAATCTCCTTGCCAAAAGCAGTTTTGAGCCCAGGCTTCTGAGCACCAGAGCTTCTGATCAGATGCATAAAATCGGGAACGTGTTTCGCGAATTGACGGAGGAGACTTCCGAGGTAGATAGGATCGGTCGTTCTAGGCTCGGGGCCGACCTGGTTGTCAAGATCATAATCCGAGTTGTTCTTGCGAATGACCTCAATGATGATTCCAACTCCAACTGTCAACGAGTTGCCTCCTGAGAGCATGTTTTTAATCAAAAGAGTTGTGCAGTCATCAGAGACGAGTTGTCTGGTTAGTTCGTTGGGGCCGATGACGGTTTGATCCTGAGTGGTCGCGTTTGCAGAAATGGTGATGATTGCTTTCAAGAAATCGCCGGCTGCTGTCTGAGTAGAAGCGCTGTTCTCAGGACCAAGGTATGATAGAAGGACGGGAATGAGGTCCTGTGTTTGTAACCACTTTTGGAAAACTGTCAGCAATTCTAGGTATAAGAGAAGGAACGACACGACTCACATCAACGATTCCTTGGCCTCCTGGGGCTTTCTCCAGACTGATGATCTTCAACAGCAGATCCATAATCATTGGGCAATCAACATGTTGCAGCATGTCAGGGACAATGTGGTCTAGGGATTTGAAAAAGGCCAGCATCTCATCCGTCTTCTTATCCAGCAAAGACTCGTTGACCTTTGTGAAGTAGCCGGCCTGCAGAGGGTCGAGTGGCGCAGGGCGACTGACATAGTGCCAGAATTCGCGAAGGTAGTTCTGATACTCGAGCACGGCCTCAGTTATAGACCAGACATCCGAAGACAGGACCTCGCAGGCGACATATGCGTACTTCTTGCGCAAGACTTCACCCTTATCTTCCTCGTCGCCTTCAACATCACCGCCAGCGTCTGATTTGTTGATAGACTTTGAGCGCGAGCGCGAGGCTGACTTTTTGAAGAAGCTGATAGGAGATGATCTGTCGGGCTCGTCATCCTTGGTGGTAGATGAGGCCTTGTCGGAGTGCGGGGGCTTGTCGGCGACAACGTATTCTAGCAGGGTCTGGAGAGTGGATTCTTCTCTGAGGAACTCGATGAGTTTGGAGTTGTTCTGCTTGAGCTCCTGGATCAGGTCGCTCTCGTCGAGCAGCTCGTCAAGGGAGACATTGGGTTTCTCGAGGATGGAGTCGATTGAGGAGATGTTGGCATAGCCACCGAAACGCCAGAACATGGTGGATCAAGTGATGCCTGACTCCAGGGCGGAGCAAGGGCTTTGGTCGGGGAGGAGTTTAGGATTGGGAGCTTCGAGACAGAGATTGACGTCGTAGACTGGCTTGAGCATGCCAGGGTGGGCTGTGGGTGTTGGGCGCAGGGTGGAGCCTAGCTGGGGAGTGGTGTTGGCAGGTCGTCGGGCAGGGCAGACTGGACAGAGAGGGAGGGCCAAAGTTGGTCGAGGCTCGTGAACGAGGAGGACCTTTGGAGACGCTTGCCAAGCGGAGATTTGTGTTTGTATGGGCAGGGCGATGTCGGGCCTTTTGTGGGTGTTTGCCGCGTGTGTTACTATCTACTCGACACAGATATCCTGGCGAGACAACAAACAATATCTTGCAACAGCGAGATGTATCACTTTTAAGCACAAGACGACGGGCTCGTGTGAGAAGACACGGTCACAACGGACATGTCCCAGATAGGCCTCGTGCCCTGTGCGCTGCGCCTGCGAGGGCTTGACGACGGCCTCCGAGCGCGCGCCCGCCGATCTGCCGGTCGGAGCTCCAAGCGTGGGGGAACCTTGGACTTGGCCAATGCCATCGTAATTGTGCATACAACCACAGCACCACCAAACACAACAACGACTACCTACCGACTTCCACACGAAGCAACGCAAACGACTTTCCCATCACCATGAATCGTCTTTTTGGCGGGAGAAACACGGGTCCAAAGCCCACCCTCAACGATGCCATCGGCAATGTCGGTGCCTGCCACTCCCCCACGAGTGCTCGTCATACTGACCAGCCAACAGATGCAAACCCGTCTCGATACAATCGACGTCAACATTGCAAAGATCAACGGCGAGTTGACCACCTACCAGCAGAAGCTCTCCCGCATGCGTGATGGCCCCGGCAAGAACGCCATTCGCCAGCGCGCAAAGGCCTGCCTCGAACGCCGCCGCATGTACGAGAGTCAAAAGGACCAGCTCATGAGCCAACAATGGAACATGGAGCAAGCAACAATGATGCAAGACAACCTGCGCAACACCATGACCACCGTAGACGCCATGAAGACCACCACAAAAGAACTCAAGAAGCAGTACGGCAAGATCGACATTGACAAGATCGACAAACTCCAGGACGAGATGGCTGATCTGATGGACATTGGCAACGAGATTCAAGAGAGCATCAGCCGCAGCTACGATGTACCGGAAGATGTTGACGAGGCCGAGTTGGATGCTGAGCTAGAGGCTTTAGGCGAGGAGGTTGACCTTGGAGAAGCTTCCTACGAGGGTGCCGATTCCATGCCTGCTTTCATGATGGACCAAAACGCTCCTCCGCAATTCATCGACGAACCACCAGAGACCAACAAGGTCAAGGAAGCCGCTGGATAAGCTCTTTTCTTTCCAAAAGCCCGCCATATCTTTGTCCTTATGAATCACGACGCCTCGCTTGATACCCAATACCGCTCTCATCAACTGTTGTACCCATCTTTACTTTCAACTCGTAACACACAAATGCATTTGATGGGCGTGAAAGCTCTTGCTCACCACCCTTCTTGCCGAATCTCGCCAGAGCCAAACTTGCCATCCCTCTTGTCAACGCCCAATGTTATCCGAGGCTTGTGGGTGCATCCTTCTTTTCTCTTGACTTTATAAATTGTCTTTATTTGTCTTTCTCGCTCCTTGCCATTCGCGTTCCTTGCAGCTCGTTGAGGCCTTACCCGAGTGCAATCTGCTTCATGCTATGTTGCCTCGCTTGGCTCTTAGCGAGGTCTTTGTACCATCAAGACACCGAAAAAATCATATCATCTTTAGACTCTGAGGATGTGCAGTCCAGTTGAACAGCGACAGCGAATCAGACTGGGGAAACAGCAAACGCTGGCCCCGTCGTGCTGATTGATCGACCACCTGCAGTCTTGGCAATCAACCACCACTCGAACCTTTTGTATATCAACATGCAGGTCCACGGGGTTGACCGCTTCTTGGCTAGAGTCGCGTCTTCTCCATACAGCCCTCAAAGTGGAAGGTCGCTAGGTGTTTCATCGTAGGTATGCACACGTGGTGATAACGGTTGGGTATCTTGAGTGTCGTCTTGCACGAGACCACTATTCCATAGGCGACTGCCGAGTATCAGTAACTTGACTCGTCGGTAGAATGTACTCATTGGACGGAAGAATGGTTTTGGGCTTGGAATGCACAAGCTTCTTCTTGACCATCATATAAACTCCACGACGCCTCCTTCGAAGGACTCTCCCATTCACTCGATCTCACACTTCTCATAAGATCTCATCGCCTCGAGCCAAAACGGCAAACATGGTCCCCCAATCCATCCTCCTCCTCGCAGCAACCTCTGGTCTTGCACTAGCAGCCCCCCTCTCCCCCCGCGGCAACCTCCCCGAACCCGTCTCCGCCGCAACAGCAATCCAATACCTGTCCTCCATAAAAGTAGCCGCCGAATCCAACACCCCAGCTTACGACCGCGACCTCTTCAAACATTGGATCACCATTTCCGGCGAATGCAACACCCGCGAGACAGTACTCAAACGCGATGGCTCTGATGTTGTGACTTCCTCTTCTTGTGCTGCTACTTCAGGCTCTTGGTATTCTGATTACGATGGCAAGACATGGACGCAAGCTTCGGATTTGGATATTGATCATTTGGTGCCGTTGAAGGAGGCCTGGGTTTCTGGGGCCAAGGATTGGACGAATGAGAGGAGAGAGCAGTTTGCTAATGAGTGAGTTTATAATCTTGCTTATTCTGAAGTGTAGTTGACTAATTTTGTGTGCTTGAAACAGTCTTACTCGTCCTCAATTGCTGGCTGTTACGGATAGCCTTAACCAGGCAAAGGGCGATCAGGATCTTGCAGAGTGGCTGCCGCCGAGAGTCGCGTATCAATGCGAATATGTTCGTGCTTGGGTGCAGGTCAAGTACTACTATGGCTTGACCATGGATAGTGCAGAGAAGGCTGCCGCAAGCAAGGTGCTCACCGGATGTTAGGGACAAGATACAACTTACTCGCTTATACAATCTCTGTTGAATTGTTGATGAGACAATAACATATGTCTCGTTCGCGTGTATCTCAAAGGTGGAAGAAGAGTAGTGTTTTGCAAGAAGGAGAATCGCCAACCTAATGCAGCCCATGCTTGTAGTTTAGCTATATGCACAAAACTTCCTCCTATCACAAATGGTTCCAAGAATGCAAAAGCACATCTATAGAAAGCGAGCAGAACATCCTCGATGAACAAAAGTTATCTCTCTAGATGACGCTCTCAATATCACTTTCAATCTCAGCTTCATTCTCCTTTTTCCGCCTCTCTTCAGCCATCTCTCTATACGTGGCCCATGACAACAACAAAAATGCTACAATGATGAGTAAACCTCCAGCAACAGCAGCACCAGTCAAGGGCTGATTAAGTGGTGGGGGAAGCAATTGATCCACAACAGCAACCAAAAAGATCGTCAGCAGAGCAGCGACAGAGCTCAGCACTGGAGATGTAAGCGAGATAAGAACAAGGAAAGATCCAGAAAATGTGGCATTTGCCATGACAGAAATGAGAAGCATCCATGCCGCTTCTCCTGTAGGTAGTTCGAATCTCTCGATGCCGGTAAAGTGAAGAATTGGGATAGGAATCCAGAGAACAGTCAAGGTGAAGAGGCCGATTAAAGAGCCAAAAGTGTTGGCAAAAATCATACCGCGGCCAGGGGAACAACCTTCGGGTGGACAAGCGAGTTTCTTGTACAAGACTTCGTAAAAGCCATAGAGCACGCTGCCGACACCGATAACAAGGTTACCAAGGGCGCGGTTGGATGCTTCCTCAGGCTCTGGAGCGGTAGGGCCACCTGCGCCACCACCGGACTTGCTTCCGTGCTTGCTGGGGCTGACGTCGCCGTAAGCGACAACTAGAACGCCAACAATGGCAACTCCCACGGCGAAGACCTTATTCCACTTGAAGTGTTCTCCTAGCAGGGGAATAGCAAAAGCGTATGCGAAAAAGGCGGAACAATTGTAAATGGCAGTCAAGTCAGAGGCGGTAGTCAAATCGACAGCAACGTACCAACTGCCGCCAGCGACAGTGAGTGCGCAAGTGACAAAGGAGGTCATCTTGATGAAGTATGGAATGGGAGACTGCTTCTGCATGTGGTGTGGAATGTCCAATCTTTGATGCTCAACCATCTGGGCGGTGCTCCGCAAGATGGCCTTGTGTCTGCGCCAGAAAGACTCCCAGGGCATGTTCAGCTTCTGCAGTCGCAGAATGGCTAGTTGTGTGGGCCATAGCAGGATCCAGCTGCCGTGGGTAAGATATAGCATGCAGTATGCCTTGTTCCAATGTAATGAATGTTGAATGTAGACAGCTGTCTCTGTCTGTATCGTGAAGGAGATCAAGCTGAGGACCAAGAAGGCAGCAGCATATGTATATTTTTGCTTGGTGGCATGGGCAGCAGCTACATCGGGGTCGCGTTCTCGTAGACGTGAGCGGCGCTCTCGGAGGGCAGCACTGCCTGGAGGGGAGGCATAGTCTCGATGCTTGTTCTCCGGTGAGAGCAAGGGAGCATTATGCGACCTGCTGTCTGAGTGCCGTAGATCTGAGGGCATGGCTGTATCGTCTTGGTCGTAGTTGTCGTCCCAAGCAAAGTCGTCGTCGTCGTCCTGGGCGCCGTGCTTGTTGTAGTCGTCGAGTTCTAAGGCATCAGGGTGGGGTAGGTCGGTAAAGGGAGATGTGTCCCTAGAAATATGTACAGGACTAGTAGCTGACGACGAATGGGCGCTAGGGTTGTTCGGCGGCGGGACCAAAGACTTTTTGTTTGGATGCATGCACGCGGTTGCACTGGCTTCGGTGCCTGATTTGTTTAGATAAGGGATGGGTGGCAGAAGAGTGCAACGTGACTGCTTGCGTGATTAGGAGGCTGATGGACTCGTTAAGGACTCCACCACAAAGCGCTCCGGGCGTTGGGTTTCGTCTTGGGGCCTGCGTCAGCTGGGGAAGTCGATTCTCAAACACTTGGCCACGAGTTCCTTCCGTGAATATGATTGATTCAGAGTTGCAGGCTGATAATTATTCTCTTCGACCTCTCGAGCATCCACCACTGTCACAAGCCAGCGCGCGAGCTCCTGCCGCAGGAAGTCGGCAACAGTAGCCTTTACGGTCTTTAGCTTATCTCCATAGTAGCTGCCTCTTTCGTCACCCCCAATGAGGGGTCCCCACTCCCACTGCCACTTGCAAATACCGCTCTGTCCATGTTCAAGCCACTTCTTTCTTCATTCAAGTCATTGAGAAACGTCTCAATCTCAACTAGAAACTCACTTCGTCTCCAACAGAATCAATCCAGAATGTTGCTCACAGGTACCGGCAAGCCGCGAGTCATCCTCGGGACCATGACCTTTGTAAGCTCAAGCTTAACCGCCATACTCGTATCTTCCGATTTCACAAAGGCTAACATTGATAAGGGCCCCGACACCGACACTGGTGCTCGTCAAACTGATCTCGCCGACTACAACAAGGCTCTGGATTATCTACAATCTCAAGGCTACAATGAAATCGATACTGCTCGCACTTATGTCGGTGGAAAGCAGGAAGCCTGGACCAAAGATGCTCGCTGGAAGGAACGTGGTCTGACTTTGGCTACCAAGTGCTATCCCCACGAGCCCGGCATGCACAAGGCAGACAGTATCCTCGCCTCTCTTGACAAGAGTTTGGCTGAGCTGGGAACTGATTGTGTCGACATCTTCTACCTTCACGCTCCAGACCGTTCTGTTCCTTTCACAGAAACTCTGGAGGCTGTCAACAGAGCTCACAAGCAGGGCAAGTTTGTTCAATTGGGTCTATCCAACTTCACAGCCTTTGAGGTGGCCGAGTGTGTCATGCATTGCAAGTACAACAACTGGGTTCGTCCTACCATCTATCAGGGCATGTACAACGCCATTACTCGCAGCATCGAGCGAGAGCTGATTCCCGTCTGCCGTCGTTATGGTTTGGACATTGTTGTCTACAACCCTGTTGCTGGCGGCATCTTCTCTGGCAAGTACAAGTCTAGTGAAGTGCCTACTGAAGGCCGCTACAGTGACGCAGTCGGCAGAATGGGTGGCATGTACCGCAAGCGTTACTTCAGAGATGCCACCTTTGATGCTCTGCGTGTCATCGAACCTGTTGTCCAGAAGCACAACCTGACTCTGATCGAGACGGCACTGCGCTGGATGGTCCATCACAGCGGACTCAACATCAAGGATGGTGGTAACGACGGTATCATCATTGGTGTCAGCAGCCTGCAACAGCTAGAGGGTAACCTCAAGGATGTTGAGAAGGGTCCTCTTCCTGAGGAGGTTGTCAAGGTTCTGGACGAGGCCTGGTTGATTACATGCCCAACCACACCAAACTACTGGCACTTAGATCTCAAGTACACTTACGACACTTACGAAGCGTTGTTTGGTAACAAGGCGTAATCTTCAAACCGAGAAAAAGAGGTCGGAAATGGTATACAATCTTGAAGCCTCGGGACTTGATGTTTTCAGTCACGAACGAATAAGCTACGAATGGCAGTGCATAGGTAGTTACGATTAAAAGCTTTCGATGTATCACTCTGTAGTAAGAGGTTGTGAGTTCGCCGGAAGATGGGCCAAAATGTACCTTTGTAGAGCGGAAAGTGGCCCAAGCACTGCCGAAGCTTCCCATCTTTCGCCGCAATTCATGCAAGCCGCATCTTCTATCAACCATCACACCCCAAAGTACGACTCAAATTACATTTCAAGACAAACAAATTAGATCTATTCCTTCAATTTTGGTCACTCACGTTCGGCACACAACCTCCATTTCCGACACCAACACTCAGTAGCGACCACAGAGCGCAACTCCATTAACCTCGACAAGACACAAACACTACGAAATCGTAACACAATGTCGACACCAACGCCCACAACCCTCCGCAGCCTCTACCGCTCCCTCCTCCGCGAACTACCTCCCCGTACCTCACGCACACCCTCACCCCTCGCAACTCACCTGCGCACCACCTTCGCCTCTGTCCCCAGCACAACCCCCACGTCCTCAATCACACGCGCCAGCCTCTCAGACTCCCAATCCACTTCTTCTTCCATGGCCACCTCGTCTGGTCTCGACGCCATCGGTGCCACCAAAACACCGCTTCAGAGGGTACAAGAAGCACAACAATTGGCGCAGTATCTCAAGGCACAGAGGATGTATGTTACGCTGGTGGAGAGGTACAATCCTGGTATGAATATGAATGAGGAGGAGAGGGTTAGGTTGACGGCTAGGAGGGTGGGTATGGATTTGCCTGTGGATTATGTCAAGGAGTAGATTTTGGTGGTGGGGTTCGAAGACTAGAGGGTATTGAGCATGGCTGCAAGGCATCAACATGGGCACAGGAAGTAGATGGGAGTTGGAAAGGTTCAAAGCGAGACGTGGACTTTCTTGCATGATTTAGAGCTGTTCTGTTCAAAGCTCGAGAAATCTTTTACTTCAGCATTCTGCTCGTGTCAAGATCAGGGTTGTCCTTACAGCAATATTATTGGTCATCAACGACGGTGAAGATGACCCTTCCGGCTATCATATGCATTCAAGATCGTGGTTATATGTCCTTGAGACTCTGTCTCTTGATGCCGAAGAATGAAGATATGTTTCAATCACACTATTAAGGAATACGCGGTCGACGTTATTGCCTTTCTCCAGCGAAGCACATCCCATCATTTCACCTGCAGACACAACCACCAAAGCACAATCAAGACATCAAGAAGAAGTTATGGCAAGGATAAGAAGCCCTTCGAATGCATCGTCTCTCATACAACTACGAGACAGAAAATTTCGTTAAAAACACAAGATCAAGAGAAGCGATCCCCCAAACATGAACATCAACATCCCCTTTGGCCTCCCCACACTTTCTTGTTCCTTAGAACTCGACAACCATCCGTAAACATGAAAAACGCCTAAAGTGCGACCGATTGCACTTTGCTGCCCCAGGAGACTCCGAAATGCCACTATGCCTTGGAAAAAACAGGAGGAAAGAAGGAACACAAACGCCAAATCCAAACAGCAAGAGAAGAAGAAAGATCAAGGAGATACGAAATCGAGCTCTTGAATGGCGAGTTGAATCAGTCAAGACTTTGACTTGAAACTGCCAATTATCATAAGACGAAGAGCCGTGGGTCTTTCCGTGTTGGTGAGGATGAAGACCGCTATGCAGATGCGCTGGTATTTTGTCGTCGCGGATGCAAAATTGATAGGCACGTTGGATGCTGGTATGGCGCTTGCTGACAGATGCTATGCAGTAAGGAAAAGAGCACGCTGTGGTTGGTGAAAAGGATGATGAAACATCATAAATCAGATGCTGCTCATTCACGACGCGCGAGTGCGAGGGACATTGGCGCCCACACTGCCGACACGACCACTTGTCTTGCGAACGCTGGTCTTGCCTTCAGTGCTGCGACGTGACGGTGAACTACGCTTGCCGATGCTGATGTCGCCCTTGCCAGATCTGGTTGAAGGCGTCTTAGGTTTGCGAGGGCTTGCTGAGTCTTCATGGATCTCTGCGAGACGGTTCTCGACATCGCTCTCGTCCATACCCCACTTTGTTGTCGTGGTGGTCGTCGTGGTGCAGCTAACCGCCCGACGCTTGCCGCTACGGCTGATTGGTGATTGCGATGCTTTTCGTGATGAGGCAAGAGCACGCAGTGCTTGCTCTTCCTCACTTTCACTCTCGCCCATGCTTGTGCGTTGCATACTGACAATCTCAGTGTCGGGTCTGATCTCGAAAGGCTCATTCTCAGTTCTGGTGACCTTGCGTCCGGAGACATGACCGTAAACTTTGCTAGTCTTACGAGGTTGACCGGGTGTAGGTGCAGGCAAGTTTTCGTCATTGACAGCATATTTGTTGGTGCTGCTGGCGAAAGACGCGGGCTCCTGCTCATTGATGTGGCTGATCTCACCAAGAGCTGAACGCTTGGTGCTTCCGTTGGGAGGAGTGAAAGTCTGACCGTTGCTAGCAAGACGTCTGCTGTTTCCAGAAGTGGCCTTTGTGGGAGTCGCAGGAACCATGGAGGCAGCAATCTTCTCTCTCATGGTGTCCTCGAACCACCACTCACGGAAAGTGCCCTGGTTGAGGTGAAGCCAGTGTTGTTGAGGGCCAACAACCATACCGGGACGCATGAAGCGCATGTATGCGATGATCTCGTTGGCGGTGAAACCATGCTTGTAGATCAGGTACGCGCCAATCAAACAACCGGTTCTTCCAAGACCAGCCTTGCAGTGGACAGCAATTCCCTTGCGCTTGACAGTAATCATCTCATGCGCGAGGTTGACAAATTTGCGGACCAGACTGAGAGGAGGGCAGGTACCGTCGTCGAAAATCATATCCAGGTGCTTGATGCCTAAAGCTTGGAAATACGAAGGCGAGTAAAGCTCAGAGTTGAGACGGACCACGAGACCAATGCCGCGCTCAACAAAGTGAGAAAGAACGTTCTTGAATGGTTGAGGAATTGAGGTTGAGCGGTGGAGAGCAGAAAGGGAGCGAGGGAGGTTGGCCCACTCGGGGTCAGTGGGTGCAATAACACGAGTAGGTTGGTGCTGAGGAGAAGCAAAAGCCAGGAATGAAGGAGAGATCCAGTTGAAGTCGCCCATATCAACTCTTTCGTACTTCTCGTATCTGCGAGCTTGTTAGTGGTTACTCTGTGATGAAGGGAAGATTGGCACTCACTCCTCGAGGCTGAAGTCTTTGAGGCCACAAAGACCTTCTTCCTTTGCCTTCCACACACCGTAGACGACGTCTTGCACAGTGAGGCCGTAGTCAGCTTGACTGTAGCCGGCATCGCGGAAAGGCATGCATGGAGGATCCATCTGAGCAATGGGAGCCAAGGCAAGATGCGGCGGCCAATTCTGAATCAAAATCATGTAACAAGCAAGAATGCAAGCAGCATTGGCGCGGCCTGGACCATAAGTTAGTAATCTACGCTATCGAGGGTTGATTCAATGTAGTCATACTCCTTGAGTCGGCGTTGCACCAGAAAACGACCGGTCTGCCCTCGTTCTCGGGGTCTCCGAGCACCTCATGCAGCATGACAGCAAAGCGGTACAGGTGGCCGATGTGTAGCGGGCCAAAGTCTGCGTGGAAAGCATTGTAAAGCAAGTGCTTGTCAACCGAGAAGTATACTGGAGGAAGCGAAGGGGTAGCGGCGGCTGTGGTTGACTGGGATCTGGCGGAGCGCTTGGACGGCGATTTGCTGGCGGACTTGTTTGTGTATGGGAAGGGCGTTTGCGCATTGGGCTTGTGTGTGTATGAAGCCAAGTAGAGGCGGTCTAGTTCTGTCAGACCAAGAACGGGTGGTAGATGGTATGGTGGTTGCGACACGGACCTTGGATGTACTCAATGACCTGGCCATAGCTTGTGGCAGCCGAAGGGCTATCGGATTGAGGCATTGTGATGAATGGTAGAAATGCTATGGGTGTAGCTGTGCGACTGCGTGCAAAGGCGAAGGTCGAGGGATTGCGACAGCGAGACAGCGGTGCGCCTCGGGACGGGCGGCGAGGATGGGATGAAGCGGCGAGGTGAGAAGGGGAAGTTGTCAGTGTGGCGCAGACAGCATCAAGAAAAGAATAACTGGATGTTGGAGTGGTCGAGTAAAGATGTCTGCGACAATGGACCTGGGATCAACACATTTGAAGCTCGACTCTTTGATGTTGTTGTTTATCCGCATGTCAACAAGTGCATCGCCAAGGGAAAAGCAAGCTTTGGCCCTGCCCGAGCCCCCAATTCCAGACGCTCCCCGCTACGGAAGCCTCTTGCTGCTTTTAGTCATGCTGTCTTAACATCTCTTGTCCGAGACATGCACACAAATCACCCTGTGCTTCAATCCCGTGAGGCTACACTCCTGTGACTACCGTTGTCTTTTATGATAGACACCTTTACTGGTGGTCATGCGCACCGAGCCAGCAGCTGCCCTCGACTCCCGTCGCAGCGTGTCGTGCATCATCATCATCATCGGGGGGTGTGGCTAGTGCACGGGCTCAATTACCGTTCACGCTCTGGTTGTTGGGTGCAACCCTCGAGCCTGGCGACCACTCGTGCTCTCTGCTTGCTACATACCAACAACAATCTCCCAGTATACGTCACCTTTCAGCCTCTTGCATGTTCTGCAAGAATGATCAGAGACGGTAAACTCCACGGCTGGTTGTCTCTGCCCGTCGACACTCTTCCTGTGTGGGCTTCCCTTAACGATGTCTCGTTTGATGGCGTTGCTATTGGGCCCTTGCCTGGTAAAGAGGACCGCGGCTCGACTGTCATTGCAAAGCGCCATCTCAAAGGCGGCCATGAACCTCCACTCATGACCATACCTAGAGATCTCATACTTTGTCTGGAGAGAATTCATCAGCATGCAAAATCTGATTCTGATTTTCGTGCTGTCCTTGATGGCCTGGATGAATTTGGTAGGGTAGGTAACTCGGCATATTCGTTCCTTCCACTTCGAACCTATTCCCCCTTAGCACATGCCCTATCTTCATACCGACGGGATATAGTATCCTTCGACACAACCATATAGGCCACAATATCAAAACTTTGCCACAAACAACTTGCCTTTACGTCTTGCACCACTTCTTTCCAACAACAGCTGACCTTGTGTCAGACTGCTAGAGGCGCCATTTTGTCTTTCCTGCTCATGCAATCCTTTACTGCATGTCCTTCTGTCGAGAATAAAAAGGGCGTGTCAGGCCCGTTCACTGAGTATGTCAAATACTTGCCGATGGAAATGCTCCCTACTTTCTGGTCGCCTGCTGAGTGCGACCTGCTGACTGGCACTACACTTGCCCCTGCCTTGACCGCAAAGCTCAAATCGCTCAATCGCGAGTTCGAGCAACTTCGGAACGCAACATCGAACATACCATGGTGCGCCGAACAATGGTGGGACGAAGTTGACGGCATCATTGAATTTGACGACTGGCTACAAGTTGACGCCTTCTACCGCTCCCGAGCACTCGAGTATCCTGGTGTTGGCGATTGCATGGTACCCTGTATCGATATGGCCAACCACTCTTCCGGCACCGGCACAGCTGCTATCTATGAGGTTGACCATCAAGGTAACGCAGTGTTGCTGTTACGCGATGGAAAGGGCATTGAACAGAATGGGGAGATAACCATCACCTACGGTGATGACAAAGGCGCCTGCGAGATGCTTTTTTCCTACGGCTTCATTGAGGACGAGATGGAGTCTGCCCGTGAGCTATTTCTTGACTTATCGATCCCAGAAGACGACCCGTTACGACGAGCCAAATCGGCAGTTGCGAAGTGCGCTCCAGGCTTCAAGATCGTCGACGCTGAGGATGGCGTGATCTTCGAAGGCCCATATATTTGGCTTATCTGTGTCAATGAGGAGGATGGACTCTCATTTCGGATCCAGCAGACGGTCGACGGCGTTCAAGAGCTGATAGCCACATGGCAAGACGAACCGGTGCACGGGTTTGAGGGGTTTCGATCTATCCTAGAACAGGACCCTTTGTGGGATGTTTATCATCTCCGAGCTGTGAGCATATTACAGGAACGAGTTGCGAGTCAGCTACAGGACCTCTATGGGTCAGATGATCGAGTCGATGCCACGCAACATGGCGATGGCACTGGCATCAGGGAGCGAGCTTGGCATCTTGCAAAACGACTCAGATTGCTGGAGAGTGAGCTATTGGAAAAAGCTTACAGCTACTACGAAGATCAGGTATGTCGGCAACACAGACCCAATTCCGATGATCTGCACCTTGATATGGACGGCTTCCGGCAGCATCACGGAGCATACACGTTGACTCCACATGCTAACTGGCTCATTCTTCAGAAACTTCAACTCATGCAAAGTGAGACTGTGTTGAGATACTTGTCGGGGCCAGACGTTGATCAAGATGAAGATTTCTCCTGAAAATGGTCGCTCTGAATTAGTCAGTTATCAGAAATCCAAGGGCACAGCAAAATGTTACCCCACGCAGCAGTGTGCTTGAAGCCAGAAGGTGAAGTAATTGTTGCTCTATGACCACCGCCTACGCACGTACACGGAACCCCACGCCTACCTTATCTCCACGAGGCAGCGTGGTTTTGATTGGAGATCTGATGACCCCTTTTCGTGGTGCTCCGAACTCTGCATGGCACCATGGCTTTATGACAGCTTACCGAGCGGTACGAGCCCCGGCAGCTCGACAGTCATGAGCATGATCTACGCTCGTAAATTACAGAATAGGCCAATTCTACCAAAGATCTACATCAACAGTTATGGCAAGCTTCGAAACGAAAGAATCCAAGCAAGTTGGTACACCAAAAAGGCCGCGCTACAAGGTCACGACATCAATCAAGTTTGGTAGTAATGACTCAGGCCTTGGGAGGCCTAACTGCCGATACTGACTGAGCAAAGGCCGAGCTTTCCCTGTGTCATGATGACTGTTATTCCCACATGACGGTCCATCGAATCAAGCTCATGTCTGATTGATATACTTGCCCAAACACTTGGCTCTGGGGAATTCGGCCGCAGATCGCATTCATAGAAATGTGACAAATCTGGTCATACGTATTCACGTATCACGTATACTGAGCTTATGTGCGCCGATGACTGAAATTTCACTCGGAACAGCCTCCCCCGGTTTCTGCGATGACCTTAAGCCCTGGTCTCGAACGCTTCCGAATTCTGACAAACGTCCTTGTTACGTCGCTCTGGATGTCGGCACCGCGGACCGCAGCCATGAGCGATATTGTTCAGAGATTCTTGGCCATTGATCAGGACTGGAGTGAAGTCTCAGACATCTCGATATCTTGCATGCATATGTAAAGCAATGACAATCGGAAATTTGCGGGAGTAGCTACGAAGCAGCGCCGCCTCAAACTCAGCGCCATCAATGATGTTAGACTTTATGATCGTCCAACGCGTCCAGCGCTCCCCCGCAACTGCAAAGAGTATCGGTCATGGCAGGGTTGTCAGTCTTGCGTGATAGACCAATCAGACAGTTCAACGACGAACCGCCGATACAGGTCCGAGGTTTTTGTCTACGTTTTGGGTCTAGTCTGGTCTCTCCAAGAGGCCTGAGAGGAAGTTGGCGTCTGGGGGTTGCCGCTGTTGTGTGTGCTCACCCCAGATTGGACTATGTTTCGAGTCCCGCGTTTGGTTCGATTTGTCTCTTGTCTCTTCGTCACGACGAGATCTCCACACTTGGTTCTGTACGTACCTACATAACCATAAATCACGCCTCCTTCCACGCACCCTACTTTCTAGCCCGATTTCTCTCGCATGCACCATTCCTTCGGTATCCCCAACTCGAACGCCGCTTATCTCGTGCTCACCTAAAACACGAATCCCCCCGACCGATATCCATCACACTCACACATACACGACTGGACGACACACTCATCCACGTTTACATACCGGCAACATGCCAGGCATCCTACCCATGAAGGTCATCAAGGTTGGGTCGAGCTCCCAATCCCGTATTGCACAGGCCTGTGACAGGTATGTTGGTCGAATCCGCCTTCTGCCGCGTGTGCTTATGCCCTGGCAGATGTCGAAGCAAGAAGATCAGATGCGACGGAATCCGACCCAGTTGTTCGCAATGTACCAGCGTCGGATTCGAGTGCAAGACTAGCGACAAGCTGAGCCGTCGCGCCTTCCCTAGAGGATACACAGAGTCGCTTGAGGAAAGAGTCCGAAGTCTGGAAGCGGAGGTCAGAGAATTGAAGGAGTTGCTCGACGAAAAGGACGAGAAGATTGACATGCTGTCAAAACTGCATTCGGCCTCTTCACAATCTGCTTTTCAGAACTCACCGCGGCGGCCGTCAGTCTCACCAGCAGTTCCCTCACCAAACATAGTCAGCGAAGACGTTTTTCAAGTTCAACAAACTCTCCAGCTCGATGGCAATGGCACAAACGCCCACTTTGCCGGCAACTCAAGCGGAAAGGCCTTCTATGGTGCAATCGTTTCCACAATCGCAACCGACTTCGCCGCTAACTTTGGACAGACGCCTTCTCAAAACGAGTTCAGGAGCTTGGCCGAGCATCGCCAGCCATCAACGTTCAGAATCTTCTACCCGGAAGCACTCACATCCCACCCCGTGACCCCCTCTCAGATCCCATCGTCTGGAAGGCCCCTGCCAGACTCGAATCCGACCAATTAATCGGCATCTTCTTCCAGGAGTGGGCACCAGTCTTCCCTATTCTGCATCGTCCCACCTTCCTAGAACTCTACCAGTCTTACATGTCCGCTCCTGAGAACATTGTGGACAATTGGAGCCATGCTCAGCTCAACCTTGTTTTTGGAATTGCTGCTTTGTCTAGTGGTGTAAGTAACACCGCGATCATATTAAATCATGGCTGACATTTCCTTCCCAGTCACGCGACGCAGCGGGACTTCTATCATTCGAGACACAATGGCAGGCAGCTATCGACACGATACTATCGGATCACAGCATGCCCACGTTGCAATGCCTTGTCTTGGCACAGCTATACTGCATGCAGCGTGGTGATTATGACAGGCTTTTGACTTACAAGGCACTCGCCGTTACTCTTTCTTCTAGATTGGGTCTGCATCAGTCACAGAAGCGTTTTGCGTTGGGTGCCTCCACTAGCGAGATGAGGAAGAAGGTTTTCTGGTCTCTGTACACCATTGACTGGTAGGTTTTGGAAAACTTGTCTCGTCGACAAACAAGACTAACGCACAACAGCTTCTCCGCCGTCACTCTAGGTCTTCCCAAACAGCTCAAAGATGAGGACGTCCACTGCGAGGAGCCTCATGACGCTGATGAGGAATACGTTGACGAGACTGGATTCAAGGCCCCTTGCCCTGGTGAGTACACTAGAGTGTCTAGTGCTCTTGCACTCTTCCGTGCTGCCCGTATTCTTTCTCGGGTGTTGGAGGAGATTTATCCTGCTCGTTCTTCATACGAGCTCTCGCTGCAAAAGCTCTCGGCGTTGTCGGAAGAACTCGATGCGTGGCACAACGCCCTTGCGCCACACTTGCGCCTTCCTTTCGCAAATGACAAACCGACGACCGGAACTGTCAGCAGCCGTTCTCCATTGCTGGTATGTCACTCAGACATCACGATATAATCATTGGCTAATCATCACAGTCGTTAACTTACCACTTCATTCGTGCTCTGATTCACCGCCCAGCTGTGTGCGCCTCTCTTGGCCCAAGAGCTTCGTCGTCTGTGCTTGCAGTGGCAGGATCTTCTAAGCATATCATCCAAATTATTGAATTGCTGAGCGAGAGAGGGCTAAGTTTCTCATTTTGCATCAACAAAGATGAGCTCCTCGTTCTATCTGGGCTGGGTCTTCTCTTCCAGAGCCTGGAACTCGGAGAGAGCAGCAAGCTTGTCAAGGACAACCAGAAGATGACTTCAGCTGTTGTCAAAATCTTGACACAGACCAAGGCACCTTCTGCAACTGAATTCCAGAAACTCACACCTTCAGTGCCAACACAGCTTACGACAAAACATCAACAGCCGAGCTTGTCGCGCCACAACTCTGATGGTGCTGTTCACCCTGTGGGCTTGTCGAACCATGGAAGTTCTTCTCCGACAGAAAAGAATCGATTCAAGGCAGCAGCTCAGAAACTCATGGCCAAGAACCCTTTCGATCGCCATGACCAAAGAAGAGCAACCTTCCCCAACATCTCACTGCACCACGATGCGATCCAGACTCAGAGCCAGCCCAACATACCCCAGGTCGCGACTTCTGAACCCGCATACAGCCCCGCCAATCCTTCCCCCGCACCACTACCCGCGTCCGCCCGACCTTCAGCGCCACCAAACCTTAGACCAGTTCGATCCCTCCCTCAGCAGCAGCTCAACCTGGACTATCTCTCGTTCAGCAACGTTCCTACCCGTACGCACTCACCTGATACCCATGCATCCATCAAGCAGGAGCCCTCGGACTGGGAACGTCTACTCGGTTCGCTGGACAACGGACAGACCAATATTTTCGACAACATCTATGGCGGACCACCTGTTGACTTTCTTGACGCCCACAACCACCAAAATGTCAAGCACATGACGCCCATGGCTACAAGCTTACCCAACCCGGCTCCCCAGTGGCACCACTCACCCCCTGATGTCTGGGCTGTCACAAACTCCGACATCAATACTATGACCTGCAGCATGGCTGGTACTATCGCGCATCCCGAAAGTGTCTTCAGCATTGGTACCGACGACGATGGCACTGCTACTGGCGATGAGCTTTTTGGCAACGATTGGGGCAGCGCCAGCAGCACCAACGGCGAAGCCTACCATGCAGGCATAGTCATGCCAAACATGACTCCCGACGAGCACAGCATATTGAACAGCATGTGGAGCGAGAGCACCGCTGTTCTTCAAGCCTCTTGAGGGAATGATATAACGATTAGTGTTCTTTTGAGACTGCACTTTCTGTTCTTGTTTATACCCCCACCATCTTTGTCTATATATGTATTCCGTTGATCGGAGTCTTTTTGTGCAGATTAATATCTATCTGTGTATATAGTTGGCGCACTCGGGTACTCTGAATATATATCTATTTCTTGTGAACGACTCTTTCCACCTCATACGTTCCTCCCCTTCCACGTCCTTTCTAGCGTATGCGCCGTCCATGACTGAAACAAGAATCCGCACTATCAGCATCCCAAATCTGCTTCACCGCCTCACCAAACCCCCCTTCTCTCCAGATTCGAACTCCGAGAGGCAACGACTTCGCAGCCCACTTCGAACCAATCAACGCTATTTAAGCATGTTGCGCAGCCAATTTCCATTTTCAATCACTCGACACCCTCTTCGGACGACCGGAGGCTTCAAGCACAGAGCCCAGACCCGAGGAAAAGGAACCTCACGAGATCATCCTTTCTTGTTCGTGCCTGACATGTACACATGTATTTGCTTTAACCCCCCACCTTGAACTAACTTTTAGACTCTGTTCGGTCATACACACACCTCTGAAAAAGCCTTCCGGTTTGTTTTCTTTAGGATCATCAAGGGAACAAGAGGAGGGGTATTGTGACTAATGAGGAAAATGGACAAGCATGGGTTGTGCTCGGAGTTGGGGGTAGCTTTTATGCATGTTTGGTAGTGAGAGCCGTGTGCTTGAGTAGGGTAGGTTTCGGTATGATGGGTGGGTTGTGTCAGGTATGTAGATATGTATCAAATGCTTGTGGGGGTGCAGTGATCATAGAGTGGGGTGGTCAGTGTTCTCTTCTGTAGAATATGGCCTACAGACTTGGAAAGCGAAGGGTGGTCAAGCTTGAAGGAAACAATCGATAAATCGGTATTGACAAAATCGGCGTGAAGATATAGAACACGATGATATCGACAACTGCCAGGTATAAGCGAACTCTTTTTTACTCTCTATGCACGAGTGGCCTTGGGTTTTCTGCTCTTTTTCATGCCTCTGCCCTTTCTGTTGATCAGCGCGGTCAACTCTTCGACAAAAACGACATTGGCAATTCTCAGTGCTTCCTCGTCATTGGCATCCCCTGTGTCACGTTGAAGGCCAGATATATCCAATACTCGCAGCGCCCTTTCGGCCCCCATAGTATCGAACCAGAAAGCAGCATCACGATATATCTGCTGTGCTATGCCAGTGCCCTCGATTTTACCGGCTTTTTGGGTAGTTGGTTTGTTCCAGTACCGGCCGTGCCAGTAGTAATTTGAAAACCCTTCGATACGCAACGTTTCGAGATTGCTGCAGCTGCGAAGAAGAGTCATTGCTGAGACGTTCATTGCCTTTCTTACTCCACGACCCCAGTTTTCATAGTTGTGGATGGTTATTTTGCGGATGAGGGACCCAGTTTGGTTGCTCAAGGGCGCTAGGAAGCTGTGTAAAGCCGTCGTGTTGACGAAGTGAAGAGGTTGTGAGTAGAGTATCGCTGCTGCTTCGGCATAGATCTGCTTGTTCACAGCAAGTAGGGACGGGATCAACGTGCATGAAGCCTGCCCTTCTTGGCTGTGATAGCCCTGATCCGAGTATACTAGGTTGCCTATACCAGCATAGCGTTCTCTGTCCTCGCAGTCGTGATATTGGCAACGTTTTGGCACGCGACGATGTGGCACGCCAGCCTTCATGCAAGACCATACCATCGGGGTCCTCCAGGGCCAACGAGTAAATCTTGTTGCGCAACTCGCTAGGCAAAGACAAGAAAGGGAAGACCTTCACAGGCTTTTCCTTGCGTGCGCGCTTAGGCTTAGTCTGCTTCGAGGGAGAGGCCCAGTCAACAGATGAATCGGAGCTGTAGCCCGAGTCTGCATCACTTTCGACGTCGGACTCGGCAAATTCTGCGTAAGAGATTCGAGTGCGCTTTCGCAATTGTCGGCAAGGCGAGGCTGACTCTGATTCGTTTATCGATTCCTCGTTGTTGTGGTCGTCGCCCTCAAGATCATCGCACTTCCTCTTTTGGCCGAGCAGTGACCACGCCAAAGACTGTGCTGTTGCCGTACATTGCGAGTATATTGAAGTGCCAATCACTTGTAGTCTTTGAGACGGACTGAGACCTGCAGGCATTGAAGCTTCCATAGCGAGAATAAGATGGTGAAATTGTCGAGGAGTTGTTGAAGGGTAGTTTATTGTTGGTAAATTGACTTACTTACGACCTACCTGACTGTTGATTATATGTTTCTAGAGCCATTCTATTCACGGCCCAGGTGGCGATGGTGCAGCCTGAATTACACGAGCTGAGACGCTGTCTTTTGGTGACTTGATGAAGAAGCGTCGAATTTCTGCCTGGTGCTTGCCTCATTTGGGAAAAGTGGCAGGCAGCATCAGGCAGAAGGCGCGTTGATTCGCAGCCTCTTCAACCACAAGAAAACATGCTTGTAGCTCTGCAAACGCGCGCTCCATCGCTCAGTGGTGAAACTCTATCATGATGATATCGACATTGAACAGCCGTACAAGTTTGGAATGAACGAACCACTCGAGATAAATATCCAGGAAGGCCGAAAGGCAGCTTCCACTGTGACGCGCTCTCCATGGTAACGACACTCCCACTTCAGCATGCATCTGTCACGACCCGTTGACTCGTCTTCAGTCTGCTGACTTGCAACCATTTGAGTACCGATTGGCCTCTACAGATCTTTGATTGTTTCAAAGGCTTGCTCGGATGGTCCGCGATTTCTGAAAGTCGATTTTTCCATCCAATATGGAGGAAGCCGCGATTCAATGTTGCCTGGTCAATGCGAATTTTGCGTACACCAACATCAGTTGAACAACCTATACTGCAGATACCCTACCTTGTTCCCGCTCGCCGTGAGCATGAGATGTCTACAACGTTACTAGTGTCTGGTGTGATTGGAACCAGTTGCGGTGTCAATACAAATTGCTTCAAGCAGCGCTAGCAAAATTGCCATTGTTAAATGCGAGGACCTACACACCATCTTCTGGCAACATGAAGCAATCAAGATCAGAACCCAATTTAAAGTCCGACACAGCAGCGTCACGAATGGCTCGGCTCATTCGTCCGCCGAGAGGAACACTTCTGAACCCAGGTGTCAATGCCGATTTTAAAGCTCGACATCTATCTGTCTACGGCCGTCCCTTGATGTCGAACCGAGATCTCCGCGCGATAGAGGTCGCGGAACTCATGGCTGACTGGGCCTCTGATGAATCTCAGCCGGATGGAGTCCGTGAGGGGTTTCCATTAGATAGCGTGGTGGGAATCAACCTAGCCATCAACGACTTTGAGATTCTATCAAGGAGCCACACAGAAGACATAGAAGATGCTTTCACCATCTTTGCACACGAATGGAAATGGCGTCCTCCGGTGCTCAAAGCATTCAAGCCTGCGGATGTCAGCCGCTGGGAGATGGAGGTCTATAACATTCTCTACAACTATTGCCTACGACCCTTGGAGTACAACTCTCACACGGTATTTCAATTCATAGTCTGGCTCTGTTCCCATGGCAGCGTGCCCATAGAGATGCACGACATCATCGAAAAGGAGCGTCTTAGTGGCGAAGGGATCAGATACTCTGATCTCTTAGGATTTGTAAAAGCACATGTTGACTTACAACCAGAGGAAGTCCAGCGCAAGAAGAGACTCGCAGAGTTCTTCGCCAACAACAAGCCCCCTACACTTGGAGTCGCTGATCTGGAAGGGTTCGATCGATACAAACGAGATGTCATCAAGATCTGTCAAACAAATCGGGACATCTACGTACTGTGGGATGAGCAGTTTGTGTCCTGGCTCAAAAAAGGGCTTTGTGGCTTCCCAAGACTCATCTCTTCGATCGACCGTCGGGCGTTTGAACTGGCCATCCGGCTCGACGACAATAGGCCTCCTACGTGTAAAGACGTTCATCTTATGTTTGGCGATCTCTTGATCGTGATGGAGCATTACATCGCTCGTGAACACGATCGTCAGACGCAATGCACACCAGAACCACTGACCGAGCAGTCAGATGATGAAGTTGAGCTTGAGGATATGTTCAACGAGATCTTGCACAATGAGAGAGAGATCCATTACCAGAAGGCTGAGATCCAAAAACGGCAGGCTGAGAACAAAGGGACAGTCGACGATGACAGACGTCTCCAACTTCTTGATCAGAAGGCACACAAATGTGTCAAAATGCTGAAAGAACTTCAGCAAGCACAGAGAAGAAGAAAAATCAAATTCGAGCAAGAAGCTGTACAGCGCAACATTGAGTCCACGAAGTTCATGACAGGAAGTTCCGCTGCTCAGATGATCACTGCTCAAGATGTCGAAATGCGAAAGGCTGTATTGCAAGAAGTTCTCGCACCTCAGCAATACTACACAAATATGCCCAAACACAGGCCATCCTATCCTCACAGACCTGATGAAAGGTCAGGCCGAGGCAATCACGACCCCGATTACGAGCGGCGGCAAAGATGTCGTATGGCAGAAATCAGACGCCAAAAGTTGACTCGAAGGACGAGATGATACTCCAGTTTGTATAACGATCATACGATCAACCAGATGCTATCGAATCTCCGCTCCCCCGGGATACACTCTATGCTATATTCTGTATTCTATGTTCCTTTCTTGTATCGCGGTTCTTCAGATGCCTCCACATCTGCTTGACCCAAATTTTCAGGACAAATCTATGTCGACTGGGCTTTACTTGCTCCTCGATCTGCGCAGGGACTCTGTGGATCGTATCCGTCACATCTCTATCTCGATTACGCTCGCTGGTTATGGTGCTAGTAACCGAATCTATTCGAACAAATTCGTGTTCGGGAACTTCGGATCTTGACGGCCGTAAACGCCACAGCATATCAGAAGGAGGGGTGATATCGTCTCGTTTGAACCTCGCAGCCCTTGTCAGATCCGTGTCAGCGTAAAAGTCGCTGTGGTCGTTGTGAAATGGTCTTGGAGGTCTGGCGGTTGTTGGATCTCTGATCCAAGTGTGTTTTCTTGACAACCACGAGCTGATCAGCCATGCAGGTGAAAATGAATACCTGCAAGATCCCAGTGAGGTCCACGTTGACAAGATGATTTCGAAGCTACCCTTGTTGTGACCTTTGAGGACGAAGGTATACGCAGTCAAGCACACGTCGCATTGTCTAAGTTCGGGACTGGATGTTCGTAAAGACCTTGAAATTTCCAAAAGCTCGGCGACATGCTGTCCGATGTCATGCTGATGACAGCAAACTGCCAGGTGTGTTTGCGCCCTTTGGCCAATATCCCTGACCCAATCGTGCGACCGCAGTCTCAAAATTACCAAGTACTCCCCAGGAAAGAACAGACGTTGCTCTGCCCAAAGGTTGAGCGTTGGGCCTCTTTCGCCGTTCACGATCTCAGGTCTGATCTCCAGTTGTTTATAACAGACCAAAGGTGGCTGTTCAAGGGCGGCAAATGCTTGAATTGGCCAATCGCAGACTATCTCCCATCCTTGATCTCTTCGGATTGTCGTCAGCGGGATTCCGTGAGGTGCTCCTATCGCATGCCTTTTGATTGTCTGCTGCGCATCTTCGAAGAGTATTGTGTAGTTCCATTCTGGCAGACGGTAAAACACTGCTTGTGTTTGACTTGCGATACAAGGACGATACGCACGTCCACTCGCCGTGAACTCCACTCTCCGATGCAATCTCATGCAAAGGTCGCATCGCCAGTGGTTAGGCAAATCGCGCCCTAGCATTTCCAGAAAGAGCAGCAGCTCATGATTGAGAATATCATTTCGAAGGTGGAGCATTCGACGTTCATTCAAGTCTGAGCCAAACTCGTGTAATGCGAAATCTTCAGGACAGAGAAATATCTGCTGAGTTGGGCTCAGTTGCGTGCGCCATATGTTCTGCATATCCTGAGCATGATACAGAGATTTCTTGGCCAAGGCCAGGCACGCAATACTTCTCAAAGGAAGATATCGGCAGACTTGAAGCACCAGCTCGATCGGCAACTTGGCAACATGGTCAGAATTCATCTCGAGAGAATCAAGACTACCCCTCATAGTGTTGAGAAATCTGGGCCATAGAGTACGTTATATACCTCGAGGTATGACTGATTGGTTTGGGAGCAAGCCGAGGGCGTGAGCAAATTCGCGGCCGCACTTTGCAATTCGACGATTTCTACCTATACCACGACGCCAAGCCTAGGTAGCAATGAGCACATTAACGACAGTCAGCGAAAAATCTCAATTATCCAGCCTCTGCTTGGGATATATTATGGGCCCTTGATTCTGGTTTTCTCTTCCAGCTCTTCTACAGCCCAACTACAGGTTACTGCAGCAAAATCATATTGGCGGCTTTGGCATCATCAAACATATCAAAAAGATGGACGTCGTCACAAATCTTGGACTCAACGAGTCGCAAATCTCAGAACCTTGGTTCCAAGTCATGGATCCCATCTCTATCGCAGACGTATGCGAGAATGATCTTGAGAGATGGTCGATCCTCAAGAACAATGAGAAGTATCTAACGATCCATCAGGCCGAGACACACAATCCCATGTCAGATGCTGTTCCCTTCTCATCAGAAAAGCGCGTCCGAGACTCAATATGTGTCTACAAGGAGCGTATGAAGGATGGCCATCACCATGCTCATCGAAGAGTGCCTAAGGTGTTTTCAAAGCTCACCAGGTTCAATACCACAAGTTTTGGAAACACTGCGCCCTCGACAGACCAACTTTCTATCAAGTTGAAGGCGTACAGGCAGAAGTTGGATAACGATCGCATCGAAATGACAAGCGAACAACTCATGAGTCTGGAGAAAGAGTTGAGCGCAACTGTCCAAACTGTCCAACAAAAGCTGAGGTCTCATGGGAACACCACAAGCGAAAAGGGCACAAATTCATCCAGCAAAACCAGCCTCAGCTCTAGGGCAAGCGATCTCTCTAAGAAAGCTGCAAAGAGAGTCTCGAAAGGCTTTTGCATTCCCATTCGTTGCAGTGCATCAGAACATAACGCTGCTCCTCGTCCCAAAGCCATTTCACGACCGAGCTTCGCATCCACAACATCAAAACTAGCTGTCAAGTTTCGGAACCTTGTGGACAAACAGACTCAGCATTCACCCAACCACTCCACCGAGTCAGTGGCCACAGAAACCCCACCAAACACTCCAAATACTCCAATATCACATGTCATCTTCAATCCAGACATCTGGAAATTGTCTCCAGGCAAGTCGACCGCATCCATCAAACCTGCACTCAAGACGGCATCAAATTCATCATCACCACCGCCCTCGCCACGCTCAAGAGCACACTCCTCTTTCGAGTACACCACAGACGAACCCTTCGAGCGCCGCGAATGGATTCCTAGCGAGAACATCTCGCCTTGCACAAGCATCGGCCCAGATGACCCTTCAGACTGCCAAAAGACTGAAAGGGGGTATGCAGAATATCACAGCGAGCACGCTGGCTGGGACGTCAGAAAACCCTCTACTGCGTCTTCGGAGTCTGAATATAACAGACCTTTGGGGTGGGATCTCAGAAACACGTCGGCTGCATACTCGGCCTCTCACTACAGCAGATCTATATCTGACTAGAGCTGCACCTACAAGAATAAAAGTATTGAGTAACAGAAGGAAGTGGTGGAAATGTACATGATCAACAAAAAGAAGCGTGCAGGTGGTGGAATATTCGCAACGAAGAAAAAAGTTTTTGGCACATAAAAAGTCGACACTGGTTTTTGCGACCTCTACTAGATGGCTAGGAGGAGTACTTCCAGTGAAACCGGCGTGCTTTAGATGAGCCGGCATAAAATAGCTGCTCTTGAAAAGACAAACCTACAACAACAATACATTTGCACTTTCCATTTCTGTTATGAGATCTTTTCCTGCCCATGCATATAGATCTTCATGGCACTAGTCGGTCATAGATTGGCTGCTGTTTCGTCGTACTTGCATCTTATTTTCTGGAAAGTTGGGCTTGACTGTATCCTGATGAGACACACAAGGTTGTCAAGACAAAAGATTCAGCTTGGTCTAAACAGTGAACCTCCATCTAATATCATCATCACCTTCTATGCCTTGTTCCTGCTCTTGCGGTTGTACGCCCTGCTCTTCCAATCTATCTCTTTTCTTGTTTTCTCTGTTCAGAGTCCACCATGTCAAAACAGCGACACAAACATTCAAACACAGATATGCGAGCGCAAACGAATGTCCCAAGACATATCTCGGCGCCGTCTCAGTTCTGTACAATTGAGTGCCCAATATCGCGCCTAGATTGCCGATAGTTATTTGCATGGCTGTTGCTGTAGCTCTTTTCGTCTGGCCGGATACGTTGATGGCTGGAAGTGATAGAGCTAATGCTGTGGAAGGGTAGATACCTGCTGCGGCGAAGAAGGTGCCGACGTAGCTTGCGGCAGGATGGTGAGTGGGATGTTTGTTGGCAAGCAAGATTATGTAGCCGATTATGCCGGTGAGCGACGAAATCATGATGAAGATGTTCCTGCGGCGGAACTTTTCTGCGGTAATGGCGTAGATGACGGTGAGAGTGGTTGCTAGAGCGTAAGGAGGGATGGTGAGGAGCTGGGCCGAGGAAGCTGTATAGCCTAGACTTTTGATGATCGAGGGCTGTTGATATCTCGTCAGCCTCTGTCATAATTTGACAGTCTTGTATCCTTAGGCTAGAACTTACCAGGAACAGAGAAAGCGTGTATAGTGGAAGACTTAGGGTGTGGAAGTGTGCGCAGTACAGCCAGACCTTTGGGTCTTTAAACGCTTTCCACACTTCTGACCACTCAAACTGTTCGCTATTGGATGCGTCGCTGTCGGCCTTCAGGCGTGCGGTCACAAAGGCTTTTTCATCTGGAGCAAGGAAAGTGCTCTTTGAAGGCCAATCGACGATGAACCAGTACGCTGCTACTCCTATAAGCACAGTAGCTATGCCTTCCTGAGAGATTAGTCAGTATAATTTCTGCGGCGAGACAGAGCATGATTGTGAATTCTGCTGCTCCTGTCCATCCTCGATGGATACTTTTTTGTCATACGGCAATTGTACATTGCTACAATCACATCTGTCGCAAGTCTGCGCACGGGAGGGGCCCCACTTACAATGATGAAGATCCAAGCCCAGCCGTTGAGGCCTGCAATGCCCTTCATGAAGCCAATACCCTGACTTGAATTAGCAAAGGTGTAGCGCGATTCAGAGGTAATACTCACATATGCCAGAATGCCACCAAAAGCACCAGCCAAAGATGCTGCGGAGAAGAAAAGAGCCACTCTGTACGTTCTTTCTTCTCGCTTATACCACATTGACAGATAGAATACTACCTGAACGCGGAAGTATCGTTAGCACTTTCAATTTTGATGAAGCACTACTCTCCAATATCACTTACACCAGGGAAAAGAGCGCCCTCAGCAACACCCAAGAACGTCCTGATAACAAAAAATCCAACTTTATTCACAAGGATGCCTTGTAGAGTCGTCACGATACCCCAAACGATGGTCACAGCAGGCAGCCATATCCTAGGTCCAATTTTCTTGAGTATCAGATTCCACACGACCTCCAACGAGATGTATCCGATGAAGAAGACGGTGAGACCAGTAAGGTATTCGTTGCCAGTCATATGGAGATCAGTAACCAATCCATCCAGACGGGCATTGGCGACATTGCTGCGATCCAAGAAAGAAACGAGGTACAGGAGGGAGACACCTGGAAGCAATCTCCAATCGAGTTTTCGTAGCAGAGACTTCTCGTTGATATGAGTGAAGTCGGCAGAAGAGATGGAAGAGGCCGGTTTAGGGTATTCGTCGGCGTGCTTCTCGATGTCCGCCATCGTTGCTGTTCAAGCACTGCCTTGATGTAAAAAGGACAACTCAAGACAAGAGAACAGGGGAGGATGCGAAGACGCAAAAAGAACGAGGATCCCGCACTGATATGTACCAGCCCTACCTACCTGCAGTCCACCTACCTCAATCGGATTGGGGTCCCCAGAGCGGTCTTGTGTGCTTGTATTGCAGGCGGAAAAGTATATCTTCTGACGTCTTCCAAGCCACATTGTCCATCATCTCACCGCACACGTGGAGAAGTACTCGCCGGATCAGAAAGATGCTGGGTGTTCTTGACAAGACGAACCAATGGGCGTGGAGCTGCATGGATAAATTCATTGCGTGCGCGGGTGGCAGCTCTTGCATCTTCGAGGGTTGCGATGTCGTGATTTCAAGGGTTCGCCGATCACCTCGTGCCAACTTCATGCTTCAAAGGTGCCAGGGGTTTGAGAGACACGAGGAAAGAGGCCCAAGAACAACCACCTGTGAATGACATCTGAAACGGAAAATGGCAGGAAGAGGCTGAATTGAATGAGAAAGGACGTTGCTGTTGCTCGTGGTGGAGCTGTTGCCAAAGCTTCGATGCACAAATCATGATGCGTTATCCTTCTTGCATTTTTATGCACCTTCCTTTATTGCTCAAAAAGTATCCCAATCCTACAAAGCTCACAGCACGTTTTTGTCAATACTGTTTCGTATTTCTATAGCTACAGTTTGATGGTCTAGAACACTGGCGATATCTCATACCAGAATGTGACCATCTAAAGTTTCGAAGACTCGCCTGTTAGCTTCAAACCAGTCAACCTCTCCAGCTCTACAACAGCTTTGTCTGCCCTTCCTAGTTCGACCTTGACAGTCCTCATGCCAACTTTTCTGGCTGTTCTCAGATTTGTTCCAATATCATCAAAGAAGACAATATCTCCAGCCTTGACACCATCTTTGTCACCTCTTTCCCTGGCAAGTTTGTCCAATGCATTAATTGTATGGATATAGATCTCCTCATCTGGTTTTCTCATTCCCACGTGTGCTGAACTAACAGCTAAGTCAAAGAGACCCCAAAGTTTAGCGTGGAACATTCCGTCCGGTGAATCAGGCGAGTTGAACTCGTGGCCTTCAGGAAAGATGGAGGTGTTGCTCAGCGCAGCAACAATGAATCCCTTTTGCTTTGCATGCTTCTTCAAATTCTGTAATGCCGGCCACATGTAGGGATCAGGCTTTCTGGATATCGTCATCATCTGCCAGTACAGCTTCTCTCCATCGATATTTGGCGGCGCTGGGATTTGATATGCTGCTTCTTCTGCTGCTTGTGATCTCGTCTCTTTTCTGGTCTTCTCGAGATGTTTGATGTAGAAGCTTCGCCATAGCTTTTCGTCGCGGAGGTCAGAGGTGAAGCCGTTGAAGAAGGAAGAGTCGAGGGGTATTTGTCCACGTTCGAGTTTTGCCCAAAAGCCAGTCTTGCCGGAAGCTGAGATCGCAGTGTTGATCCAGCCTATAGGAATGGAGTTTTCCTTTTCGTACGCGAGGATGGCGGCGAAGGGGGAGACGACCTGGAGTGGAGTATTAGTATGGCTGTTGGAGATTCGTGCAAGTTAGGAGCACATACACAGACGCCGCCAATATCGAACAGCAGCACTTTAGGTGATGAAGACGACATGATCAATGATCAACTGACAGTATATCTCCAGGTATGGTGATGCTACATGTTGGCGACTTGTTGGTCAAGTCAAACAACAGCCCGAGGTGTGCGCGAAGTCACCTCCGCAACCTTGGTGGATTTGCCGAGGCTCATCCAACAACCACAACCACTTCTGTATATCGCTGTAAAAATGCACAATGTTATTTGTGCTAGAGCTTTGGCCATGGAAACATTCTACCATGATGTGCTGTCTGTGGCAGTGACTCTTCTGTGCACAATACTGTGCTCTCTTTCCACGATGAGATATAGTGATCGCATAAGCTGTCACATCGCAGTTGTTTCGTGGTTTCATTCGTTCTGAAGTGTAATCACGGCAAAGACTGTATTGTATGTGAAAGGCCCGTGTAGAAGAACCATGCACCCCATGAATTCGTATCACCATGGGATATATCTACCTGTCTACTGTTATGTGCCTCGCAATGTTGGCCGATGCGACCAAGCTGTCTCGTTGTCTGCTTCTGTTAGAGCGCCAACAGATCAAGAGTCAAACTCTCCGGCCTCAACCCTGGCCATTGCCTCCTTGGCCCTTGCTCTGTTCACTTTGTGCTCAGCATACTCCTTTTTGTGATCCTCCAATCTTTCTTCTTCCTGAGCCTTGTAGGCTAGATATTCTTCGTGGCTCATGTGGGACTCGTACTGCGAGTAATCCATGATCCCAACTTCAATCTCACGATCCTTGACACGATCCTCAAACGAATCTTCGTAGTCGAAGTCCCAACCTTCGCCGCCGAAGCCAGCGAGAACATCGAGTCCCTCGCAGATCTGTTTTTGCCCATGCCAGAACCTTCCCTTGGCGAGAAGTATTCCTGAGTCTCCGCTGTAATCCTTGTTCATGGCTCGCACGTCGTCTAGAACCAAGGTGGTCAACTGGAGCTCATATCTCAGACAGTGCAATATGGATTCCATGTTTCTGAGGTTACATTGGTCACCCCAGAAAGCAACGTCAGTCAGCTTTACCACCTTCAAAGTCTTGCCAAGAGCTTTGAGTAGTGCGGCAAATTGGCCAGACCCTATAGAACAGGATTCCATGTGTAGTTGAGTGAATGACGCAGAAACTAGCGCGCCTAACATTGGACCTCCCAAAGGATACAGGCAGAAGCGAATGTCCTCCGGTATACTCAGCATCTGGTTGCGCACCGGTCTCTGCTTGAATTCAAGACAGTTCAGGCTTGACAAGATGCGGATATCCGTGCCTCCCTCCCTGATGCAAACATCAAAGTTTGACCGAAGTTTTCCGTTAGGTAGCAACAATTCTGTCAGAGCATGTTTCATGCCATCGTGAGTCTCTTGGCCGCGAAGGTCGAGCTCGAAAATATCTGGCCGGAAATTGGTGACTCTGCAAGCTCTCAAGATGATTCGGAATGTGGTCTGGTTCAGCGTCATGAATCTTGTGAAAGGCAGGCCACCATAATCGTGTGAAAAGCCGTATCCACGCAACAGGTACTTCTCTTCTTGATGGCTTTTTCGTGCATCGTTGAACATCCCAAGTGAAACATTGATGCCTTGAGATGAGATATTGGACAAGGCGGTCTGCAGCATGCGAGACAGCTCTTGAGATTTCGAGAATCTGAACCATACTGCACAGCGTTCGCGATACATCTGAAGCACACGCATTGCTTCTGCATGGTCAACAATTTTGTGTGAGTCCAGAGCGTCCATCAGACCTTCCAGTTGGTTGGTAAGATGATCGGTGCCGAAGTGAACGCTTTTGACACAAGGCCCGAACACCGGATGAGCAGTCATGTCAACCAATCCCTTCAGGCTGTACTCAGTGAGGATGAAGCGACGGTGTGCAAGTCTCTTTTCGCCAAAGTGCTTTGCAGATATGTTGGCCAAGGTCTTGCAGGTGAGGCGGAAGTTTGGCAAATCTTCTGGTGCAACCTTGTCGGAGATTTTGATAAGGAGTTCATCAGGAAGGGTCAAGAACTTCTTTGCATATCTTCTGTGAGGGGCCAGTCTGCGGATTAGTATTGCGGGTGGCATATCGTGTGGTGGTGAGGTTGGAAGAGGCGATGTCGTGGTCGACATGCCGGGTGGTACTGTAGATGATATCTCGCTCTGATGGATATGACAGGAGGTGACGACAGAGATTGCCAAAGATTGAAAGTGGTTGGCAGGAGTGAAGACCGAGCGAGGCGTAATCTGCGCTTGGTAAGTCAGCGCACGAAAGATGTTTCTTTGTGGATCTGAACTACTTACCAGAAGCCGCCGGCGCGAGCGCAGATGATCTTCACACGACACAGAGTCTGCAGAAGAGAGCGCACGACGCGGAAGACTGTAGAAGTGACGCGTCGCTGTAGTAAGTTGTGGGCAAGGAGATGTTTGCTGCTCGCAATGAGGTGACGAGAATTTCCGATGGTAAGATGGATGTGAAGAATCAGGGAAGTGAGTTCTGATCAAGTAACCCGAAAATCGGGAAGTGAAGGGTTGTGTGAAAGGTCAAAGATAACGCCCTGAGTATTTTGCTCTCGAAGGCCTGTCTCCGGCTGAGGATATCATGATCCCAGCAACGCTGCGTGTCTTTTGATGTGACTGTAGAACATCACAGTGGTTTCAGGACTGGAGCAGAGTGAAGGGACCTGCCGGCTCTCTGTGGGCTCAACTCTCCTTGGTCACTCTCCAAATCACGAAAAAACTGTGCATTGTGACAGCTCATGCGATCATTGTATCTCATCGCGGTAAAGAAATCGACGTGGATAGCGATTGTCTTTGACATGCGAATGGGTAGCTTACGATATTGCTCAGTGCAGCTGTGGAGGAGAGGATCATATGATTTGCTTTGAGTATGAAAGTAATATAACTACCTTGTAGATGTACGTCAAGTCCTCATAGAGTCAGGCCACAAGATACCAGACTCTTTGGTATGGACTACGCATTTGACATCGTTCTCCTCTCGCTCAGTAACCCAAAAGCCATGGTACAAGGTCCAGAAGGTTATTAGAAACACGAGAGGGTTTTTCTTCAACTTGCTTTGAATTTATTCGAGAACAGCTTCTAGTCAACTACACCAAGTAATATTTGGAGTAAAAGAGACATGGCAGATAGGCCTGTTTCGTCTCACTCATACCCTACACATCGGCGTAGAGGTGGCAGTATGTTCTGAAAAAGGTCAATTCATGGTGTTGAACATGCGTGTCGTTCCCATGACAGCTGTCAAGACGTCAAGCAGAAAGGTGCTGCGATGACAAGAAGCGGCTTCGGCGGGATCTGCTCTCTGACCCACAGTGCTCGACCCATTCTCAGGAATTGTTGCGAGCGTGTGGCCTGAAGGAGGAAGCTGTTGCCTAGGCTGAGGTTCAAAATGGTTCGATTATGTACATTGACGTTGCACGCATGAGGCGGAGTCTTGACTGAAGGAATGACGGATAGAGATGGCCTCATAAATTTGATGAATTGTTTGGCTGCACGTGACTCGAAGAAAGCACGGATGGCGCGGCGTGTGCGTGGAAGGCGCGGGAAATGAGCTTGGGCTTCTTTCTCGTTTCAGTTTCGCGTCTGATTCCATGGCGCCGGTGGGGGGGCTTGACTCCTTGTGGCTTGGGACGTCTGCGCCGTCTTCGAAATGGCCTGACTTTGTAGAGCCCATCCGTATCATCGCGCCAGGGTCCGCCTATCGCTCTTTCCTCTCAACCCTCGAATCGCCCTCTTTCCACTCGCGACTGTTCAACACATAGTTTCGCCCATGGTCTAGAAGAACAACCGCAAACCAAATGGATCAAACCACCGCCAGCTGGGACTTTGCACCCGCCGTGCCCGACAACCCCGATGAGTGGGAGGACTGGTTGCGAATGGACTTCGCCGACGACCCCATTTCGCCCAATAGTTCAACAAAGACGAGCAACAACTCTCCTATGCAAGATCTCAGCTTCAATGCCGACCAATTTCCTCCTCTTAATGTCGACGAAACCCTTGCGCCGCCACTGATTGTCGGCGACGACGCCAACTTTGGTGACTTTTCCTTCACCGACGCCGATTTCAACTTTGGCCCAGCCCAATCAGATGGCAAGACCGACGACCTCCCTTTCCTCTTTGGCGCCGACTCGAGCAATTTGCAACCCATCGTCGATCATTTGGACACTGGATCAAAAGAGGCTTCATCCTCCTCCTCCTCCTCCTCATGGCCACCCATGGGCCAGAATATCGATGCAGCACAGCAGAGCGAACTGCTCGCCCCTATAATTCTTGGTAGCAACGACTATCCTACCTCAGCCTCAGCCTCAGGACCAGCATCTGTTTCGAGCGCTAGTCAACATCGCAGTAGTCCTGCCTCAACGACACACGCCCGCACAAGCGTATCGTCCATATCCCCTGCACCAGAGCAAGCGGAACAACCCGCTAAGAAGAAGGGAGGAAGGAAACGAAAGGTGTCAAACAGCGATGAGGAACAGCAGAGTCCAGAAGATGGTGGACCGCCAATCAAGAAGACTTCTCACAACGTCATTGAGAAACGATACCGCAACAACTTGAACGACAAGATCGCCGAACTTCGTGACAGTGTCCCCAGTCTCAGGGCTATGTCGCGACCGAACGGTAACGACGACTCCGAGGATCTCGAGGGCTTGACACCGGCGCACAAGTTGAACAAGGCCACAGTGCTGGCCAAGGCTACCGAATACATCAAACATCTGGAGAAGAGAGCAAAGACCCAGGCAGATGAGTTGACTCAGCTCAAGACTCGCATGGCAAACATGGAAAAGGCTATGGCAAGGTCTGCACCTGTCAACCAACATGCCGGCATCCTCACACCCGCCATAGCTCGCTCAAGGCAGGGCTCGATTGCCTCTCAAGCACCAAGACGTATTCAGCAAGACCAGTACATGCAACAACATCCACAACCCGCCTACGAACCTCAAGAACATGTCGCCGAACCTGGACACAACAATCTCGTCAATGCTCAAGGTGCAGGCAACGGTTTCGTCGGCAAACTCATGGTCGGTTCGCTGGCTGCCCTCATGGTCATGGAAGGCTTCCATGAACAAGAACAAGATTCTCATTCCACATCAGGCAGGGGTCTGTTCGCTGCGCCAATGCACTTGATCAAACGTGGACAATTCCTCAGATCTCCTTCACATGCTGCTTACGGCTCATCAGCCCAGGCCGCGCTTCCTCTGCTTAAGACCTTCCTGGTCTTTGGTGCCTTTATTTATATCCTCCTCCCTCTGCTTCGCTTCAAGCCACAACCGAAACAGAAGCCATCGATCCGTATCTGCCTCACCGCCGCCCCTTCTCTTGCCTCGCCGGTCGAGGTCCGCCGCAAGGCTTGGCTTACTGCAGTGCAAAGTGTTTGGATGCCGCGTCACTTCTTGCTTGAAGTTGTTTCTGTAACATGCAAGATGATCATGCTTAGTCTGCGTCGTCTTGTCGGATCCGAGTTCTACTCGCGCGTCTCCGGCAAGACTCCTGATGATGAGGCTGCTCGTATCAAAGCATGGGATATTGCCATTGATGCTCAACTTGCCGGTGGTGATGCTGAGGTCAGCTACTACCGTTTGCTTCTCACCTTGATGGCTTCCGGTACTTTGCCAGACTCGCCCATTCGTCTCATGCAGAAGGCCGTTCACTTCCGTATCTTCTTCTGGGAGGTCGCTAATGCTGGCTATGGCAATATGTTCATGTTCCGAGACTTAACTGCCAAGGTCGGCAGGATTTACTGGGATTCTGCTCGCAAGCAACAACATGCCCTTGCTGCTGGAGAGTACACTGAGAAGCAGATCGCCGATGACAAGATCGAGAGACTGCCTGAATATCTTGCTGAGCTAATCGAGCTCGACTGCGATGATGTTCTGACTGACGAGATGATTCAACGTGCCTACAACCTCGCATGGAACAGACCCAGTGCCGAGAAGACCGTCCCCAACCAGACCATGAACAGTGTGGTTGAAGATCACGCCATCCGATCTCCTCTTGATGCTGTTGCTGCTTGGTTCGCCAACATGACTGTCGATGCTGCACTTACTCGTGCTTTGGATTCCGACTCCAAGACTACAGCCGACGTACAATATCTGATCGACTTGGCAAACAAGACTGCTCCTCCTGCATCGGCCACTCAGACTCGCGCACATGTCGCAAAGGCTGTTCTTCTTGACAAGGATCGTTCAGCACACATCATCGCCGCTCTGGACTCGTTACCAATGATCACATCTAACGACGGCCTGGACATGCCATCGAACATGATCACACATACACCAATCTCTCCAGATACGCACAGCGCGCTTACCCTTGCGAAGATCCTCTCTATCGCTTCGCCAACCAACCCTACTCCTGCGCGTGTGCACGCCGCTTCTGTGCTGTCTTCAATGCACCTTATGCCGAACAGAATCACGCTGCTCACTGCCGTCGCCGCCTACAAGGTTCTGTCAAGCTTCTCGTCCGATGCTCTGCTTTTCAACAGTGGCAAGCTCGGACTTGATGACCTGGCTGGCAACTTGAGAGTCTGGATTGGTACACGTGCAGCCAAGACTGCCGGTCTGACCAGAGAGCAGAAGGCTACAGTTGTCGAGTCTTGTCTCGGTGTCAGCAAGCGTGTTGGAGGTTGGAAGGACGAGGAGGAGAAAGATAGTGGGTATGGCAGTCTCGAGGATGGCGAAAAGGAAGCCACGATCAGAGCGTAGATCAGGTTATGAGTTGTTTTTGTGTCTTTAGGCGTTTTCAAGAAGTGTCTCCCAGCAAGAGCTCGGTAGAAGACCTGGAGGAATATATTGCATAGAATTGTGGGAATCACGGGCATTTTGGGAAGCGGAAGTAGGGGATTAATGGTGTTTGTTTTCCCCCCTGAAGGTTTTTAGCGTTACTAATGTCTTTCACGTTCATACGCATGGCCTTTGACGAAATGTAAATATTCATTTAACGATCTAGTTGTCTCCTTCCGGACCTCATCGTGCTTTCTCTGCTCAGTGTGATGTGTTTTTCTCATGCTTTTTGTGCAGGTCCTACAACCTATTTCAATCTGTTTCATGAGGGCCATCTTGCGACGATAAGACTTATAAGAGTAGATGGGACTATACTCTTGATGTCACGAAAAAAGAAAAGCCTAGACCTCAAAACACAGAAGCAGCATTGACAGCACCAGGATTCAGCATGCCAGGATCCAGAGCATTCAAGATGGTGGGCTTGGGAGGCTTCTCAGCCATCTATATCAGTATGATTTAGTATCTAGCCTACACGAAACCAACACCAAAGGCAACGACGCTACCTTTCTCAATCTTCAGGACTGACCTTGACAATCTTGCGCTCTACAAGACGAACCCAACGTCTACGTCTCCATTCTCCCTTTATCGATACCGTAGGTCCTTCTTCCCAACTCTTTGGTGGGGAAAGAGTACTCGTCGTAGATTTGGTCTTTGCGTCTTTGGAAGTGTCGAGATCGTAGACCCAGCGCTCGCCTTCTGTCTCTATCTCTACGGCAGAGACGCAACGTTCTTCTACCCATTCGCGGGAGCCTAGATCTAGTGTCCATTTCTTGTCGCGCCAGAGCCAGCCAGAGGGTGGTTGTACATCTTCGAAAAACTGGGTTCCTACTGGACGTGCACCAGCAATGCGGGAAGGAGAGGTTGGAGCGTAGGGTTGAGGAGTAAATAACCAAGGTTCCCATTCCCCTTCTAGAACTGCTCCTTCCTCGCCGCCCAAAGTATGTGTTTGCAGTCTTTGCAATTCGAAAATCTCGACTTCGCGGACTTGGGCGGGTTCGTCGAGGAGGATGTCCGATTCTACCCATTCGCTGCCGGCGACGCAGATGCGGTCGTAGATTAATTGGAGGTGAGCTAAAGAAGCTGCGTTGATGAGGATTTCTTGGGCACGGGGATGGCCTGCTGCTGTTGCTGACCAGCCTGCTACTAGCAAGATTGCGCGCCAGGGTACGAGATGCGCAGCCAAGAAAGCGATGCTCACGAGAGCTGTCAGACCGAGAAAGACAGCAGAAGACAAGCGCTCGTTGCTAAAATCAGTATAAGGAGTTATGATAGCAATGGCACCATCATGGACACGGCTAAAGTCTTCCATGCAGTTTTGAAGATCGCGCATGTTCCGGAAGAAATCCTTACTCATTTCCGGAGCAGGCTTCACACGCTGGGGAGGAGCTACGGCTGGTCCTGAGTAGCCGTACGCTGCGTATTGCTCGGCGGCAGCTGCATCGACTGAGGATGATGGGTTTGCGACAGGAGGTGGAGGATGGCGTGTGAGGAAGGAGGGTATCATGACAAAGAACAAAAGAGCTGCCAAGGGGACGACAGGAGCTAGTGCGGGCTGCAGACACACAAGAGTATAGACAGCCAGAAAAGACATGGTATGTGTTGGTACGCGCCAGGTGAAGAGACGAATCATTTGGTTCTGGAAGACAAATACAATTCCAATTCTGATTGCAGTATCGAATCAGCAGCTGTACCAAGCCATATGATAGCGAAAGACGGACCTTGCGTTGAAGCGGCGGAAATTTGCCGACATGACAGGCAGACTGAACTGCGGTTTGTCGACATATTGCCTTGAGCGACGGTCCTTCTTGGGAGTGCCATCTTCTTCAGTCTCTTCAGGGAAGACTTGTTCTAACAGCGTGTTGAACAGCCTTTCCTGCACACTGCCTTGGGTAGTTTTGTACTGTGTCGAGACATCATGTAGTTTTCCCTTCAGCTTCTCCGCCTCTTGTTTTATCCTCTCTCTTCTTCCCAGCTTTTGCTGTTCAGTCTCTGGCGGTGCCGTGTCATCGGTGTTGAAGGGGATCTGGATGACGGGAATGGGCTCGTCGCGGTTGGCTATTGAGGCGCCTGCATGCTCGTCCATTGTGTGGTTTATTCATTCATCTATCGTTCTCGTGCCACTAGTGTCATGTCTCGTTCAGTCGTAACTTGGTCGGGTGCACACGACGACGAGTTGTTAGGCCTGACCGACGTCGTGGTTGGCCAGACGTCACTCGGCCTTTCACATGCAAATCCTTGGCAAACTTTGTATGCATTGCGACTGCCTCATTTTGTCTATTTGATCGTAGTTGCTGCGCGAGGCTTCAACCTCTTCCCACCTTGAATGACAAGATGTCGTTCTTGCCCACAGATACAGGGTCATCCTCAGCGACTCTTTGTCCTCCTACCGTTTCCACATAAGCTAAAGGCGCATCACCCATGATCTTGCGATACACATCTCCAACTGTTGAGTTTCTGCAGCATATATTAGTTCACGTCTCTAGCGTATTCAGAACAATAGACATACTTCTTGATCAAGACGCAATCTCTGAACACGCCGCCCTCACGTCCGTCGCCAGATGAGAATGTCGCGATGTTCCTGACGGGGAAGACAGGAGTGAGGCCTAGGAGCTCTGCTGCACGCGTGAGAACTTGGTTCACACCAGTGCTGCCAAATCGATAGAGCACCAGATCGCGCAAGTTTTCGATACGGCTGTCGAATGTTGTTAGTCTGGGGTAACCAAGCGAGACTCCCTCTACTTACTTTTGTAATTTCTCATCCAACTCTTTCAAGCCACCCCCATCGGGCTCACCAGCTTCGATGAGATCTTCTTTTGTGTCAACGAACTCGCTACCTTCTTGGTATCTGACAAAGCCTTGTTTGGCCAAGCGACGCAAGAATACCTCGCTAATGGCAGAGCAGAGGACAAGTGTGTTGGGATCATTGTGTTTTGCGATCTTTGCGACGTTCTTGTCGGCATCCGGGTGGTCGACCTTGTTCAGTGCTATGACTGTAGGGAACTTTTCATCCACAAAGGCGTTGACCACTTTTTCCACTGTCTCGTCACTCCAATCTTCCAGCGGCTCTTTCAATTGTAGCTTGTCGAGAGTGCGAGCGATGACTTGTTTTGTGGCGCCGTAACCTGAGAATTGTCCTCGTAGCGTGTCGACTGCATTTCCTTTGATTGCGATGTGTCTTCTCTTGACGGAACCCCTGTGTTCTCAATCAGCCTTGACTTGTATGGCGCATCGCCGTGCCTAGACGCACCATTTTTCCATGAGGTTGCCTTGAATCCAACGAACAATCTCGGAGCGCAACCACTCAATGTCGACACTGGGATCATAACCTCTTGTAGCTTTGCCTTCTGCATCGGTTGTTCCGCTGACATCGACGACGTGAATGAGAGCATCGGCATGTCTCAAATCGTCCAGGAAGCGGTTTCCGAGACCCTTGCCCTCATGCGCACCAGGCACCAGACCAGCTACGTCGAGCAGCTCGATGGGTACAGAGCGGGTTCCATTATTACACACGCCATAATTTGGTTTACATCTTTCAGAAAGAGGCTTGTCGCCAACGTTGGGGACTCCTGGTCGCGAGCATGCGCATGGGATCTGAAGATATCCTACAGCTCGGTTGGGGTCGATGGTAGTAAAACTGAAGTGATATCAGGAATGCGACAAACGAATTGGATGCAGGAGGTGGGCATACGGGAAGTTGCCTGAGCCACACGGTCAACACAAATTGCACGAGAAGACATTGAAGATGATAGAAGAAAAAAAAGTCGATGGCGCACCTACTTTGGATGTGGCATCCGTCAAGCTGTTCAAGGTGGTACTCTTGCCAGACGACGGCTTGCCAACAAGTGCGATGAGCGGATCGCGAGGCATTTTGGTCTACAGAAGTGGCAGGAAGCTGTGTCGAGCTGGTTACCCTCGACAAGCGACTTGTTCCAGAAAGGTTTGACGAGGCACAATGTCGTCAGTGGGCACGAAAGTTGTGGTTCAGAGTGGATGTGGCTGCTCGCTGCTTGTTCCAACTTCTGAAGATCGCACGTTCTGCTGCATGCACGAGCCCTTCCCGTTCGGACGATCTGAAAAAGGCATTCAGGGACACCCGGCCATGCATCTCTGTTGTCTATTCGCTAGACGTGGTACAAGAGGGAATATGTCCTTCTCTCTTCTTGCAGACATATCCCGACAGACTTGGTAATAGAAAGAGTTATTTCTCATGGAGGTGCAAACATATGACTTAATAAATTGAATTGTTTCTCACAATCTTAACTGTGCTTGTAGGGCCGCATTGGCCAATAACAGAGGGGCACCGGTAGCAAAGCAGCGCAATGACCGGCTACCTGAGGCTAGGTGAAGAAAGAAGACTATTCTGCTTTGGGCGAGCGAGGAGCAACAACAATCTAAAGACCAAGTTGTATGTCGGTCATTGCTAGCAGAGCCTGTAACTTAGTCCCTTCTCGACCACGCACGCCGCAAGCCTGTCAGACCGACAGCCTGAAGTCTGTCTCTCCTAATCATTGACGACAAGACATACGGAGTAAAGCGGCCATGATTTTTTGAACCAGTCTCGACGTTCAGGAGGCCTAACCCGAAGCACCCCTACGGGCCAGAAATGCTTGAAGCATTGTCATAGTAATTGGTCGACATGCAGACTCGAGATGGATACGGCATGGATGCCCGTCACAAGGATTCCGAGGAGTCGGGCGCTGAGAGTGAGCCTTGACAACAACAAGATGCAGCTGCACGCGGCCTACTGACCCTCTCCCTCTTGCAGCCGAGAGCCGTGCCAGGACAAAATACCAGCGCACCTCGCTCGCCGCCGACAATGATTCGCTTTCATTCCGCAAACCCACCGCCCCTGCCTCGGCCAGTCGTCCACAGCAACAGCAACATCAACGCAAGTCGACGTTGAAGGAGAACAGAGTACCCCTACTAGGACCGCGCCCGTTTGAGTCTCCGAACAAGAGCAAGAGGTTCGATGTTTGGCCCATGATGGAAGGACTGGCACTGAAACAAAGCAGGATCGTTAGCGATAGCAACGCGGCCAGGGAGGCTGCCCGTCGTACCTTCCTCCCAAACAGTTCGAGCGAGCCCAACTTCGACAAGCCTCGAGTTCCGCCTCAGGCCCTACCCCCGTCTCAACTGCAGTCCCAGATACAGCCTCCGACCACCCAGCAGACACAAACACGCGAGCTCCGTTCTAAAGACAGTCGATTCAGCTTTGGAGAGCCCAAAGATGCAAACTCGCCCACGCCGCCCTCGTTCGACTTCCTCCCGCCTATCAACTTCGACGACTTCCAGACAAGCATTGCCTCGTACGAGTCGTCCAAGCCCAAAACGAAAACTGTCCCGCCGAGCATCAAGGCTTCAATAAATTCGAAGCCTCAACCCATGACCATCACCCAGCGAGAAACTTCAGTGCCCAACTTCAATCAACTCTCGGCTGCCGCTCCCAACCAATTGCAGACTTCGGTTTCGACTTCGGTTTTGCCAGTACGTGCGAGAAGGGGGAGTCAGACAGGCCCTGGAGCTCCTGCCATAACTGCTTCTGGCATTACCGCTCGTGTAACACGCAAACCTATGGCGCCTCAGTTGGACAACAAGAAACCTCAATCTGACCTCTCTCGCACCCCTTCCATCACGACCACCAATGCTCGCAAACCCCAAGGCGTACCACCGCAGCCTTCAGCATCCGATATTTCCTTCGCCGCTCCAACTCGCTCCTCAAAAGCCAAATCGTTACAGCCCTTGCCTCGATCTGCCACCTTGACTGATCTTCCACAACAACCCGAGCAACGCCGCTCTGTCAATGTCAAAGTCACCAACAGAGCCAAGACTCCAAGGAGCGACACGCCGTCAGACAAGAGGAAGTCGGGAAGAATGAGTGGCCTTGGAGCCAGGACAATCAGTCCCACCGATGCTCGTAGGCTTCGTAGGATGTCTACAAAACAACTCCCTCCTTCGCCGTCAAAGGAGTCCACGCAAAACCGTTCGCCCTCGGCCACTCCCCGGAGACCAGCCTTGACGCCTTCATCGTCATCGAATAGAGCAACCCCAGAAACGGCAAACAGGATGGCTCCCCCTCCAGCCCTCAATCTCTCGAGGACACCAAGCTACCAGTCTCTCCGCGCTCCGAGTGCAGGTCAAGGTAGAATAGGTCAGAGCTCTTCGACCTCCAAGCTACCCACCCCCAAAAGTCGGAATCTTTATAGCGCTGCAGAAAGACGTGATGATGAGGAAATGGTCCCACCTGTACCCGCCATTCCTAAAGCTTACGAGTCACCGAAGGATGTGATTGACATACCTTTCTTCTCTAATCTCAAAACTCCGTTATCTGGCAACGTCGACAACGAGGGTTCTGCTCTACCGATCCCTGCTCGACGTGGAGACACTTCTACCACACCCGACTCGAGACAGACTCAGCACCGCAGAGGCCTCACCGTTGGCAATGGCACTAACTCTGAAACTCCACCAGCGGTGCCTGCAGTCAACAAGAAAACCCTTCAGCCATTACGTCTTCCCCCTCTTAATCTTCTACCGCTCTCGACTCCCACCGCGGCTAGAATTAATTCTTTCCCTGCTCCGTCTCAAGAAGTTGACGAACGAGGTACCACACCTCCATTCAAGCGCAATGCCGCCAAAACACCCAGCACTCCTATGACAGCTTCGAAAGCGACCTTTTACAGGCGTCAAGACGATGAACCTGCGGTGCCGCTCAACACTCGCAGTAACAGTACTCAGCCTGGCGCTCGTGTGCCCCATTACGAAGAGCCCAGCAATGGTGTGCTTCTGCCGCCCTCATCCCCAGCCAAGCGTCAGGCCATTACTCCATTCACCTCGGGCTCATTGCCTAAGCCTAGCTCCAAGTATAGCAAGCCTCCGAGACTACCGGACGAGTTTACTCTGGGCAACCACGATGCTGAACCACTTTCTTCTAAGCCGATGGGCCCAAGACCACGGGCTATATCTAAATCAGTCAAAGAAACGGCGTCTATCAACACAGTGTCCTCTACAGAAGATGCCGAACAGCCGCCTCCTTCTACCACTTCAGGTCTGCGTCGTAAGTTGAGCTTGGGATGGCGTAAGACGCCGCCTAAAGCAACAAGCGCCTCAAACGCAGAGCCTTTGAAGCTTCAGACTACCAGGTACGATGATATGCCCCCGCCCAAGATCCCTGCGTCTGCGACTTGGAGCACCGACAGTCCCATCTCCACATCTAGCAGTGGTCGTCCCTCGTTCGAGAGCACCAAGCTCGAGAGCCACAGGAGCAAGGCTTCTGTTTCTTCCACTAACAAAGCGCCCCATCTTGAATCTGCACCAGCTGTCAAGCCACCAATTCCAAGCAACATTGCAGTTCGCCAATCTCAGACGAGCAGCAATACTGCATCGATTGCCCCACCGCCAAGTCAACGCTCTACGTCGTGGTCTATCCTTGGCAGCATGAACCGCACTTTAGGCTCAAGAACTACATCTGCGCCACCTAAACCTCGAACAATCAACGCTCTACAGCTAGACAAGGACGATATCGCCGCCAATGATGAGATGAGAAAGCTTTCAACAAAGAGACGCGATATTGATGTGGCTGCTCGCGGGACCGAAGAGTTGCGCAAACGTGCTACTCCAAAGGATAGAATGACTCCTGCGCAGGCTATTCAATCTTCAGCTGGACTTCTGAATATTTATGAAAAGGGAGAAATCATCGACTACAAGGATGGCGTTTGGTTCTGTGGCTCCAAACAAGCAAAGAAGCATGTTGGAGACATATCCGCTGCTGGAACCACAAACTTTGGATATGACGATGAACGAGGCGACTACAATCTTGTCATGGGTGATCACCTAGGATACCGTTACGAGGTGATTGACGTGCTTGGTAAAGGAAGTTTCGGACAGGTAGTGAGGTGCATCGACCACAAGCTTGGCACTCTCTGTGCTGTCAAGATCATTCGCAATAAGAAGCGGTTCCATCAGCAAGCTCTGGTTGAGGTCAACATCTTGCAAAAGCTTAAGGAATGGGTACGTCTCTCAACAATTTGTGTTCGATGACATTGTGCTGACCCAAGAGTAGGATCCTGATGAGGCTAATGCAACACTAACAATCACATCGTCCTTCTACTTCCGAAATCATCTTTGCATCACATCTCCCTCTCTCAGCATCAACCTGTACGAATTTATCAGAGCCCACAACTTCTCTGGCTTTTCACTCCAGCTTATCCGCTGTTTCGCACGCCAGATACTCGCCTGTTTGTGCCTGCTACAATCCAAGAGGATCATTCACTGCGATCTCAAACCAGAAAATATACTTCTCTGCGATCCTCGTCGAGCTGACGTCCGCGTCATCGATTTCGGCAGTTCTTGCAAAGCAGATGAGAAGGTGTATACGTACATTCAATCGCGTTTCTACCGTTCACCTGAGGTTATTCTCGGAAGTGATTATGGTCTTGGAATTGATATGTGGAGTTTCGGATGTATTCTTGCAGAGCTTTTCACCGGATACCCCATCTTCCCTGGAGAAAACGAGCAAGAGCAACTCGCGTGTATCATGGAAATTTTCGGCCCACCTGCTCGCGACATCATCGAAAAGGCCTCACGAAGAAAACTATTCTTCGACTCGTCACTCAAGCCCCGTGTCACAGTATCAAGTAAAGGCAGGAGGAGGAGGCCCAGTAGCAAGACTCTCAGTGGTGCCATCAAGTGCGAGGATGAGGCTTTCTTGGACTTCCTCTCCCAATGTCTTCGCTGGGATCCCGAGAAACGTCTGCGCCCAGACCAGGCGGTCTCCCATCCCTTTATCACCAATGAGCCGTTCAGAAAAGCTGGACCTGTCAGTTCACGTACAAGGACTGCAACATCAGCTGCATCGTCAACTACGACCACAGCATCGCAATCTCCAGTCAAGCGTGTACCTCTATCAAACTCGACCATCCCGGCCGTGTCATCACAAGCAACAGCTGCAACTCCACGTGCGCGTCCGCTACCAGATACCCCGAATACAGCCGCGCGTAATGGAAGCGCAGCGGCTCCTAATGTCAACAATACCATGAATCAAACAGTCAAATCTGCAAGCGTAGGCAGGCGACAGAGCTTGGCACCAGGCTTGCAGCAGACCGTGAGCGCACCACCGCCTCAGATCTCAATCAGCCAAGCTATGGCTGGCAGCAAACGAGCCAGCAATGGCGCGTTGCTAGCACAGCAGTACCAACAAGTCGGCTCATATGGCAGCCTTGGTGTCAGTGGTTCCTCGACCTCCAGCAGCGGTCTGCCGCGCTCCGTTAGTGGGAAACTCGACCTCGCAGGTGCGGCGGCGAGAGAAAGCATGGGAGCCACTGCACGGTGGAGGTGAGAAGAGTAGTTATACGCCACCAAGAACATGTTGAATCGGATCATGAACGAAGCGAGAACGAACAAGGCAGTTCATGAACATTGGCATGTGACCCACGAAAAAGACGTGATGAAAAACGATGAATTGTATCTAACTCCGGGTATTAACACTTTAATTATATGACACAATTCTTTGCATTATGCTCTCTTGAGCATCTCATATCAATTGACTCTCGTTAGACCTGATTCCCTTCTTTCTTGTTGCCTCCCAAAAACTTGTTCTTGAGTTTAGCCATACCTAAACAGAATCATCAGCTCTCATGAACCATGACAATACCTCTCAGAAATGGAGTGTTACTCACCAGGCACCAAACTATCATATCGTTCCTGCTTTCCCATCAATCTATCTGCATCACCTTGTTCTCCCTTTTTGAGTGCTGCCATGACGGCTGCTGCTTTTTCTCTTGCCGCGACGGCTTCGGGCGATGTCATTGTTTGGGCATTGGAGACGTTTGCATTTGGTGCGTGGGTGAAGGGGGTTGGGTCCCAGGCTGAGATGTCGTTGCCGCGGTGTGCCATTTTGGGTTTTTTGGAGGTTTGGTTGTGGGAGGTTTGTTTAGAAGTTGTTATAGGTGGGAGAGTCGTTGGAGATTTTGATTTGGAGGAGTACTTGATATGTTATGATAAGAAAACCCGACTGTGATTCACCGCTCTATATATACACCTCTGCCCTACACGATCAACATGAAGATCTAGACGTTCGTGGCTTGTAGGGTTGTCATCTGACATGTATCTCAATCCTTTGCTAGAGGCGCAGCTGATCGTCGGGAGTCATTATGTCTCGCATCCTAAAATGGACGATGAGTTGACAAGGAAGTTTCGGACGTTGATCGCTTCCATGCATCCTTCGCGTTGCTTGGTGGAATGTTCGTGGAGGCTTGGGAGGCTTGTGTTTGAATCCTTCGAGCGTCCACTCAAGGCTGTGTTTGCCGATGTTACGGACGTAGCAAAGCATCATGATCGTCGCTAGATGTGATGACTAAGCAGATCATGAGGGTGGGAGCACCCTGTCTCTATCGGAGGCCACACCGACAGCGACGAGGTTTTGTCCAGTTCATAGGTATCAGGATTTGCAACATGCAGGAGATGGAGGCCATGTCTCTGGTCATGAATTTGCTTGTTCTGCATGTTCATGTGCTGGAGGGCGTACTTGTAGGAAAGTTGCATTAAAGAACCTGGAAATAACGCGGGATTTACTGGCCGTTGACTGCAAATGTGACTTCTATGTCACACCTCTTGTCCTCAGAGCTCCCTTGCGTCGAGATGGCTCACCAATTGCGCCTTGGCCTTGTAGCAGGATGAAAGGTTTCAAGTTCTCGCACATGATGAGCATTGCAGGCCGAAGGAACGTTCCTCAGAGATACTCGGCACACGAGAAGCTATTGCAGACTACCGATCGAACTCGAGTTCATCATCATCAAAACACCGGCTGAGCCCGTACCATCAGCATCACGGGCTCTGCTACCACACCAAACGAGACTCTCAACTCTTCGGGTCTTGGATCATGGTCGCGACCGCTAGAATGGAAGGAGAAATCAAATCTAGCTGCTAGCGCAGCAAGCAGAATCATCATCTCGTCTCGAGCAAACGTTTCCGCGATACAGCATCGTGGTCCTCGTCCAAAGGGCATGAATGAACACTGCATCTTCGCCCCTCCTTTTTTGTCTGATAGCCAACGCGTCACGTCCCAAGTCGAGGGACTGGGTAATGCTGTACGAGAACCACTTAGAGATTCGCTTGTAGGTTCTCCGCTTCGCCAGTATATTGATGATCTTTGAATCACCCAAGGCGAGATCGCGAGTATTGTACCTTGTGGTATGACTTGGTTGGATCCAGAAAGCAGCGTATCAGTCCGCGCTTCTCTGTATGTGAGTGCGACCAAAGGAGAAAATCTTAAAGTTTCATCACAGACAGCTGCTAGAACGGACATCTTCTTTAACAGGTCAGATGTCACAGGTGGCGCATCAGTCTGGCCTGGGGCAGGGAAACTGGCGCGGACTTCTGTACGCAACAAGGCCTGTACACCAGGTCTAGTGGAGAGATGGTAGATGGCCCACGCAAGAGCGACAGAGACTGTTTTGTAACCTGTTGCGAGAAAGGTGGTGCACAAATCCAGCATTTCTTCATCGTTGAGGTCCTCCGACTTAATTGCTGTGTCCAGAATATTCTTGTCAGGTAGAGCGCGAGACGCAGGTGTGTACTTGAGTCATATGTAAAATCAGCCTTGAGTCTACAACTAATCATGGTACAGAGCCGTGGAGGTTACTCTGACAGCATGTTGTGCATACCTGAGATTTTCTCTGCGCAATTTGTCTTTGACAATAACCCCTGATGCGTCGCATAGATCTCTTTGTCTTTCGTACGTCGTTGAATGGAAAAAGAGCAAGAAAAATATGCCACGGAAGGATTGTCTCCAAGGCCATCTCCATTTGTGCAGATGAGCCCGATGTTGTTGCGAATGCATCCCGGAATTCTTGCAGTAGGCCTTGAAACAAAGAATTGTCGTTATTGACGGTTGATCCGAAGAAGGCAATGAGTACAATTTTGAATGTGGCTTTCTCGAGCCACTTGAGGATGTCGATAGCATTGTCTGGGCTCAATGTGTGCCCGTCAGTATCAGTGCTATTGGTCGTAACGTCCTCAACGAGTAGATGGGCATTCTCCTAGAACACGGGGCATAGCTCAGAAACATGCTGTGCATAGAAGTCAGAGTTCACGATCTTCCTGCAACGTATGTGGTCTGGCCCATCGGTTACCACCGGGCTATATTTGCCCAAGATTGGAGACAGGAGGCGGCGGATGAGGTAAGAACGCCCGAAATCGTAAGCCTCCGAATCCATGACTTGTTTGATATCCTTAGGGTCCATGAGAAGCAATCTTTCAGAGTTCAGGACGCCAAAATATCGAATAAGCTGACTGGTGGAAGCCTGTCCGTGGAATCTTGCAAGATCACGACCTGTGGGTTCTCTAAACAGTCTTGTCCAGATTGGCTTTTGGGAGGCGGTTGGGAGATCGCGAAGGCTGCTAAGGAAGAAGGGCTGGACGAACATCGCAATGGCGATGGCACAGATGCTGGAGAGGACAGCGAAACAAATGGCAAGAAGCATAGTAGGAAGCCAAGGGTAGGGATGGCCAATGGCGATGTTCATTAAGATAGGGGCGGATGTCGCGAACAGGATGAATCGAAAATAGTTGAACATGATGAAATAGTTGTGTTAGGTGATATTAGTCGATGTTTTGCAACAAATAGTCCGATGTTGGTCCAATTCGCGAGGACCTGTCAAGGACATCTGTCACCTTGATCGAAAGCTCCTTCCCTCCCTCAGTGCCAAGGAGTGTCGCACTACTATCGAGATGCTAAGAACTTCGATAGTAGCAAGGGAAGCTTCCATATGAAAGCAGACTTCTGACTAGACCCGTGTCCAGATTGAATTTGGCTCTGAAGATGCATTCTGGGTACCGAGCTCAAGCGTGCATCTCTATCGCTTTTACTCACTGTGCGTTGATGTTAAATGCTGATGAGCACTGAGCGATACGCTGAAAGGAGAAACGGGAAGCTGCATTGTTTTCATCCAAGCCGCCGCTGAAACGAACGCCTTGCTCACTTTGGGAGTGTCTCGGGTTTGCACGTTTGTCTGTTTGCTCGTTTGCTCGTTTACACACGAACAGAGCCTTCCAACACTACCAGACTCCTCTCTTCCTCCACCTCACTTATCATCACTCTTCTACCTTGTCAATCCTTGGCGCAAATCAGGCAGTCCACACGACTCAGTCTTCCTATTCACTTGCCTTAGCTATGGCAGCTTATCGCTGCGCTTCAGGTCCTTGCCGCAAGGCCGGCACTCTTCGTTGCGGTAGTTGCAAGACAACTTACTACTGCAGCAAGGTTTGCCAGACGGCTCACTGGAAGAGACACAAGCTCACCTGTGACGGACCGGATTCTTACTCACCGTTGAGACCCGGCGTCTTCAACTTCTTGGGACTGCCTTGTAGACTGCGCGATAAGGTCAGCCATATCTTTGTTCCACGACCACCTACATAGACTGATTGATGTAGATCTATGAGGAAGTCATCGTTAGCAAGCTCCATCCTTCTGATCAGGCCAAATACGACGAGGCTGTCGCTCATGATAGCGAGCCTGATGTCCGTAACAACCGCAGAGACTACCTTGATGTCTTCGATCGTCGTATCATGGTCTCGCCTGAGTTCACGCTCACCATTGTCCGTAACACTCCCATCTGGGGTTTCAAGCCTCTCGTCCTTGCTCGTGGACTGCTGCTCGCCAACAAGCAGATCTCTCAAGAGCTCATGGAGATCCACTTTTCAAAGAACACCTTCCTAGCTCTGGTTCAGGATGACCATGTCTGCGACGGATCTCCTCCGGCTTTCCGCAACTATGTCGCTCACTTCACCAAAGCCAAGAATCTGTACATTGACATCGTCACCAACAAATGCCATCCTGGCGAGAACGGATTCCAAGCCAGCGTCAACACCGTCAAGCGTCAGTTGCTTACCCTCATCCTTGCTCTCAACCGCGCTGGCACCGCTCTTGATTCCCTGACTGTGCGTTACCACTCGCGCTTTGATGGCGAGATCGAAGACCTTCGCATCGACGCTGACGGTCTGGCTGCTCACCCACAAGCTCGTCCCATCTGGGTCGTCGACCCTCGTACCGACAAGTTCCGCGTAATCGAACATGCAGAGATGAAGCAGCTCTACCTTCACAGCGCCACCATCGCCAAGACTCTCTGTGCTCTTGAAGTTCCCGTATCCAAGTTCCGCATCTTCGGCGACATGTCCGGACCTGATCTCGCTCGCCTGTCCCGCAAGTTTGACTTCGCCATCCCTCAGGTTGATGCGGCGCTCGACGAGTATGACCAGCGCATCAGTAAAGATGCAGAGAATGCTCGAGAAATGGCCAGTAGGGACACCGACACCGCTAAGCTCTGGTCGGACCTGGCCAGGTCTCAGGACCGAATCTTCAGCACGAGAGTCTCGCTCAGACGTCGTGCCATTATGGCCGCTCCACCTTCATTCGTCCCTGGCGCGGAAGAGGAAGCCCGCCGTCTTATGGACATTGCTCGCTCAATCTGAATTGCTTGGTCGGTACCGAAATAACGTCATTCTCTGATCAGGATTTGGGTTGTGGCAGCTGGATGGTTTCCAAGTATGGCGTGAGAAGCTCAATGCTTTTGTTAGCAAGGATGGCGATAGAGATACAACTGCAAAAGTCATGGAAGATAGAAAAGACCAAAAACACTATTCAAGCCCGGGCAGGAAGTTTATCTTCATGGAGATCACCATGGTGACAGCTTTAGTTTGGTATCGTATCATTTTCGATGGCCTTGTTCAGAAAGTCTAGCTTCTCTAAATTCTTTGCTCTATAGCGTGTGGAGATGAAACAACTTTTGTTATAAACAGCAAGGCTTACTTTGCCCAGACAAGAACACCAGGCTTGGTCTCGTGGTCCACAACATACTGATGTTGGGTCCAGGCTCTCCAGAGAGCCTTGAGGAATGAAGTGTTGTCACGGATGTACTTCTTGCCGAGCATAGGCTGAATAGCACCAGTAGCCTCCTCAGCGTGGTAGAAAGGAATGCGACTATTCGATTTGTCAGCTTGTTGTCTCGAATGTGGGTACTGGTGCTGTAGAAATCTTACGGGAAAAGGTGGTGGACAACGTGGAACTCAATGATACCATGGAACAGCTCACGGCCAACGAAGCCGAAGTCTCTGTCGACGGTGGCCAGAGCACCCTTCTCGAAAGTCCAGGTGCCCTGCTCAAAGTGCTCGGCATCACCGTGGTTGTGGTGAAGGTAAGTAATTGCAACTGAGCTTTGTTAGTAATTGTCTTCGACGTAGTATCTCCGAAAAACGACTTACCAAGCCAGTGGTTGACCCAAAGGTAGGGAAGACCGTAGAGAAGAGCAACCTGAGTCAAGCCCATAACCAGAGTAGCGTAGTAAAGACCGTAGCAAAGAGCAATAAGACCAAGATCGGAAACCAGAATAGCCAAACGCTGAGAAGGAAGGTAGATAGGAGAGAAGGGAGAGTAGTGACTGAGGTTGGAAGTGGTACGAGGATCCTTGAAGTTTGCAAGACTCTTGTAGCCAGAAGAGGCGTAGAAGAGCATGTAAGCTTGCCAGCCAATGAGTTGGTGTCCAACAAGGAAGATCAAGCTGACAATAGGTGCATCCTCGGTCATGTGGAAAATCGCCTTGACCTTTTCCTGGACCTTGGACATGAGATGCATGCCGTCGTCCTTCTTTGCGGGGACGAATGCAGTATCCTTCTCCATGTGGTTGGTGAATCTGTGGTGTCTAGCATGGCTGTATTTCTTGAGGTCGGTCAGCAAGGTTGTACAAAACACAAGAAAATCATGATTTCGTGCTAGGTAAAGCTTCGTGCCAAAACATGCCAATTGGCGTTTTGATGGCAAACCAGCACGACCTGAACACTCATAATAATCATGCCATTTCAAGATTAACGTACCCAAGAGAAGTAGGGAACACCCAAAAAGCTGTGCATGATAAGACCGAAAGTGTCGTTGGCGGCGCCATTGTCAAACATGGCCTGGTGACCACACTCATGAGCGAGAATCCAGATACCGACAAAGACGAATCCCTGGAAAACGCTGTAAAGAGCCCACAGGGCACATCTGAGAGCGAATGATGGTGCGTATTGAATCTGAGTGCCCATGTAGAATACAGTGCAGACGAGGGCGATGTCTCGCACAATGTAGCTCAGAGAAGTTGTCGTTGACTTCTGGAAGCAGTGCTTGGGAATTGCAGCTCTCAGCGAGTCAATTGACGTGCTGCTAGTCTTGACTTCGGAAACTGCTTGAGCACCCATATTTGCTGACTCTGAAATGGTACAAATGAGTGACTGGTCAAGCAATATGGTCGATTGCGATTTGTGGATGCAAGAAAGGTCGCGCAGAAAAGACTCGAGTCGGTTGACTTTTCTTTTGGCAATTGACAGATCCCCTTTAACCAATCTCGTTGAGCATCGAGAACGTGGCCCACAATAAAGCATTGGTGAAAATATGCTCGGTAGGAGCGCCGATTGGTACAAGCTCGGTGTCAGGGAGGGTTAGACCCTGATCAACGGCGTTCGAACCACGACTTGGCTGTGGAAAATCCACTTCATCCCGTGTTTCTGCATCGCATATTTTCTCACATTATTTGTTTGAGCTTTGCACGGGTGGTTTCTCCTTATTTTCCAAGGGCTTGGTATCGATGCCAAAGCCATCGCGGCGGAGCTGTGAGCTGTTTTCTATCCTTTCGCTAGACCGTAGATTTTGTGCCCTGCCAAGCTCTGGATTCTTTTTCTCTTCGATCGGATGTCGTTGTCTGGAAAAACGTTTCCAATGGCACTTTATCAAGCACAACGTGTCCGCAGTATGCAACCACAAATGGGAATGTTCAGCAAAAATCGACGTGGCTGTCAACGTCGCTTCGCCAAGAGAAGAATTTCCACCGGTATTCGCCGCAGCGTATGTCGATTCTCGCTCTTGCAAACCTACACCATGAGACGGCTCTAGTGCGAAATCCTCCGAAATCTCTGCTTGCTGATGTTTCTTGATGCTGCACAAATGCTGGCCTCCAGGCAGTGAGATGAAACTTCTCGGAGTGAAGCGAGTACGATATTTGTACCATGGTAATCCAGACGTGTGCAAAGCACAAACATATTTGCGATCTGCATTGCATATTTTTATGTTGCAATTATCCCTGGACCAGATCGACCATTGCTGAGCAAATAACGTACATCATCTTTGATTTCCGATGACCGCAAGTCTGAGCTGGCCAAAATATATTGTACAATTTGAAGGTGGTTTCGGCAGAAAAATCGAGCTCACAGACGATTTGGACCGTCGAGGTGTTGTCAAAGTCTTTCTGCGTTAGGAGGATAGTCTCTTCTGCTTTGGGATGGTTGCTCACGACCTGAGGCCGGTTTGTGTATCTCTACACCTACGTGCGCTTCACTCTGCCATGTCTTGCAACGACAACCTCCTTGGAATGATATGCTGATCAATAGGTAGAGTCGAAGCTAGTCAGCAGTCGGTGGCATACACCCTACGGGACGGCAAAGCAGACTCGCGTGTGTCAAGAGCTCGGTGTCAAACCAGGCGGCTTGTCGTTCCGAAGGCAAGAATATCAGATCCGGACTTTGACCAGGGAGAGTGATTCCTTCGAAGGCACTTTTCGGACGTGTTCCTGGTCTGAATACACTCTGCAATCTTCATGGTCATGTTTTACCGTGCCGCTATTGCGAGGGCGTAACTTTGGTAATCAGCTCATTCTCTACAAGAAGCCGAGACACGATATCAGTGTCTTGTGGACGTACATAGATGTTCCCACAAGTCTAGACATATTTCTTCTGTCAATGCAAAATCATTCCTGGTGAGTCGGAAAGAGGGTGAGACGAATGAGCTGCGAGCATCAGCTGCCTTAAAGACGCTTCTGAGAAACGACTGGATCATCCTAGTCAAGCCTTCTATGCTAATACAAGAGACGCGATTACCGGCCTTGAATTGTATGCCCATGGGGGGAATGATAACGATAGAAACGGTGGACTGGTGAATTGTTGTTAAGCTTCTTCGTGCCCACATTGTGACATCACTCAAACAAGCTGGGCGTCTCCTGAAACAACACACTCCGCCTCGCTCGTCCGACCGCATGTGTGCACATAGTTTCGTGTCATGCTCATCAGCGCCCGAGGACCTTATAAGATACGACCAAGCGGATGCAATGGGAACACAGATTGATGAAAAGCAATGCAAACACAAACATCTCTATCGCGGCTGGTAGAACTCAAAAAGTGTGCCATTTCTAATTTCCGGACGATGTCATCGCTTAGCTGCGCCAAGCATCCCTATACCAAGCTGAAAGGAGAGTGCTTGTTTTCCACAAGCTGCTCAGACAAGCAGATGTCAAGATCCAATCAACGAGATTTACAATCTACATAGCCTGATCTCATAATACCACGAAGTCTTTCAATTCACTTCTGGGCATAGGCAGTCATGAATTGACCTGCTGTCCATGGGTGGTTGGGCCTCGGAGAGCCCAGATTCAAGATTGACACAGCCACAAGCCTTGGCCGATCGTGCATTTGCCAGCGAATAATTGTTTTCCTGCAGGGGACTGCTGCTGAGTTAAAGTAAGCACTTAGAAACAAGGAAAGCGCGGTGAAGACGTGCGAGGCGCTCTCCTTGAGCTAAAGCGACGACCTGCTCCATGATCTGATAATTTTCGACCGCTCCCCTCCACCATTGACTCTCATTTTACACAATCTACGAGTCTACTCGGATATTCTGTCGCATCGCGGGGTGGAACATCAACAGAGCCCAGCGCCAGAGAGTAACGCAACAATTCACGAAGCATCATGACAACTCCACGTCGCGCAAGTCAACAATCGACAAGTCCATATACACACGAACCGAAACCTCAGCAAGAGCGCGAAGATGGCAACCTGCCCCAATACAACTCCAATGGCCATGTTGTGACTCGAGGCATCCAACCTAACGGCGAGAGTGGCAGACAATGGTTCCATCCTTACCATTTCTTGAGGGTGTGTTGGGCTAGTTCATGTACTGCTTCCAAGTATGTAAATGTTCTATGGCCGTTCGTTCCTGCCGCTATTGCCTTGGTACGTATCCCATCTTCAGTACCCTATCGTTTCCATCTTGCTGACGCTATGGTTTCAGCACTTCGCCAGGCCCGAGCAACACCTTTGGATCTTCATCCTGTCTTACGTCGCCATGGTCCCCTCAGCAAACTTGATAGGCTTCGCGGGTCAAGAACTGGCGAGGAAGCTTCCAACTGTTCTCGGCGTTGTCCTTGAGACCACATTGGGATCCCTGGTTGAGATGATTCTCTTCATTGTGCTTCTGGTCAACCAAGGAGCCCAAGGTGTTCCTGTCGTTCAAGCCGCCATTCTTGGTAGTATTCTAGCGAACTTGCTGCTCTGCATGGGACTCTGCTTCTTCTTCGGAGGCCTGCGCCGCCACGAACAGCAATTCCACGACGTCGTTAGTGACACAGGGAGCAATCTCATGCTGGTTGCTGGCATGGCCCTCGTGATCCCGGTCACTTACGCCAACGCTCTTAGAGGCCGCGAGAATCTGTCTACCAACCAGCTCGAGCTCGAGGTTGTCAAGATTTCTCGCGCTACTGCTATCGTTCTTGTTCTGGCATTCGCGGTTTACACCTTCTTCCAGATGAAGTCGCATCATGGATTCTATGATGACATTCTTGAACAGGACGAACAGAATGACGTGGATCGTCATCGTGATTTGGCTAAACCGAAGCTGACCCTCACTGAGTCCGTCATAGCTCTTGCTCTCGCCATCACTTTCGTCTCAATGATGGCCGTTTTCCTTGTTGAAAACATCGATTATATGATCCATCACCGTCATATATCGGACTCCTTCCTTGGCCTCATTTTGGTTCCACTGGTCGAAAAGGCTGCCGAACACATTACCGCGATCGATGAAGCATGGGATAATCAGATGAACTTTGCCCTGTCACATATTCTGGGTGCATCTATTCAGACCGCGTTGTTGAACACTCCTCTTGCAGTCATAGTTGGTTGGGGACTGGTAAGTCATTTGGGTGTGAGTATGATCATTTATTTGGTTGCTGACAGTGTTGTAGGACATACACATGTCTATGAACTTTGAGATGTTTGATGCAGTCGTCCTCATCCTGGCTATCTTGGTGGTCGGCCAATTCTTGCGTGACGGCAAGTCCAACTATCTTGAAGGAGCGCTGTGCTTCTTTGTGTATGTGCTTATCGCCGTTGCTGCTTTCTATTATCCCAACCCAGTCGAGGGGCACGAGACTGCGGGCAGTAGTGTGTCTGAATAAGACGTTACACCAAGTTCAAGTGACTAGATTGGGACCATGCTGGTTCGTCAAACGAAGATGGGAAGACCTCTACGGACAGGGCTCTTGGTTCGAAAGAATTTTGCATTTCTATAGCTTACAATGTCACTGTGCGTTGCCATGAGTGAAACGGAATGTGGGACTGCGACCCTCGTATTTCCATACGAGAGGCTTTGATAGGTGCAGCTTTATAAACGCATAGTAGTTCTGAAGGAATAGGCCAGTCTCCACTGACGGTTGTTTTTCCAGACCTCTTGAGCTACATATGTAGTATCGAAGCGAGTTGTGTATGTTCACGGTATGTTGTTGTTGTTGTTGTTGTTGTATACTGTTTTTGAGATTGTTTGTTCTCAAGAATCGCTACGGCAGATGAGCTTCTCGCCCAGACCGAGACTTTATCAAAAGTCAGACTGCCTCAATCCAGCGCCTGCTTGGCCTTGACGTACGGAATGTGATACGCGGCGCCGTCGGCAACATCAGCGGCTGTCGTATAAGGTACGAACTGCCTACATTCCTCGTGCCCCCGAGAAACCGGCATCTTCTGTAAACACATCGGGCCGAAGGATATTACTTTTATCTTCCGTTCATGGGGTTTGGAAACTCCATGAGCATCAATTTCTGTTATCTCTTGTTATTCACTTATTTCCAAGAGGTGTTCGTCATGACATACACTCATTTGACTTCCAGATCCCACCAGAGTGCAGCTCTGCTGTGCCTCGTCTCTCTTTTACCATATTTATCAAGAGCACAAAATGCTTGCAACATATATAATCCTGCCAACCAAGGTGTTGTATATCAGCAGGCGGTGTCCGTGAATACTTTCGTTCAATCAAACACTACGTTTTTTCCTCATCCCGAGGCGCAAGCGATCACTGTCACAGACGCTCCAACATCGTTCGATCTTATCACGACACTCTCATGGACCAAAACCGTCTCTTACACAGGTTCTGCATCTACTGTCGTCAGCGCTTCGGTTTCAACGACAACCGACTCGACATTCATCCTGTTCATTACGTCTGATACGAGGCTACATCAAAAACGTCAAAATGGTTATTATATGAACGCGAATGGCACAGTCAGCAATGATTGTTCAAGTGCACCCGTATATTCAATCACGAATGGCGCTTTGACAGCGACGATGAATAATGTTGTCTATTACTACTCGACCAACCCAGGCGTGGCATACGCCCCCTTCGTGCCTTCCCAAACTCCAGGATCGATTACGACATCATTCTCGGCCACGAGTAATGGTCAGCTTTCATGGTTCAACTCACAATTTTACAACGGACAGGCACAGTTTTGCTCTTTGAATAATGGCACTGTTTATGCAGTATTTCAACAAGACGCAACGCCGAATGGGTGCATGTTCATTCAACTCTCTTTATTCTCGGTTTCTTCGTGTGCCAATCTGGCTATGAGTTCTGGACCAAGGTATGTTTCTTATCATACATTCATTTACATAAACTTACATTCTTGTAGTGGTGCAACTGGAGCAACTGGAGCAACTGGAGCAACGGGTGCTACAGGACCAATAGGTCCGACAGGATCGACAGGTCCCGCGGGGCCTACAGGAGCAACCGGTGCATCAGGAGCAACTGGAGTAATGGGACCCACAGGATCGATTGGTCCCACTGGGCCTACGGGGCCTACGGGGCCTACGGGGCCTACAGGAGCAACAGGAACAGCAGGTGCATCAGGGGCTTCAGGTGCTACAGGACCAACAGGTCCTAGTGGTCCTAGTGGTCCTACGGGTCTTATTGGTCCTACTGGCTCTACTGGTCCCAGCGGTCCCAGCGGTCCATCAGGGCCATCAGGTCCCTCGGGGCCTGTGGGTTCTACAGGTATACAAGTGAGTATCATTCACATTGGGTTTCCCATCATGAATATTCAAACCACATGCAACTATCAAAACTCACCTACTATTTGAAAACATACTAACAACTTCCAGGGACCAACAGGGTAATAATCTCCCCATCGTTCACTCGATTACAACTAACATCTTTCCTCAGACCCCCCGGACCAACGGCAACAGGCATTCTCTACGGCTATCTCGGTTGCTACGTTCAAACTGGATCAAACACCACAACCACCGGCCGCGCTCTCACAAATTACCAAGCTACCTACACCAACCAAGTAAACAGTCGTTGCAGCACCACCTGTCTCTCGCAACAGTTCGTCTACTTTGGCACCGTGAATCAGGGTACTACGGGTGCCGATTGCTGGTGTGGCAACACTATTGCATATGTGACTGTTGCGACTGGTCTGTTGAGTGGAAGCACAGGCGAAGCAGGTGAAGTATGTACCTTTCATTTCTCTACTCATTCTTCACTATCCTCTCTTATTCACAGTGTTGCTGAATTGGTTCTTGACGGCGTTCAAGAGCCTTTGCTAACGACAATGACTCCATAGAACAACTGCTACCTATGCAACGGAGCCAGTGTACCAGGAGGAGTACCTGGTGCTTGCGGCAACTATTCGATCAGCACAATTGCCATATTCGCTCGCTCCTTCTGAAAAGATTGCAGAAAGATTGCAAAAAGATTAGAGAGATGGTGATAGCGTACCCAGTGTGGGAGGCGCGTTGCAGCCAGGCGTTCTTGCTATTTGGCAGGTTCAATTCTTTCGTATGTCAAATTTATTATTCAGGTTGCAAAGCCTCTTAGGATCGTGCATGCTTCCACATCACTGCAATTCATATCGTTCTTCGATATAGTAAACAGCGTAATAAACACTATGGAAAGGCAGAATTTTTTGCAAGTAGAAGCACATGTGGACAGAGAGCTGATGAGTTATTGTATCTCAGTGGAACTATCGTGTTTCCAGTTAACATTGTGCATTTGTATAGATACACATTGCAATTTCAAGCACATGAGAAGGAAGAATACTCGGTCATTTTTTGGTTGTGGCTGATTGTTGAGTGTTTGAAACCCATCTAAACCACGAAGCAGGGGCCCAAACAACCTTAATTTGCCTGGCCTACTCTAAGGCCTAGCGGACTCAATAGTTACAGAAGGAGCAAGCAAGGTGTTAAACTCTGAATTCCAGCGGCAACAACGATGTTTTGCAAAAATTGAGCAACGCCAGAAGGTAAGACAGAAGATTCAGAATTCATTCAGATGGACGTGGTATATCCATCAGATCCTATTATACATGGCATTACAACAAATTACTCATAACCCTCGTGTTCTCAGTCTCAGTCGACAAACCTGTCTGACAACCTTCGTTCCACTCGTACGAAGCTTGATTACAGCTTATGCTGAGTACTTCTCCTTCTCTTCCTTAGCCTTTCTTCTGTCACTAGCACCCTTGATGAAAGTGCTGAGGTCACCAACAGGGAGCTGGAAGGGAAAGTCAAGAGCAGCGAGCATAATGGCGAAGAAGATCCACCAGCCGCACATGTCGGTGACAAAAGTGAGTGCTCCGGCAGCGGTAAGACATCTGGTGGCGGTGGCAGCGTGGGCAGCTTGTCTAGCCGAGTTTGTGGCGGCACCATAAGCAAGAGCAAGGTTCCAGTAAGCACCAGCCAGGCAGCCAAAGGCGAGGACCAAGGTGAAGAAGATCATGGCGAAGACAACGTTGGTGCGGAGTGAGCAGATGAAGTAGATCAAGCACAACATGCCCATGAAGACGAGGAAGAAGGCTATCATGAAAAAGTCAATAAGTTGACGAGTTGATGTGTGACAATCAAGTGATACGAACCAAAACTGGCATTGAACTCGACGGTCTGTAATCCTTCGGCAGGGTTGGTGAGGCTAGGTGAGAATGCTCCGTATGCATTGTAGAATGGCTGAAGAGTGGCAGCAAAGGTCAACCAGAAGGCACCGAATGAACCGAAGACGACGAAGGGGAATGTGTTGCCGATCAACCACTGATACAATGTTAGCAAGGAAGACCGATCACGTAGGTGTCGACACTTACCTCGCCGATAGAACCAAGAATCATCAGAAGACCGCCAAAAAAGAAGTAGGCACCGATATCAGAAGCTCCGGTGCTCGAGGAGCCTCTCCAACCCATCAACATACAACTCAGGGGCGTCAAACTGAGAAGGAATCCACACAAGGCGCTAGACATGTTGTCAGTGGAAACCCTCAAGCAAGACCAGCCTCGAAGTGACTAACAGTGGAGTGGGGTTACCAAAAGTCTTTCTCAATTCACCAGCGACCTTGTTCTGAGGAGACAAATAAATCTTCTCAAACAGCTCGGGAGAAATCGAAATACTGCCAGCTGTACGAATCCTCTGCAGAGCCGTCTCGCTGTCAACATCGTTTCCAATGTGGTTGTTATAGTCTAAGATAATGTCAGCTATAAGGCTCTATATCTGCTCAAAATCGACTTACCATTGAAGTCCTTTTCGATTGGGGGGCTGGCCTCGTGTGTAAGGTGATTGGTCGTGTTGTAGTTGTCCTCGTGGGGGGTAAGGTGGTTGGTTGCGTTGTAGTTGGCCTCGTTTGCCATATTGACGGCTTGTAAGAATGTTATAATGGAAGAATAGATATCTGGATGGAACAGGAAAAGGACGATTGCTATCACAACAGAAGACACCTGCATATATACCTTCCACAATGTGGCTCCAGACGCACGGCCGCACTAAGTCCGAAGGCCCCGTCTCGGATAGCACAACCACAATCAATCCAGAGAAGATCAGAGCAGGGAGGAGCCATACCCCGCTGTACAGGTCACAAACGGCTCATGATCTCCTGACTTTGTGCCCAAGTACAGATTTGGTGTGATCGACCAGGTGTACGCCGCTGAAAGCTACCCCAGACGCCTTCATCCGGTTGAGCGGTTGGCTTGGTCGTTGTCAAACTCATGCCTGGCAATGAGAGACACGTTCTGCCCTGCAGAGCCCGGACAGATGGCCATGCAAGATGGCTGACACGGTAACAAGCATGTACGAATCCAAGTTTCCAATGCAGTACTCACCAGATAAGATGTTTGTGTGATACAGAAAGGCGAACCAATAACAACCAATGACTAACGTTCCAGGATCCCTCCGGACATGCGGATACTCGAGTAGCCATATAATTGTACAAGGTTAGCGCGGCGAAGAACAGCTTCCCCGCAAGTCAATCCGGGGCGTCTGGGGAGTCGATCTGGGGGTGGGTCATGGACTCGCGTGGCGACGTCGATGTGGCATATCAATAGTTGGCACTCGTATAGGAGCTGCTGGCTGTAGGCAGGAAGTGTCATACGATTCTCCCTTTGATTTGCTTGTGTCTCACACACCAGATCAATCCTAGATCTCATATTACCTGTTCCCCTGGTCACGAAACCATAGGTGAGCTTCGAGCAAACTGTTTCTTTCGGCATCAGGGATTTGCAGAACCAATCCAGAGCTGTTTCGTAGCAGATCATCGATACCTGGGGTGGTACAATCCCAAAAGGCTTTCGGCCATAGGCAAGGCACCGTCGTGCGATTGGACGTGTTCTTGGTAGACGACCCCGCGCGGCAAACGGAGGGGGGAAACGACCGCATACCAAGACTCCAAGGCCATCGGGCATGCGGCTGGCTGGCGATGATCGATTCGTACAGGCTGGCGAGAGAGTTTTGCTTTCTTGTTGAAAGATCTCCGAAGGTCACGAGCCCTATATGGGTATGTCTCTTTCAGCACAGAAGAGGGTGTGGAGTCGCAAAGCAGCAACTCGAGAGGGAAGAGCGGTAATAGCCAAAATGACATCATGCACAAAGTGTTTAGATAAATGGCAAGAGCGAGTCCATCCACTCAATCTCAGTCTGTGTAAGAATTGAAGCGTCAAACCTCGGCTGACAGCATACTCGTACCACCTGGATCGACTGGCTTTTCTCGTTGATCGACTATAAGACCTCTTGTGTCGCGGCTCCCAGACGCCGGAGCAGCCAATACCAGCATCATGACCGTTGCACGGAGCCAAACTTACGTTGATGACGAGGGCAAGCCTTTTCGGCGCAGAAGCTCAGCTTGGGAGAAAAATTGCGAAGTAAAGAAAGAAAAAATGTACTCAAGTACAAGGTCATTATGATACATGCGTTACAACGTTAAAAAGAGCCACCACCAACTCATCATCTACCGAGAAACGAAATCAAAACATCTAACGCCGATTTATCGTGTATCTATCCCAGGAATTGGAACAAACAGTTAGCCAGGTCATTCAAATCATTTGTGGAAAAGTCTCTTTATTCCAACAGTCGCGTTTCCAGCTTTGTCACTGATCCACGTACCACTTCCGTCCAGGAAGCTGAAGGATGGTATCTTGCTGCGCCAGCCGTATCGTCTTCTCGAGGCAGTCTTACTGCCTGTAGAACTACGGTCACTGAACTTCAGCTTGCCCTCCATGATGGAATGGATGGCGTTGATGAGCAGGAAAGTCGAGGAGCCGATGGCACGGAACAAGGCCAGAACAGCAACAGCCCATAAGATGAACTTGAGATAGACGTTGTTGGCAATACCCGTCTCGCCGTATGCTCCACTGACGGCCATGGCAAGGATGGCGTTGGTAGACATCCAGATTGTCACCATGTAAGTTCTGACTCCACGGTAATAATCCTCTTGCTGCTGTGCTGCGCTCGGTGGTGGGTCAATGACCTCGACGCGGTCGCGAAGGTTGCGAAGAGCAGTGTCGTAGCCACTATCGATGTCAAGCTGCTCGCTCGGCATCTCGAGTTCAACAGTGCCGCCCTTGGAGGCTTTCGCAGCTCCCAGATCTGTACTGACAGTATTGTCACCCTTTGTGCCCCAAGAAATATCATGCGCGTTGCAGAAAGCGAAGATTTGAAGTGTGCAGATATAGCTGGGTAGCATGCCAAAGTACTGAGCGGAACTAGTGAACATATGCCAAGGATCCAGGTAGAGGAAAGACATCAAGAAGTAGAGGCCAATTGTGCTGAGAGTGCTGACAATAAAGTTGGTAAAGAGGTTGTTGCCAAGATGCATCTTGCCTCCGCCAAATTCTTTTACCACAATCCAGATTGAAGCGAACGTGGTGTATGCCATGACAATACCATAGATAATCATGGAGCCCAAGAACATCTTTTTCGATCCCTGTGGTCGATTGCCCATGCTCAAGATGAAGTTCATAGCAATGGTCAATATGCAAGCATATCTTAGAACTGTGAAGACATATTTGCAGAGATTGACCTTTGCTCCTGTAGGGTCGATCTTTGGATCCGAAAGAGAACCAGCAACAAAGTAGAATGTCAGATAGAAGTTACCAAGCGAAAACCAAGTAAACGTGAGCTGAATGAATTGATAGATGAATTCGACATGAAGTAGCGCTTTGCGGATCGGAGAATGCGACGTCGTCCAAATTTGTTTGAAATGCAAAAGGGAGTAGACTGCAGCGAAGAATGCACCATTCAGCCATCTACGGCGCTGAGAAATGAACTCTGGGACAGCATCTGGATAGGTCAGCAGAATTCGAGAATTTGGTTTTGGAAGGTCACTTACCAGGTACATCAGTTTCACCAGTGGCTTGTCTGACATACTTCAGGACCCAAGATTCGTTACGCTTGGCGACAAGCTCCCAACAAAGGATACGATCTTCTGCAAGATACATGTTGGCGGTGAAGACGTCTGCATCTTGACCGTGTAGAGTCTCGCCCTTGAAGTATTGGCTAAGAGGCCCATGTCCAGTCTCATCATTCTGGAGGGCATGGTATCTGTACGCACTAAGAGCGCCAGGCAAGACAGTGATATAACCAAAGACAGATTCGAGCGGTTTGTCAAGAATATTAGACATTTTGTACTCGAAATTCTGGGACGCCACAAGTGGATTGAATAGCCCGAGCCAATTCTTTCCCTTGCCAGCCTTGATCTCACCAGCAGCACCTGCAACGTTCGAATCGTTATCAAATGCCTTCCAAAGGTGATAAAGAGAAGTGTCTCCTGGTCTTGTGCCAACATCTAGCAGAATGCAGACATTGGGCTTCAAGGCCTGTCCGAACGCATTGAAGAACCAGCGATGACTGTTGAGTTTCTTTGCATTCTTTTCTTTCATGCAGAAAATCATCTGGCAAGGCACAATGCCTTTTTCGGCGCCTTTGAATTTGAGATCGGGATCGAGAGATACCTGCGTGGTATACTCATAAACGTGACCAGTGACTTCACGTTGGTTCACAGAGTTCTTTGCGATACCATCTTGGTACACTCCCATGGCAGCAAGAGCATCCAGAGTTCGAGGATGAACCTTTTTGCGTCCATCAGCAATGATACAGATGACAATCTTCTTCCAACCGTCCTTGCCCCATGTTCTGGACTTTTGTCTGCTGCAAAAGTGAGCCACATTGCGCATGACACCGTGCATGGTGCGGGTAAAGTCGAGTTCGTTCTCGTTGTACATGGTGATACAGATCAGCAGCTCGGTCTCCCGGGTTGTGTTTCCAATCTGCTGACGGAGCTTGTAACCACGCTCGACAAACTCGTTGGGATCGCATGTGACAGCCGTGTATCGCATGTGCGTGAATTCGATGTCATCGCGACGGGGCAGGAAAGAGTACAGAATGGTGGGAATTTTGCACTCCAAGATCAGTTCTCCATTGATGAGCTTGACCTCCTTCTTGGACATGACTGCAGGTCTCACGCCACGACGTTCTTGCTTTCCATCTGGAGCGGGCTCATAGTTGCCTTTCTCATCGTAATCGTCTTCGTCGTCGTCGTTGTAACTTGAGTCGGACACGAACGAGTCAGTCTTGAGAAGGTCTGGTCGCTCATCGTCTATGAACGGGTCATCATCGCCATCGATGGGGATGGCTGTCATGTCTGAGAGATCCTTGTCGCCGTCGGATGAGTTGGGTCGCACACCGGCAAACAGCGGGGCTGGTGGGAGGGGTCGCTTCGGGCTTCCACCATATTTACTAGAAGGTGAACCTGGTCGCGGACTGCCGTTGATGTCGGCAGGCTCATAGGGAGCATTGTACGAGGGCGGGACGGCATAGTCGAGGGAGGTGCGGGTGGGAGACCATGAGTGCGAGGGAGAGTGGGAAGCGCGGGACGATGGTCGGTCGTAGTAGAAGGGCGGCACGTCAGATGGTGGCGGAAGGTTGGGGGCTCCGTCGACGATGGAGACGGCTCGTGAGGGTGGGCGCGAGGGGTGGTATGGTATGAAGGTAGCGGGCATGGGTGGAATCTCCTCGGCGGCTTCTCTGGAAGATTTTGTTAAGTGATGGTTCTTCTTGTCTTTCTTGTTTGTCGAAAGCGACGTCTGTGCCTCTTCAAGGAGGTCTTCAATAGCATTGCGCTCTTTGGGGTGCTTTCTAGGCACACTGAATCTCGAGCGGGTGTTCTGGTCTGGCTTGTCGTCGACTGGGACCGACTTCTGGGGCTGAGAAGATTGCTGGACATACTCTTCGAAGGGACTTTCATCAATGTGCGTGAGCAACCTCATGGTCGATGCATTGTGCGAGCTGGGCGCACCCTCGTTGTCACCGTAGACAGACGAGTCGCCATAGCGAGAGCCCATGTTGGCGGTTGGTATAATGAGTGACGGCGCAACAAGCGAGGAATGTAAAGCTGAGTCTGCTTGCAATTACGCCATGTGCACACTGGAGAAAGACGCTTGTGAGTTTAGCAGGATCAACAGATCAAAACGGCGGTCAGACAAAGCTCAGATATGTCAAGGCAAAAAATGGGTGAATTAAAATTAACACTCTGTTAGGCGCACCGTCTTTCTTGATGATGGTGTGCCTGGTGTGAGATGGACCGGATCATGTTGTTTGTTTCACGGCGCACGCGGAGAAGTTGGCGTGGAAACAGACGCTCGGCACTTGGGCCGCCGATCCTTCCGGCAAACAATCAATTGTCTATTTTCCTTCTGCCTTTGCATAATCAGGTCCAAACTCCTTGTACCATCTGGAAATGGTTAGTATCGCTTCCTAAGGGCTCCAAGGCATCATGTCTGAACTCACCTGTCTACCACTTTTTGGCTCATGCCAGCTCCGATGCAATCACGGTCCTCTTGCCATCCCTTCTTGAGCTCATCCATGAACTCTTCGACAGACAGCGCATTGGCATTCTTATGTTTCTTGTTGTCGTCTGGGTCCTCTCTTTCTCTGTGCAAGTCGGTGCCAACTGATGGTGGTGCAATCTCGATCACCTTGATGGACGACCCGGCCTGCTCCAACTGAGTCCTCAAATTCATCGTGTTGAAATGCACAAAGGCCTTGGTGCCGTTGTAGACTGGGTTGATGATGCTGAAGGGAATCAAGCCGAGCACCGACGAGACGTTCATGATGACGGCAGACTTTTTGGACTTGAAGTGAGGCAGGAAGCCGACTGCCAGATGCATAGGTCCTCGAATGTTGATGTTGATCTCGTTGTCTCCTTTCTCGAGGAACTCTTCGGCTGACATGTCGTTTACGTTAAGAGGTCTCTGGACGCCAGCATTGTTGACCAGGCAGTCCAGCTCTGGGTGCTCCTTTGTGATCTTCTGGATGAAACTTGGGATGGAATTGATGTCTCCCGTGTCCAAGACATAGTAGTCGGCGCCAATTTCCTTGCTCGTAGACTGTAGCTTGGACTCAGTACGGCCTACGATGATGACCTTCTTTCCTTGTGAGATGAAGTATTCAGAAATGGCTCTTCCAATACCCCCAGCGCCTCCAGTGACGAGGGCACACTTGAAGTCTAACGATTTAGGCGACATGTTTCTTTGAAGTTCAAAAGATACCAGTATGAGCTGATGAATGTATGCAGTCGCAGATATGTTGGTCCTCTCAAAAAAGTGATACAGACTCGCCATAGTAATGATGACGTACGTCAAGATCAGCTCCGACACTTCCGACTTGGGAGCTCCTGCAAGTTATGCCACGACGACCTGCGCGTGCACACATCCAACGTTACCATTCATATTTTTTTCACATTCGGTCTCCATCGTTCCATCAGTATGCCAGAAGAGACGTGGTCGTTAGGTTCCATTTATGATTGCCACTGCATGGGCTACGATGCAATGCGCCAACTTCTCACGCAGCCAGATCCGATAGCTCGTGCTCGTGCAATCGAGCAGACTCGCAGTTCACTGCTCGACTCATCGATTTTCCGCTTCTAGGAGAAGATGTGTCAACCAGTTACGCCATCGATCAGGAATACTCTACAACACAGCAATCGATTATTGACCAGAATCATTGGTATGGTGATCTGAACCCCTGCACTTGGCAATTCTGACAGTCCGTCCCAGTCGATGCCTATATTCTTCTCGAAACCAGTCCATTACCGCAGTGGGATATGTCCGAAGAAGGTCGTGAGCACCTCGAGGACTTGACTCTCCACGACTTGCTAGTCTGTGTCGTGCCCCTGCCGAGATCGGATCGGCTGCCAAACAACAACAGACTCGATTACCTGGCTTTTATCAGCCTGAACATGTACAACGTAAGTGTCGACTCGGATGAAAACATCTTTCTGGTTGCTGGTGAGCCCGCTGGCGACAAGCGCTCGGCCCTGAACATGCTTCTATGGAGTATCCAAACACGCATCGCCATGAAGTTCGTCATGACGGAAGAAGTCACGATCAGCCCGTCGTAGTACGCACGTCCGCTCTCTTCTGTTCCAGCAAGTATTCAAAACATTCTTGTTGTTCCAGCGTTGCGTCGAGCTTGTGGAGATGACGAGTGGTCCGATATGTTTCGGCTGCTCGTTAGCTTCATGCTCCCCCTGCGAAGAGATGTGCTCAGGGTATGCGCAGGATTTCGAGATTGCCGCAGATGCCGTTACCGCTCTAGGTCCGAGTTTTAGACTTTCGTCTCTCGAGTCTTCAAACGCTCATTCTACTCATTCGAGATAGCATCACTCATGCACTTTGCTACCCATCTGGTTCTAGTCGCGTGAGAGGGCCGCGTGACTTCACCACTCAGTATCGCTCAAATCAACTATTCTCTACATCGTTGAAGCCTGTGTGTCTGAATTCTAGTGCGCCGAAGACCGCCATATTATAGCCATAAAACTTCGCAAGCCTACGTATCGTCCACGAGACACAAATTGGTCTCAATGTAGTTCTGTAGCCGCACTTCTGATCTGGAAAATGGCTGTACAGTTTGAGAGGACACATATCCGTAGGGAAATGTTGAGTGTAGAATGGCGATGGAGTTTGGCACATAGGCAGGTTACACATATGTAAGAGCCGCGTCGAGGCATGCAACAACCTCATGCGGAAAGCGCGGGCCGTCGTCGATCGCCAGAAAAAGCAATGGCGATCTTACGCACATCAGATCTACACTCACCAAACGTCATACAAGGTCAACCTGGACAGTTCAGAGCCATGGTTGACTTATCCACAAACCAGGGTAGCCAACAAGCAAAAGGTGTACCTCGCTATCTTGCATTGCCAAAGCTTCTACGACAGCCATGAGTGATCAAGCCTTGCAATCCCAAGGCTCTTATGAGCATTCGAAGACCAAAACACTATCGCTGCCGCCGAAAGACAACCCTAGAAATTGGCCAACATGGAAGAAATGGGTCCTCGTCAGTTCTATAACTTTTGTTGACTTGACTGTATCCTGGGGAGCTTCAGGGTTCAGCCCAGCGTCGACCAAGTTCGCAAAAGATTTTGGAGTCTCGAGCGAGATTGGGACTTTGGGCTTGTCCATTTATGTTGCAGGTCTTGCTTTGGGGCCCATGTCACTCGCGCCGCTGTCAGAGGTGCGCAATACCATGTCCATGCCACTTCGCTCAACACGACTAATACTTGACAGTATTTTGGACGGACGCCACTGTACATCATTCCATATGGATGCTTCTTGCTCTTTCTCCTTGGCACTGCTCTCGTACAGAATCTGGGTGGATTTTTGGTCTTACGATTCTTGTCGGGTTTTTTCTCATCGGTCACTGTTGCGAATTTTGGGGGCACCATCGCGGATCTGTGGGACGTTGAACACACTGGAATCGCCATGTCTATATTCTTATGGGCGGCAACATGTGGGTCACCATCCGGCTATTTTCTGATGTCGTGGGTCGCTCAATATCGTGGTTGGAGAGATGTCTTTTGGGCCTTGCTAGGCATCTGTGGTGGTGCGTGGATTATCGTGTCTGTCACACTGCTCTTATGCGGTGAAACAAGACACAGTGTTCTCCTTCTCCGCCACATGAAAGCTGAAAGACGACGAACTGGCCGAGACGACCTGGATGTTCCAGAAGAGATGAAGCGTCGTGGTATTCGCCAACTGTTTAAGATCGCTCTGACTAGACCATTTCGCTTCTTGTTCTCTGAAGCCATCGTTATCTTTGCAGCCTTGTACAATGGCTACCTCTACGGTCTGAGCTTCTTGTTCAACGGTGCATTCAGTGTCATCTTTGGTCCCTCTGGCAAAGGCTTTGAGACCTACCAAGTCGGACTTACATTCCTCGGTATATGTGTTGGAATTTCTCTGGGACCTTTGACAAACCTTTGGCAAGAGCGGTACTACCAGAGGAGAATTCAACGTGCCGGGGGAAAGAACATACCAGAAGCGCGCGTGCAGCTTGGTCAAGTAGCTGCGGTGACGTTTCCGATCAGCTTGTTCATTTTCGCGTTCACTTCATACGTATGGTTGAGCTGGGTTGGCCCCGTCATCGCCAGCGGCCTGTGGGGATGGAGTTTCTACATCCTCATCCTGATGACTTATACGTATATCGAGGATAGTTATGGCCAGTACAGTGCATCTGCTCTCGCAGCAGTCGGTCTGGCCAGGAATGCGGCAGGTGCAGGATTCCCCTTGTTCGGACGACAGTAAGTTGTGTTTTGACAATTGTTTGTGACCATGCTGACTTTATTTTAGAATGTTCGTCAACGAAGGTTACCAGTATGCAGGCCTGATCTTGGCTTGTCTAGCGCTTGTTTTGATGCCTATTCCGTTTATTCTGGGTAGATACGGTCTCAAACTGCGGCAGAAGAGCCCTTGGGCCAGCGAGATTATGGAGCACGAAGGGCAGTCAGCAAACCAGTCCGACGAGGAGGCGATTCAAGATGAGGAAAAGGTCGGCCAATAAGGCGAATATAGACTTCGGGGCGAGGCTTCATTGCATGCTTGTTGAAGGGCAGATTGGATAATAAGGCACAATTCTAGAATTGAATCTACATTGGAAGGTCGATCCCATGTGTCGCGAAAGAGTTTCTTGAGAAGTGCTCATGGACAAGAGTTTCCAGGCTCGGCTGATTTGACGAGTTCGATGGCTTTAACCGAGCTTTCTTCTTCCACCCCGCCACTCCTCTCCACCACAAACCATCATCGCACGTCAGTTGCATAGACCGCAGTGCGGCTAATATAATACCATAATGATGCATACTCTGCCCCAGCTCCTGCCCCAGGTTCTTCAATCTGCTACTGCAATGCGAGAGGTGTCACCAGCCCACGTCTCAGATTCGTGGCTTTGGACAACGTCAAGCTGCATCAATCTGCTGCTTGAACATGTTCCCGACTAACAATCTAGCCCAAGAAGAGATTTCGGAGGTATCTGAAGTACCAGATACGTCTTCAAGCTCTACTAGTAACAGGAAGAGAAGAAGACGGGAAGATACGAGCTTTCAATGCCCTCAATGTCATCGAGTGTTTGGCCGTATCGAGCACCTGAGGCGTCATACAAATAGCCATGGCGAAGCTCGGTCTTTCCGATGTGCGGCATGTAACAAAGGCTTCAATCGGCTGTATGTTGTATTTTCAGTCAATCTGCTCCGGACACTGGCTGGTTTACTGACACTGCATATGCAGGGATACCCTCCAACGACATGAATTGATACATCAAAAAGACCCTGGAGTTTCCAAGCTCAAAGGAGCAAGAGCTTGCAAAGAGTGTGCGAGTAGCAAGGTCCGCTGCAACGGGACCATGCCCTGTGAGAGGTGCAGCTCGAAAAATGTTGACTGTGTTTATCCAAGTGCTGCGAGTCCTGCGCAAGCCTTCGATTCTCCGTCATCCGCTGTTTCTGACTATGCCTCAACCCCTGGAGCATCTGAGAATGTTTCATCTTCAGCACTTGAGTCTGCAGCCTTTCCTCGGCAACTTGGCCAGTCATTGCCATATATCGGCCATACCAGTTCATATCCGGAGCAACATGCCACCAACGTTGTAGAGTCTTGGAACTATAATGCACATCCTGAAATGGCACCTCAGACTACCGGGTTTGTTCCAGGACCACTTCCTCCATACGCCCAAGATTGGTTGCCACATGACGCTGGTGCACAACAAATTGCCCTGTCACCCTTTGAAGGATCATATTCTGGCACAGAAGGCTCCTTCGATATACCCTACGGTTCTCCATTTCCTAGAGATCGACATGCAAGTCTGGATCAGTTGTCTCGCAGACCTCGGCTCGTCCCTAGTCTTAGATCCAAAACTGCCGTCGTGGATTCTGAAAGTCCTATGTCACAATTCACGTTTGCTAGTCACCGAGAAGAGCCGACTTACAGTCAGACAAACCCTCGAGGATCATTCCACAGATCTTTTACTCCAGCAACCAGCTACTTGAGCCGCAGGCGTCGGTTCAACTTCCCATTGTCTGGTGATGTTTTACCGACTTTTCAAGATGACAGCTATATCAACTTCAACATGTTGTCTGAGCAAACATACTCTGATATCTACAGCTCGTTTACGACTGTCTGCACAGGACTAACGGCTTATCAACCTCCATATGGGTCAAGCTGTTTCCCATCACGAAAGATTTTGAACGCCCTGGTCAAGCTATATCTTGATAGATTCCATCCTGTGATGCCTATCCTCCACCACCCAACGTTGGATCTTAATGCAAGTCATTGGATCCTTGGCTTGGCTATTGTGACTATCGGAAGCCACATGTCAGATTTCGAACAGTCTGAAGAATATGCTTTATGCTTTGATGAATTTCTGCGTCGAGCTATCTCAGCATTGGTGCGATAGTCGTGTTTAATGTTCTGATGCTTGGCAATGCTGATTCTATGCAGGATCCTCATGAATCAATCGATCGCATCACACTCTGTCAGGCAAAGCTGCTAGCATGTATCAACCAAATATACAGTGGAGAGGAGAGTCGGCAGGAGTCTGCTTATAACGAGTTTCTGACGGATCTGATATCGTTCTGTCAGCTCGAGTGGAAGATGTCAGAGACAGGATTTAGCACGTTTGCACCCGAGGGTCAGGAAGCTGAATTCTGGAAGCGATGGGTTCAGCTCGAGTCTTGCCGGCGTACTGGATATGCGATATGGGTGAGTAATTCTCCAAGTCATACACCTGTATTTACTAACACTCTTCGAAGATGCTAGATACCATGTGGGCATATCAGTTCCAAGTACAACCGAGACTTACATTAGAGGATGGAAAAATGCCTCTTCCATGTCAAGAAGTGCTTTGGGAGACGAGAGGAGCTTTGCAATGGCACCACATCTTTCAATTTTCGCCCTGTAAGTCTTTCACAGGCTTCCTTTCGTTCCCAATCTTGACTGACGAATCAGCGAACCTAACACTTTTGTCATCCATGCAATCATTACAAACCGATAAACTCTTGCAGAATACAATGGGCGAGTTCAGCCGCATAGTTCTGCTGCACGGTTTTTATCGCCAATGCTGGGAGCTGGAAGGGGCTGAAATCCAGTCTCAACCACGGCCTCAGCAGATGTCCATGTACACATTCTGGAGAGATTCCACCATGGAATCGCTCGAGCTACTCGAATGGGGTGCCACCAGTATGGTCAAGGCAGCTTCTGGCATGGAACATCCTACTTTGCTGCACCTCCATCTAGCACGAATTGTGCTTTGCTCGCCCTTTCAGAGCATCTGCGACCTGGCATACGGAATGACTAAAGAAGATAGCAGTATGAATTCAGCACAAATGACAGCTCTACGCAAGGCGATACGCAAATGGATCACCGAGGATGCAAGCAAAGCTCGACTTGCAACTTTGCATGCAGGAGCATTGTTGCGACATCTACACGCCTTTCACACGAATAGCTTCTATGAGCCGTCAGCAGTCTTGCTCGCAACACTTACTCTCTGGACGTTCGGGTCGTTTTCAGTAACAGCAAGGAGTGCTGGTCCATCCTCACAACGAAGATACTCGGACACACAGATACGCCCAATGAGCATCGCTATTGATCAACCTCTTGACCCTGAGCTGGCACGGACATTCGTCAGCAATGGTGGAGAAATGCAACCAACTCTTCGAGGAGTAGGAAGTATCTGTGGTGTCGGCGCTCCTGAGCGTGTGCTGTTAGAAGGATCGAAACTGGTATCAGAAATAGGCAGGTGGGGCAGTGGACGAAAAGTTACGCGGATCTTGAACAATCTGTCGTTGTGTCGCAGTATATAGTCGCCCAGATGTAGGATATGAGGAAGTCAGGATTCGAGCACAACCTCAGCAGTTCCTTCCTGGTTTGGATGATAGCAGCGGGCATATCGGAGTTTAAACCCCGCGATCACATGCAAGCCGATCTTTTGGAAGTCGCGACTCTGTTCTACCCTCTCGAAGAGCAATCCTGCCCACCACGGCTCTCTGATTTAATCCGCAGACGCTGCTGTCGCGGTCGCGAGGCGGTCCAATGCCGCACCGCTAATTCTGATTCCAGTCGATTGGGACGCGAAATTCTCGACCATGTGTTGAGCACTCATTCCTGAGCTTCGTCACGTCGCCAACGCGTCAATATGGACTACAACAATCTGACCGTAATAGGCCTACGAGAGGAATTGGCCAAGCGTGGCCTGACTGCTGCCAGCATCAAACTCAAGAAAGACTTAGTCGCACGTCTGCAGCAAGATGATAACGACGAAGCCGACGCGTCGTCTGCCGTCACGTCAGAAGCCAACCCAAAATCCTCCATCACGGTTCGAGCAGAAGCCGACATTAAGACCGAAACGCTACCTGTACCGCCTATCGAGACATCAGAATATGGCTCGGACGATCTTTTCGATGAGCTCGACGCCGATGCTCTGATCAGTGCGAGCCAGCAGTCCCAGTCGGCCTTTCTCAAGCCCGAATCCTCGTTTGCAGTTCCGCCTACTCCAACACTCAAACGTCCGCATCCCGAAGAGGACGACTTCTCCGGCGACGAGATATTCAACGACCCGGCAATTGAAGAAATATGGACCTCATCACAGCAAGAGTCATCACAGCAAGAGAAACGTGCCGCCCAAGCACCCGTCGACAAGCCAGAACACATTGCTCTTATCCGCAGGCTGCTGCGAGAGAAGTTTGGTTATCCCGGCTTCCGCGGTGAACAAGAGAAGGCCATACTTTCCCTGCTGAGGGGCGAAAACACTCTTGCCATCTTCCCTACAGGTGCGGGTAAATCGCTTTGCTATCAGATCCCAGCAATTGCTTTCCCTCTCATGGACAAGATGAGTGGCAACGAACGACCACGCGGAGCTGGTATCACCCTCGTCGTCTCACCTCTTATCGCCCTGATGAAAGACCAGACTGATGCCTTGAAAAAACGTGGCATAGCTGCCGATTGCTCTGACTCGACAAAGACCTATGAGCAGCATCAACAGATTCATGCTGACATTCACTCTGGGAAACTGCGCTTACTCTATGTGTCACCGGAGAAACTCAGTAACGAAGCTTTTGTTGCAAGCATGAAACACGTGCCAGGTGGTGTAAGACTAGTTGCTGTCGACGAAGCTCATTGTATCTCTGAATGGGGTCATTCCTTCCGTCCGACATACTTGATGGTCGAGCGTTTCACAAAAGAGATCAATGCCGAGAGAGTCATTTGCTTGACTGCAACTGCGACCCCCAAAGTTGCCGAAGACGTACGCGCAGCCTTCGATATTCTAGAGCGCAATGAATACCGCACCAGCCCTTATCGCCCGAATCTCAGGCTGGAAGCAGTTGCTACTGAATCGGAAGAAGCCAAAATTCCGCTCTTGTTCAAATGGCTCAGGGAACACCCTGGCAGTACCATCGTTTATGTCACTCTCCAACAACAAGCCGAGGACTTGTGCAAGAAACTGCGTCAGAAGTCATTCAATGCTGCCTTCTATCACGCTGGTATGAAGGTAGAAGAAAAGACCGCCGTACAGGACAGCTTTATGGCCGATAAGATCCGCATTGTTGTTGCAACCATCGCTTTCGGTATGGGTATCGACAAATCAGACATCAGAGGAGTGGTTCATCTCGATCTCGCTTCTACAGTCGAAGAGTACAGTCAGCAGATCGGCCGTGCAGGAAGAGATGGAGAGCCTGGTTACTGCATAATGTTCATCTGCCACTCAGACATCTACTTAAGGCAGAACTTCAGTCTCGGCGACCTGCCTTCCCGTAAGTCGTTGCTGGGGTTGCTCAAAGATGTGTTTGGACGCGAACGCACGCGGGACACAGAAGGAGAGGTTATCAAATTGGCACACCGCGAACTGTCGACTCTATACGACATTCGTCTCAGCCCGCTTGGTGTCGTTTTCGCTGCGCTTGAGTTGAGATTCGGTCTTCTTCGCGCCATCACACCGGAGTATACCAGCTACCAATTCGAAGATAAAGGGCGTTATCACGCAGTAGCGTCCAGCGATCATTCGCCAGAGGCCAGAGCCATCTATTCCATGTCGACCAAAGCCATCAAAAACTTCACTTTTGACATGAATGCGGCTACCTGCAGAGGTCTCATGCGCGCTGATCTTGTCCAAAAACTAGACAGCTGGAATGCTACCGGAGTCATCATGCTGAAGACTTCGGGGGTCATGAACCGCTACCGAGTCTTGAGCCCTCTACCCAGAGCCGAAGCAGACATTCAGGCCCTCGCTGACGATCTCTTTGCAGACATGGCTCAGCGCGAGAAGGACGCTCTTGGTCGCATTGATCAGATGGTCGGTCTTATCACGGGCAAAAGCTGCCTTGCTCTCGGTCTCGCGCAGCACTTTGGCATGGAGCTGCCAGGTGGTAGACAGTGTTGTGCTCATTGTACCTACTGTGCCTGGGGTGAATCGGCAACTTTAGCACCGAAACCTGCTCCACCACTGAATGTGGAAGGCGTCAAGCGCGTCCTGGCCGCTTGTCCTCATGATGACCCCAGACTGCTGGCACGCGTCGCGTTTGGTATCAAGAGCCCGCGAATTACTCAGTTGAAGCTCGACAAAAGCTCGGTCTTCGAGTCACTTGCTGATCATGAGTTCAGCGTAAGCCACATTTAAGTCACTGTATTTTCAATTGTACTGACTGTATTACAGACTCTCCTCAGAGAATTCGAGGCAGCTTGTAGGACCGCTGCCCATGGACCTCTGGACGTGATGCCGACCCCAGTCAAGACTAAGAGCTCGACCAAAACGAGCTGGAGCGCAGGCCGCTCAGGCTCAGCTAGCAGTAATAGGGCTCGCGGAGGAAGCAGTTACAGTCGCGGAGGAAGTAGCTACAGTCGCGGAGGAAGTAGCTACAGTCGCGGATCAAGCAACAGCTACAAGAGAGGAGGCAGCAGTGGCGGAAGTAGCTACAACAGAGGTAGCTCCAAGCGAGGCCGTGGATCATACGGATCCTATCGTTGAGCGTAGGGATCAAAAGGTCGAAATATGATCGTGATCGATGGAGTGGGCAGACCGGCTAGACGTAAATATTGTTGCTCATGCAGGCATGAATAACGAAAGCATACATAACGATGTATGAATTGCGATGACGAACGCTGGAATTAATGCTTCATTAGGCAAGACAGAAAAAATAAAAAAAGGAGAAAAGAAACAAGGTTGGGTCAAAGTTACGATAACCAAAATCGCGTTACCCGGAGGGCATATCTCAACAGCACCTTCGACATAATCGAAAAACAACATCGACCCTTTTAACCTCGCAACGTGAAGTTTTCTGATTTATTCAGATACAAGCTGTTCTATACAAGCTGTTCTGAGAAGCTACCAGCTAAGGCACAGTGGAAATTCTGTTGCAATAGGAGATCATCGGGGTCAGTATTTGTTTGAGGCAGGGTGGTCCTGGCAACATTGACTACAAATCATTCTTGGGCTTATGAAACCACAAGACAGAGGGAAGGAGCGATTATCAGGGTTAGCAACAGCCCAGCTACGATCACGATACACAGGTGACAAGATGCTGCAGTCATCCAGTGAGTGTCAAGCCATGTGGCAGTGCTGCATCACATGAAGTCCAAAAAATCGCTCACCCTGGCACACACCCATGGACCTGCAAGAGACTCTATTTGTTTACTGAAGCACATCTGGTAACGTGCAGAGCTTACTGACGTGAGCTGCTTGCAGCCGTTCAAACTTTACGTGTCGATGCCTGTTAATGCAAATACCTCACCTTCGGTAGCTTTGACCTTGAGAAAATCCCTCATCCCTTGAACCTGAGCATGAAGGACAGGTATATAGTCGGGGGATACAGCTGCTATCACAAGATATCGCCCTGCATCCATTGGAATCATGTGGTGAAGCAATCAGGACAGCATCTGTTGACAATAAACTCAAATCATCGAGTTCTCGATCTAGTTCGGTGACCTTCAGCATGTCAATCGACCTTCGTCCCTTCGAGAACTCTCACTCAGATCTTGTCCCGAGAATTCGCCACGCTGAAACAGCTGCATATGAATATTGCCATATGTTATGGAAGGAGAGTTGCAGAGGAAGTCAGGTGGGTGCTGTTCAAAGGTGCGGCTTGTTCCGAACGTACTTTCCCAACTCAACGCAAATTGCGGCTCAACTCTTGTCGCGTTTCTCGTATGTATATACCATAATCGTTTCATCCCTAAATCATGGAGCAGGTCAACGAGGATCAATCCTTGCCTCGAAAAGCACCAAGGCTGGTGTATCCCCCGGTCTTGGAGAAGAAAACGCCAAAGCCAAAACCGGTCCTGGAATATCATTTGATTGAACAGAAAATCACCAGCGCAATCACTGATTTCAAGGCTGGCAAATACACAAGCTTGGCTGAAGCTGGAAGGGCCAACGGGATCACTGAGAGATCTGGATACTTTCGACTCCGTGCTCGTGCAGCTGGAAGGGCGTCCAAGTCCGATCGAATCAAGAACGGCAGCCAACGTCTCAGCCCAGAACAAGAAATTATCCTGTGTCAGTATGTTGACAGTCTAGACGATATCCGCGCCTTACACCGCAAGATTGGCGAAAAGGCGTACAGCATGTTATGTGAAAATCTCGCGGCAGACGAAGCGCTACCAAAGCCGCTGGGCAAACAATGGCCCGCTCGGTTCCTGGAACGTCATCCAGGTATCATGGCTCGCCGACCGAGGCCTCTTACTGCGTCAGAAACCAGAGAGCCAGAAAACGAGTCAAGTCTGCCCTTACCCAATGAAAAAGAAGCTCGTACGATCGACATAAGCAACGATGAGCCACAGCTTTTTCTCGACTGTCAGAGATACCTCGACCGCTCCCCTGAGGTGGATGATGAGACGACCATTCAGGTCCAGTCTCCCTGCACAGGCCCTGCAGCCCCAGCTAACGTCTTGATTGTCACTTGCGGCACGAGCAGTGTCGACAGAAACGTGTCATCTCCTACAGCAACTCCTCCTGATCGTCCAGCAGCCGGAAGCTCTACAGCAACTTCTTTTTTGTCGGCAATAAAGAGTAGTCTTGCCGAACATAGAATGACATTCTCAAGCCGTCTTACGTGATCGGCCAGAACATACTTGAACGTGGATCGCCGCCTGTTGCGGCTTCATAAAGCACCATCATTGCCATAACGAACTTGACTAAGGCAAGCATATGATGCGACGAAACATCCACTCTGGAAAACAAACCTCATAATCGACACATTCGGCATTCGCCTGGACAATCAGACCAGAGACCCACAGTGTGTGCACCTAGGCCAAAAAAGCGCATACATACAGAATCCATTCTGTCATCTTATGCGCCCTACGGCGACGACTAATGTGAAATTTCTGGACTGTAGAGTAGTGGCGGTGTTCGTTATTGACACACGGTGATTATTCAGGTGGATGTATTGCCATTTCGCTACCACAAATTTTGTCTCGCGGACTGCTGCGCCTCAGAAGTCACTGCGGTGATGTCTTGAGGCATTTTTGGCATTAAAGCAAAACCCCTCAGCCGAAGACTCTCACACCGCAAAGTCTCACCACACAAGACCATCTGGGCTGAAAACTTCGCCGTAAGTCCCACACAGAGGTTGCACGATTACAACAAGACTTGTGAGACTTGCGCGCCTGTGCGACATGCTGATTAACACGCTGCTACCATGCGAGACGATTGTTTACATCTCGAACACATCTTCTTTAGACTCATGTCAAGCATTTTGGCGAAGGCACTAAGGGTCTTGGCGAAGCTTGTTCTTGCAAACTGGTTGGGGGATTGGGGACAGAACTGCAAAACCCTTTCTTTGTTTGGCAGCTCGCGAACCTGACCTCGATCCGTCAGCATCAAGATACGAGGGCGAAATGCATGCAGGGGAAAGTTTTATTGTGTTCCGCAGCCGGCCGTCAATATTTGTGGTCACTGAGTGCCCGGCGAAATGGGGATTGGTCGAACAGAAAATAACGCAAGTCGCCCAACGGTAAGAGGCATGTGTAGATTTGTGGAAATCCAGAATGGTCCAAGGCACGTAAATGCCTCACGGCAGTCCTGACCAACGTGGCGTTCGCAACGCAACCACGACAACAGGAGAAACACACAGCCGTAATGGATCTGAAGCATCTGGTAGTCCGCGCGGCGCGGTACGGTACGTCTTGCACGTCTAAGGTCAGCATCCCTTCAATTTCAGTTACCAAACGTTGCATCTGGATACGATCGAGGCCTCAGCATGGTTGATTGTCTTTTTTTTTCTTGCCTGCGCCTGTGAGATCTGTGAACGTCCCTTAACCATTTATCCTCTTCTTAGTCGAATCATTCGTTACCTCTATATAATATCATTCCTGCTTGTTCTTCTCTTCCAATCCATCCGTCCATTCACCCATTCCCGTCGACACACAGCGTTCCCTCGCGATGTCTTCGTCATTCGAGCAGGATTCGTCCCTCGAGAAGGGAGAGATGGAGTATATGAGTCGCACAGTCACAGCAAATGACCCTCCTCGAATTACGTTCGAGCCTGAGGATCGCCTTGAGCGTCGCCGCCGTCACAGTCGCCAACGATCCGTAAGCCGCGATTCCATCAGCAGTGTGAGGTCGCGAGCACAGTCAACTTCCGCCGCTGCCGGTCTTCCCATTGAGTTCCGTACCCTCTCTTTCAACGTTTCTCATTCACAGACGGTCAACGATGTCGTCAAGGAATCAAAATGGAGGAAATCCAAGACAGCCGCCAAAGCCAAGTCAACAACCAAGACAATCAAATCACCATTCTCACTCAAGCAAAAACCCAAGGTCGAGGATAAGCGACAAAACGATGCCGAACACTTCGAGAAACTCGACTTCCACATCCTTGATTCACAATCTGTACTACATGGACTTTCATCATCATCGGAGTTGGGTCTGACGCCCGAGTACGCATCGCAACGTCTTGCCACCGATGGCAAGAACATGCTTCCCCGAAGACGCCAGAACTACGCCAAGAAGCTCTTCGAGTATGTCTTTGGTGGTTTCTGTTCAGTGCTCTGGGTCGGTGTCATCATCTTCTTCATTTGCTGGTAAGTATATCGACCAATATAGCTCGATCCCTTGCTGACTGGAATATCTAGGAAACCGTTAGGAAACCCCGATCCTCAAGCATATAACCTTGGTCTTGCTATCCTGGTCCTCATTGTCATCTTCCTACAAGCATGTTTCTCGGCCTTCCAAGACTGGTCTACTGGTCGTACCATGAACGCCATTCTCGATCTCTTACCAGCTGACGCTCTCGTCGTTCGTGGCGGTCAAACCACAAAGGTGCCTTCAACCGATCTTGTTGTTGGTGACATCGTCAAGATCAGCATCGGAAACAAAGTCCCTGCCGATATTCGTCTTTTGGCAACCTCCGGAGACGTTCGCTTCGACAGATCGATGCTTACTGGAGAGTCCGATGAGATTGAAGGTGCTGTTGACTCTACTGACAAGAACTTCCTCGAGACTCGCAACATTGGTCTCATGGGTACCATGGTTACCAATGGCTCTGCCACTGGTGTTGTCGTATTGACCGGAAAGAACACCTGTATGGGTCGTATTTCTAGTGCCATGGCTGGTGCTAAAGAAGAAGCGACCCTCATCCAGAAGGAGATCAACCGCTTTGTCATCATCATCGTCTGCTTGACCATCGTTCTTGCCTTGGCTATCCTCCTGACTTGGGTTGGTTGGTTGCACCGCGATCACCGCTCTTACATGAGTGTCGTGGCAATGTTGAACAACGTCATGGGTGAGTAATATTGGACACTGTGTCGCCTCTGTCATTCATCGCTAACTAGAATTGTAGGATGTGTTGTCGCATTCATTCCTGAAGGTATGCCTGTCGCTGTTGCCTTGACCCTCATGATGGTCGCCCGTCGTATGAAGAACAGCAACATCTTGCCTAAGGGTCTCTCGACCGTCGAGACATTGGGTTGCGTCAACGTCATCTGTTCTGACAAGACCGGTACCCTGACCGAGAACAAAATGGTTGTCACCACTGTCGGTTTCGTTGATGAACAGCTCACTGTTGCCGATGCTCTCTCGAGAATGGAGGCTGGCCAGAACACTGTACTCACCGAGCTCCACCGTGCTGCTGCATTGTGTAACGATGCTACATTCGACCCTCTCTCAATGGATCTTCCTGTTCTGGACCGCGAGGTTCAAGGTAACGCCACTGACGGAGCTGTTCTCAAGTTCGCAGAGTCCGCCCACTCAAACTCCACAAAGATGCTTCCTGATGTTCACCCTCGCAAATACCAGATCCCTTTCAACAGCAAGAACAAATGGATGCTCATGCTCCATGACGAAGTCAATGCCAACTACGAAGTTACTCCCGAAAAGGCCCAGTATCTCGTCTATGTCAAGGGTGCCCCCGACAAGCTTCTTCCATTTGCTACCTCATACTGGTCCGCTAAGAGTGGCTCGATCTTGCCTCTTGACGCTGCGGCTAAGGCTCAGTTCAGTGCTCTCCAGGAACGCCTCTCTCGCAACGCAGAACGTGTCATTCTTCTTTGCCAACGTCACTACCGTCCCATGGAAACCCTCGGCACCAATGCTTTCGGAGATGAGGTTCTGGAAAGGGGTATCGCTGATTTGACTATCATCGGTGTTCTCGGTATCACCGATCCTCCACGTAAAGAGACCGCCCCAACCATTGCCGCTTGTCGTCGTGCCGGTGCACGTTTCTTCATGGTCACTGGTGACTTCGGACTTACCGGTGCCGCTATTGCTCGCAATGTCGGTATTTTCACACACAGCGGCGAGCCTGATACCTATGAGACTATCGCCGAGGGTCACACATTTGTCAACGACAGTGAAAAGGGTGCCCGTGTCAACCACAGTCTCCTGCTTGAAGGTCCATCAATCAACAAACTCACCGAAGAAGACTGGGAAATTGTATGCAGTTACGAGGAGATCGTCTTTGCTCGTACCACACCCGAGCAGAAGTTGCGTATCGTGAACGAGCTCAAGGACCGCGACAACGTTGTTGCAGTTACTGGTGACGGTGTTAACGATGCACCTGCACTCAAGGCTGCTGATGTCGGTATCGCTATTGCTGCTGGTTCTGACGTCGCTCTCGAAGCCTCTGACTTGGTACTTCTCGACAAATTCGACTCGATCGTCGAGGCTATTCGTCTCGGTCGTTTGGTCTTCCAGAACCTTCAGAAGGGTATTGCCTATCTCTTGCCCGCTGGTTCCTTCTCCGAAATCTGGCCCGTTCTGCTCAATGTCTTCTTCGGTGTTCCTTCTCCCCTGTCTTCATTCCTGATGATCATCATTTGTGTCTTTACCGATCTTTTCCTCAGTTTGTCGCTCATCATGGAGAAGGAAGAATTCGACCTGCTCACCCTCCCTCCTCGTAACCACAAGAAGGACCACTTGATTAACTTCAAGATTTACGCTCAATCCTACCTGTTCATCGGTGTTATGGAAACCCTCTGCGCTCACGCCATGTTCTTCCTCTACTACTGGCGCCACGCCAAGATCCCTCTCCACGCCCTCTTCTTCGCTTTCGAGAAATACACCGATGGCTTCTACGGATACACCCAAGACGAGCTGAACCACTTCAACACCGTTGGTCAAGGTGTCTACTTTGTCACCCTGGTCATTCTGCAATTCGGTAACTTGCTCAGTGTTCGCAGCAAGCGCATGTCTATCCTCCAAGCCGACCCCTTCTTCAACAAGGAGCGTCGCAACCCTTGGTTGTTGGCTGGTATGGCTGTTTCCCTCTCCATCGCCATCTTCGTCACCATGGAGCCTGGTATCCAGAACATTTTCGGCACTGCTACTGTTCCCATCGAGTTCTGGCTGATCCCTATTCCTTTGGCTTTGGGTATCTTGGTTATGGACGAGCTTAGAAAGGTGCTTGTTAGACTGTTCCCCAAGGGTCCTGTCGCCAGGATTGCTTGGTAAACAAACAAAAAGGAAAAAAAGATAGAGGATGATGATGACGTTCGTTTTTGTTTCTGATGTACAGTGGTTTTTATAAAGACTTTACGACTTTGATGACATTGCTTTATTCGTTGTATATAAGCAGAGAATCGTATATTTTGTACATGGCAGGACTTTTATTTCCAGCTTGACGACCCACGCTACTTCGTTGCTTCCTGTTCAGTTTGAGTTTCGTCGGTGTATCTATCTAACATACCTTCTCGCTTGCGTCAGAATGTCATGACGTCCTGCTTGAGAGCAGCATACAGCAAAATCGCACGTCATCAGAACGAACGTTCTTACCTTCTTTTTGCTACTTTTCCGAATGATCTTGGACGGCCACCTGCTTTTTCTTGAGAGCGATCTGTAGCATAATCAAACCGACATCTCTTATGGGTGTGTTAGAGTATACAAAAGAAAGCAGGAACGTCACACAGCGACTTTCCTCAAGCATTCATGCTGGCTACTTTTTTTGACTGAGATATCCGCTTCTGCTGATTGGAAATGTCATGATTCGATTCAACTTTGTGTGAACCACCTTAGTGTTCTGCTACTCTGCGGGAGAGAACAGTGGCAACTACCAACCTGGGAGCTAGTGATGTGACTTGATCTTTCTCAAGATTCAGGCATCTCAACTGAGAGTCAATTGCATATTCCATAGTGGGCTCATTATATTCGATATACATTATCCATATTGAACTGTACAAGATAGACTTCGAGTGCTCCAAGTCCTTCTGAAGTGTGCGGGTGTCCACAAAAACATCATTGCCATCCACTGCTTTACTTAGCAATAGGAGCACTCGACCCACCAGCCTCAACATCAACCTCGCTATTCGACCTCCTCTGGTGATTCCTGTCCCTCATCGCAAACCCCTGCTCATCAATCCACCCATTTGCCCCACTCGAAACCGCAAAAGCGCGATCCTTTGACCGCGGACTCCACGTCCAAGGTTGTCCTCTAGTGAGACTACCATGATACCATCTAAAGCCAATCCATGAAGTGGTGATACCTAACACAGCGCCAGAAAAGATATCAACACCTTGGTGTTTGAAGTCTACATAGCGGGTGCTGCAGATCCAAATGGCGATACAAATGGGAATAAGGACGATGATAGCGCCAAAGACGGGAGGTGCAGCTGCGCGATCTCTAGATTCTTGTTCCGTGTTGGAGGCATCGTCGTTGCGCTTGTTGGATGGTGTATCGTGGCCCAGGTAAGGAATCAACATATTAAACTTTGAAGCCAGCCAGAGGGAGAGGTAAAGCAATCCAGACCAACTCATCGACGAATGCCCACTGACAAAACTGCGAAACCCTTCATTCAAGAGTTTGGAATCTGTTTGTGTGCAGATGGACGAACTGACCAATGTCCACCTTTGGGAGATATCTTGGCCATACCCGCCTACGACATGAGCAGCGATATCACTCAAGTCAGGTTGACATCTAGCCAGTAGATCCGGTCGTGGTTTACCAACTAGGTTCTTGATGCCTGAGGTGATGAAAAAGGCAAGGACGAAACTGAGACCTAGGCCCATCCATCCAGCATTAAACTCCCAGAGCTTGCGGGTCCAGTATTGTTGATCGTGGAGACGGGAGCGGGAAAAGGCAGGCACGAAGAGTAAGGTGACGATTGCTATGACCACAGCTGGAACAATCAGGGAAAGGACGACGAGGAGTGCTGTGGAAACTTCATCGTGTTCGACATAAGGAAAGCTGATGGCGAGGTCGACGAGAGAGAAGGGGCGACGGTAGGGTGTGACGAAGCTTATTCCTCCGGCGACCGCTGCGATGGCACTGTAGGCATTGGGATCAGAGGGGTATAGATGCAGAAGTAGATGGCTATTACTTACATGATCAAGACCCAATCGAGCACGTAGGCTATTATCAACTTCGTTGGTGGCATATCCAATGCTGCTGTCCCGACTTTACAAAGTGATTAGACCGTAATTTGTCATGCGAAAATGATATATCGATATTACAAGTAGACCAGAAAAAGCACAATATGTTTGCTACCAATGGTCGGCGTGCAACATATAAAGGGAAACAGGAATGTCACTCCGAGGCTCAGCTCAGGACGCCTCTGCTTATACATCGACTCAACAAACTTCACCAAGACAAGCAACCTACAGCTGATTTCGAAACCGTTCTCTCGGCGGCGACGAATAGAGATGGAACAAAGACATAACTGATGGCAGGAACGAGGCTGCGCCCTACTGCCAAGATCTTGGTCGCGTGCCCACCCATCTCCACGCAATCTTATACGAATACGCCACAACCCCTCACGTCATGTTTTTTTTTTTGTTGTCAGGTAAACAAATAAATAAATGTTTGTCGTGGCAAAGGGCAAACATAGAAAAGTTCGTGATTCGATTTTTTGGTTGAGTGGTATCATGAAAGGGAGTATTTACAATTTGGAAAGTCGTGGCTTGCCAGCAAGCTGAGGGAGTTACTCGTCGTCGCCGAAGAAGACCTTGACGGGCAACCAGGCGTCGCCGCAGACCTTGAAGCGGTCGGGACGGCTGCTGAGCTGCTTCATCTCGTCGTCGGTCAATGACCAGCCGTCGAGCTGGAAGTTACCCTCGATTCTGGAGGCGGTGACGGACTTGGGGATGACTGAGGTACCACGCTGGAGACCCCACATGAGACTGTTTTCGCAACGTTAGCTTGGGTCCAGGTGGGTAGTGTAAAGCTAGGCAAAACTCACAGGACCTGAGCAGTGGACTTGCCCTTGCTCTCAGCAATCTTCTTCAGGACCTCGTCGTGGGCAAGAGGAGAGTTGGTGGAGCCGAGGCAGGAGTAGGCAGTGCAGTGGATGCCCTTCTCCTTGCAGTAGTCGATGAGCTTGGGGGAGGGGTTGTTGGGGTGGAGCTCGACCTGGTTGACAGCGGGGACGGTCTTGCACGACTCGTCCTTGAGGAGGATCTCGAGGTTCTTGATGGCGAAGTTGGAGACACCAATGTTCTTGACGCGGCCAGAAGCAGGCAGCTTCTGGAGCTCTCTCCTAGAGTGGTGTTATCAGGGTTGCCAGACATTGTTCTCATCAGAATTGCTTACCAGGTGTCAACGAAGTTCCAGTCAGGGTAGTGCTTCTTGAGGTCGCTGGGGTCGGTCGAGCTGGGCCAGTGCATCAAGTAAAGGTCGACGTAGTCGGTCTGAAGGTCCTTGAGCGAAGAGGTAATGCCCTCTTCGACGCGCTTGTGCCAGGGGTTGTCGAGCTTGGTGGTGATCCAGATCTCCTCACGAGGAACGCCAGAGTCCTTGATACCGAGACCGACCTCGTGCTCGTTACCGTAGGCAAGAGCAGTGTCAATGTGACGGTAGCCAGCGAGGAGAGCAGCCTTGACGGCCTCGCGCACCTCGTTGGGCTTGGACTGCCAGGTACCGAGACCGACGGCGGGGATCTTAGCACCCTGCGACTTGTCAGTTCATGTTGTTTGGTGAGAAAGCGAGTGATGCAGCGCACGGTGTTGAGGGTGAAGGTCTTCTTGGTCCACTCGTTCGACATGATTGCAGATGTTTGGTGTGGTTTGTGAAGTGTAGAGAATTGGTTGTAGTGAGTAGAAAGAAGACAAGTCGCTGCGAGACGAAAGAAATGTTTAAGAACCGGCCCAAAAAGTTATCTCCACCTATCTTTTGCTGGCCGATGATCCTACGCCTTCAGCCTGTTTCGATAGCTATCCACAAAACTTCGCATGTACCTGCCGGTCATCATTGAACCCCACCACCCCACCACCGTCATGCGATTTAGCCGGCGGTTCAATGCGCCTCGGAAGCTCAGGCCCTGGTTCTGCTTGGCAAACGCCGTCATAGCTCCAATTTTTGGCCGAGCAAGAAACACCGACATGTTTGTCGTCCAGCTACTGTTCGAACGTGCATTGCTTGGAAATTTGTGACCATGTCGCGCTTTGTCTCGGGAGGAACAGTGGACAAACCCACTGAGCGCGATGAGGAATGGTTGAAAGCTCAAGAACAGATTGAAGCCGCGCGTCGGAAGAAGGAGGATGAAAACAGACAGCATGGAGGCAAGAGCTTGTACGAGGTTCTTCAGGCTAATAAAGGTGTGTGCTTGAATTTCGATCGCTGATGATACCTGTCATCCTTGCAAGACGGGACGCTGATGTTTTTCAGATGCGAAGCAGGAAGCCTTTGAAGAGGTACCCGGAACCACTCGAACGTGGCTTTGCACTTACTAACAGAAATTCTTCAGGCAGCTAAGCTGAAGAATCAATTCAGATCGTTAGATCAAGATGAAGTCGAATTCCTGGACACAGTCATGGAGTCGACCAGAGCAAAGGAGGAAGCCGTGAAGAAAGAAACTGCCGAGCGACTCGAGGCCTTCAGGCGGCAGCAAGAGGATACCGAGAAAGCGTCCCGTGGAGCTGCGCCTGAAGCGAGCAATCAATCTGAAGGCGACACCTGGGCCTTCAATGCCCGTAAGCGCAAACGAACCAAGGAGAAGGAAGCGATTGCAGGCCTCAAGCTGCGCAAGAGCTCTTCGTCTGCGACCCAGATGACTCCCGACGCAGCGGCAGCAACACCATCAGACGAAAAGAATCAATCACCGCCGAGTCCCGCACCTACTCCTGCCAACCACTCGGCCAAATCAGTGCAACCACCCGCCGCAGCAATAGACAAGGCTGTTATTGACAAGGCCGACCAGGCACCAGCGGCCGCTGCTGCTTCAACAGCTCCAGCTCCAGCTCCAGCTCCAGCTCCAGCTCCCGCTGCCGCTCTTGGTCTCGCGGCCTACTCATCCGACGACGACGATGATTGATCCAAGCGAAAAGTCAACAAGCATGCACTGAAACCTGGGTGCTTGAAGCAATGCCGGCGCCCACTGTCACGCAGCGGTGTTCGTACATCCGAAACATGATTCTGCGCCAACCCGTCGCGCCGTCGCCGTCCGCACGCCGAGCACCAATATTTTGACATCGGCTGCGTGCAGCAAATACGCCTTACTGTGTTTCTGACAACTCGTGCGGTTCGCGATAGCCGAATGATTGGCTATCAGCATATATGTATGGCGTATGTGCAGCAAATGCTTGATTATGTCGGCCTCAATAGGTGGCCGTCTCTGGACCGCCTTGTCACATGGCGCGGGCTGAGGGTATCAGGGAAACGAACATATGTGATACGAAAAGGGACTTGCCATGACGAACGCCATCACGCATCATGCGTGCTGCAAGAGCAACATGCAAAGAGAAAGCAAAACCTGTCACGGCCATCAAGAAAGACCCGGTTTCTTGAGCCGAATACACGAGAAACTCGTCTAGGTGGCACTTACTATGTTTCGCATCTCTACTAGCGCATACCAGAACTACATATATCCACCCGTCAATAGGAACACGAGCTTGTATCTGCTAGAGGGGAAAAGAACAAACATCTTTCACATGCAAAAGTAGCTAGGTAAATGACCTATCCACCGACAAATGTACATGGCAACCAATCATGCTACATGAAATGCATACGCCTACGACAAGCTGAGCTTCCCCGCTTTCTTCAAGATCTCGTCAACCTCGTCTTTGTGTGTTGAGAAGTTGTCAACCAAATCATCCCACATTTTGGGATCGTGCTCGTGAAGCTTGTCGCTCTTCATGGCCCAATCAGTCACGGTAAAGGGTCTAGAGCTCTCAAACATGAAAGCTACCGCACCTTCAGAGATACGCATCTCTGGAGGAGGCTGTGCGGAAGCGGCCTTGAACTCTTGATACGCCACACCATGAGGCACCATACCGCATTCAAAACTGACACCTCCCGGTTGGAACTCATCGCTACGGCCGGCGTACTCGCCGTAGATAAGTCCCATTAACTCCGAGGCGACGTTGCGATGGTAGTATGGTGGGCGGTACGTGTTTGAGGCGACATCCCAGCGAGGAGAAAAGATGAGGAAGTCGGCTAGAGGGGCTGCTGGGTCGCGCGAGCGAGCCGTCAAAACGCAGAAGATGGACGGGTCGATGTGATCGACGCTGATGCTTCCAATGTTGACGAACTTGGTCAAGTCGTATTTGTAAGGCCTGGGCAAAAGAAACAATTAGATATCGGCCGTAAACAACAAGATAAAAGTCAGGAAGGAGGGAAGAACAAGACATACACATAGTTTCCGTGCCAGGCGACCACATCGAAGGGGCAGTGATTTTGTTTGCTTTCGAAATACTTGCCACCCAGTTTGTACACAATCTTCCACGGGTCGTCTTTGGTGACCGTGTAGTACGCAACCGGGGTGAGGAAGTCTCTAGCGTTGGCCAAACCATTGGCTCCAATTGCACCAAGTTCTGGCAGCTCAAAGTTTGCACCCCAAATTTCGAGGATGTAGCCTCTAGTAGGGCCTTCGACGCCAACCTTGAATCGTTGACCTCGTTGGATGACGCAGATCTCTCCTGGTTGGACGTACAATTTTCCGAACTCGGTCTGAATGTCCAGTGCGCCCTGCTGAGCCACAATCAAAAAATCGCCATCAGAGTTGACAAATGCTTTGTTCTCCATAGAGACATTGGCCGTGAAGACGTGTGTTGCCAGACCCTCTCTGAGGGTTGGGTCGCCTGATCCAGCGATAGAGCAGAGGCCATCCACAAAGTCGTGCTTCGTCTCAGGAACATCAAAGGGCAGCCAGGCAAGTTGAGTTGGCGAGATATGGACTCGCGGGTTGATTGGAAGGAAGTTGGCTTCAGTGTTTGTGTTGTCAGGCAAGTTTGTCTGTTTGGTCCCAAGTTAGGTCAGTTTTCTGTGTCTCCTGCGTACAAATGGGGAAGGTCTAAGAATGGTGGGGTTTAAGCTGAGACAGACGTACAAACCCCTGGTGTGCGACTGCTGGCCGCGATCTGTATAGCCAAGCATTTTTGTTCAGATGTCTTGGTGCAACAAATGCTGAGGCAGTCATTTGTTCTGCATACAGACCGAATCGCACGCATCTTGGGCTGTTCTGCCCGCGAGGAATAGTACCAGGCACAGCCTCTGATTCGAAACTAACAAACACTCGTGTCAGCAAAAGAAACCCAAGTAATGTACACAGACTTGTTCGGTCTTTCCGAGTCAATGGTAAAGCGTCCCATGGATCGAGAGTGTAAGGCACAGCAGCAAGGAGGCATGAAGATCCGTAGATGTGGAGCGTGAGCAAACATCAGGAAGTGAGGCGCTCTACCACAATCCAGCAAGCAGAACTGGCCGCCTTGCAGCAGCCTATCAAACCTCACAGAATGTTGAGGTGCAAAACGCAGTTCGCTGCGCCCGGGTTTTCGGGATTCATGCCTCCAGGCCATCCCATCACATTGCATTACAGGCTGTCTGTATGCAGTTAAGAATCCCTCTGGGACTACGCTTTGCCAATGAACCAGGAATGAGGAAATTCAAGTCAATGCAGGGTCATGTCATACTGGTTGTTGAACCCGGCTTGATACTGCAACAGAGTCAGCGAATTTCACCGAGACATGCTGAAGCGAGTGCTGCTTGCCTCGTAAGGATCGTTCTTGCGGGTCGCAAAGGATGGTACAGCGCCATCTTTCTGCGTCTCTGCCCAGCTTCCATGGTGGTCAGCGTGATGATCTACGCAGGAATCGGATTGCTTCGCTTACTGGAATATCTTCTGGTATTCGTCAGGACGATCAAGCTTTTCTACGTTCTTGTTTGCGAGAGCCATCTTGGAAGACTGTGATAGCGTATGCTTCTATGAGAGAATAAAGAGAGAAAGAAATGTCGTGGACACAAATGGCACTCCTGATGCCATGAAGCAGTGAGGCTCCACTGAGCGGAGTAGTGGGGCATGATGTGGGGTCCAGTCGATCAAAGGAGCCCGATATTAACTGCCGAGAACATGGCTGCTCTCGTCCCACAGAATACATAGTCGACGGGTCTCTGCAGTTATTGAGCAAAGTGCTATACTCGCGAGAACCTCGCGCCGCAGTTCATGTAGGATTAGTATGACCCAGGTGAGGTCGAATTTGACTGTTGGCAAATCTTGGTCCGGCCGTTTTAGAGCCCGCTGTCCTTCTGACCTCCCGCGCAGACCACTATCGCGAAGTTGATCGCAGCTCAATATGTCGTACCGATGGCATACACGACTTCTTTGCAATGAACTCTTCCAGCCGAGGCAATTTGGAATGCAATTATCAAGATGCAGTCATAGTCTACAAGGTTCGATAGCTTTGAAGTGGCCTGCGGAATCTTTGTCCGCTCCTGAAGCAACCCTTACAGGGTGTTGCAAGGATACGGAGAATTGTGGACGAGATCGTGAACATGGCGCAAACTCAATCTTGCAGCCAACATCCTTTCGGAGTTGTAACCGCCCGACCCTCAAAATATCATGCGCGGCCGTGCCTCATTGACCGCCTCTAATCATCGATGCGACTGGCTAGATTGTGACCTGCGGCCTGGACGTTGATCATCAAACGCTTTCGACTATCGTCATCACTTTGCGTCAGGTTGGTCGTTGCGCACCACACATCTTTGGCAAGTCATCAGCTCGACCAGCGCCATACTCCTAACGAGATATCCAGGCGCTTCCATAACAGGGATTGTGGATGCGTCGAATGGTTAGTACGTGCGCCAACCGTTGCCCAGTGCTCTCTCAAACAGGGAAGCGGATTGTCTCGGCACCATGCTCAAATCAACTTTTGGACGTTCCTTCGTCGACATGGCTGGTTCAGGAGCAGCACAAATATAGACGGGTACGATCATAAACTACGCTAGAACACTCAGCAGCCGTGACGCCACAGTGTCGGTGCATGAGAATGTACAGTAAGAAACGTAGAAACGATTGGTAAGAGGCTGACCGGACGCTGATCATCTCATGAATCGCATTGAATTCTACAAATGCGCTGACTACTCGTTCATCCAAGCCGTAATGCGGCTGCCTCCAAACCTGGCGGCGAAGCGCAGACCGGTGGAGCCCATCGGGAAATAGCTTACCAAATACCACACCAGACATACGAGTTGAATGATAGAGGATATCAAGGTCAGAAGAGTATTTTGGAGCTACGAGTGGTCAGCAGGTGTACATTGCTTCGTAATGCCGAGTCACAGAGGAATGTGACGAATGAGATAGCAGACGGGGTATACAAGTATTCAGTCTGGCTGCATGACTGAGGTTTACGATAGAGTAAACAACGGAGATAAGCTTCACTTACGCCGACAGCAAAGTACAAGGTCATCGCGATGGAACCGAAATAGGTACCAGTGAAGGGCAAACGCTCGGTCGAAAGCAGGTGCTTGACTGTACGGCCGTTAAAAAGGATCTACGAGTCGGCGCGATCAGGCAACAAGACTTACGGTATGTGTATGGGCCCATCATAACAGCCCAGGAGCTGAGGAAGAGAGCTGAAGCCATCGACCATCTGGTGATTCGTTAGCCTTATCCGTAGCGGCCGTAAACACGAGTGAGCAGGCGAGGTAATTGGAGCGATCAGGAAAAGCAGCTAAATCGAGTGACAGTGCGGAGTCGAGATAAAGGTGGCCGCACAGTTGGAATGTATGGCTGGTGAGAAGATTAAGAAAGACGCTAGCAATCTTGTTCGTGCCCTGGAGCGGGAGCTAGGGAGGCATGGGAGCAGCCGCATGACCAGGCCTCGAAGCTGGGCGGGGTGGCGACCATTCGGCGACCCCACCGCGCGTGGCTGCATCGAAACGCCATATCAAAAGGCGATAGTGCGGTTTGCTGATATTTGACAGAGACAGGGGACAAGGAACAAAACAGAGGAGAGGTGACAATGTTGCGACATATTGGGCGCACACCATCTCGATAGATAGAGCGGACTTACAGGATTGCAAACTTTCTGGGCCGCAGGGTCAAGACTGGCATCAGAGTGAAACATACGACAAAAAGGGCGATTGCGGCGAGGTTGAGTGCACCAAACACGAGCAAGCGGTCCCAACGGCTAACTGGAATGTCAAGTCAGCGGTGCGAAAGATCCAAGGCAGGATAGCTCATAAAACGTAGGAAGTCTGGCATGGTCATTTGCGATATCAGACAGAGACTCCTAGCGCGTGTGGGCGTAGATTGGCTCGGAGCTATCCAGAGCCTCGTGCACCAGATTATACGACATGGACCGTGGTGGAAGGAAAGTGATGATATCAGAAGAAATGTAGGCACGTACGCGCAAACCACCCTTCTTCTTCTTCGCGACGGGTGCGGGCAGGCAGAGGAGCACCTGGTGCCTCGTTCTCGTACAAAGGCAGTCTGACATAGCCTCCTTGGCCAAATGGATTGAGCGATTGTAGTTTGCCAAGGAACGGGGTCGAGGAGTTGGATGTCGTTGGCATAGCGGCGGGCTCTCTGCGGCTCCAACCCAGCGAGTTCATCGAGTCACGAAAGGATGAGGAAGCCATGGCGAGGGGGGCAGGAGCGTTACGACCAGAAGCGGCGAGCGGGGAGTGGGTGTAGCAGAGAAGAGGACAGAACAGGTCGGGTCAGGACAGACTGGGACAAAACAGGACACTTGGACAGGCTACGACGAGGTGTAGCGTAGCCTAACCGCTGCAGGGGCGTGCGGCAGGGAGCGGGAGAGCGCGTGGGCGTCCTTGGGAAGCGTAACCGTAGCAGCAACAGTGCTCCGCAACTACCGATTGGAAGCGGGCGGTGCAGGTTGCAGAGGGTGGTCGAAGGCTGCAGTCCTGACGACGAGGGTGACGAAGACGGACGAGTTGGAGCTCGGTCGTTCTACTGCTGCTGCTGCTGCTGGACTGCAAGAGCGGGATTGCGTGCAGAGTGCAGCAGATGATCGGCACAACAAGGCCCAAGTGACTCTCTGTGTCGAAATAGGCAGCGCCGGACAAGCTGCTGCTCCTTGTGATTTGGTCGCGCGCAAGCTGTGGCATTCAGAGAGACGACTGCTCCACACCGAGCTTTGTCGTTCCAATCATGCACGCACGCTCAAGCCAATCCAGCGCCGGCCCGAGCTAGCGGCCTGATGCTTGGCATCCTGTCTAAAGTCCATGCTCGCTGCTCTCCGCAACCTCTCCCGGCTCTGCGCACCACTTGCGTTCGCGCCATCACTATTGACTGTGATGAGAGGCGTCGCCGGCCTCGCCTTTCCGGTGTCAAGGGCGTCATGTCTCTTTATCCGACCCGAGACCTTGTCAGCGTAGAAGCGAAGGTATGTTAGATTGCATGCTTGACAAGTCTGTCTCGGGGGGCGAGGATCGCTGGATCGCCGCTCTGGTTGCTGCTGATGTTGCTATCGCCGTTTGAGCTTGGGGGGCAAGCCGCAACGACCTGGCAGATACGAAGCTGCCTGCGTGCGAGAGAGCACAGGAGCGGGTGTGTGTGGTTGTGGTGTGTAGGTAGGTAGTAGTAGTGTGTGCCAGGCAGGGCCCGTCCCCAACTATGGCTGGCCGCTGCTATCTGTGGCTCAGCAGCAGGTTTTGACGCGCTCAGACGCCGTTTGTACATACATAGACCATTTAGTCTACGAAGGGCATTCACAAAAATACAAGGCAGGGCGCTCCGGCAATGTGGATCATGTCCTGCACACGAGTCACTCTGTCGTGCCCTAGCGTGAGACGGTATCTCGAGTGCAGTCGTCACGGTCGCCCTCCTTTACAGGCCAGAGCCTCAGGGTGAGAGGCGTTTGGACGCATCTGGGTATATATGTATACGGAATCCGCCTCTTCCTCGACGGCGCAACACGATCAGTCCCCTTTGGTCAGCTCCATCATCCTGTCGCTCAAGAACTTGCTGCTTGTGCTCGCTTAGACGATAGCCTCTACTATTTACAAAGTCCTCTGGTAGCGCATCCTGCACGCCTATCAGTACAGACTCTCGTATCCTACTTGCCTCGATCAAAATAAATCATCAAGATTGATTTTGATTATTCTCCGCGCTGATCGCCCTGGCCCAAGCCCTGCCCGCAATACGGCCCGAACTACATTTGACCCTTGACCGCCTTGAAACGGCCAAGTCTGGAGAAAGCAGCGACAGCAAAAGACGGGGTCGTACTAATTGACTCGACTTACCTTCGCCCTTTCCCCCACTCCACCACCTCCTGCCTTCTATCGTCGCCGACTCATACTGAGCGACGACTTGAAGCACTCACCCCTCCTTCCTCGAGACGACATCTCGAGGGGCTTCGCTCTGACACATTCCTCGCCAGCTGACTCGGTCAACTGTCTTGGCACCTTCCCCCGGCGTCAAAGCACCCCGCCGTCCGCCGCTTCCCTGCTCGTGCGAGTGTTCTACTCCACGTCTGCCATATTTCAGTCGCACGGCGCATTGCTGCCACCGCTGCTCTGCCCCGCCATCCTTCTGTCGCGCCCGCCTCAAGGGCAACAGACGCCTTTGCGCTATTGCATCCGCCCTCTTCTCATTGTTGTCTGCTCTGGTCGCAGGCTGAGTCATATCTGCTAGGTGAGCGCTTCCCTCTCTTTACCTTCCCTTTCTCTTTCTCTTGGTCAGGCATGACAGCCAGGCTGTGTCGCCCTGCATGCAGCCGCTCTTCTTCATGACAGCAGACAGACCGTCGGGTGGTGATCCGGGTCGAGCCGCTGTCTAGCATCCGTCATGCATTCATGCGCCTGCTGCCTCTGGCGCCTGGCTCATATAAACCAAGACTGCACCTGCTTCTTCACACATCCTTCCTCTGATGCTAACTTTGTTGCACCACAGACCTGCAGACTCCTCGACCGAACATCCCAGGACTCAAAGCTGCGACGTCACCTTCTGCGACATCATCACAGCTGTTGTGCGACACGGCTAACCATTTCACAACTGCTGAGACAAGATCTGACTGGAGCGACTCGACCAACCAAACCGTTCCTCGCGACACATCTCTTGGCCCTTGAAGCAAACCGTTTCCTGTGCCTGCAGATATTGCCCTTCGAAACTTGATTCGACTGCAGCATCACTCACAGCTGCAAATTACTCGCGTAGTCACCACAGATTCAAAGTGATGCCTATAGTCTGTAAGTAAAGCATACTCGCTGCCCAATCACATGCTCGTTGCTGCCTCGGACCCACCCACCTAGTTGAACCAGGCCTGTGACGATCACAAGCGTTGGTTCCCAAATAGGAAAAGGAAAATGCGACTAACGTTCTTGCTTGAACAGCTCCCACATCATTGACCACCTTCCCACCCTTCGAAACACATCAAGACAACCACAATCCACAGCACGACTCGCCGCTCGAGTTCACCTTCGACGAACCATTTGAGTTCGATCAGTTGGCGGTCAAGCCCGAAATGGCCGGCGCTGGTTCACCCTACATCAAATCCGAGCCCACCGACTTTTCCTTCCAGCCACATCAGTATCAGCAGCCACCGGCTTTCAACATGAACTCAAGCCACATGCAGAACGGCATGAATGGTGGCGACCATGTCATGGGCAACTCCAACTTCAACTCAGGCTTTGCCCCACAAAACATGTCATCGAGCTTCAATATGGGCAACTCAGGCCTTGCCGATGATGAGCTGCTTGATGGCATCAACATGGACGATGGTCACCACGCCAACATGCACCAAGGCCAATACAACAATGGCAATATGAACCAACACTTCCTTACCCATGGCAGTATGCCCATGTCTATGGGCCAGCAGCACTTGAACGGCAACAACAACTTCTACTCATCCACACCCGAGGGTGCCCCTATCCAGTCGCCTTTTGTCAACGACTTCAACTATGGCCAGTTCCGCCCTCAGTACAGTGTACCAACCACAAGTGGTTACATGAACGGCCTCAATGCCCCACAAGTCCATCAGATGGAACGTAAGATCTCTGACTCACGCTCACCTGCCACACCAAACACTCCTGGCATCTCCAATCTGCATCTGGGTGAGCCAGAGTATCCTTCGACAAGCATGGGGCAGCAACCTCGTGCCATAATGGGACACAGGCAAAGCTCGAGTGTCAACAACTGGGAGAACGTGTCAAACCCTCATTCATGGCAAGACGTCTCACCATTTGGCTCGCCGTCAAATCCCATGATGCAGCACCAGCAGCACCCTCAAATCTCTGAGGTCCTGAAGTCTTCGAACGCAGGTGCCAATGGCAAGATTGCATCGTCGTTGCCCGCGAAGATGGAGAACCCTCCTGCTTTCCAGACCCAAGAAGCCAAGCGAAAGCGTAGAAGAGAGTCGCACAACCTCGTTGAACGCAGAAGACGAGACAACATCAACGAACGCATTCAGGATCTCGCTAGCCTCGTTCCTATGCACAGACTGGAGGACGAAAGAGTCCGAAAGCACCTCCAAACAAATGCTCCTCTCTCACCTTCCATCGTAGCCACAGGCATGTCGCCTTCTCAAGCCACATCTTTGTTGGCTGGAGGCAATGGTAGAAGAGCCACTACCGCAAATGTGGGAACTGGCTTGCCTATGGACGACAAAGACAAAGGTCCAAACAAAGGCGACATTCTCAACGGAAGTGTTGCTTGGACCAGAGACCTGTTATGGTACTTGAAACACGTTCTCGACGAGAACGCCGAGCTCAAGGCAAGAGCCCGTGCTCGAGGTGACGATTGGACTGCTCCCGTGACCGAAGATGGAAGACGCATGGAGACTGAAGTCCGTGAGCTCATGCAGAAGCTCATTGCCACCGGCAACCTTCAGGACTACAGCAGAGGCCATGGTTCTGGACTTCGAGTCCCTGGTCATACCAATCTTGCTGGCGAGCCTCTTCACAGTCAAGAAGGTCAGTCCAATTACGGTCAAAGCCTCAGCCCTGGTTTCCAGAGTGGAAGCGGTGGTATCAGTCCCGTTCAAGGATATTGGCCTTCGAACGACGAACCTGTCTTCAAGGAAGAGGATGAGTTCACCATCAACGACCTCTAAATCACCAAACTAGCCCACGAGACTGGTACTATGCACACGTTGCCTTCGAATTAGATAGGGGTTGCAACGAGCGACCCCTAAATGCTTCACAGCATCTCGACCGTTTGCTTTTATTTCTTTTCGGCATACCCCATACCCTAACACTATTGTTTTCCTGCTTTTTGCTCAATCCTCAGTGCACTGTCCGTTCGGTTATGAACACCTGGCTTCCTTTGCTTTACACGACGGCATGCACAACAGAGAGCATACACCACTGCGATATCCAGGGCTACTCATTAGGCGTTCCGGATTTACATGGCAGCATCATCAGTATCAGTACTGGTCTGCATCAAACACAATGATCGAGCAGAACAAGACTGAATGATCGACGAACGAGAACGATATATGGCAACTGATTATTACATGCGAGGTTATTTCCATCTTTGGGTCCACCACTCTGGGAGGCTTGTACTTGCGATACACATATTTTCCTTGCGATTTTGATTTCTCGGACGTTATTATGCGAGTGCTGTTTATTTGTTGCTTTCATTTCTATTTACCACTCCGCTTTTTTCGAGATCTTGTTTTTTAATGTGGTCAATGTTATCTCAAGCTCTCTCTCTCTCTCTCTCTCTCTCTCTCTCTCTCTCTCTCTCTCTCTCTCATATCCCCTTGCCACGTCTGTCCTACACGAGCTTTGGAATGTCTTGCTCTTCATCCGGCCCCCTTGTTCCGTTGATCACACTCTTGAGTAACTTCCTATTGTCTTTTGCTCGCTGTCTTCCTACACGACTCTCGGCTTTCTTTGCTAATTGCGAGCTGTTGCCACGACTAGAAGATTTGCAGGCAGATATTTCTTAGTTGAACAGCTCTCAATATCCACGAATACAAAGCCTTTCCTCCCATGTCATGAAGGAATTAAAGTGAATCGTTTATTCAGTGCATCAAAGTAGATGTGCATACGTAAACATCTTGCTCTTCATTCTCATCTCGTGATATATGTAACTATCGTGATTGTGTCATGCTATAATTCACCCTTCTGTCTCTTACATTGCTGCTGATGCTTTCTGTTGATGATGCTGCTTTCATCCTATTGCTGTTTCGTCTGCTATTGACAGAGACATCTTGAGTTCTCTGGTGCCGTTGCCCAACTAAGTGGCTATGAACAAATCGTACCCCTTGGCAAGGATACTTCTGTGATGTATTTCAAACACACACACCATCAATGACTCGGAGCGACGCTAGAGGCGAGCGGTAAGCCAAACGCCCGGTCGGCGACAGGTGATGTGATAGGTCAGAATCCATCGATTGGGCTGTCTCGGCTTTGTAGATCGGCCAGCGGCAAAGATGAGTTTTGCTATCTTCGAACTCAAACTCAAAGCTCGGGACTCGAGATCTTGCTCGAAGGAGCTACTGTGTCGGTGAAGTACGGAGTCGTGTGATGGTCATAACGTAAGCAACTCTTTCAACCGTTCTGTGGTCTCTGGCCAAACGCGCGCATGGTGCTACTGATCATATGCTGGATGTCTCCAATACCAGACGTCTCCAGAGAGTGCATAAGCTCAGTCTGTTGGGCTTGATCCAGACCAGTCCCAAACTGTGACATGTCCTGTCCCCAGAAGCTCGGATTAGCCATCATGTTCTCCGCCGACTGCTGAGCTGGATCTCCTGGTCCATAAAGTGGTGACGAAGCTGGGTAAGTGGACGGTGGTGCAAGGCCACCGCCAGAAGGAGAGAGACCGTATGGGCTGTACTGGTCAGAACCTCCTCTCTGAGCGGAAGATGAGTACTGGCTGCCCCAATGAGTTTGCGGCAGTTCTGGAAAGTTGGCGGGAAGAGGTTGGAAATATGACGTTGAGTTGTCGGCCTGTGCCGTTTGATATGCGGCCGGCGAAATGTCCGGCTCACTGATCCGGGGGATGGACTGTGTCGCCTGAGTATTTTGATACACTGGAGGAGTCACGGCGGGATGGTCGGATGTTTGATAAGGCATTGGTGGAGGATGTTCGACACTCGTGCTTTGGTATGTCCCAAACGAAGGAATTCTCTCTGGAGGCGTGGCTATGGAAACGGTTGAGATTGTTCCAGGGCTTGCACCTTGTGAATGATTATTGTTCGGTGAGTAGGGCATCCCACCGGGGGAAGCGCTGTCAGAAGGTGTAGCTTCTTGGAGAGGAATATCGCCATCTTTGTCATATGCCTTCAAGATGGCAGAGATAAGATCATGGTAAAGCTCGATGGCTGACAAGACACCTGGCCAACGTTCTGAGCCAAGTCTGATGGCTTCCATGGCAACCTGAAGATGTTTCTGGACGTCCTGTCTGGGATTCTGCTTGCGCACCTCGGCGAATGATAGCGACCACAGCATGGCGTTGATGGCCATGAAGATTGCTTGGGTGAAAATCCACGTCAGATCAACATTACCCATTGTTATCTGCTCTCGCTGGAGGTATATATTATAGCGGCAAGCTTCAAAGACCTTCAAGGCAGCCGAGACAGATGGCTTGGGCACTTGCGGAGACGGCCTGTACAGGAAGACAATCATGGTGTGGTATCTGCCAACAAACCAGACTTTGTTTAGACCGCTTCCTTCGTCCTTGGTGGGACTGGCGTCTCGCCAGGATTCAAGTTTGGCATTCATTTGCAAGAACCAAATATCCTTGTCGTCTTTCGGAGTAGGTCGCTTCTTCTGGTACAGCTTTCTTCGAATCTCCAGTTGCAACATACGCATTTTGAAGAAGTGGATTGCGATCCACTTTTTGAGATTTGGCCTCGGAGCGCCGGGAAGGATACCATCGGGTGTAATGTATTCGTCGCTAACAGCCTCGAAAAATTCGACATCAATGTGGTCTTGATGTGTTGCAAGTATGGATGGACGACCGAGGGCATGCGACAGACCAAGTTCCATAACAAAGGTGCACCAAAAGAGGCGGCGACGCATGTCAACCTCGAGATAGTTGGCGGTTCCTCCAGAGGCAGTGCGAGTGATGGTGCGCTCTTCATTAATGCCCAGAGATTGCGCAAGACGGACAGCAAGACCCATGACATAATAGATGGCGGTGCGGGTGGGAGTAAGCAATGAGTACTCAGCAATCAGAGCGAAGGCTTGCAGAGTCCTCAGATTCATGGGGCGAATGACTGGGGTGAGGTACTGTAGGGCGGCCAGATAATAGCTGTCAGCAAGACCGGCGTACTGAGTGTCCATCTTTTGCAGACTGATGGCAATGACCATTCGAACTATGTAGTTCTGATAGGGATCCGGACTCCCGTTGTAGACAACATCTACGTCTTTGGCGAACGAAGGCTCGTGGAGAGCGGGATACATGGGCTGAACTTTGAGGTTGTACAATTGGATCAGGAGGTCGGTCAGGCTGCGGTTGGGCAAGTCTTCGGCGGCAACATCACTGGTCAGAGGGTAGATCTTGGAGGTGGGTTTGGTGGCCTCTTCGGCATAGAGAGCCTTGACCTGGCGAGCCTTGGTCTCATTGACAATCTCCTTGATGGACTTGGAGTCGGTAAAGTGTTTGGCGAGTTGCATGACCAGGCGGGTGATCTGAGTGCCGCTCGCAGGGCCCAGGTACTTTGTCTCATCGTGCTCTTGCAGCTTGACGCTGGCGCCGCTGCGGACCATGACTTCGGGGTCGTCGTGTCCCTCATCGTTTTCGACCTTGTCCAGCTCGAGCTCGAGTTGTCGCACACGTTGCTGCAGGTAGATGACATAGTCGCGGTTGACGTTCTTGCCCTTTGCCGGGTCCCAGTACTCGCACACCGAGTTTGTTCGCTCGCAGGGCCCGCAGCGTGGCAGGCCAGGGTCGCATCGTGTCTTGCGCTGCGGGCTGTTAGTTCAAGTTGGTCGCAGGTACTCGATGGAGCGGTTCAGAGCGTACCTGTCGGCAGCGTGAGCATGCGGTCAGCGTGTGAGCCACTCGCGACGAGCCATCTTCAGCCGGTGCGGCGCCAGCCTGAGGGTGGGCAGGGGCGCTGCCTTTGGCTTTGGCCTTGGCTGGTCTTGCTGCTGGGGCTTGCATCCTAGGACAGCAACCAGCAGCCTGTACGGATCCAAGAGGGCGATGAGACTTTCTCTCTCGAAGGGGTTATCGATTTCTCAGTGCGCCTCATGCCGCACTTGGGGTGCCGCCCACCTGTTTTGTTCGATGGGTTCGCTGTTTGTGATGCGAGTAATGGATCCACTTCTCAGCTGTTGCGGGGAGGCGCTATCGCAAGTAGGCTGTGTTCTACTCAATTAAGGTAATCGACAGGGTCTCAAGCCTCGAACAAGTCACCCTGTCATCTATTGGTCCTGTTGCTGTTCCAAGAGGGGAAATTGCTTTGACATTCCTACCTCGATTCAGCTCGATCCTGCTCTGTACTGCCAGGTGTCTATGATGCTTGTGTTCAAAATCAACAGTGTGTATCGAAACTGCAATCCAGGTCATCAAACAATTGCAAATAATGCAGCAGCGTCGTCTAAAAAAGCCGTTTCAATCTTCCGGCAAACTATCCGACTTCCGATAGTCTAACCAAGAAGACTCAATTTTTGATCTCGCTCTCCCCTCTCTGCCACATGATTCGCTGTCGCAACAAGAAAGGGAAATAAGCAGTGTGAACAGCGTCAACTCGCGCGGCCCACCTGCCTCGGCTGTTTGCCTATCCGTGAAGAATCCACCACGAGAGGGGTCTGGAGCGAGCTCCTAGAGCCGCACCGCACCGTACCGGAACCGCTCCAACCGCTAACTCCGTCCTCATCTCTCTGCTTTACCACCGACGTCCTTGGCCCTCAGCCCTGACAGCTGTTTTTGACATTTTCTGCCGCATTTGGTTTACGAACTCGTTCTCTTCCGTCCATAAGCCAATCATCCTTTGCATCATCTGGCTACACGAACTCTATCCCGTCTTCTCCAGTTCGACATTGTTTCGTCTGCTTCAGCTCTATGCTGAAGGACTTCCTTCGTTTTGACTGCCCAGGCGCCAAAGCCATATAAGCCACAATCTTAGATCACTCGATCCATATGGTCCTTGAGACTCCCTTGCTCCGAGTCAGCCGTCCGGTCGCTGCCTGTTCGCGATGTAGGTCTGCAAAGATCAAATGCGACGGCAAACTTCCTGTGAGCTTGCCTTAACCTCTGCTTTGTGTCTTACTAATTGATTCAGGCATGTACTGCTTGCGAAAGATCTGGTAAACAAGCAGAGTGCTCAAGTACCAGCGACCAATTCGCCAGAGGTAAAGAGCGAAGCTATGTCGCTACTTTGGAAACGAGGATAGAAAAGCTCGAACGCAGACTGCAGGAAGCTCAACACAGAAAAGCCTCTCTTGTGCCCGTGAACGAACACGATGGCGCCGTGCAGAAACATGTCCCATCCGAAGGATTGACCAGAACTTCAAAAAGGCTCGAAGCTCAAGAAATTGATGATCTTGTGTCTGATTTTGGCTACCTGTCAGTAAAATCTCCCTCCTGTGTATCTTTCTATATACTAACTAATCACAGCACTGTGAATGCAACCGCGCGAGATTTCTACGGATTTACATCAAGCATGTCCTATGCTCGCATGGTACTTTCTGCCTGTACCAAGGACAGCCTCCCTACAGGGTTCGTGACTCCACTGCCGCCTCGCAACGAGGCCATAATCACTATCAGGCACTATTTCGAAAACTTCTTCGTCATGTATCCATTTTTTGAGGAATCCAGTTTCTATGCATCGCTCGATGCAGTTTATAACTCGGAGAGTTCTAGGGTGTCCACAGCATCACCGTTCGACCACTTCTCTGTCAGGCTGGTGCTCGCAATTGCACACTCTGGACGAATGGAGCAAAGAGGCGATGGCAACTACATGGCTGCAATCGGACACGTTTCTGCTGCCTTAGTTCATGCTGAACACGTTCTTCGTCCTGGGTCAATCGCAAGCGTGCAAGCCATGTTACTGCTACACGAGTATTCCATGATCGACCCTCATCATTTTGATAGTTGGGGTCTGATAGGTGCAGCTTCGCGCGCCATGGTTGACCTTGGGCTTCATCAAGACCCTCCCCGAAGCGCTTCTATATCTAGAGCGAAACTAGAGCTACGAAGACGAGTTTTCTGGTGTGTTTACGGTTTTGATCGCTCGACGAGTTTGATTCAATCACGAGCTTTCTCATTCTCGGACGATTCCGCCAGTGTTGCCCTGCCTTTCTCTGCTGCGCAGACATTACTCTCACCAGAGGCCAAAGACTCAAACCACATTCTGTTCAAAAGTTTTGGTTCCGCGATCGACCTCTTCAATCTCAGACGGATCCAGTCGGATTGGTACACAGAGTTGTTCCAGTCAGGACGGATACCTTTGTCTGACCCTTACCCGATAATATGGCGTTCTTGCGAAGCGATGAGAAACTGGTTCGCTGGACTGTCCCCGAGCATGAGTGCGGAGGTCCGCACCTTCTTTGAGCTCAATTTGCTCTACTCTTACATCTACATCCTTGCTGCATCACCACGGATGCCATTCGTTGCACCCTTCGCGCAAAGTCTGATCTTCGAATATTGCATCCAATACGCGGAGAAGATGACATCTCATGCGAATGAGCGTGTCAAAACAGCCCCCCTGAGTTTTTACGATGCGATGCGTGTATACATGACCGGCCGTCAATTTATCGAGGTGTTGCAAGGCAATGAAGACAGGCTTCTATCAGGCATCATCCCAGATCCGCCATTCGTTCCTGTCGATTCAGCGCCACCGCCGCCAGCACCTCAAACGCCCAAAGATTTCCAAAAGAACCTCGCGCGAAGTATCACCTGTATAAAGCGTCTGACAGACTGTCTTGGTTTGTTTGGGTTGCGATGGGGATACATGAGTTGGCGCGATCGCTTTCAACGTGACTCGGAAAATCTCTTGTCCTCCCTCAACCAGCGTGTTTGGAAGAGGCAGGACTCCTCAAATGTTCCTGCTCGGTCTCTTTGGAATTATGCAGACCCAATGGCGACTCTTGCGCCTCTTACAGAGACGATCATTCCCCCTCCTGGTCCGCATCAAGGTCTACAACCGCTAATCACACCTACCTACCCTCCGGAGTTTCAGCAAAGTACTGAATTCTATCGATCTCACTACAACAGCGTCGTCCCTCAGACAACGCAGCAATATCCAGCGTGGCATGGGCATGAAACGCATGGCCCGGTCGGCGACCAACAGGAGCAGCTCGGCCAAACGCAAACACAACCATATTGAACAGAATACGCTGGGCCAAGATCAATATCACAATATCTACGCCTGTTGAACGTCGCCAATCCCTATATTTACATGTCACAGGCCATGACAGATGTGGAGACCAATGTCACCAATCGCTCAAACATTTTTCGTGGTCAATGTTGGTTCTGGAACTCTACTCAAAGCTGAGCTTGATAATAAGACAAGGATCATGTAGCAGGATGGTGTCAAAAACGCTCAAAAAGCGCAGGCACGGTACCGTGAGTGGGAGCCAGACTCTCCGAGAGGCTGAGTAGCTTCCGGAAAAATGAACCAATATTTGAAGGAGCGACACTTCAAAATGTGGGATGCACAACCTACCGCATGGCATATCCAATTGCAACCTAAGCGAAAGATAACCCTGAAGCCAGCAAACCCGGCATTATCGAAGGCAAAAGGTGCGACAGTGACATTATGGTAGAGAAGGTCTATGCACAATGGCATCAATACGGTGATCGGTGACTCCATGCGTCCCCAATAACCTGCTTTCTGAGGTGGCTTGTCGTGAGCAAGCCGCTGCGAGTTCTCTTTCAGGACTTTTATCATGATGATCACTGTGACGCTTTGGAGTGGCTGTGCTCTAACGCCACATTTACCCCTCTCCTGTGGCTGGAACATGGAAAGGCACGACAACTTCGCATGGTTGCTGTGCTCGCCTATTGGACCGTCGCTTATGAGACGGTCTGGCCTTTGCTATGCACGAGAAACCCTGCAGTCGTCTACGGAGAATTGACGTCCTGCGCTGTAGCTTCAAACCATGTGGAAGAGTACTTGGGAGAGCGTAAGTTGCCTCGAAAGACATCAATGGCTTTCGTCCGGTTTTTGCTCCTGACAATCAACCTTTGGATACATTTTCTATTTCTTCGATCCGTCTTCTCAGTTTCTGAGATATCAAACGCCCGTTATCCTTGGACGTATCCGTCGTGGTTGATCAAGTCCATCACCACTCGAATTTGCAAACATCTTTACTTACAACTACTTTATTTGCTTAACACGAGGATGAAAAGCAGTTTGGCCATTATATTCCTCGTTGGAATGGCAGCTGCCGATGACCAACCAGCCGGCCTTTTCAGTGCTCTTGAAAGTGTTGTTACAGCAGACTCAAGTCAAGTGCAAAACGGGATCCAAACGCTTCTGTCAGAAGCCAACTCTTTGATCAAAAGCAACTACCCCTCGACTACCATTACCGATTTGGCCTCTTTGACGTGGCCAGCGACTGTAGTCATTGGCTCTCAGACCTATACTATACCATCGACTGGTTCAACTGAGACACCAAGCTCAACTTCGGCTTCTTCGAGCCCTTCATCAGCGATCGCGTCCTCGACTGAGAATGCCAGACCAGTTCTAACGTCCACAGCGTCAGTGGCACCCCCGAGCGCGGCTTCCACATCGCTTTCAAACACATCTTCACAGACGCATAAATCAGGAGACAAACGACTGGGCATCATCCTTGGCGTGGTTCTAGGATCGATTGCTCTTGCTCTTGCTGCATTCCTCATATGGTTCCTGCACCGTCGTCGTAAAAACACAGGAAGCTTTTTCAAGAGAAGGCCGTCAAGTCCTTCAGACGAGGGAGCCTCCTCTTGGCGCAACGACGCAGAAGCTGAGAAGTACGGTAACCTGAATGCACCACCATTGCTTCAACCGTCAATGGCCGTACATGACGGTTATGCAACCAGGAGTCAGACCAACGGCAATGATGATATGCACCTTGGTTATGGCTACATGCCTTATGAGCACAGTGGACCTGCCGAGCTATCGGCTGAACGATCTGATCATGGGTCCTTCCAAGAGACAACACGCCGAGAAGGCAGGCATGGTGGAGACAGACAGGGTCGACCACCGACTCCCTTCTCTCCAGAATTGTTTGCTACAGTGGCCGCCAGTCCTGTCAGTCCGATTGAACAAGAGCCTCAACGTCGTCGCAGCAGTGGCTTCTGGCCTCCACGAGGCAGCTCAGACGGATATCGTAACTTCGACTCGCCTTATGTTCGACACCAGCCTTCACTTGCAGCTCTGGCAACTTCAGTAGCTCAGGATTACCCTCACCCCTATTATCAAAATCCATTTGCAAGTAGTGAAGATTATGATGAGGATGGGTACGAAGATCCTTATCACGACTCTCGAAGGCATTTGAGTCCAACACCCGAAATTCCTACACGTAGCCCCAGACGCCAGAGCTCACCAATGGTGGTTTATCCCGGCTCAGATGAATTGGGCAGATTCAACTTTGGCACGGAAGAGGGCAGAGATTACAGGCCGAGCGAGCTTGGGGCTTGATTGTGTTGCATATGGTTGATGGTATCAGAGTCAGTATCAATATTACAGAGTTTTCTTTGGTATCTCTTTAACACCCTCAGTGTCATTTATATGAGTCTCACCAGCTCCTACTGACCTCCCATCCCAAGATTGTGCCATGCATTCAGTCAAGCAGAGGCGCCAAGTCTGAGGTTGTTTGTAGATACAGCTTTGACCTCGCGATAATCACAGAGTGGTATCGAGTCTTCAGCTAGATAGTTGAAAGTGTCTAGAATGGCTTTAAGGTTTGCAAAGGGGTCCATGCAACGGAACGGCGTTGGATCAGAACCAGCACAATGTAGGTGTCGAGAAGAGTGTAAATAGTGATTCAAAATTCAAGTGTGAAGTCGCAATAGATAGTGCAGTCTGAGACAAGAGCAAGACAGTGAAGTGTTTGAAGGATTTACAGAAGGGTGTCTCTTTGTTTGCCGAGTGGGGTGAGATGCGGAAGGCACGTCATTTAATGGCTCAAGGCGGCGGTCGGTCTCGACAAGCAAAAGCCCTTCTTCACGCGGACCTTCTGTCTAGCGGCACCCCTTCTCCTCCCACAACCACAAACCTCGTGCAATTCTTCTGGTCACCAAGCGCACGCGTCAAGACACGAACCTCCAAAGCTTTCGAGACGCGGTATTGCTTGTTGTTTGTCACCTATTGTTCAAGGACCACGTAACTGCAGTCTTCTGCCGGCCCCGCTTACAGAACCTACTCCACACACACACACGCACACTCACCCTCAGCTACCCATCCAAGCCATCCTCGGACTCACAGCGCTCTTTGCTGCGACACCCACCAAACTCTTTTAATCGCCCACCTCCCCCCAATCTCGACCTCCGCGATCCATCATGGGTCAGACCCTTTCCGAGCCCGTCGTCGAAAAGGTACGTGTCGCTTGCTCGTCACAAGACCTCCTGCCCACTCTCGCCTGCCTACAAATTCGCCCGCGCATCACCTGTCTCTTGCCGCTGTGCGCTTGCCTGTTTTGACCGCTAACATATTGTTTCACTTTCAGCACTCGGGCAGCGGACAAGATGACCGCATCTTCTACGGAATCTCATGCATGCAGGGATGGCGCATCAGCATGGAGGACGCCCATGCGACTATTCTCGACCTGCAACCCCTTGAAGGTGACGACCTGAAGCCTGCCGCATCCGACGTTCGCATCAGCTTTTTCGGTGTCTATGACGGTCATGGTGGAGACAAGGTCGCGCTCTACACTGGCGAAAATCTGCACAAGATCATCGCAAAGCAGGAAGCCTTCAAGAACAAGGACTTTGAACAATCTCTCAAAGACGGTTTCCTTGCCATTGACAGAGCCATCCTCAGCGGTTAGTCAAGCCACGCGCAAGCGTCTGCTAGCTGTTCAGCTGCTGACCCTATCCTAGACCCAAGATATGAGGAGGAAGTCTCTGGATGTACTGCCACTGTTGGCATTGTAACTCACGACAAGATCTTCGTTGTATGTCGGCACATATTCTACGATTGGAAAGTGCTTTACTGACCAGTTAGGGCAATGCTGGTGATTCCAGAACTGTTCTTGGTGTTAAGGGTAGAGCAAAGCCTCTTTCTTTCGACCACAAGCCTCAGAACGAGGGTGCGTCTTGCGCTTCTGATCTCGAATCTTCAAACATGCTAACACCGAAGTAGGCGAGAAGGCAAGAATTTGCGCCGCCGGCGGCTTCGTCGACTTTGGTCGTGTCAACGGCAACCTCGCCCTTTCCCGTGCCATCGGCGATTTCGAGTTCAAGAAGAGCGCCGACCTGCCTCCTGAGCAGCAAATCGTTACCGCTTATCCCGATGTGACTGTCCACGACCTTTCTGACGACGACGAGTTCATTGTGCTTGCTTGTGACGGTTAGTAATGGACGCAAGGAACTCAAAGATGAACAATTCCTGACCTTTCATTCACAGGCATCTGGGACTGCCAGTCTTCGCAAGCCGTTATCGAGTTCGTCCGCCGTGGTATTGCAGCTAAACAGGAGCTGTCTGCCATCTGTGAAAACATGATGGATAACTGCCTGGCCTCGAACAGTGAGACAGGTGGTGTTGGCTGCGACAACATGACCATTGCTGTTGTTGCTCTACTCAACGGCAAGAGCAAGGAAGAGTGGTACCAAATGATTGCGGACAGAGTCGCAAACGGTGACGGACCCTGCGCACCCCCAGAGTACGGTCAGTCGTAACACCTTCTTTCCCCTTCAGCCCTCGCCCATTTATAGCATTTTCTTGCGCCCCTTTGTTTTCCGAGTTTCGTTGTTTATTAGCGCTATATGCCTGCGGATACCCATTTCAAAAAGGGAGCTTGACAACTCTTGTCTGCATACCATGCACATCTATCAATGCAGCCCCCGTGGTGACGAGCCCTTGTCTAATACGAATACCATTGTACAGCTGAATTCAAGGGACCTGGTGTGCACCACCGCTTTGACAACGACAGCCCGGACGAATACGACATGGACATGGAGCAACGCTCGCGCATGCTTAGCGGGCACCCCGGTCGCGTCATCTTGCTTGGTGATGGCACGGAGATCATGACAGACGCTGGAGACAACGACACAGATATGTTTGACCAGAGCGACGATGAAGAGAAAGATCTCGCTAGCCAGGTCAGTAAGGGACAGGACGAGGGCAAGAACGGATCACAAGAACAGGGCACTGGAAAGACATCAACGCCCGCAGAGCCCAACATGGGTGGTGTTCAAGATTCAGCATGAAAATCTGGATAAGAACAACAGATGATTCAGGACATGGATATGACGATACAAGCTTCTTTTTTCCTTCCCAGATTCAAGCCCAAGAGGATACAAGTACCTACTCGAGTTCTTGAATGCATAAAGAGGCACAAGTAGAGAGACAGAACAGAGTGTTTGATAATGCAAGAGCCAATCAAAAGCGGTAATGTCTGCATGAGGGAGCCAGAGCAGGCTTTGTACGTAGCAGTCTGCTTGACAAACCTGTAATTTCAAAAAGTCTCAGCGTCACTCCACGGCGGCGGAGCAGTGAGATGAGAAAAGTGACGGAAACCTGAAAGGCTGGTGGACCGTGCGCAGGTCGGTTGGCGCACGGAGCTGGGCGGTCAAGCTGATTGCGGAGGGCGTTGCAAGCTGGTCGTCACTTCTACCTCGAATCGTTCACCCTGTCGCTGCTTCCCTTTTGCGCACTCCTTGTCGATCCAACCGACAAGTCAAGTACTTGACACTCCAATTCCACAACGCAATGGCTCCCAAACGCAAGCGGGCTGGTACCGTAGGCTCCAATGCCGCTGCTGAAGCCAACAACGATCTTCCCCAGCCTGTTTCCAAAGACGCGTCTGCAGAGGACACTACCACTCAACAAACGCCCCAGACCCTCAAGACATCCAGATCAGAAGACAACGACCAAGACCTGCCTAACAAGCGATCTCGTTCAGAAAACCACACCCAGGATGATCAAGACGAGGAGCAGGACCTTGGTGTCAATGGCGAAGCTGGCACCATGAAGATGGAAGCTCCTCCCAAGGCTGGTCTGGTTGACCCTGTCGGCTACAAGACCAACCCTCCTCCTGAAGGTCGCCCTGTGCGCATTTATGCCGATGGTGTCTTTGATTTGTTCCATATGGGGTACGCAGCTTGCTCTCAGACCCTTCTTGGAACAGCTTGTTAACACGTTCTAGACACATGCGCCAGCTCCAACAAGCCAAGACCGCCTTCCCCAATGTCCATCTTCTCGTCGGCGTTACTGGTGACAAAGAGACCCATCGCCGCAAGGGTCTCACTGTGCTGAGTGGAAAGGAACGCGCCGAGACCGTAAGACACTGCAAATGGGTGGATGAAGTCATAGAAGACTGCCCCTGGATTGTCGATGTCGAGTTCCTCGAGAAGCACAAGATTGACTACGTTGCCCACGACGATATTCCTTACGGCGCCGACGAGGGTGACGACATCTACAAGCCAGTCAAGGAAAAGGGCATGTTCCTGGTTACCCAGCGCACTGAGGGTGTCAGCACCACTGGAATCATTACAAAGTAAGGACAAGACAATGTCACTACAACAGAGTTGCACTGACTGACTTTTGTGCGCAGGATTGTTAGAGACTACGAACAATACATCGCGCGTCAGCTCAAGCGCGGCACTACTCGCCAAGAGCTCAACATCTCGTGGCTCAAGAAGAACGAGCTCGACATCAAGCGCCATGTCGCTGAGCTGCGCGACTCAATTCGCACGAACTGGACCGCAACTGGTCAAGAGCTTGGCAGAGACCTCAGACAATTCTGGCAACCCAGCAGACCCAGCAGTCCAGCTCGCGGCCTCTCGACTCCTGATCGCCTTGGTTATAACTTGCGCCAGGGCGCTTCGAGAGGCAGCAACAGCGACTTTGCTGCTGGATACACTATGGGCCTTCTTGGCAGCGTTCGCAGCTGGGTAAATTCTTGCAAAGCCACCTCTTCTATCAACAGCTCAACTGACCCTCGTGCAGATGCAACGCAATCGTAGAACCCTTAGCGACGCCAGACCTGATAGTCCCGACAGCGGCGAGGACAGTTCCGACTTGAGAAGTCCTGCCGACCCGGCTAGAGGCCGCCCCGGCAAGCACGTTCAAGACGAAGTGGATGCCCAGTTCACCCACGAAATGAACTAGCCAGCCTTGTACGTACGACTATTTCCTGCTGCAGAGGTTCAAGCCCTCTCTCACGACCGACATACTTAAAGAGATTCCCCTTGTATAACAGCCCAACCAAAATCCTATTGCCAAAATCCTGATTCTTCATTCTGCTTCCGTTCCTTCTCATGCTTGCACGTGAAAAGCGTGTACTACCTTCCGTTACTGCTGGCGTTTGCTTTCGTAGTATGCTGGATTTACTTTCGTTTTGTCACCAAAGCTGCTTCTAAATCTCGTCGGCGCATCGATGCTTGATCAAGATGGATCTATGTCAAGCTCTAGGAGCGTTGTATCATTATAGGCTGTGCGGTCGTCCTTCGCGCTGTTGATGCTGCGCTGGTCGAGCTTGGACGAGTGTTGTACTACGGTTGAGTCGTCAAAACCCGGCCAACACCCAGCTTCAAGTCCACATTCACAGCTCACGCGCATCAAGACTCACATCCACAGAGCAACTGATCATGGCCTGCCTCAGGCAACAAAGCAGGCTTTTGAGAACTCCCTCTCCAATAGCATTCATCGATCATATGGAAGTTGATCCAATTCTTGATAATGACAGGCTGTCTGCCAACAATAACTTGCAGATGGCCGAGCAGCATGAAGTCGGCGACCTCGTACAGCAAGGCATGTCACCAGAAGAGCAAGAGGCCTTTGACCTGGAAACTCAGGGCTACTGCATCACCGGCTGGAACCAAATCTGCCACACCGGAGAGGTAGCAAAGGCGCGGCGCGAAGAGAGAGCAGACAGACAACAGAAGAGGAAAGACAGTAATCTCGCAGCCTACAACCGCAATAAAGACCACGTCATCGATCGATTGAAGCGGGAGGTAGAAAGCAAGAATCTCGAGATTCAGAGTCAGTACTTGAAGATCTCTGAGTTGAACGCGGCTCAAAAGGCGACGAGGCGGGAGCATCAAGCTGAGCTGGAGAGCCATGCACATATGGAAGCGCTTCTGCTTGCAGACCTTCGTGAATCGTGTCAGGCCAATGACGAAGAGGTGGAGGCGTTGAAGGAGACTATCGATCGTCAAGGTAAGTGCACCCCACTGACTATCTCAATTGCACCTTTCATTGCTGACTCTACTCACTAGCACTCCCACCTGCTTACACCGACATCAACAACCAGGTCCATATTCCCAAGGCCACAGACGGCGGTCCTGCCGATGCCCGCACTGTCATGGCATCAGCCATCACCTCCCTCCGCGCAGCCATCGCCGACCCCGAACCAGCTCGCCATACCAACCCTCTGATCCACGTCGCTGACACTCTTCGCACCTCTCTCCGCACGATCAAGCGCGGCCACAAACCCAAACTCTGGCCCCGATCAACTACTGCCTTGGCTCTACACGCCGTTCACGAGTGCATCGATCGCGTCGTCATGTACCTATCCCTTCACCCAGAGTTATACGCCCACTTACCGGTTCCACCACGCTTCCTATCCCGCCTCCCTGGTATAGCCAAACGAGCACACACAGCACTCCGAAAAGCTTTTGCCGCAGCCGATGCTTTGGCAAAAGAATTTTGTTCTCTGCATTTCGCTGCTGGAGGTCGAAGAGCTCAATTGGATGGTTCTGCTTCCTCTTCTCGGTCGGCTGTTCCTACACCAAACAGTATGCTAGACTCGAACGATGACTTTTTGGACCTGCAGTATTGGAAGAAGAGGTTTGAGGGTGCGAGGCAGGAGGCGCAGGACTGGAATAGGGAGGTTGGTGCTGTGGTGTTTGATGGAACTGTTGCTTGGTTGGAGCAGGAGATTTTGACGACGATCTGATTGTCCTCTTCTTCCTGGGAAGGAGTGTGGTTTTCAAAACGGTGATTGATTTCCTACGGTGTTGGGTCTGCAAGGGTATGCGCGTAGAGGAATGTCGTTTGCGCCTGCTCTTTCTTGCTTCTGAGGGGTTTTCAAATGGTCAGAGCTCCGAAAATGGTCTGTAGTTTTTATGGCGTTTGGAGTTTGCAATATTCAAGAGAGCTTTTCGCTGATGGTTGACGTTTCTGTGTGCTTGAAGTCTGTAACTCCCGTAAAGCAAGATGCACGAGTATACACTGTATCTCCAGTGTAAAAAGTCTCAATGTTCTCAGAAATGGAAGCATATCCACTGGAAGTCTCATGAATTATTCTTTTCTCTGCTCATATAATCCTGATCTCTGACAATATTGTGGATTTTCTTCAGCTGCATTGTGATTGTCTTTGGCACATGGAAGAGTTATATACGATAGATATTCAGTGGGTGTAGGCGCCACCCTGTTCAAGGAAAGGCGGTTGCTTTGATTTTCCATGACGGCAATGTTGAACTGTGTTACTCAATTCTAGAAGACAGACACGTGTATGCGATGAAGCAAGAATTGTATTTATGATGTTCGTTGTCATCCGTTATATGCAGAGCTGAGCTGAGTATAGAAATGTTTGCTGCTCTGGATACGCCTTGTCCTGGTGGCTTGATGCAATCATGTTTGCAAGTAACGTATCACATTCCTCCATTCGTTCGTCTTCTGTCTCTGCAATCTTGCCTGCCTATCACCTCTTTCTTGCTGCATGTCTGTAAGCCTGTATCTTGATGTTGTTAAATCAGTCCAGTGGGCTGACATCTTGCTCCTGTTCCTTTTCTGGTACGGCGATCTGCGTGAAAGTGTCATCGTCGTTGAGTTCGAGGTAGACCGATCCTGGAGTTGGACGTGCTCTCTTGGAGCGGCGGCAGTTTCTGGAACTGTTGTCTTCGCGCTCTCTCTTGGGCTCTTTCTTGACTGTAGCAGTGTTGGTTCTCTCAGCCTGTGGTATTGTCAGAAGCAGGAAGACAGGTTAGCGGTAACACATGATCTCACTTGGTATCGACGAAGTAGTTCCCTTGTCTCTTCATGGCTGAGCTTCTCGATAGGGCGCTCTTCGAGTGGTGTAGGAGCCGGTGTTCTTGGGATGATCAAGAGGTCCTTGAGGGCAGCTAGAAGCAGTAAGTCAAAGTTGCACATTCGTTGCGCGAGTCCCAACCGCACCTTTCGATCTGTAATGGAACACAAATGTTGCTGCCGGAGACTTCACTCCCAGGACGGGTGCTGTGTACCACACTACATTGCCGCTCTTAACCTCAATCTCTTCGCCTAAGCTGCGATACTTCGTCAGTATAGCTTCTACCAGCGGCGTCGTGTGGAGTACCCGTAGGTGTGTGTGATTGCTTTTCCCTTAACGTCCTTCTCTGAGATGACGCTCTCGTCGATGACTGGACTTTGGTAGTCGTTCGTGCTCGTACCAACTCCAGTCTTGTTTTCGTGGTCAACACGTATTTCGATCTTGCCCATGTTTTGGACACGCTCCCTGTTGTCAGATACGCCAGCATCTTCCTCACTGACTGTTACTGTTAGCTATCATTATGCTCAAAAATGCATTGTTCCGCTCACCAGTCTCGAGGACTTTGAACTTGAGTCGTCGTGCACTCTCATTGTTGACCCGAATGTTGTCCACGTTGTAGTTATAGCTACCAGCCTGCACATCTGCAGGAACGAGACATAAGCCGCAGACACGTGTGCCATCAATGCGGACTTGTACGCAAATCAAATCACCCTTGAACACGAAGTCCTTGGTGAGCTTGATCTTGGCTGCAAAGTTGGCGCCATCGACAGCTTCGATGTACTTCGTAACGGTGTCTTCTTTGTTTGCCGTGTCCGAGTCTTGATATTCGGGCAGATCTTTTGTGTCCACAACAACGGCAATCTCAACACCAGGAAGGCCGTCCAGGACGGCCATGATGTTGAGATGGCGGTGTGGTGATGTATCGATACTTGAATGAATGGACACGTTGTAGATGTCGAAAGAAGGTCTCGGAAGATTAATAACGAGGAAGAGGTATGGGACAAGAAAGTCTGCGAGTGCTCATGAAGATTATAAGTTCGCGGCAGAGCATGTGTGAGTGAGATCGGAGCGCTAGTCTGGCGAACTGAGAGAGTCAATCAGGTTGCAAGGCTAGAGTAGCTACTGGTGAAGAAGGCAGACGTGAAATACTCATCACACGATGGAAAGCAATATTGCTCATCATTCTCCATAGCTATGTAGCTCTGTCATTTGGGTATAATGCTGTACAGAAAGCAATATTGTAGCGTAAAGTGAATGTGTCTCAATCATCGCTCAGATCAATACTGTCGATACCCGTGTCGGCATCTGTGGAGACCTTGAGTTGTTTGGCAGGCGGACGTGAGGAGACCACGTCCAATTCGTCATCATCGCTGTCCTCATTGCGCCCTCTCATAAGCTCTTGCTTGATCTTGATTCGCTCCTCTTCACGAGCCTTCGAGAGTCAGTGTGGGCTTCTGTCTTGCTGGGGATATGAACCTACCTCCTGTCGGCGCAAAAGCTCAAGGAGCTCTTCTCTGGTAAGGTCTTCCTTTGGCCGATCCTCGAGTGGAATAGGACTGGGACTTCTCGGAATGAGGTAGAGGGTTTGCAAGTCCTCTGTTGAAATAAGCATTGAACTTGTGTAACATTTTGGTACACTTACTGCGCGAGCGGTATCGAAAGTTGAACATTGCAAGTTGCTCTAGATTTCGGGCCTTGATAGTGTATTGCACGCCAGTTGGGACTGCTTCTCCAAGTCTGTACTTGTTAGCCACGCTGTCCTTTTACGAGAAAGAGAGTGCGTGTAGACTTACTTGGCTTGTTGCGAGATGGCCTGGCCTTTAAGGTGCTTCTCGTGAATGTTTTCGTGCGCGCTAATGTTCGTGGAGGCGGAAGAGGGAAATGGGCTCCCTTCCACACAAGCATAGTGAAGCTTGACAGTGATCATGCCCAGGTCTCTCAGCTCTGGTCTAGGCTTGTTGAATTCTGGATCCTCGGCTGTAGAGTATGTTAGCGGTGTTGTGAAGGGACACACATCGACCATACAGGTTACAAGATCGGCAAATAGGAACTTTCGCTCGATCCAGATTTCGTCTTGTCTGTGGCGAGATGAGTGTGTTACAGAAACGAGGTGGTGTCCTAGAGGGAAGCGATGCACGGTGCTGGCAACCTTTTGACCATCAAGGTAGTAATTGGCGGTGATGGAGTTGCCACGTTCGAGATGTCTAGCTTCCATTCCAGTGAGATCAAGTCGAATGCCAAAATGAGAGCCGGCAACACATTCGACATATTTGGTTATGCTGGTGGCTGATACGGAGTCTTCGTCGTCTTCGTCGAGGTACTCAGGGAGTGGGTTCCCATCGACCACAATGTCCACAACGACGTGCGGAACATCTGGGATGATGGCCATGATGCTGGTGATGGATGTAATGGCCAGAGACACAAAAGTGAATGAGCTTGTGGAAGAGAAGAAGGACGAAGACTCGGCTGACGCGGCGGACTTGAAACACCCTCCAAAGTCATGGAAAGTGGTTGATGAGGAAGTGACGAAGGTCGGCTAGCCGAGAACAAACACCCTGCGCGGCTGCCCGAAAGAAAGTGAAAGGCGCGGGGCCAGTAGAGAAGCTGGTCGGGATGGATAACTGTAAGACTTCAGTGTGTTGATATGATTTGTAAATTTGGTCGAGTTTTTAGGACATTTGTGTTATGCACAGTCCTCTTTGAGAGTGTTCTATCTAAACCCTTGCCTTGCCTTTCGCCGAAAACCACTTCGCAAATAAGAACGCCTCGCAATGCTATCATCATGGCTGCTAGTGAAAAGTAAGGTGGGTGGAAATGCAGCTTGTTGTGTGTGAACAAATGAAATCAAAGAAGCGAAAAAAACAAAAAGAAGGGCAGTCGTATCCCACAGGGTATCTTGAAGATCATAAAACCAGTCTCGCAGCTGTCTTACCAACGTCCGACTCCGACAGAGACATCAGGACCATAGGTACCAGACAGAATTTGTTGTCTGATGGCAGCACGCTCGTCATAGTTGGAGGGAGTAGGGCCACCAGCAGCTGGGCCGTTAAGGTAGGTGACGTTGTCACGCAATTCATTGACAGCATCTTGCAGTCTGCCACCGGAATCTTCGTTGTGCTTGAGAAGCTTCTGGTCCCAACCAGCATATTGCAAGTGGAAACCACCGCCTCTCTTGGCGCTTTCACGAATGGCCAGAGCCCAAGCCTGAGCGAGTTCGTCATATGCTTCGAATTTAGCATGGTTGTGTTGGAAGGTATCCCAGGTGGGGAGGCGATGGATGATCTGAGTAACGGCATCGAGATACTGGAGCGAGAGTGTGGGTTGAGGTTCGTTTGGAGGGAGGAAGTGAGGAGTAAAGTCCTTGAGAGCTTCAATAAGCTGCAGCATGGGTTGACGGACTCGGTTATAGGTGTAGTCTGAGGAAGGGCGGTTGCCGAAGGGGAAAGACTCCTTGAAGGTGGTCTCGTACTTTTGCAAGACGGAAAGAGTCGACTCGATACTAGGGCGGGGAGCCTTGGTGACGACCTCGTGGGCAATTGCGGGATTCTGGTCGCAGATGTTTTGCAGGAGGTTTCTCATTTCATCAGGAGAAAGAGTTTCGAGAAGACGAGGCAAGTCGAGCGGACGACCAGCAGCGACGACGGTACGGCTTCTCTTGGTAGATCTTGAGGCGGGGAAGAGCTGGCGACCGGTGACAGCAGGCGAGTTCGTGGGCGATGCCGACATACGGTCGTCCAGGTCGTCCTCGCTGGCCTTGCGTTTTCGGCTGGACATTCTGTCGCTGCCAAAGCCCTCTATGGGTGGTGTTAGTATGTGGTGAGATGGAAGGCGGTATGACGCACGTACCTGAGCGCGAGGGAGAGGGTCGGGGGTTTCCAAGGAGATGAGGAGCGAACAGTGGGTTCGAGGCGATGACGGAGTTCATTGCGTTCGTAGGAGATGAGTTGGTTGTGTTGAATGTTCACACAAATAGCGCACCACACAAATGCGTTAGATGTGTGAAAGCAAAGTCGGTCGTCGTCTTGAAAGATTCTGGAATGACTTCGACCCCGACGCTCGGATCACAAAGACCGACGACCAAGACCTGATGGTCATGTGTCTCCCATCATCGCCATTTTCACCGCTTTCTCAGACATCCAGGCCAATAACATGTCATGCTTGCGACAGAGTCTTCGTCGTCATTTGATCTACCTATCTACATGCTTGACTCTAAATCAAGCTCTTGGTATGTCTTCTCACTTGAAATCATATGCCTCCGCTCGTTGAACCGACAACAACAAGAACGCCCGCCCCGTGCACGCTTTTTACCGCCAACTCATGCCCAAACGCCTGAAGAAAAGAAATTATCCCTATGCAATCATGTTGCCCTCTTACAAGTACAGCGATTGTGCCGCGACAATATCACGTCTCACCTTGGTGAGCGCCGTCTCGAACTTCTGTTCGAGCTCCTCACTTCCCATAACCTTTGAAGCCTGTGCCATTTGTCGCAAAAGCTCCTCGAGACGTCTGAAGAGACGGATCAGACTGCCTTCGTACACGTCGGTCATTTTGCTGTAAACATTGTTAGCATGAGTAAATCAAGAGCTCTGTCGAAAGGACTTACCAAATCTCGGCAAAGGATGCACCATTGCACCATTTGTAGACAACCTCCATAAGCTGGTATTTGAAGCCTTCAACGTATTCGTCCTCATTGACAGCCAGCTTGCTCTCCTGTGAAATCTTAGCCACAGTGCGTGCCTGGGCTTGAATCTCGCGGAAGGGTTTGGCGAGCTCTTCCTTCAGCGTCGGTGTCTCGTTGCTCTTCTCCTCGAAAATGAAACAACTGAGGGCAGCCGCACATTGTTCGGGCGTGAGCTCGTTGAAGAAGCGGTTGAAGAGCAGCTCACTGAGAACCAATTCATCACCGGTACTAATCTCACAGGCGACGCGAGCCTTGAGCTGCACCACATCTGCTTCGTTGATGAAGCCCAAGCGGCGAAGAACTCTTCGTCTGTGCTTGAGCTCCTCCATTTGCAAAACAGACATGGCATCACTGATTTGCTTTCTGACCTCCTTGATCTTGTTGCCAAGCTGAACCTTGTGCTCGTACTGAGTGTGGAGAGCTGCCAGTCTAGGCGAGTTGTGTAAGGGATTCGAGAGCAATCTTGACTCGAGAATCTCAATTTTCTGTGTGTTTGTCAGTACTGGTAACTTTCAAAGATGTCTTCTGACTTACGCGAAGCAACTTCTTGAAGCCTTCATCTGTGATACCCATGTTCTCAACAGGATCAAGGATGGCAATACCGTCAGGGAATCTTCTCTTCACCTCTTCTAGCCCCTTGCGAACGTTGTTTCTCTGCTCGGGTGATCTCAGGTCTGTAGGCAAAAAGATTCTAAGATGACCAATTGCGTCGACAGTTGAAAGCAAGACCGGTACAACTTCCATCTTGCCCTTCTCGCCAGCCACAGGAGGTCGAACACCAGGAGGAAGCTCGTCGTTGTTCTTGTTAGCAGGTACAGTAACATCGCTAGCAACCTGGAGCAGAACATCCACAACATAAGAGCTGGCGTTAGGAGGGTCTTGCACGGGCTGACCCTTGGGAGGACGGCATTTGGCGAAATTAACGACAGCACCCCAACCAAAGTCGTGGTCGTTGTGCTTGATTCTGACCAGTCTGCCAGACTGAAGGAATTGAAGGCAGTGTTGAGGGTGATTCACAACATCGCGCATATCCTTTGCATAGTTGTTGAGCTGTGTGCGTAGGTCGTAGTAATCCTTGATAGTTGGCTCGTCCTCGATGCTCATGTGGTTTCTCTCCTGCTCCAGCTCGAGCAACTGCTTCTCCAGTCCAGCGACACTGGCGGTGTTCTGGAATTGGTAGAAACATCTCTCAAGCATGAACTCGGGTGAAATGCCCTCGACACGCATCAGGTTGAGAATCATGTTGTAGCCGAGATAGAAGGCCGAGTTGAGCTTGTCCTGCTCACCTCGAACAACTTCCTTCGCGACTGCTGGCTCCATTTTCTCGTCAATCATCATAATAACGATACCACGTTCATCGAGACCTCTTCTTCCAGCACGTCCAGACATTTGAATAAACTCGGAAGGAGTGACCCAGCGCTCGGCGACACCATCGAATTTGCGTACACTGGTAAAAACAACAGTCTTGGCAGGCATGTTGAGACCAATCGAGAATGTTTCGGTAGCAAACAGAACCTTGATCAAACCTTCTTGGAAGAGAATCTCGATAGTTTCCTTCAGAATGGGAAGAAGACCAGAATGATGGATACCGATACCTCTGCGCAAAAGAGGCAACAAGTGTTGAATCTGAGGCAACTCACGGTCCTCGGGGCTGAGCATCTCGATGGCACTCTCGAAGACCTTCTTTACCATCGCCTTTTCGTTGTCGTCGTTGAAAGCCAGTTGACTCATTTGGAGAGCGTAGTTCTCGCAGTCGCGCTTGCTGAAACTGAAAACGATAACGGGGTTGTAGTTCTTCATCATGATCATCTTGACAATCTTGTAGATGTCCGAGGGACCTTCCTTCCTGCCACCCTTGTTCACCTTCTTATCCTTGCCCTTACCTCTTCGCTTCGCCATGGGGTCGGAACCATCGTCTCCAGCCTTGTCTGCGATGGTTGCCATAGCCTTTTGGAAGTTCTCCTCGCGGAAGGTGCCCTTCTCGTCAACAACAAGGTGAATACCTTCGGCGCCAGCGGGGAAGAGATAGTGTTGAAGAGGAGTAGGTCTGAAATCGGTATAAACGACGTGGCAGGGTTGGTTGTGAGTTTTGGTGATCCATTCGGCGAATTGCATTGAGTTAGGGATGGTAGCGGAGAGGAAGACGTAGTGGACCTTGTCGGGCAAGAGGATGATGGTTTCCTCCCAAACGACACCACGAGACTTGTCGCGGAGATAGTGGACTTCGTCGAAAATGACCCAGGCAACTTCTCGCATGATTTCGGAACCTCTGTACAGCATAGAACGCAAAATCTCAGTGGTCATAACGAGACAAGTGGCTGTAGGGTTTATAGTAACATCTCCAGTCATGAGGCCGACATCGCCAAATTCGGCCTGGAACTCTCTGAATTTCTGGTTACTCAAAGCCTTGATGGGACTGGTGTAAATGACTCTCTGGTTCTCGCGCAGACATTGAGCAACTGCATATTCGGCAACGACCGTCTTTCCGGCACTGGTGTGAGCCGAGACCAGAACACTCTCGTTTCTTTCAATACTGGCGATCGAGACTTGCTGGAAAGGATCAAGGGTGAAGGGGTATGATTTGGCGGGACCATTTGGTGGAGGCTTGTGCTGCGAAATGGGAATGTAATCGTAGTCCGGAGGAAGGGCGACTTGATGGCGAACTTGATGCGAAAGAACGACGTTTGCCTCGTCCTTTGAGGCCTGGAGACCGGCAGCAGCAGCGACTTCTCTGGATTGTTCGGTTTCGAAGGAGTCAGTTACGACTGGAGCAGGTTCGTCGCGTTTCTGGCGCTTGGACTCGGAGGTGGTTGCTGGTATGTCGGACTCGGCAGGTACTGGAACACCATGGTCTTCATCGTTCGGGTCGGCGGCGGGAGTGGCAGAGTCCTGGTTTGTAGAAGTGGGTTCGGGAGTCTTGACATGGCCATTGGCAGAGCGTTTCTTTGTGGGTTTGTCGTTCGCAATGTCAGTATTCTTGGATGGCGGAGCGTCGTCGAAGACGTCGAACAAGTCGTCCATGATGGGCTCGCGGACGGAGGCGACGGTAGCGAATCGTTGCTATTGCGACTTGTTGGAAGGAAAAAAAGTCGAGCTTGGGATGCGATAGATGGACTTTGGCGGCAAGAGCTGTACGCCTTGTGATTGGCTGCATGACGCGCCTTCCGCACTTTCGCCGGGCCATGATGGCCGCTGGGCGTCGCTGTCGGGTGAGCAGCGACACATCGAGCAATTGAATCTCTCCAGCATCTCCACTCAATCACACACCCCATCACCGTACGTCTCGCCCTTCACTCGCTTCCGCATCTCTCAATTGACGAGCGTCGTCCAGATGTTGTCCAGATCCGCCATGCGCATGCCCACCGTGGCCAACCAGATCGTCGCCCGTCGTGGTTTCTCCTCGACTCGCATGCAACTTGCCAGTCCCTACCACTACCCCGAGGGTCCTCGCAGCAACTTGCCCTTCAACCCCTTGACCAAGTTCTTCGCCATCAGATACTGGAGCTTCATGGGTGAGTCTCGAATCCACCGAGCCGTAGCCTCGTCCTTGAAGCTAACATCCTTTCAGCCGCTGGTTTCTTCCTTCCCTTCGGTGTTGCCGGTAAATCAATCGCCTCAAATATCCCCTCTTCCATCGTCCGAATACTCACAATTTGAACAGTCTGGCAGACCATGAAGAACCAATAGACGTATCGCGGTGGATGGACTACATACATTGGCCTGACTTTGAAGGCTTCCTCAAAACGCTGGCCCGTCCAATCGGATGTATATAATAGTGACTCTGAATCCCGAACACGTCTTTGAATTCGTTTTTATCTCTCTCAAACCTCTTTTGTGCCTATCCCGAATGCGTGTCGTGACATCCATCTGAGCTTGACGCTCGCAGCAGCTCTCGGCATGAAAAGCGCGCTAGCCCCGGCTCCCAGAATTTTTTGAAGCTGCTGACCATCAATTGTACATTCGATGCTCGTAACATAACACATCAAATCATGCGAAATCTACGGAATTCGAGGCATTCCCTCGTCGAGTTTCCTACTGACTCTCTACCACCAACTGCTACGACATGGGATCCTGCTACTGATGGAATTATTGCCGCTTTTGGTCCTTCGTCTTCTAGCCCCGTCATCGAACTCAGACGCCTAGCCAAGGATTGTTACTCTGCTCACGATGCAAAGCAAATTGCTTCATGGGATGCTCCCAGTCCTTTGCCCGATATTCCTGTGGACCACATCTTGTCGTTACAATACTTTGCTGACACTGCGACTGTTTGCTTGATCTTGGCTGGTGGCGATATTGTCATTGTCAGAGAGGAGCCACTGCCTGGAGAGGACCTCATCGAAATTGTTGGTTCAGTCGATGAAGGCATTGCTGCTGCTGCATGGTCACCCGACGAGGAATTGTTGGCCATAAGCACTCGCGCCAATACTTTGATTCTCATGACCCGCGACTTTGGAAGCATCGCCAACGTCACTCTCTCGCCCGAAGATGTCCAAGTTTCTGCCCACGTCTCCGTTGGATGGGGAAAGCGTGAGACGCAATTCCAAGGAAAGAGAGCCAAAGCGCTCAAGGACCCAACCGTGCCGGAACATGTTGATGAGGGGCAGCTTAGTTCTCTCGATCAAATGCAGACTACCATCAGCTGGCGTGGAGATGGTGCATATCTGGCTGTCAACTCTGTTCAGGACGGAAAGCGACGTATGATCAGAGTTTACTCGCGAGAAGGTGTGCTAGACAGTGTCGGTGAGCCTGTAGATGGACTCGAAGGCGCTTTGAGCTGGAGACCTGCTGGAAACCTCATGGCTGGTATTCAGCGTCGATCTGACCGTGTGGACGTGGTCTTCTTTGAACGTAATGGCTTGCGTCATGGTGAATTTTCGCTTCGCTTATCCGCAGAGGACATGGAGAGCTGGGCTAGTGCTATTTCTCTTGCTTGGAACAGCGACTCTACTGTCTTGGCTGTTTCGTTCAAAGACAGAGTGCAGCTCTGGACTATGGGCAACTACCACTACTATCTCAAGCAGGAGATATTCGCCAATGCCACAGCAGAAGCAGAACTGCTACCGGTTCGTACAGCTTGGCATCCCGAGAAGCCACTCTACCTTTCTACGTCGTCCGGCAGTACGTTGAGCTCCCTCTTGGTTTTTTCGATTACCGTCTACTAACGTAATTATCAGTTTCCCTACAGCTGCTCTCATATGTATTCACAGTACCAAAGAGCTCGACAACACCGCCATACGACCTGGGTCTTACCTCCGTTATCGATGGCCTTAACCTTAAGATCACGCCGCTCAGGGTAGCCAATGTACCACCACCCATGGCTTTTGCGGAGCTAGAGCTTGGTGCAAATGCCATCGATGTTGCTGTTAACCAATCGGCAACCAAGATTGCAGTACTGCATCAACATGCCGTTTCATTTTATGAGCTTAACTACAGTGTCAGGCCGTTCCAGCAACCAAAGCTCTTGCGTGGGGCCTCGATGGCAGGACAGATCCCCCGCCAAGTCGCATTCTCTGGAGACGATTCCATCTCAGTGCTTTGCAGCGAGCCAAACACCCAGGCCGATAACATCATCGAGCTAAAGGTTTCCGACGATGAAGCCTTTGAATCGGCTGAATTGAGTTCCGGTGCTAGCTCTCTGTTTTCGGCTGTAGACTTTTCGAGTACCTGCTACGAGGATGCACATGGTGGCGTGTATGAGCTCGGTACTGCCGCTTCTTCTTCGCTACTCGCCAAACTTCCCGTACACTGTCCTTGGAGCGAGGTCTGGAGGGATGACGAAACAACGATTGTATTTGGCCTCACGGCTGGCGGTACCTTATATGGCTACCGCAGGTCTTCGGGTGATTTGGAGGCACAGGAGTGTCTTCAGATCCGCAACTGCACCTCATTCTTGACTACTCCTGCTCACCTCATCTTCACTACGACTCAACACCTGCTCAAGTTCGTTCATCTCCACCAAGGTGATTTAGAGATTCCTCAGGACGAGCCTGAGAAGGACGAACGTTGCCGTAGCATCGAGAGAGGCGCAAAACTAGTGGCAGTCATGCCTACAACTTTCTCTCTGATTCTTCAGATGCCAAGAGGCAACTTGGAGACAATTTACCCACGTGCTCTGGTTCTTGCTGGCATTCGCAGAAGCATTAGTGCCAAAGACTACAAGACTGCCTTCTTCGCTTGCCGCGGCCAGAGAGTTGATATGAACATTCTCCACGACTATGCACCACAGCAGTTTATGGCCAATGTTCTGTTGTTCTGCAAGCAACTCAAAAAAGCCGAAAACATTGACTTGTTCCTTTCGCAACTACGGTAAGTCATACGCAAGAAAGCTCAGAAAGCTCAGCTGACAAGTTCCAGGGATGATGACGTTGCAGAGACTATGTACAAAGAGACACTGAACGCCCCGAAGCTGGGTCTACACGGCGACAGCCCGAACGAGACTCAAGAGGCCATTGTTGAGTCTCGGGGTTCTAAGATCAACAGAGTCTGCGACGCTTTCTTAGACGTGTTGCAAAACCGAACATCTACCCACTTACAAAACATCATCACGGCACACGTGTGCAAGTCGCCTCCTGATCTTGATGCCGGCTTGTCTCTGATCGCGAAGTTGCAAGAAGAGCAACCCGACTTGGTCGAACGCGCAGTCGAACACATCTGTTTCCTCGCCGATGTCAACCAGCTCTACGATCATGCTCTTGGTCTGTACGATCTTGACGTTGCATTGCTCATCGCTCAGCAGTCACAGAAAGATCCAAGAGAGTATCTTCCTTACGTTCAGGGCCTCGGTAAGATGCAGCCACTTCGTAGACAGTTCACAATCGACCACGACTTGAAGAAGCACAACAAGGCTCTTGGTCATCTGTTCACCATGGATGAATTCGATGAGCTCAAGGCCTATATGGCTAAGCACGAGCTCTACAGTGATGCTATGCATCTCTACAGATACCAGGCTCCGCGATTGAACGAGATCATGAGACTGAATGCCGACTACCTGAACAGTCGCAACCGCTACAAGGAGGCAGGTATCGCCTACGAATACCTCAGTGAGTACACCTTGGCGTTCGAGGCCTACCGATCTGCAAATGAGTGGCGCGAATGTCTTTCCTCGGCCACTCTTGTACCTCTGCCTGAAGACGAGCTTATGGCTGTGGGTGAAGCTTTTGCCGAAGCACTCACAGAGTCAAAGGAGCATTACGACGCAGCAACTGTTCACCTTGACTATCTCAATGACATCGAGGGTGCCATCAAATCCTTGTGCAAGGGATACTACTACGCGGAAGCTATTCGAGTTGTTGGCCTGAAACGACGAGCAGAGCTCATTGCAGAGGTTGTTGATCCAGGTTTAGTAGAAGGGTCTGCAACCATGACAGAGCTTCTCGCAGAGATGAAGGGCCAACTCAATGCTCAGGTACCGCGACTGAGAGAGCTAAGGCAAAAGAAGAAAGAAGACCCGCTCGCCTTCTTTGGAGGCGTTCCTGCAGATGGGCCAGATATTCCTGACAACATCTCGCTCGCACCGACCGAAGCTACGACTTCGGCTGGTACCTTCATGACCCGCTACACAAACCGCAGTACTGGCACTCTGGCCTCCAACGCAACCCGCAAGACATCAAAGAACCGCCGACGTGAAGAGCGTAAGCGAGCTAGAGGCAAGAAGGGTAGCGTGTACGAGGAAGAGTATATTGTCAACTCGATTGGACGTCTCATTGAACGCTCAAACAGCGTTAGTGAGGAAGTTACCCGTCTTGTCGAAGGACTAATGAGGAGAGCGATGAGAGAGCGTGCTGTCGCTGTGGAAAATGCCATGGCTGAAGTTGTCGAGTTATGCAAGGCTTGCATTCCTGAAGTGTTCCAGGTCAAGCCGACGCAACCTGTCAATGTCGAGTCCGGCGAGATCAATGGGGATGATGAGGCTGGGAGGCCCACAGTTGGTGGCCAAGCTGTGTTCTTCGATGCCATGGAGGCGAATCAGACCAAGCGAGATCCACCAGTAGTCAAGGCTTTCTCTAGACTTTCGTTACTTGGTTAGATAGAGTTTATAGTCCGCGAGCCACGCAAATCATGATGATTTTCAACGATGTCCAAAAGATATTGCTAGGACAGATGAGTTTCTCAACCATGTGGACTTAAGTGACCCTGTCCATCGGGAAGCTACGGCCGACAGCCGACGTGGAGGCTTCGATCATGCACACCTTCTGCCTCTGTCTTCTAGAACATCCATCTGCATATCACATCTGCAACCATCACAATATCATCACAACATTGCCCAAACAGCAAAGTAAAACTCGAATAATACAGCAGCCTGCGATACGGACACTAGTGGTCAGCAAAGCTCTCAACATCCACGCGCACTTTGCGCGTCCATCGCGGAAGTCCCCACCACATTTGTCGTCTCGCGGACAAAATAAGCCACCAGCATGAGTGTCATTCTATGTACAGGTATTGTTTGCTTATAATTTGATTGCAATGTGCATACAGCTGACCACTTATAGCTGGCTATGACCATACCATCAGGTAAGTGGGTGCATACGCCTCGCAAGATCTTGCATCTCTTTGTCACATGGCGCATCGGCAGCCTCCTGTCAAGCTCAAAAGGAGCGTGATCTGTCTTGAATTGCGCCACAAATGTGCCAGGACTGACACAAATTCGTCACCAGATTTTGGGAGGCACTCTCAGGCATATGCAGCCGGACAATTCCTCATCCAGATTCACAGGTCAACCGCTTGTGCATTTCCCCAGACAAACGCTTTCTTGCTGCTGCCGGACATCATACTGTGAAGCTCTACGACATCAAGTCGACGAATCCTGCTGCCGTCTTGACTTTTGAGGGACACACCAACAATATTACTGGACTTGCTTTTCACTGCGAGGGTAAATGGATGGTGACAAGTTCTGAGGATGGCACAGTCAAGATTTGGGACACACGAACCGGCCACGTTCAGCGAAACTACAGCCACGGTGTTCCTGTCAACGATGTAGTGATTCATCCGAACCAGGGCGAGCTCATCAGTTGCGACAGGGGTGGTAACGTACGAATCTGGGATCTTGCGGAGAACAAATGCTCACACCAATTGATTCCGGAAGAGGACAAGTCTGTCGCTTCGGTGACTGTCGCATCTGATGGCTCTCTTCTCTGCGCCGCTGTCAGCAACAGCCAAATCGGCTCTGTCTATGTTTGGCGTATCATCACAGCCAAGGATGTGACGACGCTTGTGCCAGTCACAAAATTCAACGCTCACAACACATACATCACACGTGTTCTGCTATCTCCGGACGTTCGCCATCTGGCCACTTGCTCTGCGGACCATACAGCACGTATCTGGTCAGTCGACCTATCAAATCACAACGCCATCGCCGCTGGACCAGGAGACAAGGACAATAGTGCATTTGAGCTCGAGCAAGAACTCGACGGCCATCAACGTTGGGTTTGGGATTGCGCTTTCAGTGCAGACAGTGCCTACTTGGTGACAGCTTGTAGTGATCACTATGCACGATTGTGGGAGTTGAGCTCTAAGCAAGTCATCAGGCAATATAATGGACATCATCGTGGAGCGGTCTGTGTGGCACTGAATGATTACTCGGAGACCAGATAGGATCTGGACTTTAGAGTTAGGCAGGAACAGAGGTTGAACGCGGAGCAGAGAGCACGAAGAGTCCATTGAGCAACAAAAGACTTGATGATGGTGAGGCGTCTGATGCAGGTGATGTATCATGCACCTCTCATTGGGATTTTCTTCTAGCCACATAAAAACGATTGGCGTTGGCATGGAGTTCGGGACGTGTCGTTCGGGTGATTATGAATCTGGTCTTGCTTTCTCGCACGTCGCTTATCTGATGCATGCACTTGCCTTCTATCACTTCTACCTGCACTGCATCCAGCTTAAACATCCTCAATAATCCAAGAGGCGTTTCCAAAGTACAACGAGCCATAGTTAGAAAGCCTAGACCTTTATCGAACAATAGAGCAAACAAAGGAACGTTTGTCTTTGTATCCGATATCTTTTACGGCCAGCCCCCACTTCCGAACTCGGGTGCGACCAAAGCCTTATCTTTCCGCACTTCCCGAAGATTGCCGAAAGTCAACGATAAGAGAATCCGAAATGGATGAAAGCGTTATCGCCGAGAAGAGGAACAACCTTGATAAACGCCAAACCCCGGGGGAGTATTTGCAATTGCAGAAGAGCAGTCCAAGAACAATTAGAGAAGGTATAGCCAGATCATGTGTAGGATTGGAAACAATCAAAGACCAATTGTTATCTTAAGAAGTTCCTGAGTCATGAATAAAGGAAGAAGGACGGAAGGTCTGGAACCTTGTCCGAGGACGAAAATGTTCAAGGGTCCAAAAGAAGGGTCTTTGTGGCTTCTCTCCTTTGTTTCAGAAGCGGTAACCAGGCACATGCTCCATACAATCCGTCAGTAGGCTTTCGGCAGACCGGAAACAATGGACCGATGGCTCAGAGATAACCTTGATGGAGTGAGTCAGACTGCTGAGTAGAAGGACAGAGGGTATGTGAGTACCTAGGTAGTGACTGAAGAGTCTAATCTCCCTCCGTTGGTATATCTCGGGGTTGTGTCTTCCTTTCTTCTGTTTCTTTCTTACCCTATGTTGTGTACTTGATGATCTCTTTGTGCATATAGAGTCCTTTGTTCCTTCCTATCTGCTAGTAGTGGTCAGAGTAAGTAAACCATCTCTCTATCCGCGATGCCATCTCTGACTTTTGATTAGTTCTCTACCATACCCACTATTTATTCCGTCTCAAACCACCACTCTCTAAACACCACAACCCACACTCTTTACATCTCAAATCCACACTAAAATAACAAAGATGTGCACATACACGTATTCATGGTATCGATGCAACCACTCATATTTAATCTGGCCGAGTACGGTTGAGATCTGCACAAACCGCTTCTTGTCTGGTTACTCGTGTGATATCTGGTCGATAGGTAAGATACACTGACTATTAGACATATAACAGGTCACTGACATTGATTGCTCAGACATGTGCAAACATCACATCGCCATCTGTAAAGGCTTTTGTAACTACTACTGCCCCGACTGCTCTGAAGACTATACCCTCGAATGGCAACTAGAAGAATAGAAGGAGGCTGGGAATTTGCATTCTTGTTGGCGTTGCTGAGGATTTGGACTGAGCAACTTTCGGGAGATACCAGGGCAAGCATTTGGGAAAGGAGTTGGTGAATCGCAATCTCTGGCGTGATTTGCATACTATTGATTTATTCTAGACGTCTCTACACAGACGTAACTATTCTGTCACTCTGTCTTGTGCACCAGAGTCGATGGCATCGTGCTCGACACTCTCTCTTATCCTCATTGCTCTTCTGCGTGCATCAATGTACATCATAAACTCGGTATACGACTTCGGCAAGACCTTGATGTCGCGTTCGACCGTGAAGGTGTAATTGAACTGACCCGTAGGTTTGGCAGTACCATGCTCGACGTCGCGAACCTTTGTGTCGACTCTGACTTGGATTCTCGTGTATTTCTGGTTCTTCTCTCCTGAGGTTGGTTCATCGGCTTGGCCTGAGACGACTGGAGGATCCGTGTAAACGACAGTAGCTGTCTGATAAAGAACACTGCCGACAGGGACGGGGTTTTGGAAGGTTGAAGGATCGAGCGAAACGAAGGTAGGACGGCAGTGGGCGAAACTGGCGGCGGCGCAGAAGGCGAGCTCGAAAGTTTGTTTGAGGAGGAAACCACCAAAGATCATGAAGTGGTGTCTGTTTCGGTATTGTGGTTGCATGATGGCGGCAGTGGATAGACGAGTCTGCTCCATCTCGAAGACGTTGTCGGGCTTGCGCACAGGATCGGAGGGGTCATGGTATTGCAGTTGCTTCTGCCACATGGCGTGAATGAGGTCTGACTCTTCGTCGTTTGGAGTCTGCTTGGTCAGGGAGCGCTTCTTGAGGTCTTTGCGATGGGCGCTGTTCTTTTCGCCTTGAGCGAAAATGGCCTTCTCTTCTTCGGTCTCGGGGGCGATGGCGGGAATGTTGACAGGCTTTTTGGTGCCGGGGTCAAGCGAGACCATGGTGAATTGACATGTCAACAAGACATCCTCTGGTTTGACGCTTTCGCCCTCTTTTGGTGCTTTGGCAACTTGTAGTGAGATTTCCATGCTTGAGCGACCAGTTGCATAGGTAACGCGTCCACTGTACTCGAGGTCGGAGATCTCTGTCAGGGGGTGTTTGATGTCGATACGATCGCATGCGGCTGTGACTGTCGTGACTCCATCGCCGGTGTGCTTGTATGCAATGACACCACCTGTTGGTGTGTCAGTCGAAGCTCGGGGCACTTGGATGCATGAAAGGGGGCATACTCAATGCATCAAGATCCATGAACAATGTACCCAGGCGGATGTGGCCGCTGGAGTTGGCGTAGGTATCTAGTAGCCATGGTTCGCGGGCTAGAGGTAGGACAACGCTGTGGTAGCTGTCATTCATGCGTTTCGGAGTGAGGTCGCGATCATTGGGCGTCTCTGGCTTGCCAGAAGGTTTTGACGGGTCATGGCCTCCGCGCTCCTTTGCTCGCAGGGCCTCAATCCAAGGAGTTTGAATTCTGTTTTCGGTCAAGGCGCGAAAGACACCATCGGTCTGTGGGCGCAGGGTTGTTGAGAAGGGTCGTCTAGTCTGCTGTTGCAGGCGACGAAGCCAGCAAGCACTCAGTCGTTTGGCCATTGTGATGAATCAAATAGAGAAAGTACAATGCAGCTCCTCAACAGCGTCATGTTGATTATATGTACAAGGTAGGAGCGGAACTCCGCCGAGGGTAGCTTCGTAGCTTCCTAGAACTCGCTCCGATATTCCCCGCTGACATCACAACTCTCTACCAATTTAGTCCGACTTTAACCACCGGCAACCTCCTTCTGCCGGCCACCTCCTTCTGGTGCCGTCTACGTTTTGAATTATCTCTTCAGGAGACGAAAAATGACTCACGATGTCCACTCATCTCGATCTGGGTTCCCTACGGTTGTCTTGTCCCTCGACTGGCCTCGACCTCGCCCTGACTAGCAAGACCTCAATCTCAACCTTGTCCCAGTCTTGCTCCAACAACACTCCGTCAATCACCGACATTGAGTCTGGACGTATATGGCTCTCACCCGCGACCAATGTACAAAGTCATGTCCACGTCACTTGGCCATCCAACATGTCTGCCCAACAATTTATCCTTTTGAACCAATATCTTGTCACTGCGATCCGACATGCAGCAGTCAGTCTTTATACTTCTCACTCCAACAGTATACAAATGATAAACCTACCGGCCCTGGTTACTGACATGCTGCTAGCTATGGACCCAATTGAACCTTCAGCCGTCACTTACTATCAAGCCTGCACAGTCTCCAAACACTTGTCTTCTAGTTGTATCCTTGATTGCTGTACCGTCGTCTGTCACCAACAAGAAAACATCGACTCATCGTCTGGGCAAAGACGTGCCATTTAGTCATCTGAAGCCTCCAGAGGGCTTGCCTCATTGGACTTTCGATGAGATACACTTAGCACTTCACATCACTTCCCCTCTGCCAAGTTCTACACCAAACGACGATTCCATGCTCTTTGAGGATTCAACATTACTCGAACATCAAGCAGACTCTAGCTCACCTTCAACATCCGAGCTCGTTGGTGTAGATCATTTCATTGATCTGATCGATGCAGCACTTCGGCTTGCATTGACAGATCTCTCCACAAAGGCTCTCACAGGTAAAAAGATCACAGAGAAATCATCCTTCAAGCATCTCGATGATATTTGTCCTGCCATGTGGAGCCCCGGTCATCTCGAGGTACTCTCTTTACGATCACCACTGCTCGTGTTGACACTGACCATGCAATCTATAGGCTCTTGCTTCGAGGGCAGTTTTTCTACCCACCATCAGCCACGCAATGTCCAATTCAATCTCACAACGAGCGCTTTCGATTGCACTCAAAGAGAAGCTCAGAGAGATTGCCCAACAAGAATGTATCACTTCATCTATCAGTCAACACAACGAGCCACAAGCTATACAGAAAGCGGTCAATATCAGACTCTGGCGTCTCATCCAACGCCGTCTTCGTGATCCCTCTGCTGGGAAAAGACTCAAGTCCCTACAAATCGCTGATACAGCGTTGTCAATGCGCGAGTCGGTTGGAGACGGTGATGTTCTATTGAACTTCGAACAGGAAGACGAACTTCATCCTCACTGTCAGTCTGGGAATCTCTCAGAGCTGGATCTCGAAGAAAATGAAGAAGACTTGCTCGATGTCGAGTATGAGAGCGAATGGGAAGATCTCTTCACAGACGTGAAGCGAGATAACTCTCCGATTGATGATGATATGCTTGATATGCTCGAGTCCACGCACGATGGGCAGCGCGATGAGTATGATCAGATCACCGCTGCCTGTCTCGAGGATGAAGGGTATTCAGATTTCGAAGACATGCTTGAGCTATAGAGGTCAAAATGATGTACTTACAACATGAATAATCACGTCGTATTTTAATTCTCAGCAAAGCGCTTAGCTTTGCTAGTAACCACGTCGTGTTCTCATTCGCAGCAAAGGCTCATATGTATATAGTGTTAGGATACCATAAGCATGATAACAGCCACATGAACCAGCCAGTCGCATCAAAAGGGCCTCGAGCCCGAATCGCATCTACCTTGCATTCGGTCCAATCTTGTAAATATGTTTCGCTCTTCCGATCCTGCCTGACTTGTTCTATCCACACCAATCGTTAGCACTCAATTCTCGAAAGCCACATTTGCCATGTGCAAAAATAACTTACCGGAGCATAATCACGGAACGCCAGTTGCTGCTCGTAAATCTGCGGCACAACCTGCTGAGGGAGCCCCAACAACTCCTCGACTGTATTGTAGTATCCCTCTTGCTCGTTCAATCTCTTCTCCTCTGCAATCTCCTCCTCCGTGTATCCTTTGTAGTAGTCGACATGGTCAATTCTCTGCTTGCCAAGCTTCATCTCGTTCAACTTGGTCAAAGCATCGTTACCAGCAACACGAGACAGAGCGACTTTACCGAATATCTGCTTGCGTGTTGGTCTAGCGCGGATCTCTTCCATCTTTGCTTCGTGGTCGAAGGTCAAAGGATCGGGGTTCAGGTTTGGTGGGGTTTGAAGGTGTTCCCAAAAGTTATCCTTCTGTTTTAGAGCTTCCTCATTCCATTTCTTTTCTGTGGGATACATGTAACAGTCGAGTAGTCTAAGTCTCCACCTTTCCACTCTCGCCTGGGTCCAGGGACGTTTGTCGGTCTTGTCGGTCTTCGACTTTGACTTTGATGATTCGGTTGTTTCTCCTTGGGTTGTAGTTGGTTGTACTGATGGCAACGGAGGCTGCGGAATATGTGCTGCTTGCAGCTCTGATAGATTTTCACTCTGCGTGGAAGATTCTGCGGTTTCATGTACAACTTTAGGAGCGATTATTATCGGTGCTTGTGGTTCGAGACTGATCTGTGTGATCGTCCCAAGTGCGAAAGACGAAGTTGCTGGTGAGTCGGTCTGTACAGCTGAATTCGTGTAGGCCTTCAGCAGAGACTTCTTGACGAGTTGCTCTTCTGCAGCATGCGAAGACTCTTGCTGGATATGTTCTTCATGTTGCTGCGATGGTGGCTTGTCGTGTGGTTGTTCTTGATTCAAAAGCTCCTCGAGATCTGGTGTTGGTCTCGTCTCGCCGTCGTTCGTCATCGGATCTGGAGCCTGAGCAGGCTGTTCAATGACAGAATTGGTGGAGTTGGGCTCGAGAGACTCTTTCGGGGTATCAATGTCCATCGGTATAACCTGATCGTTTGTCGTCGGGGCTGACTCCTTCAAAACATGATCCTCGAAGGTTGGCTGCTGAATATCCCCTGTAGATACTGGTGCTGGTTGTCTCGTCTCGACGCTCTGAATCGGACTGCGAGTATCGGACATATTTGCCTCGACAGGTTTCTCCTTGATACGAAAGTCGTCCTCAGTACCTTGTCTGATTGGTGCAACGGTCGACTCTAGGGGCTGGGGAGACACTATAGTTGATGATCTTTGCAGTTCAGGAGGAGATTTCAGGGTGATAGTTTCTGCATCAGTCGATGTGGTTGCCTTGGCGGGTGATCCGAGAAGGTTGCTGACATGTCTTCTCGCGGCCTCCCATTTTTCTGTACCAGGAAGACTTTCGATCGTTTCCTTGGAGGCATTCTCAACAATACGGTCTGTGAAAGGTGTGAGAGACTTTCGTAGAGAAGTAACGCTTGCCGTTTTACTCCAAGTCGGCTCCCCAGAACCAGCGAAGGTCGACCGTTCTTTGTTCTCTACGACCTCTTCAGGAGTGTCGCGCAAGAGACTGATAATGCTCCCTGCAACGCTTGGCTTTTGAGTATTTCGCAAATGTTCTAGTGGAGGTAGTGGCTCATCTTCTTCCATGGTGAGATCAACAATATCAATGGATTCCTCGATCGTAGAAGGCAATGCTGAGTCGTTTTCGCTCCCAGCCCTAATGAGATGGTTTATGCTGCGTTGGCTTAGTGGTTTCCATGAAGGTTTGGAGTCGTTAATTTCGAGATCATGGTCTGTTCCAAGGGGCGCAACAACATCACCCCCTTGCTTGCTCTGAGCGTCATTCGCGTACAGTGGTTTTGGAAGCGGGTCAGTTTTCGATGCGGCGGACAACAAACCATTTTGTAGACTGTATTTTGTGCTTGCGCCATCACGAAACATCCATGGTCCTTCCAAATTACCATCTCGACGCACGAAATCCTCGACCACTGTCAAAGTAACCCAAACCCCATCTCTCCAAGTTACGTCCTCGAGACTGTAACCAGGAACATTGTCGATGATCCATGTGTATATTTGCTCGGTGTTCAAGCAGTTGTCTCGAGCTGAATGCAGCGCCATGCCAATGAGCTGACTATATTTTCGCGTACTCGATATGTTCTTGCTCTGCGTTCCTAATTCTGTTTCAGGCTGAGTAACAAAGCTCGGTGACCATGGTCGCTTTCTTCCTGGTTTCGGGGTCGGTCTTGCAGATTGGTTGGTCCGCTGTTCTTCCAGGTCCAAAAGCGAAGATGAAAATCGAGGACGCTGGGTAAATCGAGATTGAGTGGGTGTTTTGGAGTTTGTCTGCTCAACATCTTCTGTCAAGAAAGGCGCAAACCGTGGACGCTGTGTGAAAGGCATCGGCCTGAGGGTGGGACCATCTTGAGTGGCACCGGGGCTGTCCTGCGGTGATTCGGGAATCTCTTTACGACCCGCATTCAAGCGAGAGGCTGTTTCACCACTAGGAGGAGCAGTGGCTGCAGGGCTGTCAATTTTACGCCTTTTCGTGGGCGGCTGCATGCTCCTGTTGGAGTCTGGGTCACAGAGATAGCACTTCCAATGGAGTGGACAGGGTCGGGGAACAGTGCCTCTGTGACAACCTCTGTGATACTTCCGCTTGCACTTGCAGCAAGTGACGAGAGACCAGGACTCGTAATTAGAGACTTTTGTACAGATGAAGCATGCGTCCTTCTGGCTGCGTGAGCTCGTCGACGATCGTTCAGAGGGAGTTTGTCCGCGGTTTGGAGAAGCTTTGTTCTTCCCGACATCTGAGAATTTGGAAGGAGGGGGTTGCATCTCGGCAGACCCGACGGATGGTGGAGCTTGTTGCATAGCTTTTTGAGGGGTGGCCTGGTTCACCCGCTGACGGAATCAGTAAAGTGAAGGGAAACTGGAGAGTGAGAAAAGTGAAAGAGATCAAAGATTTTGTGTCAGGATTTTCAATTTTTGAGAAACATCATGTCGCTCTTGTGAGGTATCAAGCTGCACTGATGGCCCGTGTTCTCTCGAGGATGCAAAACAAAGCAAGTTCCTAGGCCAAGCTGCTTGAAGTAGATCATAGGTTGTATGCCAGCGCCGTTAGTTGTAGGCTAGTGAGACAGCGTAACAACTCCAAAGCCAGCAAGGTGTTGATGTACTCGTCAGTGTCAACTCCAGGCTAGAAAGCAAGTGTTGTATTGGTTGAGTCTTCGAAGAGCATGAAAGACATCAAGGTACAAGCGTGTTTGATCACAGCGAAGGAAATACGACTCCGAACCAGATTGAGCATGATACTAGGCGATATGCCCTTTTACCATAATGATCATCATTCTTTGTGTTAAGGAAGGGAATGATTGAGAAATGAGATGGACATACTTCCTGTGACGAATTGGTCTTGTTGTGCTCCGGCTCGATACCCATGCGGGTAGCATACGAGATCCAACCCCTCATGACATTACGCATGGATGAAAAACATGCGACAGGGTCGGCGGTGGGATGGATGAAGCTGGTGTTTGAATGGCACAATGATGTGGCGTCAGCAGGGAAGGTGCGCCGAGCTTATCGATAAGCAACAAACGCACCCGCAGGGAAGCGACAACGGTGGCAGCAACGGCAGGCAATAACTTCAACACTCGCTCGACTCTTCAGGCACGGCCAAGCAGACATGGACTTCCTCAAGTCTGCCGTCGCATCAGCCATCTCCAAGGGCCCTGCCTTCCCTTACTCATTTGGCGAAAGAGTCGACATTGATCAGTCCATCTGGACTCTCCACAATGGCACCAAGAGGGTAACAGCACATCATCTCGACCTTGCCAGTTCCACTTCCTGACAACAGACCAGGAAGACGGCTCTCGATACAGCATCTTCTCCTTCGACGTCACCGCAAACAAATCTCGTCTCCCTCTCGCAAAGAACGCATTACGCAAGTTCCGCACACTTCGGCACCCTGGTGTAGTCAAGGTCTTGGACACTGTTGAGGTAGTCGCAACGCCCACTCTTCCGGTAGACCTGCGCTTACCGGACACCAAGGCAGACAGATACCTACATCTATATTGCAACTGAACGTATAACTCCTCTCGGCTGGAAGACAAAGAGGAATGCCATCTCCGAGGAGAGCATCAAATGGGGTCTACACAATGTTGCTGTGAGCAATCACTCGTACTGCAAGTCTGCTTCGTCACCTGACACCACCTTGTAGAAAACACTTGCCTTCATCAACGAGGAAGCCACCTCGGTACATGGATGCGTCCGCGCCTCCTCCGTATTTACCACCGACAGCGGAGAATGGAAGCTCGGCGGCCTGGATGTCTTGAGTTCTATGAAGGAGGATGAGGCCGTCATCTACGTCCGTATTCGACTTCTTGATGCATGATATCATTTACTGATTATGATACTCAGACATATGGAAGCCTGACCCCTGACTCGAGACGCTATGCCCCACCTGAGGTTGCTAAAGGTGGCTGGGACAGCATCAAACGAAACCCTGTTTCTGCTGTTGATTCCTATGATTTCGCTATCCTTGTCATTGAGGTGTTCAATGGAGGTTTCTCGAGCGGTGACCAAGTTGGTCAGACAAAGGGTATTCCTGTCAACATGCACGGCTCATACAAACGTCTGGCCCATGCAAATCCAAAGACCAGACTCAGCATCGCTCATTTCTTGGAGCAAGGGAGGAAGTCTGGCTCGTTCTTTGATACGCCGCTTATCCAGCTGACCGATGGCATTGACAACCTGGGGTTGAAAAGCGAAACTGAGCGCGAAGAGTTCCTCCGGTAAGTTCATTGCGACCAGCTGAACATCAGTGCTGACATCAGAACAGCGAGCTCGAGGCTGTCGCTGAAGCGGACGACTTTCCAGAAGACTTCTTCAGAGTCAAGGTGCTGCCTGAGCTGCTCAAGTCCCTCGAATTTGGTGGTGGAGGCCCCAAGGTCCTGTCACTTGTCATGCGTATCGGCAAGAAACTTTCGGATGAAGAATACGAGGCCACTATCACGCCTGTGGTCGTCAGACTCTTTAGCAGTCCTGATCGTGCGTTGCGCGTTTGCCTTCTTGACAACCTACCACACATGATCGATCACCTTCCTCAGAAGATTGTCAACAATGGCATTTACCCTCAGATGGTACAGACTCTGATCTTTTGCTGTTGAACTTTCTACTGATCAACTTGCAGGTCACCGGATTTACTGATCTCGCTCCGCTTGTCAGAGAACAGACTGTAAAGGCAGTCTTGGTCGTGGTTCCCAAGCTCTCCGATCGCATCATCAACGGAGAACTTCTGAGGTATCTAGCCAAGACTGCAAACGATGAACAGCCAGGCATACGAACCAACACGACTATCTGTCTTGGAAAGATCGCAAAGAACCTTGGCGCCAGTGTACGTGTGCTTCTTGCCGTCCCGCTTCGAACCATCTGACCATCTTACAGTCAAGAACCAAAGTGCTTGTTGCTGCATTTTCGAGATCTCTCAGAGATCCTTTTGTCCATGCACGCAACGCAGCACTCTTGGCCTTAGCAGCAACAGCTGACTTGTTCTCGGAAGACGACTGTGCGACCAAGTTACTACCAGCAATTTGCCCATCGCTGGTAGACAAGGAGAAGTAATTGACAACGCATTCAAATCGCTGCTTATCAGATGCTGACTCAGAACAGAATCATTCGAGACCAAGCCAACAAGACTCTGGATCTCTATCTCCAGCGCATTCGCAAGTATGGTCAAACTCTACCTGATAGTGTGTTGCCACCGCCAGAAGCTGCTGGCTCGAACGCGCCACGCATGAGTACCCCCCAACCAGGGGCTGCAGGAGCAGGAGCAAGCTGGGCTGGTTGGGCTATATCGTCCTTCACCAACAAGCTTGCAACGGCCAGCGGAGAAATCCAACCCAACAGCAGTGCTGCAACAACAGCCAGCTCCGATCGACCATCCTCCACGCCACCGACAAACCCGAGCTCGTCAGCTACTCAGTCTCTTTCTGTTGGGCACAATCGCCCCACACCAACATTCTCTCCATCCGCTCCGACAGTGCCTAGAGTTTCTTCAGGTCTACGTAATGCGACCCCTACCATGTCTGATGTCGACCAAGAAGACTTTGGCGATGACTGGGGCACGATGGATGATGACGATGGTGCCGCCGACGCATGGGGTGCGGTAGATGACAGCGCAGCGCCCGTGGCGACTACTAAAGCCCCCATTGCATCCTTTGACGACGGCGGTGAACCTGACTTTGAAGGCTGGCTGAATGCGCAGGCGCAGGCCAAGACGAAAGCGAAAACCCCTCTACCTAAAGGTCTTACAAAGAGCAAGCCAGTATCTGCAGCACCAAAGCCGAGTGTGGCTCGAAGTGCATCTGCATCAGTCGCAACCAGGACCAAACCAGTAGTAAAGCCAGCACCTAGCAAACCGGTTAAACCTGCGGCTGCTAAGGATGAGGAAGAAGAAGACGACTGGGGCTCAGCATGGTGATGGGCATTTTGCGAAAAATTACGGAATGCCAGCTCTTGGATTCTTTTATAGAGTTACATAATTTACATTGCGCCTCGCCTTCCCAAAACTCGTGCTGATGGAAATGGTATCTTACAAAGTCATTTAAGCAGCTGCCTTGACAGGCTCAGCGGCCGCATCTGCAGCTGGAGCAACGGGGACCTCAGGCCACGGCTTCTTCAAAGCATCTTGGATCTTGACAAGGGCACCCTTGGGACCGGCAACGCATCCTATAGACATGTCAGCGAATGAAGAGATTCAAAAGTAAAGTCAACGCTCACCATTGACAACAACGATTCCATTAGCAGCGTCAACCTTAAGAACGCGTAGGTTCTGAACGGTGACTTGCTGACCACCCATGTTTCCAGGCATCTTCTTGCCGGGCAAGACTCTGCTACCACTGCCCTGCGAGGCACCCGAACTACCCATGACTCTGTGAGTCAAGGATTGACCGTGACTGGCGGGTTGACCGTGGAAACCCCATCTCTTCATACCACCAGCGAAACCCATACCCCTGCAATTCGCCCTTGCGTCGACAAACTGACCCTCCTGGAACCAATCTGCACCAATGACTGAGCCAACCTCAGGCAAGCCTGACTCGTCCTTGACACGGAACTCGTGGAGGTGGCGGCTGAGACCGACCTTGTTGGCGGCAAAATGCCCTCTTTCAGGCCGTGTTACGTTCCTGGGCTCCTTGATACCGGCGCCGACCTGGACGGCCCAGTAGCCGTGCTTTTGGCGGGTCTTGTGGGAAACGACTTGCACGCGATCAAGTTGGAGGACTGTGCAGGGGGTGCGCTTTGCGGTCTCGGGGTCGTAGAGGGCGGTCATGCCCTTCTTGATGGCGAGGGCTCCAGTTCGTGGCGGTAGGGTGTAGGACTTGCGCTCGAGGGCGGCGGTCTTTGAAGAGCCCAGTACGGGCAGGTCGAATCCGGCATTGAAGCGACTGGGCTTGATTTTCGGGTTGAGCGTCTTGATGGAGCGAGTGAATGTGCGTGGTAGCAACGAGGGCTGTGATAGCGCCAGCGGCGTGGCGAATGTGATGGGCGGCATTGTCTATGTCGCTGTTTATGGGTCCTCTGGATATTCTGATGCTGGTCGCTGCTTCTTTCCTGCAAGCGGGCTTGCCTTTTCGGATGGCCGACTCGACCCAAGGGATCTCCCGAGCGTCAGAAGTCTTTGCTTCCGCTGCCAGGGTGGCCCCCTTATCATGCATCAGCAAACATATAATCAGCATTCTACAGTATTCAAAATGTCCAATAGCTCTATAGATCTGGAACTATACGCAGAAATAATGGTTTGGTCAGCTGCGATCCTGAAAGGGATCTGCAATGCCATTGTTACGCGGAATGGTCGCATATTTTCGGATCTTGATGCGACGCTGTATTTGGCATAAAAGTGCGTACCTCTATGTGTTAGGCGCCGTGCCTTCTGAGCCGATCAAATACACGCGCGCGCCTGTTCCCAAGTACACAGCCAGGATAATTGAGAAATCGAGCGGCTGTATTCAATCGATCCATTCCGTTGATTGCATGTCGTCGCACTTTCTTGTCACAATTTGGATGCATTTTGCAGGGTGTTCCTCTCTCCAGGTCTATCACGAGGCCAGCGTCGCATTTTTTCCAAGCGTGTGATCGCCTCTTGTTGATGAAACCCATTCGGTCGGGTCGACCAAGAACAATTATCCATGCCTTTGCTACCACAAGCGATTAAGCCGCAACCTAACCCCCCTCTTCTGCCAACTTTTTCGCGAGTAGATCACAATATCCGACTCTCGGACGTTAGGTCATCTGGTGGCCGTGACACCATGTCAACGGTGTGTGCTAGGAAAAGTTTTTAGTCAAGAGGAAGTCAAGAAGTGTGCTCGGTAGACATGACCTCTCCAGCCCTTTGATATGTTTCCAGAAGAAAAGCTCCCCGTGCCATTGTGAAAAGTCTGGTACACTCGCAACGGTCCGCCCTAGGGCCCGCATGACGAACCATTGCGCGGGAGTTGGAGATTGGCCTGAGATATCAAATCCAAAATAGAACTACACTTCATGAGTGACATGTCCGAAAGTCACCTCACAGTACAGCCTCGCGCCAATGTCGCGGTCGTCGCTTCCTGTCGCAAGGAAGCCGGACGCGCATACGACATCGGCTTCGCACATATCTGGACGAAGCGCTCAGGATAGGACCGAACGAATATGGTTTCTGCGGTCGCTTCAGTACAAACCGTACTGCTCACAGCAGCCGCCCAGCGCTCTGATGGATGTAACGCGTGGGGTCTCAAGCGGGTCTAAGTGCGTCAATAGTGCGCGCTTGTCGAGCTCGGGACTCTCGCATGCATGACAACCACCTAGGACGCTGCCTCGAGCATAACAAAGCGTAATCTACCATGCAGCATGAGCCGAAAGCCACCTGTATCGGGAGGGTTCAAGCGTTGCCAATAGTCCAACACACAGAGAATGTATGCTTGACTGCCGACAACAATAGGCGTGGAAAGCGCACGAGGTTGAGTGGATGAACGAAAGTGGGCGCTCGAGGCGGCCTATCAAAACGCTAAACGATCCCTGCGCGGAATTTTTGGCAGGCGCGGCAAGCCCGCAGCTCCACGAAAAGAGGCGGTAACTCGTTCGTCTGGTTCCTGTTCATGTTCGAACTGGCCAATGCTGTCGCGGTTGGCATTTGGTTGCATGCTCGTTGCATTGTGCTATGCTGCTGCTTTTCCTGTCTTCGCCCGCGTGCCTGTCTGTCTGTTTCGTCCTGTCTGCCTGCCTGTCTCGAGTGCATGCGCCGAGTCACTTGCTCCTTAGCCGCAAGCCGCCGTGTCTGACAGACGCTGCATACGCTTGCCAACCCGATACCCTCGCTTCTCTTGTTTTTGTTTCCATTCTTGCGCGCGAGAGGCCTCTCTGACCCCTTCCACTACCAGACTTGTGTACAAACCCTCCTGAGGCCTTTCTCACCCGAGAGAGTGGTTAGTCGTATGGACTAACGGGTCCGTTGGAGAAGCGAACGCGACTTGTCTTGTGCTCGTTTCACTAGCCCGAAGTCCTTTTGGACTCGGCCAGATATCCCGTCTGCGCAAGAACTTTGCAAGACAACAGACTGGTCCTGGACGTGTATGGCTACCGTCAATCCATCTTCCGAGGCCAACGACTCTCGGATGAGCAGAGAGGTCGAAGAGGGCTTGACAGCAGGCAGATTCACAACAGTCAACGGCAACAAGGTTGCCGCAAGCCCTCCGCAAACCACTTCGTTCCGACCCGACCCATCGGCCCTTTCCAATCCCTATCGACAACAACAACAACAAACTCTACCTCGACAGCCACCTCTGCCAGAAGGGAAGTCTAAACCGCTGTTTGTGGACTCGGACGAGACCAGAGGCACTTATCACGATGAGCCTGCTTTTCGCTCCCCTGAGAATCACCCCAACCGTATAGGCAAGCGCAAGAGGTCTACTGAAGCCTTTGAGGTCTCACCTGAATTCACTTCTCCACCCACCCGACGCGAAGAAACCTTGAACCTTCCGGCTGAACCAAGGTCGCCTGCACGGAGTCTGCCACCACTTTTGCAGTTCCGCGAGGGTGAACAACAACATGAACCGTAAGGCTCTTGGTACGGCGATCCGAACATCAGCTGATATGGCAAAGCAGAGACCAAGTGTCGCATTGGCGTCAACCGCGACCTAGTCCGGGCCAACTGGACTCGAATATCGAGGACACTATGCGACGAGACTCACACATGAATAAGACTCGCGATGACAACAACGATGGCAGTGGCAGCCCTCAGATGGAAACTGACATGCAAAGCGACCAGGAGTCAGAAATGCCCGAGTCCATGAGCGGCAGGAAAGGACCTGCGGCGCGCAGAAGGTTTTCGCAGAGAACAAAGACAGGTTGCCAGTAGGTAAACAGAGCCACAAGACTGCATTCAGTCACTAACTCCTTCCCCCTTAGCACTTGTCGACGGCGCAAGAAGAAGTGCGACGAAGGCAAACCACAATGCCAGAATTGTACACGTGGAGGCTTCACTTGCGAGGGCTATGGTCCCAAACATGAGCTCAATGTCAAGCTCCCATCCAAAGCAGTACCACTGCAAGCGAAGACTGCCGAGACACACGCCTTTCCAAGCCACCGACAATCGTGAGTCCTCCGACCTTGAGAGTTGTTCCGAAGCTCACATCCTTAGCAGGGTACCTGGTGCTGCTGCCGAGCATTGGCCCGAGGCACAACAGAGACGCTTCTCCTACGATGGCCGCGCTCAACCCTTCGGGGATAGCCTGCGCTACCCACCAAGACCTGCCGCTCCGCCAAAACGTGAATCACCCTTCCCCTCTGACCGCTATTCGCAGTCTACGCACCCTGAGAGACCCCATGTGATGCCCTCATCTTCTCGGTTTGCCATCTCGGCGCCCAGCATAGTGAGCGACGTCAATGGTGGCAGCCTAAGTCACAGCAGTGGTGGTGCAAGTACCAGCTTGGGTAGTGCATTCGACACGCCTAGACCGATGATCTCAAGCCGCATTGCCATGAAGCCACCTCTAGGTCCCTACCATTCTACCGCTCCGAGCGAAAAAGAGAACATGCTTAGCGGCAAAGATTACCGTCACTTCACCGATCCAGAGCTTCTGAACGACAGAGCATGGTGTAAGCAAGCAATCGAGCGCTACAACAAAGCATCGAAGCCTTCTTTCGACATCGACATGGATGGACGGATGAGGCTATTCCGACAGATACTGCAGCCAGATCGTCTTTTGCGACTAGCAGACTCGAGCAATCATCCTATCGGGACCATTGGTTCCAAGATCTTGATCGAAGCACCGTTCAAATGTGAGTATGGCTACAATGTCCACATTGCGGACAATGTGGTCATACAGGCTGGCTGTGTCATGTACGATCCTTGTCCTATCACCATAGGCAGGGGCACGATTGTTGGTCCGAATGTAAAGTTCTACGGACTTGGACCAGACACGAGGCTCGATGCAAGAGTGCGTAATGGCAGTGAGGGCAAATTAAGAGGAGGCAAGATCATGGTTGAAGAGGACTGTTTCATTGGCGGTGACGTCGTCATAATGCCTAACGTAATCATCGGACGCGAATGTGTGGTCGAGCCTGGAACAGTGGTCAGCAGTGTAAGTCTACAGAGAGGTTCCTTTGAGCTCGTTTTCATTCATATTGACCATTTCCAGAACGTGCAACCAGGAAAAGTTGTCGCCGGCAACCCCATGAGAATAATCCGCGATGTTGTTCCGGTACCCACCCAAGACGACGAGTATGGCCGCGTTGAACCAGCAATGTTGGCAAATATGTGGCCAGGAGAGCGATCATACAATCGCGATGTACGCATGGGCATGTGAAGGGCTTATGAGCCGCCGATGAAAGAGACGGAAAATTCAGAATAAAGAGCATTATAATATACGACAGTCAACTTAGCGAGGAGTTATGGAGTGAGCGTAGCTACCATATGCATTGAGTAGAGTCGGAGCTTCTCCGGTCATCCTTTCATCAAAGCCAAAAAGTATTTCAAGCGTATGAGTTCTGAGCTCTAGACCTAAGGCCGGTCAGTTCGACCTCCATCTGCGACTTCTCTCGTTCAAGCAGCTCGATACGTTCACGCAGTGCTTCCGTCTGCTCTTGAGCTCCAACGCTCAACTCCTCTATGATCTTGAAGACACGCCAAAGACGTAGGATAATAACCAGGGAAGCGACTTCTTCAAGAATGCCGCGCAGAAGAACATCTATAACGAAACTGGCGACAATAACGGTCGCATCGAAGCAATGAAACTTGGAACGGAAAAAGCTAGTATGGTCAGCATCAGAAAGGATCACCACGATCTTAGAACGTCTTACTGAAGCCCGAATGCCCATATGCTCGCCAGCAGTTCCAGCATGAACAAGCAGGAGAAGACCAGACCCACGATGCCTATTGCTTCTTGAGCGACATGACCTCGCGACTCGGAGATCTTTCCTTCGCAGCTGAGAAGCTGCACGATAAACTCGAAAAAGATACATGTGCAGTCGAGCGATACCAGGATCAGAATGGCATAATGACCGAACTTTGAGTTTAGATAGCGACGAGTGGACCGGCGAGCAGTCTCGAGTTTTGAGTCGCTGTGTCTGGGAGAAAGTTCCCGTAAGAGTGGTCTTTGTGATTCTTCCATGGTCTTGGTGAGCTAGGGTCACTCAGTATTGCATGGTAATACATCGGGTTGAGACGGTTGCATAGATAGCGATCAAACACAAAAATGCTTACAATGATAATTCAGGAAAGAAAAATGGTTCTAATGCTTGAAAGGCTGTGATTGTCACTAGTAGATTCAGACCAGACTAGAAATGCTCAGGAGAAACCAGTGCTTTGCCCGAACTTGATTCAGGTGAAAGTGAAAGAAGGTGCGAGGATAAGGGGAGTACTCGTTTACCAGGTAAGAATAAGGTTTCTCCAGGATGCTTGGCACGGCAGTCGCGATTGACAGTGGCTTGCGGGAGCTTTCGCATACCATTTACTTTGACTCGACCCTCATCGACCTGTCTCATCCATCACAATTCTATCTCACTGTCTTGTGACGTGTTTCTGAATCGCCTGTCTTAGTATATCCGTGTGACGGCTACCGAGTTTCATTCTCAGCACCAAACATCCGCCTTTCCTCCATCTCCGAACCACCATCAATGTAGGTTACTCCCTCATGGGTCGATCACTACCTCACCTCGCTTAACTATGCTAAACCCACATGCAGCTCCCTTCTACCCTTCAAGCGCAATCATGTCTGAGACCAACGAAGTGCCGCCGCGACCCGAGGGCGAGCAGCCCGTCAACGACGACGAGACCAACGATGAGGAAGAGATCGCAGCAATGAAGAAGCGCGTGCAAGAGATGGAAGCTGAGGCACAGAAGCTGCGCGAGATGCAAGCTAGCTTGGACCAGCAGCAGGATGGTTTGCGCGAAAGCAAAGAAGATATCGACTCGCGCTCCGTCTTTGTCGGCAATGTCGACTACGGCGCATCGCCCGAGGAGATTCAGGCACACTTCGGCAGCTGTGGTCCTATCAATCGTGTCACCATTCTGCTCGACAAGTTCACCGGTCACCCCAAGGGCTACGCCTACGTCGAGTTCCAGGAGCCTAGTCTTGTCGCCAATGCCATCGTGCTCAACGAGAGCGTCTTCAGAGGTCGCAACCTGAAGGTAAGCCCTGCTATTCTTGGATCCTTCAGTTGTACGGTTTGCTAATTGTCACCAGGTTGTTCCCAAGCGCACTAACCTCCCCGGCATGGCCAGAGGTGCTGCCGCTGCCGCCGGAGGCCGTGGCCGTGGCCGTGGTCGCGGCGGTCCTATGGGCTTTGGTGGTCCTGGCTTCGGCGGTCGCGGAGGCTATGGCGGTGCACCTCCATTCGCTCCTCGTGGTGGCGGGTACGTCTAACAAATTTCTCACGTATATGCAAGTAACGCTGACATGTTTAACAGCTACCGTGGAGGCTACCGTGGCGGCCGTGGCAGAGGTTACTCTCCTTACTGATGACCTAGCATTTTCACACAGTGAAGTGACTATTGACGGCCATGCTGTAGCCAAAGGAAACTCGGCTACGGTCTGTCATCTTCGCACGCCACATGATTTCTGACCAAGCCGTACCGTTTACGAGCGTTCCAAGTCAACATGTGTGCTCGTGATTGATTCACAGCAAGACGTGGAAAAGCGTCATGAAAAAGGAAATGCGCGCCCCCATGACGATTCTGCTTCTCTTGATACTTCAGTTTTGCTTTCCTTTTCTTGTTTTACTACGTGGGGCTTTATACGAATGGAACAGGGGGATTCAGAGAAAGACAGAAAAATCTACAGAAGAGAAAGTTATTTGAAAGACCTGGTTTCAACATGATGAAAAGAAGAAGATAATGCCCAGACCACACTCATCATAATGAGAAAACAAGGAAGAGATGAATTCACAAGAGGCAAAGGGAAAGAGACTCATATTCGCCTTCAAGGACTCCCAAAGTCCGTTCAATCATATGTGATGCCAAAAATGGCTGGCGAGAACCAGAAGAGGTGGGACAAAGACTGCGCACAAGGACTCCGCTCTCGTCCAACAGTACGCGTATGACAACCAGACGCCAATGTCCATGTTGGCATCACCGGTCGTACGCAACGGATCAGCGGTAGAGCAGACACCTGGCAACAGAGTGCAATAACACATAACACCCATAACTCATCGCATTGTTGAGGTTCTCCGACTTGCACCAGTCTCAACAAGCCATGGTTCAGAAATCGCATGGAGAGACGTGTTTTTCTAGAACACATGATGGATGCTTGGTCCGCCTCGAAACCAAGGCGGACACGATAATAAGAGTACTTGCTACCAGTATATGAAGGCTGGAATGATGTAGAATTTCAAATGTCCATTACAAAGCAACAAGTAGAAGGACATAGATCTAAAAGAACCATTAACAAAGTCCAGCATAGACGGGTTTTGCATTGCTGTTGGATATCCGAAGAACGATATACTCAAGACAGAGTAGTGTATGATATAGAGTGAATATACATTATCCTTGCGCAACAGCTACACTGCTTCCAAAGCCCTTAGATACATCGGAGTATTATTTCGCGGTTGAAGTGAATGTCAAGCATCTCTTCCTTAGACTTGTACGTGATATACAATGCCCTTGGAAGTAGACCGCAACACGTTTGTCTGCTATCAGACAATCGGCGTACAGAAACCGAAGTGTTGCCACATTCTGGCTTGATTTGGTAGAAGGTTGTCAGCTTTGTTGTCAGGAAACGATGCTGTGGAAGAATTGCTATTCTTCAGGTCGAAGATGCGGAGGATATGCCAGCACTTGGTTTGCTCCTTCCCCTCTTTCGCCTTGACGTGCTTGATCTGCTCTTCTTTGTTGACGGCTTGAGCATAGACATTCTCTTGCAGGACTTTTGTGTTGCAAGTCGTTTCGCATCAGGCAATGAAGATAAATTGGCAGCTTGGCTTACAAACCAAGGTCTTGTGGACATAAGATGAGGAAGACGGAAAGAGATTATTGTTTTGTGTGCACACCACCCTTGCGCCCTTTGCCTATTGGTTGCTGTATTGAAATTGAAAGGATGAAACCAGATGCCTTTGTCTGTATTGCTTCTGGACGTGTTCTGCTTGACTTTTGCTTCACTTTTGGGTATTTCTGAAACAGACTTTTTGTCTTTGTTGTGGAGTATCTGAATGAAGAAGACTCTGAAAATATGAGTGGGAAGAATGAGATAATGATTGTGAGCGCATGCCCTTTGCGCCCTTTGCCCTAGTATACAATGATGTGCCTCCTCTTGTTTTTCCTGACATGCAAAAGAGAACGAAACCTTCCTTTTCTTACTTTTGTACAATTGTTTATTCTTACAGTGATAGCTCCTTCTTTGAGATAAGAATGCTGGTTTCGGTCTATGGCTTGATCGACTGGGTCGGCTTGAGCTTCTTCTTTCCGATTTGCCATCCCCAGGATCTCAGGATCTTGACGACCTTTGGAGTGACGGCTACGGCCAGTGGTACTCGGACAAAGATGAACGACTTATGGATGGCGTAGGCGAGAACGAACTGTGTCCACAGTGCTTCAGGCGTGTCAGCTGGGAGTGGGGTTGAGGGGTTCGGATATTGAACGTACATGCTTCTTCCTTGTTGCGCGCCTCTGCTTCAGGCACGCCCCATACATTGCCTTCCCTAGCGGCAGGGCCGCCGACGGCAGTCTCGACTTGTTCTACAGCGTCATCGGCCTTTGAGCCAATGTCGGGCATGACAGCCTTGACAGCATCCTTAATGGTGCCGACGATGGCGTGTTCCCAGCGGGCGACACGGTCTGTACCAAGGGCTCTGACAGCCAGGAAGCAGAAGGGAAGATCCAGAGCAGACAGGCCGAGATAGACGCCTGTTACCACCCAGCCATATTCTTTGCCCAGCTGCTTGAAGCGTTGGAAGAAAGAGAGTTGTGGTGTTGGGCTACCGAGATTTGGAGTGGGGTCGGGGTTGGGTCTTGAACTGTTCCATCGTCGTGAAGCCGGATTGCGGAAGCGAGAGAGTAGCTGTCGCCATGTGGCGGTGTTGTTTGCAGGGTTGGCAGTCTTTTGAGTGAATAGCCTGTGGAATTGTCTTCGCGGTTGTGGTCTCGAGATCTGACTGGCAAGGTTGTAAGAATGGGCAGCGAGGCGGCCTGTCGAGGCGCGTATGACGTGGTGTTGTAGACGATGCAGCGGTAGCATGTTGATGGTATTTTGTCGACAACTTCTTGCTGCTGCTGCTGTTTCGCAAAGCTCAGCTGTTGATGGTCGCGACTGCCTGATTCATGCGGCCAGCGGCGGTCGACAAAACTCGTTCAAGCTTCTACTACGCTAACCCCCGCCTTAGCCACAAGGCCTCAGCCCGACTCCTCTGCTTGTTTCATTGCGGCAGCATTGTACTCGATGTATGCGCCGAACCCTTCACCGCAACAATGTGTCCTTCAGACTGAAGCACGTCTGTCCAATTTGCACCTGTCTTCTCGTCTGCATGACCAAGGGCAGCTTTGCAAATGATCCAGGCCCTGTAATTTCCTGTTACAGTATAGTTCGAGATTTACGCCCGTAAGGACGGCTCTTGAACACACCGTCGGTCTTCAGAGGACGACTGAGACCGACCATCTCGTGGCTAGCCGTGCGCGAGCTCCACCAAACGTCTAGGTAATACCTACTGCTAAACACATGCCGCGCATGATTGTCGCCCATTCTCGCCCAGAGATAGCTATTCGACTACTAACTACCTTGTCCTCTTATCATCACCAGGATAATGACGCCGACAGGTCGCCGCGACCATTCTGATTAAAACATTAACTTTCCATCCTGTCGCAATTACTGCCTGCCGACATGACATGCCGTCGAGCATTGTTTCTTCATCACATCACGATTTGACATGCGGTTTGCTTCCCGCTTTGATATAGCTACCTCCGATGTGGGTGCTGTAACAATTCTAATATTCAATTTAGCCAACAGCCGAACCAAGTCAATGGGTCCACACTCGCAAGCCGATGTCCAAGATTGTATTGGTTGTTTCGACTCTTGAGCGTCTAGCCGTTGATCATGACCGCCCTGCTGTAGAGCTGTACACAAATACGTTGCATGCGCAAGTCCGAGTCCGAATGTCCGAGGCGTGCCACGAGTCCACGACTTCACTCTTTTTTTTAAGCTTCCGAGCATCTGAGCAAAATAGGTGGAAAGGCTCAGATTAAAGTCATCACCACTCGTTTCTCCACCAATCAAGGCGCTCACTCGGGGACGAGCCTAACGCAATCTTTACGTGAGGCGTAGGTACTTCGGTACATGCAAGAAACAGAGCGATGTTCGATTTGCTTTGGTCCTCCTCCATAACACGTCGTCGTACATCAGGGTCGTTGGTGATAATCTCAGGGTTCATGCTGCTGTCGGTCACGCTGTCAATTGGCGCCGGGAACACGTTTGAGTCGTGTTCGGTGGGGCTGTCTCGAGGCTTCGAAGGTTGTTGCTTGCTCAGCAAGACAAGGTTTGCAAGAAGAATGGTCTGACTGCTCGTCTGTAGACTTTGCGCACATGCCTGGGTAACCGTTGTATGACAGCCATATCCTTTGACCAACGACACGGTATTATTGCGTTCACTATGACTCTCGCTTCGCGCTGAATGCTTGCCTGTTTCATATCTCATGCCCCACCCGCTATCTCACACTCTATTAGACTTCCCTAACTTCGAGTCCTCAAATAAAAGCTGGTGACATTCTTTTGGATGATGCTAAACATTAAGAGTCAAGAAGTCCCGATTTGTATAACGATGTAATATGAAGCAATATCCCTTGTCAGGGCTTCGGTAGTCGCCTCGATGGTGGATTCTGCACTCTATGCCAGTGACCAACAACCATGTCTGGTTCAAATCGTCCCTCTATTGACTTGCCATCGACAGGGCTCGTCCATTAGACCGTTACGATGCCTGATCTTGGTGTACCTGTCTGCAGAGCACGCTGGTGGAGTATATGCTTCTCGGCATCGCCGCCTCTTCCGCCGCAGCACGCGCCCCTAGTCCAAAACACGTTGTGGTACTTACAACAGCGGCCATTCGAAGCTTGTTCTCCAACATCAACTTTCCCATGACAGGGGCGTCACAAGGCTCGATCCCTTTTTTTCTTAGGCTAAACAATGGTTGCACGGGATGCTCAGGCCTTACGTATATAGATATCCACGCTGTGACCCGGCCTGATTCGTCCACGTCGTAAGTCTACCACCACTACAGACCAGAGTCCCAAAGAAAGAAAAATTCCCTCCTCTTCCTTACTTGACCATCACTTCATTTGCCAAGAAACATTTCGCTCTCATGGCTATTCAAATTGCTTCTCTTCCCTCTCCCATCATGTTCGCCTTGAACACTTCCCCTCGACCTCGCGCTCGTCAATACTCTTCATCCTCCTCGTCTTCTGACGTATCCATGGCACAACGCGACTCTATGGACATCGACATCAATGGTGTCTTGGACATCCAACGTGCTCTCGACATTGCTCGCAACACTGAAGGAGACCTCGACTACTCGGTCGCAAAGTACCTGGAAGAACAACTTGCTGAAGTTTGGGGTCGCCTTGAATCTCGCCCCAACAGCTATGTTCTTTCCAAAGACGAGTTTGCCATCTTCAACTACTTTGTTGGTCGTTACTGCGACTCAGAGGTGGCTGAGAAGGCCATTGCACGCTTCTGGTCAAGCTACCAGGATAACAGCTCCTCGTAGAGTTACCAACTCCTTCGAACTACCCGTCAGCCCAACACACTCCACGCTTCTGCTGCACGATTCCTGATGCAGTCAGGAAGTAGTAGAGCATTGCGATTGGCAGGTTCACGCGATGGATTCACGGGACCAAGGCGGCTCCCTTTGCCGGATATCGTCATGCATGAATGATCAATAATCAGGCCTGCAGGCGGCTCTTGTTTCGGCTTTCGATTCATTGCCCTGACCAACACTTCAAACTTCTGTTTGTTTGTATACATATTTGGATTGGACATCTGCAGCCAACTTGCAATTCTTCTCCATTCGACTTTCCATACCAGGACTATGCTCGCGCCCTGGAGGCATGAGCTCGATACGCCGCTTCCGATTTACATGGCACATCAGTAATGGCAACAACGATAGCCATCGGCCCCTTCCTAGGATCGCTGTCCGACTAGCTAGCAACTGCGCCTGCTAATCGCGAGACGAGTCACACCGCGCCCATAAACTTCATGTCTCATTGGTGCACATCGTTCCTTCCACCTGGAACTATACTTTGCGCTTGTACTTATCGTGGATGGAACTGGCTCTCTTTGCCACTATCAATCGTCTCGGCCATCATAGATAGGCCTCGTTGGATCAGATCACTTGAGCGCGACTGTAACAGAAGACATGCGCCTCTAGGATGTTTGAAGCGCCATCGTCGATGGACTGTTGCAAGCAGACTACGCATCACTATCAGACCAGCACCGCGAGCGCATCGGAAGGGCGCCATAGTTGGAACTTTCTTTCTTCATCGTACATTACATCAAAGCACTAGTCTATGGCCAAACGCCGACATAATTCAGATCAACGATTTCTAATGACCATCTGTAATGACCAATACTCAGCTGCAATCTCCCTTTTGTTACGTACCTCTCAACAGTGGCATCGAGACAACGCCCTCTACACGCCTGGGCGTTCGATTCAAGTAGGCAAAAGAGTCCAGAACTATGTTTGGCTGTCTGTGGATCTCCTTCTTGACCGGTGTCTTCTTCCGAATATTTTAGCTACTTGACTCGTAACCGTACTTCCCTCCGATTCGAACATTGACACCTGCTCGCCGTCGGCCAGGCCCCTCTATCGGTGGATACCTGCTTGAACATGCCAAGTTCTAGGGTATCAGGGCATACTTGCCAATCAGAGGAACCAACCGAAGACACGAGATTGACAGCCAAGGCAGAAGACGAGAAGGAATTCGAGAGTTCTGAGATAGAAACACCAGAAGGAAGCACCGTTTTTGCCCTGAGAAAAGCTCACGCGATTGTTTGGTAGTCATGCGGTGAGCACAACATGCAAGGAGGTTTGCCTTTCCTTGATTTTTACCCTCTTACGTTTTTTTATCTTTACGCTTTACCAATCTGTTGTTTGAATTCAACAATGCAGCACTGGATGTTTTGCCAATGAACTCTCGAGGGAGTTAGGCAGGGACAAGGTTTCTTTGATGTGCAGTTTAAATGCAACCAAGGAGCGCCATGGCACACGAGGAACCAAAAAGCCGGGTTGGCAAAGCAGCGACCAACTGTCAGTCAATCTCCTGGACTTTTTTGTCCTTTTTGTTTTTTTGTTTCTTGTCATAGCAATCGCAAATATCTTTGTCCCACAATCTCCCCACTGCAAGAGTCAAGTAGCGCAGGTGGGGCCAACTGAAGATGGGATTGAAGAAGGTTTCGAGGTGCGATTTGCAACCAGACCTCGAACACAGGCGACCCGTTCTTGTTTCTCCCTGGATATCCGGATTGAAGCGGTCAAGGGAAGGTCAAAGAGTCAAGAGCTGAACAAAACAGTAACATAGGGCCTCGATGCACTGTTACATGTATCAATTCAGCCTCTCGAACGCCTATCTTTCGGGAGGTCAAAACGATCGCAACAGTTTCTGTTTGCGTGTTGTTGGCTGCTGCACTTTCGGAATCGGTTTAGGGTCGTGGAATCTAATTCCGCGCGACGTGCGGCTCAAATTTAAACATTTTCCCCTTGTCTTGCGGATCGAGTCGGTCGGCAGCCGTCAAGAGGCTCGTCGTCACACCTCTTGGAAGGCAAGCGACTGCCAGCAATGTAGGCAGGCACTACCCGTCTCGGGTTTTGCCTCAGTGCCTTGTCTCTGCACGACTCACGATGCCGATCTCATGCTTGGATTGTCTCCACTGTAAGTTCATGTATATACGCTGATGTGCTCCTCGAACAGATTCATGTCTCGAATACTAATGAGGGTGGCCCTCATCCAGTCCATGCGTCATGTTTATCCACCATCACACTATACCGCATTCGAGATTTTGGACGACCATTCTCTGCAACGAGTATAGCGTGCAACCTTGTTCAAAACCTTGCCCTGGACCGGCAGCGCCTGACTCGCATCGCACATCTGGCGTCTGTCCATCACTCGGTCGGCTTTAGATATGCGGGAGGCGGACCGATCAAACAAGGTTCAGCTTCTTTATCAGATCATCGAAGGATTGCGACCTCCATTTGCACAGCTCTTGGCCGTCAGTCTTGGGAAGGTGAAGGAAGGGCTGGGCAGAGTCACCGTTGGAGCAAGCCAGCCAACAAGAGCATCATACTTCCTGACGGAGATTGGTCGGCGCATGTAGTTCAAGACGACATGTGGCATGACATGCGTGATCTTACATACTTTGCACCAAAAGTGTATATTCTTCTTCTATCCAAGACCAAAACTCTATTCAAAAAACAAGTCCACACGCGGCAACAACTCCTGAGCCCTGGAAATTGTGGCATCCAGGCGCTTTTAGGTTCTGTGATGTAGTATTGCCATGATGCAAGGCAAAAGCATAAGGACAATATCGTTACTGATACTATTGCTGACATATGCCATCTGCATCTCAAGCTTTGAACTCTCTATCAAAACGTGACGCTCGTGTGCGGAAAAAGAGTTCAACCTTGTAGTGTTCGGCTTACAAACAGTCGACTCCTTCCCTTGGCAAGTCGAAGCAAATACGAAGAGTCATGTTCATGGAACAATGTAACGTGCAACAAGCTCTAAATGGCTCATCAATAGGATGCAGACGATGCCAACCATCGAGAAAGAGCCGAATCAGTTGCTGGTATTGCCCGAGATTATTCTGACGCAGTTTCCTTTACTTTGTCAGTCTGTCGATATCATTCTTCTAGGGGAGGCAGCACCAAGAAAATCATGTTGCCACGATCTGAGCGCCCTCTACACCCAGTGGTCCCGTCTACATGGTCGTGGGATCAACGACTTCTGCGAACTCGCCATGCATGCCATGGCGCCACTGTAGAGAGTGTGATACATGCAAAGTCTATAAGCGAATGGTCTGTCACACCTTACGATGGGGACATTCCTCCCACCAAAAAGTGTTCAATAACTTGCTCCTACCTATAACGATCTGACTCGGGCTACGTCGGTCAGACGTTCAACGGCGTTCAGGTCGGTCTCTTCGACTTGGCAGCAATCTACCCTTCTATCGGTACATTCGCCGTTGCAAGCAAGAGTCAGCTTCGCCCGCCGTGACTACGATCACGGATGAGAGCGGCCGGGTCACCACGGATTTAATCTGGAGTACAAGGTAGGGTCGAGTGTCGATCTTCGTTATCACGAAAGCTGGATAGGATCAATAGTGCTTGAAATGTGGTAAGAGCTTCTTGCTATACACAGCTAAACGCATTTATCCATCTACACTCGATTTAGTGGGTTTCTTCGCTAGCTCACTCTTTCTCTGTACAAGACCACAACCATCGAGTAGTCCTTCTGATATACTTTTGCCCAGTGTTTAGAGACATCTCCACGTTCATCTCTTCTTGTCTGTGGTCTTCTTTGAGACGATGCGAATCTTCTTTCCGTTGCCTCTGTCGAAGATCGAACGATGCATTGGTGGAGGTACACGAGCTTCTTCTTCTTCAACCATTTTGAGTGCTTCTAGCTTGGCGAGTCGATTCTGCTCCTCGAAGGTGGCTTGCTCGTCATCAGATTCAGAAGCACTGCCGTCATCACGATCGGCAGCACCGTCTAGCTGAGGCATTACTTTGGGATGCCCAGGTACTCCTGCTCGTGCACGCACGGCAGGCCCAGGTCTGTTGGGCGCCCTTCCTTCCATTCTGCTCCTTGAATCCTTGTAGTTCTCAGGTAACTCGTCAGGAAGGTCTGGATCGTCAATGTGCTTCTTCTGAATGTAAGACGAGATCCTGCGTTTGCCATTCGCCCGTTGGCGGCCATTGTACATGCCATCTTTGTCGTCTTCTCCAGAATTGAAGTCAGACTCAACATCGACTTCTTCGTAATCTGCATTGGTCGGACGTTTGCGCCTTTCTGTACGTGCTGCACGCTCACCTCTCATGCTGAAGTCGTCATCACGTTCAACCCGAACCTTCATCCTGTTGGGATGTTGGGGAACCTTCTTGGCTTTTTCACTAGGAGCGATATCCGATCTCACAAGCACGTTCTCTGGAGGTACTTCTTGGTCAACTTCTGGAGTCTCAGAGACAGGTTGGAATGTTTTAGCGGCTTGTTGTGCAAGCAGTTGCGCAAGACGTGGTCCAGATATGCGAAGCCGAACAACGCGCTTTTTGCCCCGCAAAGCAGCTTGCGCTGCAATGAAGCGACCTGCCTTCTTGGCCTCGTCCAAAGCTTTGCGTTCCTTCTCCTTTTCGAATTGCTTTGTAGCTTCATTCCTAGGCTTGTAGAGCACAGAAGCAGGATCTTCCGAGATTCTACGTCTTTTGGTGTGAGTTCCCTCCATGTAAATCTCGTCATCGTCATCTTCGTACGCGTCTTGATTGCGCTTGTTCCGGCGTGTGGTGCCTGACAGCAATGCGGAGATGGGCTGGTATCCTTCCTCTTCATGGTCCTCGCCAAGAGGGTCAGGGTAAGCATAGCTGTTGTCCTCAAGTTCTGGATACATTCGAGCCCTTGGAGCGACAAATCCATTGGTTGTAGCAGGAGCATATCCTTCGGGTGCGTCGAATGTAGATTTGTGACCATTGCTCAATCCATGAGATGGTTTAGCGCCTTTGAGCATTGCTTCCGGCGGTGGCAGAAGGGAAGCTGCAGCCTTTCCTTTGTTTCGAGCGGTTTGAGCAGGAGTAGTGCCCATGAGCTGGGGGTCGATCATGGAGTCATCGGGCGAGTAGTCAAATCGAACGTGGCTTTGTTGAATATCAGGCTCTTCTTCATCGTCGTCGTCATCCATCGAAGGGTCTGCTTCTTTGGCTCTTCTGGCCTCTTCACGAGCTCTCCTGATCCGAACACTCTCTTGGACGTCTTCGTCATCGTCTCTGAGCCAAGTGAGGTTGGAGACAGAGAAGTCCACAAGACATTCCACACTTCTGGCATCGGCAATCCTCTTGGTATCATGACCGAGGAGAGTGCCCTTAGGCTCATATGGTTGCTGCTTGGGATCCTTTCGACACGCTCCTGCAAAACATGCGTTTTGGCAATGTGGACACGACCAATTAGCATCTTGCATGACTGTAAGTGGCATCACGTCGGCTCCTCTGAATAGGGATCCATAGCACCACCATTTGTCGCAAGTGGTGCACTTTGCAGACTTCCAGTTAGGGTGTCTTTTACAACAGACATGGCAAGGACTGTGCGTTTTGTACCAAGCCTTGGGCTTCTTCTTCACAGTTTTCTTGACACGGCCTTCGTCATCCACAATGATATCTTCCTCGCTCTGCTCGTCGTCTTGCTTTGGCTTGGCAATGTCAGTGAAGGGGCGGCGTTTAAGCTGCTCTCTGCAAACTTCAGCGAGCGTTTTGTAAGGGAGATTCTTTCGAGCTTCGACAAGTGGCGGAGGGGCCTTTGCTGCGTTTCCACCGTCCAGATCGATGACTTGCTTGCGCCAAGAGTCGTATTTGCTGATCAGCTCCCTCCATTTGAATTGCTCGGTCCACTTGAGGTTCGAGATGCAGCCGCACGACCTTCCCATGGCATAACAGTCCAAGCAGACGTCGTAGGGTTCTTCCTCTTCATGTCCGAGTGCGTCCTTGCAGTTTGAGCACGTCAAGAAACGGTTGAATATATTGCAGCGACAATAAGCGCAGGTGACATTGCTGTCGAAAGGCAGAAATTCACACTTTTCTTGGGGACCATCAGGGTTGAACATTTCAGATACAAGGACATCTAGGAACAAGCCAAGCAGACGTCTGAAATCTTTGATTAATTGCTTGATCTTGGGACTGCCCATTAGCTGACGGGCAGCGTCTGCAGGAAGCTTGTCGGACTGTGATCTTGCCAATGCAAGTCTGTTAGAATATAACATTAGCGTATAGTAGATGATGGCCTTGGTTTTGTATTGTTCGTCTCGGCAGACGATCTTTGCTTTAGGTAAAGCTTCATCCAGAGCCATCTCTAGAGTCTCGATCGTGGTCCTGTTCCAAGCGACTTTCATGGTTCGTGTTCCCCTGTTCCAGACTTGGTGAGGAGCTAGCGGAGGGATCAGAATAAAGTCGCCGGGACGTTGTTCGACGACGTAGACGTTGAAAGGCGCTCTTTTCCAAGCCGAGACTTGAGCAAAGTGGTTCTCGACTTCGATGTCATGACCCAGAGTTGAGAGCCAGTACTCGGAGACGGTATTGCGGTCCTTGGACTCGGTCATGAACCAGATGGACGAACCAGGTCTTTCGGGCTTGCCGTCCTCGCCAACATCTTTGGAAGCTTCTACCATGATATTGTGACCCATGGTGGCGCACATTTCTCGGTGCGACGGGGTGTAAGTGCCCTCATGGCCGATGTAGCACATGAGATTTTCGGCGCGCATCTCGGGAGGAAGCGAGCTCATCAGATCGCCAGCGCGAGCGATTCCACGAGCAGGACGTCTGCCAGGACCGAGAGTGTAAGGATTGGCACCAGGGCCGCCGATGTCTCCAGTGCTCTCATTGAGGTAGAAGAGGAATGGTGGGATGTGATCTTGAAGTTTGTCGTGCCAGACCTGTGGGCAGTCGATGTCTTTGAGATAGATTCGTTGACGACTCTTGTCCTTGTAGTTGCGAGTGTTTTCGAAGAACTGATTGCTCAGCTTGTTCATGTTTCGGAGATAATGGCCGATGGTGAGAGGAAGAGACTCTTTCGTCGTTAGGTTCCTGGAACTCTCGACTGGGGTGCGTGTTAGTGAGGAGTTGCTAAGAATGAATCTGTTCGCACATGCCCTTGGTACCGACATTGTCATTCAGCCATTTGGCAGAAAAAGTCCAGGGGTCCAGACGATTCTCAAAGCCGTCGACGACGAGGGGTTTGCCGCCAATGATGACATGGAGGAGGACGAGCTTTTCGAAAGCGGCGACACCTTGCTCGTCGATTTGGTCGACTGAGATGCGATCAACAAAGGAGAAGTTGGGCGTGGATTCTATAAGGCCGTTGATGTCAAAGTCGGGCGCGATCGGCTCGAAGGCAGCACGCGGTCGTTGTGCTGGCATCCTGGGGGTTATGTGTGGCGCACACCCTCAGGCGCTAAGGACGACATGTGCGACACTCGTCTGGATAGAGTGCGCGTGTCAGACACGGCGGGCAAAGGCTAGAAAGGATAGAATTGCATGCAGAGAGCAACGATAGCTTGCGACGTGATTGTCGCAACCGAAGCTGCGACTTGACAAGCCGAGCGGACGCGTTAGTGGGGCAGCTTGAACCGACACCGAGCACGGTTCACGAGCCTATCTGTTTTGTTCTTCCAGTCCCATCGCACCTTCCTTGCCCCAGTCTTATATCATTCGCATTTCGATCCATTCGCTTGTTCTTACGTATCAGCATGTATTGATCACTCTCAACACAATCGAATTTTAGCTCTCCTTAGTAGGTGCCAATGCTCTTGTCAATCCGCCCTTGACTATATGTTGAGCTAGGTTTTCCAGTTTTCCTTGTCCTTCTGCTGTCCAAGTCATGCTGTCTTCTCGGCTATTGGCCTCTGCAGGCCGCAGTTGCCTCATCAATTCTCTGAGAACACCAACTTCCACTTCTTACTTCAATACGTGTCGCCGAGCTTTCCTTTCGTCAAGGCGGCCGAATACTCTCGATTACAACACGCGCCATGTCACAGCTTATTCAAACATCGCATCGACGACCACGCCACTACCTCCCAAGTCGACTGACCACAGCGCCTCGATTCTCCAGCATGAAGCTGGTGTGGCTCAAGAAGCACCTCCAGTTCCTTACGAACCTCCTAAGTCAGGCTTTCTATCCTATCTGCCTGCCTCGTTCGTGCCTTATGCCGAGTTAATTCGCATTGACAAGCCAGTAGGCACTTACTACTTACTTTTTCCTTGTATTTTCAGTACACTTCTCGCTGCCCCCTTGGCGTCTCCCATCACCGCCCCTTCAACAGTTCTGGCCACCTCTGCTCTATTCGCCACTGGTGCACTGGTTATGCGTGGCGCAGGCTGCACCATTAATGATCTCTGGGACCGAAATCTAGATCCGAAAGTTTCTCGAACTCGATTGAGGCCTATCGCGCGTGGTGCTATTTCTCCAGAAGCTGCCATTGTCTACACTGGCTGTCAACTCTTGACTGGTTTGGCTGTACTCCTGCAATTCCCATTCGAGTGCTTCTTCTACGCCACGCCCTCTTTACTCTTGGTATCGACATATCCTCTTGCAAAACGCGTTACCAATTATCCCCAAGCCGTTCTTGGTCTGACCTTCTCCTGGGGTGCCATTATGGGCTTTCCTGCCCTGGGCGTCGATCTGTTATCAAACCATGCCGCGCTTACTGCTGCAGCTTGTTTGTACTCTTCAAACATTGCATGGACTATCCTCTACGACATGATCTACGCGCACCAAGATATCAAAGATGATGCAAAGGCTGGTATCAAGTCGATTGCTCTCCGTCACGAAAAGAATACCAAGGCAGTGCTCAGTGGCTTGGCTGTTGTTCATGCCACTTTGCTGGCTGCTGCTGGGGCAGCAATTGGAGCTGGTCCCATATTCTATATTGGCACTTGCGGAGGCGCTCTGTTTACGACCGCAAACATGATCTGGAGAGTGCGCTTGAGTAGCGTGAAGAACTGCTGGTGGTGGTTCAGAAACGGATGCTGGATGACTGGCGGTGCAATCACTCTGGGGCTTACAGGAGAGTATCTTGCACACTACCTCGGATGGTACGAAAACGAATCCCGCTGAGGTTCTGACACTGCAGTCAGCACGTGTATGTATATTGTACAATAGAATTGCGAAATTACTGTTGGATGTACTTCGTCTGCAACACGTGCCTTGATGATCTCCGAAACCAGGACATCCGACTCTCGCAGCGTTAGGGAGTGTGTTGAGTCCCGATCTGTTCAGCGCACCGAGACCGTGGTGCATCTGCTTTTGCAGGAAGTGGGGTCTCTGCCGTGTAGATCATCTGTACAAGACTGAAAAGTCGCAGTTCATGGCCTCACGCTTCCGACTTCCTTACACATCCACAACGCCATTTGTTACACGACATGCAGCGGCGCAAGTACGGATCCGAGAAAGTGATTCAGCGGCCTCCGGTTTTGGTCCTCGCAGCATTCTCTGCCAATCGACAATCGACCATGCAAAGCTACAATGTAATGAGCATGAATGCGCACTCATCTGAGCTATAGGTAATATCGCCAAAATTCTATGAAAGTCCATAACCCGGTTTGAGTCACACGACATGATGAATACTCTCCTCGCGTTGGGAAGTTGCCGTCACGAAACGCAACTTCCATGCGAAATCAACGAGTCGACCTTGCTTATTGGCCCGCCGAACTGCAGTTGCAGAAGTCACTATGCGCCGCCGCAGCCAATAGTGGTGTGAACGCCTCTGTCAAGGATCCGAAGGTCTGGAAGCCGTCGACATCAATATCCCTACCTACTTATTGTGCATTGTTTTCTCGTACAACTCTGTCCTAGGCACATCAAATTCCCACGCAAACGACATGACCTTTCGCATCAACGACCACAACGTTACCAGCCATCTTTGACTGACAAGTGAGACAAGCAACCTCTTATCCAGACGAGCATACAACGACTGTTGCGATATTCGGTATTTGCTCGAGGTACATCGAGGCTTCTCACGGCGTTCTGCTCGCGGAATCAAAAGGCTGAGTTTGGTGCGAGGACTCTTACCATCTCCAGACAGCCCCTTCCTGCAAACATCACGCTTCCGCATGCGCCAGACTTAACTTCAGGATCAGTTTGGGATTCAACACTGGTTTAATTGGATACCATAATTTGCTTCTCCTTCTTTCAATGTCGCTGCCACGACCGGCCGCGCAACACGACAGACTTAATCGGACGATGGCATCATCGCTCGTTGATGAGGCCATCAACTACGTACCAGGTGAAATTATACCATGGCACTTTACACCAAGTATCATCGTCGCTTCCTTCTTCGCCAGTCTCAGTGGTACGCTGTTGACGATCGAACTACTTCAACGAAAGCGTTTGGGCAAATCACTTGTGAGCAGGTGAATAGCACTCTCGCCAGCTATCTGGTGCACTGCTAACTTGGACACAGAGTACACCTCTTTGCTTGTTCGGTAAGCATGGGTCTGATCGGTATTTGGTGTATGCACTTCATTGGAAATCGATCAATTGCTCTGGCAGGTGGTCAAAGCCGGCTGCAGCTCGTTTACAGCCCTGAGTATACTGGACTGTCGTGTGTTCTTCCAGTCATCGGCTTGACCGTAGCTTTTCAGATTGCTGAAATCAGCATCCACTCTTTTGTCTGGCGAAGACTTCTTGACGTTGCCTGCGGTCTCATGGCTGGGCTTTCCATTGTTTCCATGCATTATGTGGGAAACCTCGGGATCTCAAACTATACGCTGATTTACCCAAGACGGTACATTGTTGCCGCTTGCATCATCGCTGTTGGCGATTCAACAATCGCCCTTGCGTTATTCTTCTATTTCAAAGAAAGATGGATCAGCGTTTGTTGGAAGCGTTGTCTTTGCGCGCTGCTACTTGCAGTCGGAGTGTGTGGTATGCACTTTACTGCATCCGTTGGCTGTCAATATCAGCTCAAGCGTATACCACCGGAAGCGGCGCCTGACGCGAGAAACACACCCGTCATTGTGGCAGCTACCATGGTAAATTTTCTATTGACATGAATTTGAATCATCTGCTGACTTTCTACTAGTGCTTCGTAGCAGCATTATCTTGTCTGCTGATCCTCTTCTACGTTCGTTACCGCAACATCGTCCTTGCCAACAGAGCTCAGCATATGATGCTAGCATGGTATAATCGAACTTCTGGCTTGTTACGATGTGTTGTCACTAATGAAGAACAGTGCCTACTTCGATGAACATGGCAATATCATGGTTACGAATGAAGGAACCTTGCCTTCACAACGAATTGCTAAACGTTTTGTGCTTCAAGTAAATGAATCCCGATCAGTTTATTATTGTCTTACCACACTGACCGCTTCAGAAATTTGACGACCACTTTGGCATACACCATCCTGTCTGGTTTTGGATCTGGAAAGTGAGTAGCGATTGGAATAGTGTCGCAGATCTGATCCCTAGAATGCGAGCACACCTTCAAAGGACGAACGTCACTACTGGCTACAACACGGCAGCGTCAAGCAGGAGTAGTATCTACGACGAAGAGAGCTATCACGATTCGACTGTCTTGTTTCGAGAAGGGTATTGCGTGGCCGCCGCAGATCTCGCCGCACAACTACAAGTGCCTCTTGTGGACGGACTAGGTCCTCTCTACGATCAGGTCTTGGGTACGGGTCTTTTGACGGCGTATCAACACGGCCTCAAGGCTCTTGATAACGGCACTACCCAACAACTAACAATTTTTGAGAAAGGCCAGCTCTTGTTCTACACACGCAGATTGTCCTCTCCCGAGATAGACCATTATACTGCGGCCGGATTCAGGTTCGCTCCATTGAACCGTGTGGAAGGTGCCATCGCGAACACAATGCAGATCCCGATCGGTCTCCTCGCGATACAGATGCAGCGCGTCCAAGACTTTGCATACAGGGCGAGTGTGCCTTGTCCTCCAAAGCAAGGCACCTTCTTTGTCTGTCTCGCAGCTCTTGCTCGAGTCCGCGATAGCTTCCGTGTGCTTGTACCAATCGACAGGCAAGACGAGTTGCCGGACGTGCAGGTTTCTCCGCACCACATGAACTCACGGCAGCTGGGCTGGCTCAAGCGTTATAATAATTGGCCAGCGGAGAGGTTCATTTGGCACATCAAATTGAAGGAGCAAAACTGGGGTATGTTGGAGGATGACGACGAAAAGGCATTCCTTATCATGCTTCGAACCGCTTTGGGCTCACTTGTCACAAAAATTGGAGAACGCTGGTTCATGGATCTCGTATTCTGTGCGGAACCCATAACCATACGCTACGGTGCGAACAAGGCCCAGAGAGATGGTATGACGATGGTGTTTGGCTTTACTAGGTTGATGGACATTCACCAGCCGGCTCGCAAACTCCCTGCCGGCCTTACGCTCGCCAGTTGGGATCTTGTGAGGATGCGACAACACTATTATCGCGGATGCAATGATCAGGGCAGGATGCGAAGAGAAGTTCAAAAAGAGTTTGGACCTCTGCTTGCAAAGCATGAAGAAGACATACGTTCGGAAGGACAGCGAGTCAAGTCTCAGAAGTTCGATCGAACACGTTCACCATGTTCGGATGACAGCGGTGTTCTCAAGGATGACTATTGGCTGGAAGGCAGGCATGTGGAGGGAAGGAGAGGCTCAATCGACTCGATCGTTGGGCATCCCCATTCGTGGGGCGGCATCCTCGCGACTACAGACACGGTTATCGAGGGCGTGTCCAAGTCGACGATTGAGTTAAGCAATCTGACTCCTCAAGTCACGGCAGGAGCCTCAGCGATGGTGATCGCCAAAGAGCCCAAGACTTTTGTGGATTGCCTCTACGAGCAGGCGAAGAGTCGTGCTGGTCTTGCAGTTGGTTCCTGAAGAATACGGTCTAGGTCTTTGTGTCCCTGTAATTTGATTTTCCTGAGCTGTTTCGAGTATCTCTACATATTGTAATCTATCCACTTGGAAGCCAACTCGATACATCGTTCATGATCGAGGACCAATATCAACGCTCTCAATGCTTGGTTGTGACTTTCTGATTAGTGCCTACATCTCTCAGCAGGGCAGGGTCACTGACTAATCGATGGCTTTCGAGTTCATATAGTGACGAAAAACCTACTGCATCTCACGTATCTATAAGGCAAGCACGAGCAGTGTTGCCATTTCCTGGTTGGACTTGAGGACGTCTAATCAGTATATTGTGGCCACTCCCAAATCAAATGCTTAGCTTTTGGACACACGAGGCATTGAAGTCATATTTGATGCATACAGCTGCTCGATTTACTTGGGAACGGAACAGTTAGAGAGGTTCCTCGTGATCGAGAAACGACCAGAGTTGATGTTGTATACAGAATGTAGAATGGTGTTCTGGAAGACGATACCTTTCGAGCCTCGTTGCTCAAAAGAAGAGAAGTTCCACCTCTTATCATGTCTTCACTATGGTATAGGATTCGGACCTTTGCATGCTACTTTGGCATTTTCCGACTCGGGGGGACTGTTTCTATGCATGCGGGCTGTCGCATTGCAGTAGCGCAGTTGCGATATCGTATGGTCGTGAGGAAACTTAGGTTGGGCGACAGGTAGTTTGCGCAATTGAATGCGATCGTGCCATGGTCAACGAGACCGAAGGTGATGAGCTGGCAAAGGGGGCCAGCAGACGCACAGAAAAGGTGTTATCCAGGACCGATGCGAGGCATGTCGTGGTGCTCGCTCAAGGTCGACAGGTACTTGTTCAGCTCCTCGACGCGTTCCTTGTGAGTCTTAACTCCTTCGCGCATCAATCTCTCTTCAAGCTATGGTCTTGTCGTCAGCATTCATACAGTTCTTGCAGCCAGTACTCGAATGCCAGGACTTACGCGCTTGCGTCTGGTTTCCTCATGGCGTCGTTCATATTCCGTCTTTCCATCGTCGGGTATGAGACTCTCTTGCTTGTTCTTCTCTCTCTGTTCTAGATCTGTAGTGTTCTCGAGGTCGGTCGTATCTTTGGCAGGTGTTGCATCTTTGGAGCTGGAAGTCGCAGCGGCGACGGCAGAGGATTTGGACGACGATGACTTCTTCTTGCGCTTCTTTTCTATGCCGGCGTTTTTGGCGCCTTTGAGTTTGAGGCCGCCGCCTGCGGAGGTGTATTCTGACGACGGCATGGCTGGTGGAAAGGAAGGTGCGATGGGAGGTGGCATGTGGGGGTGCTTTGGCTGGTTGACAGCTGCCTCGCGACGACTGCGACAACAGAGACTACGACATTGCAACGAACGCTTGAGATATTTGTTTCAGATCAGATGTATGAACGGCAAGTGCTGATGGCTACACGATATTCGTATATAGAGATATAGGTCATGATTGTGTGCAAATGACATCTGTCCTGGACCGGCTGGAGGTCGATACGTGGATACGCAGCTGTCTTGAGCAACAACATACTCTGCACGCAAAGACACGAACGTCTACACGAACGGACAACAGCTTGAACAGCTCAATGCTCGATGGCTACACGGTCTCTATGTTGACAAGGACTCAGCTCCAGCAACACTCGCAACATTTCGACAGCACTTCTCCATAGCACCATCTCTTCTCAAGCCAGACACACAGAGCTCTTCTTCAAAGACCAGCTATCAAAGCCAGATCATTCAATGAAAAGGTAGGTACAATGTGATAGACCACAAAGTGTGAAATAAAAAATTCCGCTCGCCGAGCCCCCGAAGGAGATCGGTAGAGGTACTTCTGCGCGCTGTGCAATGCACGAAGTTCCTCTAGACACCCGGCCTTCATGATCGCCAGCGTCCAAACAAGGTAAGTATGAAGAGAAAAGAAGAAAGAAGAAGAAGGAAAGAGCTTGCGTTTGGCCCGAATCTGACCATGGTTTTATACACCTCTCTCGCCTATTTGCTTACTAAGCTTGCCCTTGGCAGAGGAGTCGGTGTGAATGCGGAGGTATGAGTGAGTTGGAGAAGGTGAGAGAAAGTAAGAGAACGGAGAAAGATGAGTGAGAAGGCTGGGAATGAACAATGGCTGGATTCATTGGAGCCTCGGAGCCTGAGCCAGTGAGAAAATGAGAGTGTTCTGAGCTGACACACTGATACTCACATGCAGTGAGGATAGTGATGTTCCAGTTTGTTCAATTGGTTGATGGATGAGACCAGTAGAGTAAATCGGACTTATTACCAGGTACTTTCTGGTTGTTGATTGCTCCCTTCATGTTCCAGCCTAAAGCCAGAAGACACAATGGGGGACCGAGGCCGTAAAGCCTGGATTGACCGAGATCAAAGGAGATCTGGAAGACCGAGTCCATGTTGGACTGGAAGAACCGAGTCTGAACAGACTGGAGAGACCGAGCTCACAAGGAACTGGAATGACCGAGACTGCAAGAGCCTGGAGAAGAACCGAGGCCACGAGGGCCTGGAGGAGGCTAAGAACCTCGCATTCACCTAGACAGTGATTTGCTTCGAGGCACCAGAGTCTGGGCCACCCTCGTCATCGTTGGGGTCCTTCCTGAGAGGACCGCGGGCAGGCAAGTTCTTGCTTGAACCTTTTTCAGCCTTGAGCTTGGCGATTCTGTCGAGCGCAGCAGCAGCGAGACGGCTGCTCTTGTCCTTGCCCTTACCTTTGCCTTTGCCCTGGGCTCGGGGCTTTTGAATGCCTCCTGAGGAGGAGCGACCAGACGCAATATTCACGAGGATTTGCAGGGCTGCAACCCGGGATCTCTCCTGAGCTTGCCAGGAGACACGGTCTACGCTCGTGCGCCTGGCGCGCACTACAGTACCTGGTACTGTGGGATGGGGTGAAGCGCCCATGGTACTCGCCTGTGTCAACGCTCAGTCAGTGGTTACATTTTAATAATTTAACAAGAAGTCTTGACCTACACCAAGCACGACCACAGGCATCAAAAAGATCCGAGGGATCAGCCCGAGGGGTGCATCTGCTGCCAGAGGCAACGGCGGCGGCAGAGGCAGCAACGAGGGTTTCCTGCTGGCGCAGAGGTTCTTGTGCATCCTCGATGCGCACCTGTAGAGCGTCCTCGGCTAGCCTGTCGCCCTCGTCGCGGAAACATTGTTGCTGCACGCGCAGCTCCTCCACAGCGCTCGGAGTGGTGTCGTTGTTGTTGGACTGTCCGAGTAAGTGCTTGTTAGTGTAATAAGCCTGATCAGAGACGAACCATGAGAGCGGTGTTGATATGAAGATGTGAGGATGGAAAGATGCGATGGTTGGAAGAAGAAGAAAACAAGGTGAAGGGGTGTGAGCTTCGCTTTGTTTATCAAGTCTGTGAAGCGAAGCGATAGACGCGCGGAAGTGATGAAACAGCAAAAAGTGAAACGACTCTCACCGCGCAGTCAGGTCGGTAATAGTCTTGATTCGGTAGGGCTCTCTCTCTTGATCTAAACCCTACAATCGAATCTGTAAAAATGCACAATAGAATCATGAATGCAGTACACGTCCAGCGAGAGACATGATTTCATCAACTCTCTCTGGACATCAATCGAGACTGAACAGAACTGTGCATTTTTATAGCCTACCTAAATGACATGCGCCTGGCGGGAGACGGTAGTCGTCTCTGTTCTCATACAGGAGGTTTTCTTCATGTCAAGATGCATAGTACTTTCCCAAAGCGGAGAGGTGTCCAATGAGAGCCACAATGCCATCGGCTCTCTCTGGAATCAACCAGAAACTCGATACATTCGTGCATTTTGATAGGTGAAAGATTGGGCTTCATCGACGCATGAGAGTAGAGGATCAGAACGCAGCCACATCTTCGACCAGGGCTACAATCAAGGACACCAGAAGTAGATGTATCTCTGGAGGCCTCTCAGCTCTGGAAAACAACTGTGCATGTTGATGGTTGTCTGCGACGGTATGAGATGTCATCAAACGGGTGATGCCAATGGATCTGGTTGTTGCTACATCCAAGCGAAGGTGACATTTCTTTACAAGCGTCTATAGCATTTGAAGAACAATATCAGCGTGTAACAAGAATATCGTGTTCACGACACTCTCACTCGTTGATTGAAGTCCAGGTCGAGGTCAAGTCGGACGGATTCAGCCGGCTAAGCGAACGCCAACTCCAGACGCACAGACGCCAAAAATCGCAACCAGAGCGCGCAAAGTGCGGGCTCCCTTTTTTTTCTTCCTTCTCTCAAGCGTAGGATATTCATCTCTTTGCGCCCACTACAACTCCTCGTCCTCTCCACCCCCCAACGACAATCCAACACCGTCAAAATGGTTGCTGCCACCGTATGTGATTGAGAATCCAAACCGCTTTGCTGCTTCTTGCAGTAGGCTGAGATTAGTTTCAATGTAGAAGCCCACCGCCGCCAAGGGTGCTAAGAAGAACCAGAAGGTCACCAAGAAGGTGTGTATATCCTTTTGAGGATGTCTAGACAAGAAGCGCAATCGCTAATCTCCAAAACAGTTCATCATCAACGCTTCCCAGCCCACCAACGACAAGATCTTCGACCCTTCTGCCTTCACCACCTTCCTCCAGTCCCGCATCAAGGTTGACGGTCTTACCGGTAACCTCGGCGAGCGCATCACCGTCACCAACCTCAACGACGGCAAGATCGAGGTCGTCGCCCACCAGGAGTTCTCCGGTCGCTACCTCAAGTACCTGACAAAGAAGTTCCTCAAGAAGCAGCAGCTCCGTGACTGGCTCCGCGTCGTCTCCACCTCCAAGGGTGTCTACGAGCTCCGCTTCTACAACGTCGTTGGCGAGAACGAGGAGGAGGATGACGAGTAAACTTTTTCGCCTCAATTTGTAAAATCTTTGAGTTGCTGAAAAGAAAAGTTTTTCGTCCATTTGAGGGAATGCTCATGGATGGGTTGATATCGTATTAGATACCCCAACAATTCATCTCTTCCCGCAAAATCTGTTGCCTTTTGTCGTTGTGATTTGAAAATCGTGTTCTGTGTTACAATGGTCTTGCGCGCTTTCATTTACCTTCAACACATGATGGCGACCCATGAGCTAAATGTGAGCAACGTAGGAATGGGTTCGAAAGAGACGTTGTCATGTACACATGTATTCGATGTATTATCCACAAGATTCCATCCATAAAATCCTCCCATTGATATCACCGCTTGAACGAAAGATCATACCACCAAATGTGCGCCATATTGTACACCCAATCTAGAATCATGTACAAAGAAAAGAAAGCCTGCTGTACTCAGTATCCTTGCATCTGCAGATACCTCTTTTCATCTCCTCTATCGTCGCCCGAGTCCCAACTCTGGCGCCTGGTATCGGGCTCCAACTCATGTAACTGTGTCGCCGTGGCATCCATTTCGAAGATAGGCTCGTTGTTTCCTTCCATTTCAAAGGTGTTTTGCGGTAGCTTGCCATAGAACTCGTGATGGCCACCAGCGGCATCCAATTCGCCACGCCATGGTGCATCCATCTCGGATGCATTAGGTTTGCTCGCACCAGCGATTTCATGAATCTGCCTCGAGCTATCGAGTTCGCCTCCAGTGGGTGTATTAACGCCTGCATGAGGATCCTCCTTCACGGGCGACGAAGGATCAGATGATGTTTTTGCTGCAGCGAAGGATTTTGCTTCCAACTCGACAGCTGCGTACTTCTTTTGTTGCTTCTTGCGACGCATGTACCAAAGAGCTGCCGCGAGGATGGCAATGACTGCAAGCACACCGATCACAATACCAGCAATAGCGCCGCCACTGATACCACTGCTCTTACCACTTCCATCGGAGGAGAATTTGCTGTCCGGAGAGAAGATCGTGTGAATCTCGGATGCTGCATTTTGCTGCCAAACACAAGGAGCGACTGTAAAATTACGACGTTCGTAATCTGCAACAACGTATGCCTCTTGCAAGAAGGTCCGACCCAAAGTGTATTGCGTATCGTTGGCAGCACGCTTTAGAGGGAAGTAGCGAGTCGAGTTGGCCACATACGGGAAGGCGAGTTCCAAATCGAAGGCTGAATAAGGAAGTGTAATGTTGATCGTTTGTCCTCCTGATGCTGACTGGCCAAGGGTGAATGTGACACTTGTATTGTCTGCTAATAGTTGCTTGTGCAAAGTGTCGTTGACTAAGTAATATTGGTAAGTGTCGTTCCAGACAAGACCGAAGTTTTCCTCAAAAGCGCTACAGATGACCTCCGGCAGATAGAGATAAGCAACGGTCGAATCAATCAAGGCGTAGAAAGCTTGGGACGGCTCTGCCAATTCGATATGGTTTGATGTTGTGATGGCCTGTACCCCAACGAGGAGATCTCTTGAGACATCGGGGCCGAAGGGTATTGTCAAGTTGGTTGGCTCAAATTTGGATTGGTCGTAACCGCCAAGTACAAGACTGCCATAGACACCGGAGTAGCCTGTCGCTCATCAGCACTTGCCACAATCATTCTTGTCATTGTACGTGACTCACGATATTGGTTGCCAGCAGTATAGCCCCAGCTCAAACTCGGAATAGTGTTGTTTCTCTTCAGTTGTGTCATAAAACTCGGCTGAGGATCTGTATAGGTGGTGAAGTTGGCTGGTTGTGGGTTGAGTCCAAAGGTTCCGAGCCAGAATTGGTAGTAAGCCATATTTGCGATAGTGCTGTGTTGTACTGAAGGGCCGCCAGAGCCTTGCCATCCCAAGGTGACGGTATCGAACCCATAGTTTGCCTCATCATCTAGACCCAAGGCCATCTCGTTTGGCAAACCCAATTGAAAGATGGAGTTGGGTACCCATGTCAAAGACTCGTTGGTTAAGAAAAATTCACCGCGTGATTCTTCGCATCCAGATACTGATGATGCCATACCCGAGCATCCGAGTGGCCGTACGGTCCAGGTTGTGTATCCGTTTGTCGAAATGAAGACTCGAACATCTTGCGCCGGTGTGCCAACCTGGAGAGGGAATGAAGACCTGCCACAATATCAGCCTCTGTCCCATCTATTGACTGCCCTGTCGCAAGACTGCGATCATACCAAGGTCCATCGGCCCCATCCCAGTATTGCGATGCCTCTACATTGGTGGGCAAAGGAATATCCGTCGTGTTTGCGCGTTTGGCCAAAGTTTTTGCAGGAAGTATCGATTTTGCCATATCAGAGAAATCGTAGGATGCGGCAGACTCGAGGAAGAGAGCGCTGAGCGCTGCGGTTCGGAAGCGCATGACCGGAGGAGCGCGTGACAGTCTTTCGGGCGCGACAGATGTGTGTGTTTTGTATACGAGATGTCACGGACGTCGACAGAGAAGGATACCAGAACGATAGACCATTAAAATTTGCTTATGTGAAAATGAGAGATGAGGCCATGAGCAGGGATCGCAAGAGACATGAAACAGAAAGAAGGAAAGGAACACGAGCTGCTCTGTCTCTCTCTTCCTCGCCCCTAATAGGCAGTACCGGCGAGCCACACCACTTGACTCTGAGCTTCTACGTCGCTCAGTGAAAAGGCAGCGAAACTCTGTTTGGAAGAACGGCGGCCCCGGATTCTATTGCGCTCTGGCCCTCATAACGGATGCCCTGACAGCCGATCGTGGTCGATGTATTTGGGTGGTGGTTGTGAGAGACGCAGCGCAGAAGGTGTTCCTCGCTTAGGATATGAAGTACAGTACAGTACCTTGCAGAAATCCTACCTGTCAGACATCATTGACTCGATCTCAAGAGCATCATCTGTTGCTCGTCTCATGCGTTCGCAGAACCACGAGCATGCACGAACAACGGACGAGCAAAGATCGTTGCTTGGCTTCGTCATAGCGACCCTTTTTGGTCCAGCCGAATACGGGACGGTCTGGGAATAAATAGAAAAGCTTGGCTAGCGAAAGGGCAGAGATTTGGCCAATCATACCAGTGAATGGCATCCTTACATTGGACCGAGAGACGCTGAAACACTGGAACATAGCATGATCAACAACCAATAACTGGTTTCTTTCTGAAGCAATCTGGTTGAGACATTCACGTGATCGTATAGTAAACCCTGACGACTCTACGAGTGACTCTTGGTATTATGCCTGGCATGACAATAAGCCTGTTATGCTTTTGCACCAGAAGAACTCTACCATGGGATACATGGCTATCTCTTGAGCGTCTCGTAACCTTGGCTCTATAAAGGGTAGATAAGCTCTAGGGCTGTGTACAGCACTATTACGTGCTACATCTTCTACTCCTTGGGCACAAGGCCTCTGAGGCTGAGATCATACACAACATCTTCGACTTCCTTGACGCGGTACTTGATACCATCCGATCTCTTGCGGAGAGAATCGTTCTTGAGATTCAAAATCTGGAATCCGGCATGCAGGTGCTTGATGAACTTTGCAATGTGAACAGGACGAGAGTAGTCACCCTGAGTCACACTGTTGCGAGCGAGACGTGCCTGTGATGGATGTTAGAACATTTATAAACACACAACGAACCAATTGACTCACAAGTTCATCAACCAAAGAAATCAACGACTGAAGGTACTCCTCGATAGTCAGATGGAAGACGTCTCTGTCCTTAACGTTGACGGGGACTGTAGAAGGTCAGATCTTGTTGTTGGATGAGAAACCCTGGTCTCCTTACTGTTCATAATCTGGCCAACCTCCTCGAGGGTCAGAAGACGGCCATCCTGAGATCCAGCTCCAATATCAGAGAAGCCACCGAGGTAGCCACAGAACAAGATCGAGAAGGACTAGGGTTTGGAAGAAGAGGTCAGTTGACAACGAGCAAGACTTTGAAACCAAAAACTAACAGCGTCTTGTACATGTCTTGTCCACATGCCATTGTACTTGTAGTAAGGATACTTTGAAGCAGCATCTGAAAGCTTGACGATAGATTCAACTTCCTTGCTGATAGAATCTTGAGCCGAAGAAACGACAGCAGGAACTACCGTGAGGTTAGGAAAAGTGTTTTCGCGACCAAGTAAGTGTCACTGACGCTCGTTTTTGCTTGAAGAGTGTGCGCGGGAAAGAATTGCCTGTGTTGATCGATCTGCCACATGTCAACATACAGCTCTACGGTCGGGCACTGGGACCTTGACCTTGCTTTTCAAGTGTTTGCACAATCTCGCGGATTGACTTGAGCATTGGTTAGTATAGAGCACGAAACGCATGAAATTGGGTTGGGAGTGTTTACTTCTCTGACTTCAGTCTCTTCGTCGATCTTCTTTTGCAAGCTCTCGAAGATTTGAGGCTGCAGCAATCCTTGTGTGCTTCCAGACATTTTGATCGTGTGGTGTTGTATAATGGTGTTTGAGAAGTGTCGATTTGCTGCTTCGGTGGGCAAATGTTGTGGAGAGCAAAAGCTTCGACTACATCATCACGGTAATCTGCGCAGCACAAAATCACGAACAGAATTTCAATGCACAGCCAATTGGTATTGTTCGTAAGAGTGAAGATGAATTTTATTGATGCACAGTAACTACATTTCGCCTGCGAACTCAGTGCACCATAGTGGTCAGACATACTCGGCATCGAGAAAAAAATGGTGAGATGCATACAGCATGAGTGGAATCTTGTATTATTTTGGTTGCTCGTCGTGCCCTTTGGACAGGCAAGATGCTCTGGTAGAGATATACGGCCGGAAGCATGTATTATTACATGCCCCCCATTCTGGTCTTTGCAGGATCGAACAGAGTGGACCTCCTCAATATTTCCGAAGCCGTGATGTGGCTCAAAGTTCATATCTTTCGTTCTCTTCTGATACAAGCTGCTACACGCAGCAATGGTGTCATCGAGTAGAGGGTGGTATCGAGGTGGTGAAAAAGTGGAAGGGAGAGGGGCGATCTATCGCATGAGGCCACCTGATTGAGCCATGGCTGCATTCTGCTCCTGGAATCTCTGGCCGAGGCGCTCAGAGCCCTTGATGAACTTGTCGACGCAGCGCATGGTGCAACCCTCCTCCTTGGACGAGAGCTTGGACGAGGTGAAATCATCGACGCAGTGCTCGAAGCAACGCTGGACGAGGTTGCTGTACATCTGAGGTGGCAGTTTCAGCAAGGGATACATCGAAGCATGGCTGAAGAAGAACATACGTTCATGAACTGCGACATCTGCTTCTTCTCCATGCGCATGGCGAGTTCGCGCTGCTCGTTGGCGTTGAGACTATGCCATGGTCAGAGGATACTTTGGGCAAGTGCAATCAGGCATGACATACCCGTCCATTTTGTCAGTGTGAAAGAGGTCGAAGAATTGTAGAAGAACAGAGATGTGGTCTTGATACAAGGCTTGAATGAATCTTTCTGTCGCAACTACGAAGCTGCAAGACTGACGACGGAAGCTCAATCCACACTCACGTGCGGACCTTTCCGGGCGTCACGCTTCAAGAGCATCTCCAAACCTGCCCCTCTGACCGCTCTCTGCCCTCAGATGCGATCTGCGGTGCACAACTTATTCACATATTGGAGTGAAAGACTACAAGCAGACTTTGTTTTGTCATGTGGTTGGAAAACTGTGTGTGACGACTTCGGTGCCAGTCTGCCCATCAGTCTGAAGCCATGCCGTGCAGCCACGACCGACAGCGTCACAGCATGCAGTGCCATGGCCGTTGGCTCGCTCCTTTAGGCGGGCTATAAATAAACAAATGCTCTCGTGCAAATCATCACAGGTCGTCATTCGCGGTGAGATTGGCTTGTATATAGCGTGGATGGCCCCAAGCTCGAGTCCTCATCTGCTCCGCACCTACCTACTCCACAATCTTGGACCATCTCCAGATCTCTACAAGTAGCTTTATCAGAGCGACTGGCATGGTTGTGTGATGTCTGGGTGGCTGGTGCCAAGAGTGTAACAATATAATGGCCGTCGCAACAGAAATACAGCGACGAAGACATTGAGCCGGCGCAAACCTGCTTTGACTCTGTAGGGCGCGTCATTTCTCATTGGTGTTGGGTGATTTAGCGATGTTCGGGTGTTTTGTCCATGTAGCCGCGACAAAGCAGGAGAGGCAGGCAACCGCTCTCTCATCTCAAACAGCGGAAAGTCAGCCGCCAAGTCCGTCCTCGCTGTGGACTTCGTTGGTCTCTTGATTCATCCTCGCTCTTCCGTGCATACATAACCTCTGCGAACATCCACGTCGTTTGTTATTGATTTTGGCCCAGCCAGAGCTACCACGCAGCAAGACGGCGGGCCTGCATAATTTACACCAGCGCCGAGCATGCCCATGCCGTCCGGCGGGCATCCAGGCGCGACCCTGGCACCTCCTGCGCCGACCACGACCGCTTCGTCCGCCGAGGCCGTCCAGTCGAAGCGCGACCTGACCTCGTGGTGGAAGAACTTCAAGCGTGCCACGCCTCAGAGAGTCCAAGAAGAGAAGCGTAAATATCCCCATCGCCGTGCCCTGCTGTCTCGCACACTTTGCGCAGCGCCCTGTTGTGTCGTCGCCTTCACATGCTAATCCGTTGCTTGTCGCGTAGCTCCCCAAGGCATCTTCGGTGTCCCGCTCCAAACCAGCATCCGCTACGCAAATGTCGCCATCTCGCTGTTCAACGAACAGGGCCAGAGCTATATCTATGGTTATGTCCCTATAGTCGTCGCCAAATGCGGCGTCTACTTGAAAGAGAAGGGTGCGTCAACAACATACTCAGAATCACACATGCAATATGCTAACCGCGGCCATAGCTACTGATGTTGAGGGCATCTTTCGCTTGAGTGGATCCGAGAAGCGCATCAAGGAACTGCGCATTGCTTTTGACTCTCCCGATCGCTACGGCAAGGGCCTTGACTGGAGTGGCTACACCGTCCACGATGCCGCCAACATCCTGCGCAGATACTTCAACCAGTTGCCTGAACCCATCATCCCTCTCGAGTTCTACGAACGCTTCCGCGATCCGCTCAGAAATCACCAAGCACAAGCTGTTGGCTCGATGGACATGCAAGCTCCCAACATCGGCCACTTCGACGCTGGCAAGGCTATCCGTGTCTATCAGAACCTCATCACTGAATTGCCGCCTCTGAACCGCCAGCTACTCCTGTATATCCTCGATCTCCTTGCAGTCTTCGCTTCCAAGTCGGACCTCAACAAAATGACTACACCCAACCTTGCTGCCATCTTCCAGCCTGGCCTCTTGTCGCATCCCCAGCACGATATGGCTCCTCCCGAGTATCGACTCAGCCAAGATGTCCTGATTTTCCTCATTGAGAACCAAGACTCGTTCTTGATCGGCATGCACGGAACGGCTGCTGACGAAAAGACGGTCAAGGAAGTTCAGAGCGGCGCTCCGACTCCCAAATCGCCAGGATCACCGCTTACTCCAGCAAGATCAAGAACTCTCCTTGGCCGCTCATCGTCTAACGCTAGTGCCGGTGCCGAGAGTGTCCGCCTGTTCGGCAATCTTCGCAGGAATGTTTCGGTATCCTCCAGAGCTTCCAAGCGCTCTGGACATCTTCAGGGCCATGTCACACCTACCCTCGGCAGTCCTGCTAATTCTGGCGGTATCCATCGCAGCAACACTGTTCCTTCAAAGCATGGCGCATCTCCACATTTCCGTCGCGAGAAAAGCTCAGAGCCACCTACTCCCAGTCCTGGTTCTGGACCCAGTCCTCTTCCTATCGTCATTGACACTGCATCAATTGCAAAGAACAGCATTTCTGAAGAACGTACTCCTGTTGCTCCCACACCTGCTTTGGCTTTCCCAACAACCACATCGGTGCCAGTCGTTACGCCCTCTTCAGTTGTTCAGCCTTCTCAACCTGTACCTCTTGCACCCGAAGTCATATCTGCATCATCTAGCGAAGCAACCACCCCTCTTGCTACTCATGGCACAGAGACCATGGGATTGTTGCAAAGAGAACACACTCAATCCAGCACTACGCCTTTGCACATCGCTTCACCTACTGGCGACCGAAGACTAAATCCTGCTGACCGTTCTCCTTCTGGCACCCCTTCTCGCGCTATCTTGGATTTTTTGAAGCCCTCGCCTGGAGGAGGCAGTGACAGCGAGAGAAGGGAAGGCCGCAAGCCTAACAAGCTACAAAAGAAGCGTATTCCTGGAAGTACACTCTCTAGTGCTCACAGCTCTGCTCACTCTCTTCAAAACGAACCTGATTCTCTGAACGATTATTTTGCTTCTCCAACGACCCCGGTATATGATTCGCGCGCCCAGGACTATGTCACTGAGTATGGCAACGACCGCTCTGCGTATGCCACGGCTCAGACATCCCCCAAATTCATGACTCCGCAGCGGACGGAGACTGATGCAACTCTCAGACCTACTGTGTCGCCAGTACATTCGTACCATTCCACCGATGTTACGGATGTGACCGATGCTTCTGACGTAGATCACACAGACCAGTTTCCGTCATCTGCTGAGAAACCAGAAAAGAAACGCCGCTGGCGATTTTCAAGGCAGGCAGAGAGTCGAGAAGGCAACGACCATGCTCGCACAAATTCAAATCTTGGCAACATGAACAGCGCAGACCAAAGCAAGTCTACTATCAGCAGTTCAAGCGTTGGGCAAAATCGGCGTAGCTTCCAGGACAGCCATGTAATGTCGGATCCTGAATCTGTGTTGTCTGACAATGACAACAAGAAAGGACCAATGAGTTGGATCAGGAGCAAGTTGAGTGAGCGCAAAGAGCGTGAAGCAGAAAGAAGGGCGCGATCGCCGATCAAGGTTTTGAAAGAGGAACACAATGATTCCAGGCAGAGTCTCAACATGCCGACGGACAGAGGAAAGAGTGTTGAACTATCAAGACAACGGTCTCCCGCAGCACCACGAGCTGCACCGGAGACAAGCACTGCCAATGTACATGGTGCCTCACCATTGGCAAGCCTGAACCCACAGCTTCCTGGACAGACTGAGAGCAGCGCTGCTCCTGTCACAAGTAGCGAAGGTCAAGTACAAGTCGCTGCGCAAGGCTCAGGAATGACTCAACTCGAGTCTACCAACAATACTCTGCCGAAGCAAATGCAGCCCTTCGAGTCTGCCCCGAACGCTCAAACCTAGGTTGTTTGGTGTGGGGAGGATGGAAACCTAGTGACTGGAGGCTCTTGGACATCAGGTACAAAACGCACAGACAGGGCCAGGATTATGAAGTGATGGTTGTCCCTCTGTTGGACAAGGAAAAGGAGGCACGGTAGAACACTTTGGGTTTTGTGCAACTGGGCAAAATTGTTAACATACTGCATTCAACAGCCACTTTTTACTTCTCAATTCGAATTATCATAGGGTCCCTTTCCAGGGAGAAGCACTTTTTTATGAGAAAATTCATTCTGGTTCCCGAACACATGGTGAGAGCCACATGTACAACATGCAGAGTGTTATTTGCTTTCTCAGTTCGCAGGTTATGCATGCAGAATGCACTATTCATAGCGGTACAGAAGTACATCAAAGCACCATGTGTGAGCAAGTGCCCGCGGGCCTCGGGGAACGTCTTCGGAGTACAGATGCAGTCTTTCAGGAACAAGGAATCGTGTACAAATCAAAAGCAGAAGATGCAGGATCGACAACCTTGTCTAGAGACGTCTCTTACGAGATTTACGAGCTAAGCTCGCTGAAACTCGCGTCAGCATGCCTGTTGAGCAGCTGCCAGCAGGCCAAGGAGATGCCCCCACCAGACAGCGAAAGTATCACGTCGAGGTGGAGTATTTGGTGAGCGATGAGCCAGGCCAAGGCATAGGCATCCCCAACTGATGTACGTGATCGAAAGCTTGAATCGCTGGCAAGGCGCGCTTGCCTCGTGTTTCAAGAGGAGGATCAGTGGAGGATCAGACGGCCTCTAAACAAGTGCTTACAATTGGGGGAGTCAGTCAATGTGGACCAAGTCTTTGCTGCACGAACGGCAAGAAAACGAAGCGCGGCTTAACGTCATGTCCGTTGAGCGACGGATAGGCGGGAAGCCGTGCGTCCTCAAGCCCAAAGGCGCGTGGCGTACGCAATGGTGGTATGCGTGGGCTTCTGTGATGGTTTCTACAGGACTCATTGCTAGTCTGACCGCGCTGGTTAGGGAGTGGTATAGCTGGGTGGCGAGCGGTAGGATGAAGTAGCGTTTGAGAGCACGGCTTTATTTTTGGACTGCACTGCCCAATTGGACGGGCTGGGCGCAGTGTGGTTGAGTTCGCGTGGTGCCAGAGATCGTGGCCGTCATGGTGCCAAGCTCATCGAGGCTTCGCCGGCCTTGCGATCCGAGCAGCTTTCAAGGTTCGACGGCTGCCAGCGTGTGCCGTCCCAGTGCACGAAGTCTTCCAGGTTTGCCCTTCATATCCTGCAGCACCTGCAGCACTGCTCTTCCTTACCATCTCTTCCTACATTCATTCGCTTTTGAAAGTCGTCCTTATTGAACCGTCTTCTGAAACCGTCGTTGCAAAAGTCGTTGCAGAAGCAAATCTCCAAGACCTCAAGGAGGCTTTACGATTGGATAAGCCTCATATCGTATCGTGGAGCTATAAGTCAGCCACACGTTCGCTTATACACAATAGCTGATCCTGTACGTATCCGTACTTTTTGTCTCACCCGTCCTATTCCTCTTCTAACGCGTCTTCCCCTTCAAAGGTTGTGCACCTTTTGTCCAAAGCACACCTCCGCTATTCATTGCGACGCGATGCCTTCGATTCGGTCACTCCTGTTCGCTGGACTCCAGGTTACTGGCTTTGCGCTGGCCGACTTTACCGATAACCATGAGGACACACCAGATGTTGGCGGTTTTAGGCAAGCCTTGGGTCGCCTACCTGAAGAGTCAATCCATGCCGCACTGTCTGGACATCTAGGAGGAAAGTATCAGGCTGGTGTATTCGAGAAGGACCACAGAGCCATGGAGCATATCCATAACGACAACCCGTCGCTGGCTCAGCGTCTCATCGAGATTGCGAAGCACGATGTCGCTGTTAGAGCAGAACTACGCAAGAGACAGGACAACTCCGCCGACAACGCAACCGCCATCGCCGTCCCTTCGACCTCTTCGACTGAGGCATCTTCGACCAGCACCGAGGCCATTCTCGTTACCGATTCAAGCACAACGTCCGTTTCCTTGAGCACAGAGACATCAGCTCCGTCGACAACCAGTGCTCCTGCATCAACTACTGGATCGTCTGTAGCTCCTTCGAGCACCACAGGAGGTGAGAGCAGTGCTGATTTGTCGTCCGCTTCTTCCTCTGCATTAAGTTCTGCTTCCCCCACGTCAAGCTCGGATACTGTTGTTGCTCTCTCTTCCGGCTCGTCTGTTGTCTCTTCCTCCCAGGCCTCGACCTCCGAGACCTCCTCTGTCGCCCAGAGTTCTGCTTCCTCCCAACAGAGCTCTGGTTCTTCTGCTGCTGCGTCCTCCTCCGCAGCACAGTCTTCTGTTCCGTCCTCTACCCGCGAGACTTCCCAGACCTCTGATGCTTCTTCTGTTTCACCGTCCTCATCCCCTTCTTCTGGTGCAACTTCGTCTGGACGTAGCTCATCAGTTATAGCATCCTCCACTGAGGACTCATCCTCTGCTTCTTCCGCAAGCTCAGCAGCCGCTTCTTCTTCTGCCGAAAGCTCTGCCGCCGCATCCTCACAGAGCTCTGCCGCCAGTTCTATCGCACCTACCGTTGTCGCCGTTACCACCACAAACTCAGCTGGAAGCACCATTGAGAGCTCGGCCACCGCTTCCCGCGAGATTGCTGCTTCTAGCAGTGCCACCGCTGCTTCGACTGCTTCTGGTGTCCTTGTCCCTGTTGTTCTGTCAAGCACCAACAACGATGGAAGCACCGTGGTCCAGACTACTTCGGCTTTCCAGCCATCTGCATCCGTCAGTGTCGAGCAGACCTACACCACTACCAACTCACAAGGTCGTGCTGTGACCACTTCTGCTCGTTTCCCTGGTGTTGTCGTCGTCAGCACTGACTCGCGTGGCTCAACCTTTTCAACAACATCGGCTGTTGCTAGCGTAGCTGTCAACCAGAATGGAGACATTGTCAGTTCTGTCAATGCACCTGAGCCAAGTGGCAGCACTCGTGTTACCAGCGATTCTGAGGTTGTTACTACTACCGATCAGTACGGCGCCAGCGTAGTCCTCTCTGGTGCTTCTCGTGGAGCAGTCATCACTACTACGGATGCTAAAGGTTCTACCTTCATCACCACTTACACTCCTGGTGGTGGCAGAGTCAGCTCTCTCGTCTTGATGACTACTACCTTGCCCGACGGCGCACCCAGCACTGTGACCTCGTTGGCGGTTGTTGGTGGTGCACAAGCCGCAAGTGCCTCTTCGGAACGCCCTAGCTCTACCAACACTGCCGCTCCTGGCCTGCAGTCTGGTGCTGCTAGCGCATCTCGCGCCCATATGAAGGGTGCATTTGCTGTCGTCGGTGGTGCCCTCGGCTTTGCCTACATGCTCTAGGGCATAATTCCCCTGGACTGATGCGTAAGCAATATGTAAAAAGGATATACAGACACTTGATGTCTTGTAGATATGTTGCTGCGAGGTTGAGATTTCCTTTCTGTTTTTTTATTCGACTATACGATCACGACTCTCCTTAACGTTTTGTACTTTACCATTCAGCATAGCGGGAAATTGGTTCAAGGGGGCATCTAGACGCTTCAAAGCGTAATGTTTGTGTTTCTGGTATAAGATGAGAGTATTCTATCTATCTTGTTGACTTGCAGTCATGTCCACTTGAAAACATGAACCTCGGTTTCAAAAGTTTGTTCACATAGTTCAGTGTGAGGCAGTCACGACCACTCTGGCCCTACCCATCTCATTGACTCAACTCACGACTTTCTCCGTTTCAGAGGTTTCTAGTCCTTCAAGTATTCATCACAATCGCACCACTACCTCTCCACGCCCTGCTTAGCAACCAAGCATTGAAGTCGCACCTAATGTATGAGCAACATCTGCATTCACGCCTACACCTACGAACCTGAATCCCTTGCCATGGTCATCGCAACCTTCAAGCGCATCATCTACATTCGACTGTTCCGAGCCGTCCGCAACACGCGCATCTCTCCCATTGGCATGTACCTCGCCTACAAAGGAACTGGCCTTGGAGATGTCAAGATGTTTGAGAACATGAGCATTTCGGATTTTGTCGCAGTCTAGGAGCCGTACAATGGAAATGCTCAACCTACAGACATTGTCGGCAATCCAAAAAATGTCAGGTTGGTATATATATGAAGCTTGACATTGGGCAGAGCTGATGTAGATATAGAAGGAAGCACAACTGCATCCATCCCAATTGTCAAAGGTGGCATGTCTAAGCAGCTTCAAGACAAGGCACGGTGAATCGGGTGTTATGGATTATGCTACGAGAGGGAAAGAACGGGTAAGATACTGAGAAGAGGTGTGTACCATTAGACTTTTGAGCCTCAAGGCGCCGAGCGTTGGCTGACGGCGGATGACCACCAGACCAAGTCACAGCTCCCTTCACCTGAGCGGGGTCTTGTATCAGTACAAGAAAACGTCCTACGCGCAAAAGCCTTCAGTCGTTCGCATCCGTTGCTGAAGAGCCCTCCTCGAAAGCCTGCCCGTAGCGACAGCGGAGACGTCCGACTTGAGCCGGAGCGTTCGGTCTTCGCAGCCTCTTGGTCATTTATATCGAGTAACGCAAACACAGGCGCATGCAAACCTGATAGTAGACGGTCGTGCAGAAATTTACAATCCAAGTCGTACTTCTGACTCTGCACCTCTTCTCCAAAGAGAACCATAGTAACAAACGACAAGATGGTTCCTGCACTGAGAAAGATCCTGATCATCAACCCAAATTCGACGAAATCCATGACAGATGCGCTCAAGCCGCTGGTTGATTCTTTGGGCTATTCATCGGTATTTATCACATCGCCACAAGCCCATTGACAAATAAGAGCAATGTCTGAGTTTGGAAATTCGAGCAGACACAACACACATATTTCACGGCACCTTCAGGACCAGCATCGATCAATAATGAAGACGATGCGGCAGAGTCGGCGAGACATTGTTTAGAACCCCTACTTCCGCTGCTCGAAACACATGACGCTTTCCTCGTCTGCTGTTATTCGGCACATCCCCTGGTCGGACAACTCAAGGCGAGACCGGAGATTGCTGGTCGTCGCAAGCCGGTGACTGGTATCTTTGAAGCATCCATCAGCAGCAGCTTACAGGCAATCGGACCTGGTGAGCGATTTGGCATTGTGAGCACGGGTAAGGTATGGGAAGCGACATTACGCGAAGCTGTGGACAACTATCTAGGTGTCGAGGACAACACCGAGGGCAGTGCGGCATTTGCTGGAGTGCAGACAACGGGGCTCAATGCCACAGAACTGCATGACACGTCGCCAGTCGAGGTCCGTAGCCGTATGAAGAAGGCAGTGGCGAGACTGTTGAGAGATGATAGTGGAGGCCCGGTCGGAGCGGTATGTCTTGGATGCGCAGGTATGGCAGGGTTCGGTGACATGGTCAGAGAAGCAGCGATTGAGACACTGGGTCACGGTCAAGGATCAAAGGTGCGCATTGTCGATGGCGTTGTAGCCGGCGTGACGTGGCTTGAAGGAGCTCTACGATCAGGAATGTAGAAGATAATGATGCATTCATTCAAATATTGGATTCATGAACTTATTGATATGTTTAGAGGATGCGAGTAATGTCTTGCGATATATGAGTATCGGGCTTTGTTCGGAGAGAGGCTGAAGCTCCCTGAGCGGCCGAGGCTTCAATATCCAAACAAATGTCCAAGCAGCAACACTTTCTTTAGGAGTAGGTTGCTTGTTCGTAAACACACAATGGCGACAACAGAAGCGAAAACAAAGACATTCAAGTCTCATCCCATTGAGAGCTGGGACGACGGCGTGTCACCCATCTACACACACTTGCACCCGCTGCTCCTACTCGGCCTTTTCTACTACCAGTTCCCCTCGCTGGTCGAGAAGCCTGTCGACACCCTCCCTCAGACAGCTCTGGGTGTCGCTGCTTTACAGTTACTGTACCTCTGCATCTGCATTCCTGGAAGCAACCATGCTCAATTGCCTCAGCGCGGAAAGAAGAAGGGAAAGATGGCCCAAACCCACCAGGGCGACACTGGCATTGGAGCCAAGCTGGTTGTAAGTGTCGCGCAGCTCGCCTGGGCTCTAGAACGCGTACATTGACCATTATACACAGCCTGGCATTCTCTCCCTCATCCTTGCCGTCACGCTCGGTGCTCCTCTAATCGCCATCGTCCTTATCCTTTTTGGTGCTCCCCTCACCTCCCACCAAGCCCATACTCTCTACTGCGGACTTCACATCTCGTTACTCGCTGCATACCCTCTGTTCTACGTCCACGGTGTCGACGCTGCCAAGTGGACCGAGGTGGGTGCATTGGCTGCCCCTATCGATGAGGTCTTTGGTGCTACAGTCGGAACATTGATTGGTGCTTGGGTGGGTGCTATTCCCATTCCTTTGGATTGGGACCGTGAGTGGCAGAAGTGGCCTGTCACCATCTTGGCTGGTGCTTACATCGGGTATGCGGTTGGCAAGGTTGTGGGTGGCTCGCTTCTCAAAGGCTCAAAGATCAAGATTGCATGAAGGGATGGGTCGCACCGGTCAACATTCATAATGCATCAGGGCATACAAGGCCTGCTTACGACCACTTGTCCGTCGCACAGGCGAGGCAGACAAGGGCGAAGCATCAATCGACCTGAATTACGAAGAGATGGTCAAAGAAGCATAGCGACGATGGTCTCGACTCCTTCTAGCTACGAGGCGACGCTCGGCCTAACCAACAAGGAAACTCGCAGGGGGGTTCGCGAAGTAAAGAAACCACAAAAGATCAAACGCCTCGCCAGTCGACTAATATCGATACTATGTCTCGCATGAACCATCGACTTGGCATTACTATATCATAAACAATTTCTCCAGACGATCTCCAGATTACTCCAGATCACAAATTGAAGCCTCGAAGGCACATCTATCAGTAATACCTTCAACCTTTAAGAAAAGAATCTCATTGGAACGATGCCATTTCACAGTCGTCTGCATCATTAATGCGGCGGATCGTTGTTGCAACGAAGCAATTGATCGACGCTTCTAGAGATCTGATGGAAGACAGAGAATCGTGGGGCAGCGAATGACAGGCAACGGCGACTGCGAATGCAGGCAAAACGACGCATGTCTGATGCTGCTGCTGCATGAAATGCTTGTTCTGCGAGTCGCCCTGCACTTTTCATATCAGAAAAAGCTGTCATGGATTCCGTCGGTGAATTTGGCAGATCGAAAATGTGCTTGATATTAGCCGTCATCATGGGTGACATCTCTCCTGATGTCTTCGGAACTGCTGGGTTTCAGCGCAAACTTCCGGGTCTCGAACGGCTGAAAAAGACTGCCGAACAGAGGCGCGATCGCAGACACGTCCGGGACCGGAGCAATCGAATTGCGAGTATCACCACTTTTCCATAAGCAAGCCGTGACTCCCGCTCGTTTGCTTGCTCATCATGACAATCTCCGTTGCCTCCGTCTCCGGTCTTGCCCTACAGGGACGCTGACATTAAAGACAAAGAAAGTGCCGTCAAAGTCGCGCGTGAAGAATTCCAGGACCCTTCGAATTATTACAAACGGTGCCCTGTCAAATAACGAAATACTCTCGGTTTGCCCCACTACCGCTTTGGCAGCATTCGCACTCCCAACCACTTTTCTTCCAAGAACAAATAAACCCCTTTGCGCCACTCCTCATCTTGACTTGAACCTTTACTCTCTCCACCTCTTCCACCGAATACAAGTCAATTGACCTGACCACACTCTTCGACGCCTCCCATCTGTCCGTCCTTGCCATCGAATTCATATACCCCGCCAACCCCGCCTACCCGATCACTTCCAGAACTTCTGGGCACGCGACAAAAGTCCGGAGCAGTCATAGCATAAAGCAGGTCGCCTCACCCACCAAGCAGCAACAAGAGTAGAATCATTCACTGTACGGCCTTCTGTGCCGATACGCTCGCCCTATAACCACCATGATTCCTTCCATTCCTCGTCTTGAAGACTACGATGTCTCTGAGAATTATGGCTTTCTTCCCTCAGAATATCCCCTCGAGGTACTTCCCGACACTTACTACAGACCATGGGAGGCCATCATCAGAAACCTCCAAGGCCTGATTCTGGGCAAGAGATTGCGAGGAGTTGTCGACAGCCTTCCTGTCCTGTCAACCGATTACCTTCGCTCAGATGCCGAATGGCGTCGTGCATATGTGATACTTGGATTCATCTCACACGCTTATATCTGGAACGGAGACCGACCAAAGGAGCGTATTCCTCCCAGCATCTCAATCCCCTTCAAAGCCGCTTGCAAGCATCTAGAACTTCCCACTGTCGCCACATACGCAGGAGTCGTGTTATGGAACTACCGACCACTCTTCGACGATGAGGGCATCGACTCTCTAGATAATCTGTCTACCCTTATGACGTTCACTGGCTCGCTGGACGAGTCGTGGTTCTACCTCGTTTCGGTGGCCATTGAAGCTCGCGGCGCTCCTATTATCCCCTTAATGCTGCACGCTATGGAAGCTGCTCGTCGAGGTGACAAGTTACGAGTGACAGAGTGCTTGCGCTCATTTGCTGAGCGCCTTGACGAGCTCGCTTCCATGCTAGTCCGCATGTACGAGAACTGCGACCCTTATGTCTTTTACCATCGCATTCGCCCTTTCCTGGCTGGCAGCAAGAATATGCACGAAGCCGGTCTACCTAACGGTGTCATTTTCGATACGGGCAGTGAAGACGATTCATACGTTCAATACAGTGGTGGCAGCAATGCTCAATCGTCGATTATCCAATTCTTTGACCTGGTCCTCGGAGTCGAGCACCGTCCTACCGGCAGCAAACCCAGCGATACACCCATGGCAACAGTACAACAAGGACCTTCGGCAAACTTTATTCACGACATGCGCACATACATGCCTGGCCCACACGCTCGCTTCCTCGAGCACGTAGGCACAGTCGCCAACATCCGCGCCTTCGTTACCACAAATCGCCACGATCGTGCCCTTGCTGGCGCTTTTGACGCCTGTCTAGCCATGCTGAGAAATTTCCGCGACAAGCATATTCAAATGGTGTCTCGCTACATCATTGTCCCATCTCGCGAATCTCGCAACAGCAATGCCCGCTCTCTCTCGCCTACACGCAGAAAGGACTCGGCATCACCACAGCAACTCAACATTGCAGCTGCAAGCTCTGACAGCAAGGACAAGAAGAATCTTAGAGGTACTGGCGGCACAGCACTGATTCCTTTCTTGAAGCAATGCAGAGATGAGACTGGCGAGCCTGCTATTGATGCTTGGGCTAGGCGATTGTTGAACAATGGTCCTGGTGCTGCTGAGCTAGGTGGTGCTAGGATGGGAAAGCTTGGTGAGCATGCTTCTGGCGAGACTGCCGTGCTTGGACTCGCTGGTGTGTGGAGTGTCGACGATTCTGATGGAGGTATCTGCCATTGGTAAAATCTCATCTCTCGAGTCTTTTGTTCGTTCAGGGAATTCTAAAAGCGAAGGAGTTTTTTTTTTTTTGGTTTGTGGGATATTTGCAGATATTGCGGCTCACGCTCATGGGTGGGATGGAACAAATGAGGCATGCGGGACATGTGTACAAAATGGTTCTTTCTTATCATGTGTATCAAATACAGAGAATGTAATATCTATTCTCTTTTTGACTCAGCTGTCTATATGGCGTTGTGCATCGCTGCTCACCAAGGCCGTTAATGCTCCCTTTCCAAAGTGATGTCCGAGAGCTGACAGGTCGATTGCTGTCCCGACATGGCCCGATTTCTCGCAAATCTTACTACTTTCTACTGCTTTCAAGACGGGACAGACGTCTCGTTCTCGTGGGTACTTGATGGGGCCTTGGTCCGAGGCAGTCTGAGTATGGAGCTGTTTTGTACCTCGGTGATTTGGTCTTTTGACTATTACCAAAAGCACCCTTGTCGGTGTTCTACAAAATCCTGACTAATCGCCTTTCTCGACCGACGATGGTGGCCAAGAAGCGAGCCTGGCGCTGTTCTGTAGATGTTCACGAAAATGCCGTGTTTCGGCTGTAATCGACTTTATCCTCAAAGGTAGTCCTTCTTGCGAGCAGTGCGGGTGTATTGGTTCATGTGCCATTCGACGTCACCATCCTTGTTCTCGAGAGTGCCGGCTCTGATCTCGAACAAGCGCATCGTCATGCGAGGACCAACTTCTGCCAACTCGACGCTCTGGTATCCTGTCTTGACGAAGACGTGGTGGCGGACCTCGATGCTGTCGTCAATGTTTTTGAATGTGACGACGCGGGAGCCAAGTTTTGCTGAGGGTTCGCGAGGAGGGAAGAGATGCTGTAGGATCTTGACGACACGGCGACCGAGGGGAGTTGTGAAGCCCTCAAAGATGAGATGAGGGTAGCTTTCGCTGACGGTGCCGCGCTCGGCATTGGGAATGTCGGCACGAAGGACAACGTTGTGCAGGGAGAAACTGGCGGTAGGGCCGTGGGGGAAGTGGCTGACGGTCATGGCAGTAGGAGTACCGCGGTGCTCGTGTACCAAGATCATATCGCTGAGGCCGGAGCCTTTGGCTGAGCCAACCAAGTTGTTCAAGATCAGGTTACCACGATTGAGACGGACAGCTGTAGGCAGAAGCAGGCGGATTTCCTTTGCAAAAGTACCAAGTCGACTGCTAGGATCACGAGAGGTGGTAACCAGGATGCGAGGGTCTACAACGCCTGACAGATGCGAGTATTCGTCGTCCATTTCGAGTTCTTCCTGGGTAGAGCGATCCGGGCGGGATTCATCGTAGCGGAAATCTGCACGCAGAGACTTGTCGTTGGCGATCGAGGGGTCTAGAGGCTTGCCAGAAGCCAGCGAGGACTTGAGCTTTGCTCTCTTCTCAGCGATTTCGGCATCGCGCAGTGTCAGCGCACGGCGGTATAGATAGTCGCGGCGTTCGCGGGCTTGACGGCGCTATGATTTGTTAGTCTTGGGCAAGGCGAGTGTGTCGGATCCATGATCATACAAGCATCTTGTGTGAGTGCTGTCTTGTTCTTTGACTGGTGTGAATCAAAGAGTGGGACAGGAGTGGCCGCTGGACGCAGAAAAATGTCGTGTCGGAGGTGGAAATAATTTATTCTGGAAACTGCGGAGATGGATGGATTTTCTGACGATGCTCTTGCCGCGCGAACGCCTGCTACCACACTGACTTGAGCACTTTCCAAAAGACAATTGCGCTTTCCTGACCGAGCACATTCCAGCACCACTTCTGTGTGTTTTGTTCTTGCTGACTCATTCTCCTTCTTTCACATGTCCCCACAAGTCATTCCTTTCTTCTGCAAACCTGTATAAAGCTTCTTGAACACATCACCAATACTAGTTGTTGCCAAGGCCGTCAAATACAGCCCCGCCACTGTTGCTTCGGGGCACATTTCAAGATTGCCGTCCTTCGGCTTCCTGATAATCACCCATCGCCGCCATGGAAGGCGCCTTTACACATCTCGGGAACCATCTGATTTCCGATTCCGCCTCGGCCATCAATGCCGGCGACGACCTATCCACAATCGACGCCGACGAAGCTGCCCTGGACCGTGAATACCAGAACAGGAACCTGAACCAGCCTCCCCAGGCTCGTCCTCGCCGACGCAGAGCTCGCGACAACGACGATGAAGCCGACATCTTTCCCGATGAAGACGATGATGCCGACAGCCTAGTCAGCCATCAGATCAATGGCCAGAATGGTCACCACCACCAGGACGAAGAACATGAGATCGAGCTTCCCACACACGCCTGCGCGTACGTCGCTCAAGACCATCCCTCAGCTTGATTTGGACTGACCAATCTACCAGCTACTGCGGCATCCACAATGAGAGCAGTGTCGCCAAATGTCTGTCCTGCAACAAGTGGTTCTGCAGCGCCCGTGGTAATACCTCATCCTCTCACATCATCAACCACCTTGTGCGCGCCCGTCACAAGGAAGTCCAGCTCCATCCTGCCTCCGCACTTGGCGACACCGTCCTTGAATGCTACAACTGCGGTACCAAGAATGTCTTCCTGCTTGGTTTCATCCCTGCAAAGTCAGATACTGTCGTCGTTCTCCTCTGCCGTCAGCCATGCGCCGCCATGCCTTCGTCCAAGGACATGAACTGGGACACCTCACGCTGGCAACCCTTGATCGAAGATCGTTCTTTCCTTCCTTGGCTTGTCGGTCCTCCCACCGATCAGGAGCAGATGCGCGCTCGTCACTTGCCGCCCCAGATGATTGCAAAGTTGGAAGAGCTGTGGAAGGATAACCAGCAGGCCACAATCGCTGATCTCGAAAAAGGTGCGGGTGTTGATGATGAACCTGCTCCTGTGCTCTTGCGCTATGACGATGCCTACCAGTACCAAAACGTCTTTGGTCCTTTGGTCAAGATCGAAGCCGACTACGATCGCAAGCTCAAGGAATCGCAATCGCAGGATGGTTTGATTGTGCGCTGGGACTTTGCGCTGAACAACAAGCATCTTGCCAGCTTTGTCCTGCCCAAGCTTGAAATGGGCGATGTAAAATTGGCCGTCGGAGATGAAATGCGCCTGCGCTACACTGGAGAGCTTAGACCTCACTGGGAAGGTGTTGGATACGTTATCAAGATCCCGAACAACCAGTCTGACGAAGTCACGATCGAGTTGCGCTCAAAGGGAGACCACAAGTCTGTGCCAACCGAGTGCACTCACAACTTCAGCGCCGACTACGTCTGGAAGGCCACTTCGTTCGATCGCATGCAGCACGCCATGAAGACATTCGCTATTGACGAGATGAGTGTCTCTGGTTATATTTTCCATCGTTTGCTCGGACACGAGGTTGCTGCTGCTCCCATGAAGACTCAGCTTCCGCGCAAGTTCAGCGTTCCCGGTTTGCCCGAGCTCAACAGCAGTCAGATCAATGCTGTCAAGAGCGTTCTTCAGAAGCCGCTCAGCTTGATCCAAGGTCCTCCTGGAACTGGTAAAACTGTCACATCAGCAACCATCATCTACCATTTGGCCAAGCTCAATGGTGGCCAAGTCCTCGTTTGTGCACCTTCTAACGTCGCTGTCGATCAACTGTGCGAACGTATCCACCGTACCGGCCTCAAGACCGTCCGTGTCACCGCCAAGTCGAGAGAAGATGTTGAGTCTCCAGTTGGCTTCTTGTCTCTCCACGAGCAGGTCCGCATGAACGACACCAACGTTGAACTCAACAAGCTCAACCAGCTCAAGGCTGAGCTTGGTGAATTGTCCAGCCAGGATGAGAAGAAGTACAAGCAGCTTGTTCGCAATGCTGAGCGTGAGATTCTGTCCAACGCTGACGTTATCTGCTGCACTTGTGTCGGTGCCGGTGACCCTCGTCTTGCTAAGCTCAAGTTCCGCACCGTCCTCATCGATGAATCTACTCAATCCGCTGAGCCAGAGTGTATGATTCCTTTGGTTCTGGGATGCAAGCAGGTTGTCCTAGTTGGTGACCACCAGCAGCTAGGACCTGTTATCATGAACAAGCAAGCTGCTAAGGCTGGTCTCAACCAGTCCTTGTTCGAACGTCTGGTCATCCTTGGATGTGCTCCCATCCGTCTGCAGGTGCAATACCGTATGCACCCTTGCCTCTCCGAGTTCCCCTCAAACATGTTCTATGAGGGTTCTCTTCAGAATGGTGTCACTATGCACCAGCGTTTGCGCCGCGATGTCGACTTCCCTTGGCCTGTCGCCGACTCACCTATGATGTTCTGGTCCAATTTGGGCAATGAGGAAATTTCCGCCTCTGGTACTTCCTACCTTAACCGCACCGAGGCTCAGAATGTTGAGAAGCTTGTTACTCGCTTCTTCAAGGCTGGCGTCCAACCTCAGGACATTGGTATCATCACCCCGTACGAAGGTCAACGCTCATATGTTGTTTCTTCCATGCAGGCAACTGGTACTTTCAAGAAGGAGTACTACAAGGAAATTGAAGTCGCTTCCGTTGATGCTTTCCAGGGTCGTGAGAAGGACTTCATCATCTTGTCTTGTGTTCGTTCCAACGACCATCAAGGAATCGGTTTCCTTTCTGACCCTCGCCGTCTGAATGTTGCTCTGACTCGTGCTAAGTACGGTCTGGTCGTTTTGGGTAACCCCAAGGTCCTCAGCAAGCATCCCCTGTGGCACTACCTTCTTCTCCATTTCAAGGAGCGTAACTGTCTGGTTGAAGGTCCTCTCACCAACTTGCAGGTGTCACTTCTCCAATTCAGCCGACCCAAGACTACCTACCGCGGACCTCAGCGTTATCAGATGGCTTACCAGCATGCCACCAACATGGCTGCCTCTGGTGGTAATGGCGACGGCCGTGCTGCTGGTCGCAAAAACGGTTACAACGACAATGGATCTGTTGTTGGTTACATTCCTGACGATGTTTCTTCTGTTCACTCCTCAGCTCTGGGAGGTGCCACTTTGCCATCGAACTATCCACCCATGTTCAAGAACTTCACCGAGGCTTGGCCCTCT